CCCCCCCCCAAGCCTCCTATTTGTCGATTCATACCATTTAACCAAGTTCTTTGAGTATACTTCAAGCTTGTATAATACGAAACTTTGGTTTACACAGCCAACTCTTCATTCTTGTCTATTGTAAGGAATATATTGTCCTAAACTCAATGCGGTAATGTAGCTACATGCGTATATATCGATGCTCGCATGGTGCCCATCCTTGGAGTATCTTAGACATAGTTGGTGCTCAGGGACACTTCCTCCTGCAAACTCAAATCGTTGCTCAATCTTTCGCATTTCTGCTTCATCCGCGCATACGCATCACCTCCCAGAACCAGTCTAGTGATCTTGCCTGCCAGGGGACCGGCCATCCCAGTACCCGTGACAGCCTCGAAGATGCGCTCAACTCCCTTCTCGGGATCACCAGGCTGCTTTCCGTGGACAGTGAGGAACTTGCGCATCACCACGCCCACGGGGTCATCATAGTGGGGAGAGACCGTTGTCGGGTCGGGACTTGCTTCAGCTAACTGTAACGCCAGTATATATTAGCATTGATGACTTGTATCAAAATTGCAAGGGAAAATAAATTCAAAAACTCACCGCGCCGACAAAGTTGGTGCGGAAATTGCCGGGCTCGACAATCAGCACGCGGATGTTATGAGGCGCGACCTCCTTAGCAAGCGCCTCGGATGCAGCCTCCAGCGCAGCCTTGGAAGCACTGTACAAAGAGCATGCTGGCAGGGGGTCCTGGGCGGCACCGCTGGAGATGTTGACAATAGTACCAGAGTGCTGGGCGCGCATGGCAGGGAGGACAGCCTGTAGGGTGTACAGGGGGCCGAAGAAGTTAGTGGTCATTTGTAGGGTTGCTTCTTTGTCCCTATAACCATGTCAGCGAGACCCAATCATCGGTATCTTCTGTATGCCCAGTTAGATGCTACTTACGTAATGTCCTCGCAGGCGGCCAGGATGGAGTAGCCAGCAACATTGATCAGATAATCAATACGACCAAGGGGGTGTATCTTGCTTGCAATGCTGGTCTGTGACTCTGTCATGTCCAGCTCAATTACTGTGCCACCTGCCTGCTCGATTTGCTCAACTGCAGTGGCGGCCTTGGTCTTACTGCGGACAGAGCCGATAACACGGTGCCCCGCACCCAGAACGTGAAGGCACATTCCAAGGCCAAAGCCATTAGAAGCACCCGTGATAAGCCAGATAGGAGATGACATATTGCGTAGAGTAGATTTTCAGTTGTGGAATGAAAGAATAATCTACCCAGACGTGATATTGAGTGATATTGAGGAAGGAGAGGAAGAAGAGGAATCGTTTGACTGTTGTTTGCTTCAAGGAAGTGAGGGCTCTGTTAGCCCCACTTTATTCAAATGTATACCCAACTGTTCTTTATACTCTCCATACTCCATGGTTAGTCCCTGTCATCGGGATGGTCTACATGTGGAGGATATGTTCTTATCCACGACCTGAACCCTGGAACATACGTAATGTACAGTACATATAGGTATCTAAACGGGGCTGAAAAGTGGAATCGGTTCCACTTTCTTTGTTTCTTTTTATTTTTACTTTTTATTCTGTTATTTTGCATTTTATAACTTAATTTTTAATATAATTGTAATTGTAATTGCAGTTGCAATTGCAATATAATTTTAACACACGGAGTAATTGTAATGTGATCGTAATGTATGTATATATTTTTATGCATTTTTATGCATTTAAAAAGGCAACTCAATATACATCCACTACCTAGGAACCCTGGTATATGACTAAACCAAATACTAGCAATTCTTCAAGGGCCCTTCTTTACCAGGCTAATACTATTTATGGAATATGCAGAAAGTCCATAAAATTACAGAAACTTGGCAGACTTCCACGGTATATGTTGTATATCTACATCGTAGAACAAACATTTCACCAACCCCATCACCCCTAAGTCAGTCAACGGTCACATTGCGTCCCCAACTCCTCAGCCCCTATTTAAAATCCAATGGCTACACAATACATTCAGGATCTCAACACAGATGTCCTGATTATAGGGACGGGATTGTCGGGTCTCGAACTTGCCGTCCAGCTAGTGCGCCAGTACGGACATCGGAACGTGGAACTGATTGAGAAGACCTACCATGTTGGGGGCACATGGCTAGCAAATTCGTAACCTGGTTGTGGTGTGGATGTAAGATATAAAAATATCTCTCTCCTCTATTCCCCCTTTATTTGCATAGTCCTGGAGGAAGCTGATCCGTGATTTGAGGTATGTATTGCTATTAGGTGTATGGCTTAGATATTATGTTAATACTGTGTCATTTTTCAAACAGGTTTTCAAGGTGCATGGCAAAGGCATCATGGGATTGATTGAAGTACAGCTTGCGGTGTAATAGGGCCAACAGATGATCATATTTGGATGAGGGCGGTCACAGGAACCTAACAAGCCTCATACAACAAACATAAATTAGTCTTCATGCGATTCATTACAAGTGAAGCTTGCGTTATCATTAGAATAATATATTTCTACGCACTTGGACGTTGGCGGATCGCTGATAGAAGTATAAAAATGTGACATGCATGGAGAGCAAATATCCATGTTTTTTAAACACTTTGATTTATTAAATCAAATGTTCCATAAAATAATAAATTGAACTTCGAAAGGATTATGCCCAGGGGGCATAGAAAGACAAAGTAGACTGGGAAGTATATCAATTTGTGAAGTAGCCTATGTAGCGATCCTAACTAGTTATCCGATCCTTTGTCCCACCAAAAAAAGCAGACGTTAATCATCAGCATAAATGTGCAACGACACTCGCCTATATACATTTCATATAATGCGCGACTATACATACTCCGCTTAACAAGCAACTAAGCCCCGTACACAAGATGATGAGCCCATATCCACTACCATATCCCGCCGCTGCAGAGCCCTTCCACGAGTCTACACCAAGTATAGCCTCGCTTAAAGGACCGCTCACAACATTTCCAATTCCGCGCCCAAAGGCAATGACACCGAAGATGATAGTTGCATCAGCAGATGGATCGACTCGTCGGACCTCATGCGTTATTCCCGACCACGTCGCTGAGTAACACCCTGCAAATAACCCGTATGCGATCGAAAAGACGAACAACGTGGGCAAACTTGTTGAAAATCCCCACAGGAAAAACACAGCAAGTGTACTACCGACAGTCGAGATGGTAATGCAGGTGATAGCATGGTATCGATCCGCTAGATGGCCCATAGTAACACTCCCAAAAACCGACGCCAGATTCAAAAGCGTGACCGTCAACGAGGAGAGAAAATCCGATGCACCGATGCTGCGCGCGTAGGTTGGTAGGTAAATTCCGGGCAAGAAGAACCCGAGGGCTTCTATAATGTTGCCGAGTTGGTAGAAGCAAAATATCCTGGTTGTAAGGAAGCGGAAGTTGAGGCGTTGGTAGTCGACTGTTTTTCTAACAGGGAGGCGGGGTCTGTGAAAGTATATGAACGGCGCAGCGAGAACGAATACCACCACGGAAATGACCCTAAGCGTAGTTTCGAATCCGAAACGGTTCAATAGCTTCTCTAGACCAATCGGGAAGATTATCCCAGATACCCCTGATCCTGCCCAGGTTATTCCGAACGCTAGTCCTCGTCTGTGGACAAACCACTCGTCCATGTACATGATTGAGGGACTGTATGCTATACAGCCACCAATTCCGAAGCCCACTCCTTGCGAGAGGACGAGGTGAGTGATATTCGTGGAAAATGAGCCCAATGCCAGGGAAAGACACATCATGATGAGTCCTATTGATGAAAACCAGCGTCCCCATTGAGGAAGGAGGATCATGGCAACAATGATCAATGGACAGCTCAAATAAGATATTCCCTATGCATGGTGTTAGTAATATAGTTTTATAAGCCAAGTTGGTGATCTCACTGTAGCACATGTTCCGATAACAGCTACCATTCCAGAATCCTGGAAGGCTTCATGGTCGTGGTAGTATTTCTGGAAGACTCCGAATGCAAAGGCAAATCCTGCCCATAGTTAGCCTCAAAATTACCATCCTTTTGTGGTCACGCGAGCAGACTTACCCCATATCAAAGCCTCGAGCATTGTACAAGCCGCCAGAAACATCCACGCGTGGAATCCTCCGTCGACTGGTGGTAGCTTCTGACCATCGTCGGTCGACGATTCATCGAATTTCTCGGGGCATAAGCGTATCTGAGCTTCGCTGCGAGATAGTGAGTCGCTGCAAGAAGGGCGTCTTCTCTCCATATTGATGATGTTGAATTCAAGGAGTCTGACTAGAGGGACATTAGAGACAAAAGCAAGTTCTAATGGTCAATGGGTCCATTTTAACTGCATCTATATTAAGCAATTAAGAAATCCTGGTCACATTGTTTCATCAAGGAGGCCTAGCGTTCGAAGGGATGGCAAGAACTCTTGGTAAGGATCAGCCGGGTGATGTATGGAATTTCCGTACGTAGACAATTAAGACCGGCATGCAACCTCAACGGCCGAGCGGCATATTATACACTTGTGTATCTATCTCAAACATAAATGGTAGCTCAAGAGTAACCATCTCGCTGATTTCGCAATTGGGCTGGGAATCTGTTGATTCCGATCTAACATATATATTAATTGATAAGGGGACCGTGACGAATGAATGTGTTGTGCTGGTGTGTGACATCGAGCCCCTACTTTGAAGCCTCAAGCAAAACAACGTTTCTAAAAGGCCGAAACTGACGTGCTTTGCGTGGGGAATAGAGAGCTCCCCCGGCCTGCGACGGAGGATTGTAGAATAAATAACGGCTAGGTACGGATGTTTGAAGGGATTGGAATGTAAAGTCTGATCATCGCCAAATGGGGACAAAGACGTCGGAGACTTGTGCCAATGTATGTCCTATGATATCACACATAAAGCTCCGAGCTGCAGATCATCAACCAGCCCCTTGTTCGGTATAACTCCGCGTAGTGCCACGTTAGACTGAGGGTGAGCTAGGAGGCTTGGACCTTATCATCAAGGGGCTATAAGAGTGCCAATCATATCGTGTTTGATGCGACATAGCACGCAAGATGGCGTAGATAGTAGCATGCCAATATATGATGCTTGTGAGCCCTTACTCTGGTCCGTAAAAAGTTTGTATCTCTCGAGTTAGCTGTGGTCACACTCCTAGGAGATCGTGATCCCGATTTGGGCGGAGCAGGATTCTGAATGACATGTGGTATCAAAGTAATGGACCTTAATACATATTTTGGAAAACTCTGAGTTCAATCTCCATGTGACAAAGGATCATGACTTACTGCGGAACACAGAAGGGCAGCTTGATTGTTTTTCACAAGCTTTCTGTGCATACGATTTTCACATACTACTTTCACCTACATTTGCTGGCGGACCAAAGGGCTAGTTCTAATATGCTCGGTACGTACTTGATGGAGACGATTCCGTGTATTCAACTCTAAAGATTTTGTATCAGAATATAAGCGGAAAATCGCTTCCTTGCCGCAAGTGATGCACCTTCAGTTGGCCAGCCAAATATTCTGATCTGTGCCATATCCAAACGGAATCCAAGAGTCATTAAAGTATCTCTGTAGCACGGTTTGCATGTAGTCCATATCATCAACACAGTATCCACCACCACTAGGACCGATATGCGAGCAATGCACATCGGGGCGGTACTGCACCATATGCTCATGAACCTCGCGACACAGCAACGTGTTACGACCCAGCTCATACGCCTTTCCAAATCGTACAGTCTTGGTCAAAAAGTCGTAACAACTTGCGGTGTCTTCATATTGCTGATTCGAACCCGTGCAATGCTTGTCATGTGTATCACAGATGGTGGTAGCCAGCAAATCAGCAACATAGGCGACAGCCTGGTCAGGTTCAGTCGCGTTTATTTTTGTTGCAACTCCTCCGACGAGGAAGTCCAGCAGATACTCAAACCAGCGGAATGTTGCGTCGTACTGTGCAATCTTGCCGTCGGTGTTGAACTCGATCCATGTGTCGATCGTCACTGGAATGAGGACACCGAAACTGGTTGCGTTGAAGGTGACGACCGTTGTAGCGGATGCGATATTGTCGTTGGCGGCAAATTGAGTTATGTTATATGCGATCGGGACACCGACGAGACTGACGTGGTCTGGGTCTGCGAATAGACCGAAGATGTATTCGCGGTTCAACTCGTCGCCGTCGAAGGTGCGGGTGATGTCGACGCGACCTTGCACCTATTCTTGTTTTAGATTATTGAGACCAGACTAGCACAAAAACCGGCATATACTGACATCCGATGCGAAAACAGTCGATGCATTGCCTTGCGTCTGTTTGAGATTCGCAGGGTAGAGAAATGAATCCCAAAAGCCCTTCTCAAGTTTCCAGAGCTGGTCAAATGTGAAGGTTGGTTTGGGATGCTCTGAGGAATCCTTAGATTCGACAAAAATCAAATAAACATGCAGATATAATCGCAAGCAAAAAGCTCCATTGACCCAATTGAAAATGCATGCTGATTGTCTTCGGGTAGCTTGGGATTATTTTGAGTTAGCTAGAACTCACATAGGAAGGTCATAGTCGTTGTATGCGAAAGACCTTGTTGTTATGAGGAAACCCACTAATGACATTCCATATGCGATGAGAAGAATGTCCAAAGTTCTGGTCATTGAGGTTACAGCGCCAAACATTGGCTGGCTATACATGTACTGATAGTATGTGATAGCGAGCTAAATCCGGTCAATGAATTCATCATCATCATCATCATCATCATCATCATCATACATGTATTGATATTTTTAAGCCTTCCCCAGTCGCTTTCAGTGAGAACACAAATCAAAATCACCATATCCCGGTATAATAAAATTGCTTTTAATTGATTCAAAGTCAAATTCAAATTCAAATTAGATTCAAGCTTTTCGGTGTCGTATATTTGTATTGGGCTGGTCGATGGCCCGGCCACTCTCAGCCTCCTTGCACATAGTTTAGGCGAACAACCTCTCATTCCGGGTAAAATAATACTGAAAATCCCCAAAAAGGATAGACCGAATTTTATTTAAGCACGCCGTGAGAGTTATTTAGCAATTACAAGAAACGAATGCAGGAGATACATGGTAATATGTTGAATCGAAGTAGGGAATCATTGTCTGACCTTTAGATATGTCGAGGTAATTTGAGAAGCATGACCCATGATATAACCAAGGTTGGTATTTACTTACGTTTTTACATGTTACTTATAGGCCAGTAGTCCAAGTAGGAAAAATAGAATCAAATCCACTATGGAAATATATTCTAAATTGCACGAAACCAAACTCCATTATCCAAAACTATAGCGAATCCAGCATATCCTGAAGCTGCCATGCAACAGACCTCTCACTCCGCAGATCCTTCATCAGAGTCCTACTCAGCTCAATCAAAGTCCTCTCAATAAAATCACAAAGTCGAGGGAAAGTAGTCTGGAAAAACCCAAGGCGTTTGCGAGTGACAAATGGATGATCCGGGAAATACACCGAGATATCCGACGCCAGCATTTTGATCTTGCACATGGATCTAGCAGTCATAGTAAGTCTCTGGCTCACTATGTGCTGATGGCCTGGGTGGTTAACTAGAATCTCAATTTCGCTCTCAAGGTCTGCTCGGAAGTTATAGATCTCTTGTGTGTAGATTGGTACGAGATTTTCGAGCCAGTAGGGCTTAGAACTGTCCCACCAAGCCATTGTTCTTGAAGATGGATGAGCGCGTCACTTTGATTTGAGAGATGTGTATTTAGATATATTGTTGCTGAAGATGGATTGAGAAGTGGACAAAATTAGAATTAAGGATGGTTTGCTAGTTCGGTATAGACGGGCGGGGGTTTGACCTGTGAGCTATTATATACATTTGAACAAATTCGTTAATGTTGCGTAATACTATGATCATTGGTAATGAAAGAAACTGCAGCGACAATGCCAATTCTTTTTGTTCTTTGTTATGTTGCCGGCTCTTGTCTTAAGTGAATCCGGGTCTTATGAATCAAGATACATGGATCTCAACAAAGAAGCAAGCTTGGGTCTAGTCAGTGTCAATACATTGTTTTATGTGTTTCGTTACCATATTTTCAGACCCAAAGTTTCTACTTGAGACAAGTTGTTTCCGAACACGACATATGTACAGATCAAAGGATAAAGGTAATACTAGTTAGTGACAGTAAACTTTCCATCCTCGCGAATATCCCGACTGGAGGCTCCAACATAGACACTGAAGGTACCACGAGGCACAACCCATTTCTGGGTCTGCACATCCCAATAACTCAAGTCACGCCGAGTGAGCTCGAAAGTAGCTGTCCCCGACTCTCCTGGTTGGAGATTTAGCTTCTGGAACCCTCGCAGTTGCTTGGGTGGGGTGCTTGGGGCGGAGTTTGGGAGACCAAGATAGAGCTGAGCAACCTCAGCGCCAGTTACCGCGCCAGTATTCTGGATGGTGACGGAGATGGTGCCGACCGAGTCGAAAATTTCCTCCGGCCCGCCTGGAATAATGCGTCCATTTGACGGTCCAGGTGGAGCAGAAATGCTAACCACAAGTCCAACGTAGTTAAAGGTCGTATACGACAAGCCATACCCAAACTCATAGCGCGGGGCAATGCCGTTCTTGTCGAAATGGCGGTAATCAACGAACAAGTCTTCGACGAAATTGTCGTCTAGCGCATTAGTCCAGCCGGCACCGTAGTCTGAAGACTGCTTGGCGATCGTGTAGGGGAGTTTGCCGCTTGGAGAGATGCTGCCATACAGCACGTCAATCAGGGCATTTCCGCTTTCCTGGCCCGGTAGCCCGGCCCATACAATTGCCTTTACTGAGGGCTGCGCTAGGATTGTCTCCAGAATAATGGGCCCCACGCTGTGCACGACTACGACCACATTATTGTTCACTGCTGCGACAGACTTGACGAGTTCGTTTCCGTTGTGCCAGGGATCGAGATTGTTTCTGTCGCCAACGTTGCCCTCCACTGTAATGTAACTGAACAAGGTGTTAGTGGTTGCCAATACATTATAGGTGCAGTTCTTCAAGGACAACTCACCCTTCGCCACTGTCTGCGTTAATGAACACCACGGCAGTCTCCGCCACTGCAGCAGCTGATGCAGCAGCTGTCGTGCTGTCGGTCGTACTCTGGATGATTTTCGTACCGTCCCTTTTGGCCTGAACTTGGATTGCATCAAGAGGACCAACAAGGTACTAGAGGGATGTTGTCAGTTTATCGGACTTGGGGTTGATTTACTAGTATTAACTTGCTTACAGGGAACTGCGATGTACCACTACCCCACCCCATAGCTAGCGTGCCATTGTTGCAGCCGTGATCCGCGCATGCATTGGGACCATTGGGGTTTACAATAGCATCCTGACCTATGATGGCCAGGCTCTTGGGCTGCCGGAGAGGCAGAACGTGTTCCTCATTCTTCAATAGGACAACAGAGTCACGGGCAACAGCGCGGACGACGGTCGCATGGTCTGCCGTAACGTCGACAGTGGCTTTACCACCATTCCAAGAGCTGAAAGACACCTCCGGGTAGCCTTTATCCTGATCGAGAAGATACCAACCTGCCAGGATACGCGTTGCCATGTCATCTAGACGCGCTTGAGACACAGAGCCATTAGCAACGGCCTGCACGAGATTTGATCCCCAGAATATGCTGCCAGGTGGTGTACTGAAGTCACTGCCAGGCATTGTCATGTCGAGTCCAGCTAAGGCGCTGTTAACGCCAGTGTGCTGCGCGTTCCAGTCTGACATAATGTAGCCGGGGAAACCTAGCTCCTCTTTCATCAGATCATTCAAGAGAGCGTCACTCTCGCAAGCCCAAGTCTCGTTCAGTTTGTTATAGGAGCACATGACAGATGCGACATTGGCTTTGACTGCGTTCATGAACGGCCATACATACAGCTCATGGGTCGCGCGGTCGCCGATGTTAGAACTCATTGTTTCACGGCTGTGCTCTTGCTCGTTCCCGAGCCAGTGCTTCATCGTGGTCAGAACAGACAAAAGGATCAATGAGTAGCGGAGAGCGTATAGCGTACCTTGGCGCAGGCCTGAACGCCCGAATCTTGCATACCCTGGATTGTCTCTTCCATGGCGACTCCACTGAGATACGGGTCGACCGTAAACCCTTCCCAGTTCCTACCACCATCGGGATTCTTTCCTAGGGGTCCAGCGACTGGTCCTAGCTGGACATGGACGCCCAGACCTTTAGCCTCCTTGCCCATTGCAGCGCCGCGCGCGTACAAGAGACTCCGATCCCACGTTGCTCCGGCGTTGATACCCGCGGGAAAGGCTGTGACAGGATTGGCAAAGCGAATTCCCAATGGTGAGTCCTGTAGACATAAGGAAGGATAACCAATTGAGCCGGCGGGATAGGTGTTACCCACGCAGGGTCCTCCTTCCCATCCGACGCCAGTGGCAATGCCGACTTTCTCGGTCTCATTTAGCTTCATAAGGGCTTTTTGGGCCTTTGAGTAGGCCGCGTCCCAACCAGCAGCTCCTGAGCCATAGGCATCAGCGGCAGCACTGAATGCCAAAGCAGAGAGAAGAAGGTTCTGCATAATACCCTTTGCCGTAGATGGTCGGTCAATGAATTCCCCTCTGGTCTGATGGCGCATTTGTAATATTTATAAACTCCCACATAGGATAATTGGGCTTAAATTCCCATGGCCTGAAATACTCCCCCTGGTCCCCAACGCCGGCCTAGGCGCAGATATGAAACCCATGACCAGAATGAAGGGGCTTCTCCCTAGCCAAGGAATCACGAGATTAGCTCCGCATGTGAAGCGACACATGAGGGATTGTACTGTGACACTGAAACATGCAGGTGAATAATAGGGTTAGTCTACCGATGGCCTCGGATCATCGGGGAACCTCCCTTTGATTGGGGAGTGAGACACGGAATGTGGAAATAACTGGGTGGCTATTGTGGAATATAGCCTAAACTTCTTGCTTCTTGACGACAGCTAGACTTGGCACATAATTTGGCAGCTTTAGGCCCTGCAGATCTGTGCTATCTGGGGAAATGTCCGTTGACACCCCGTCGCTGCAGGCTGCCGGGACGGGTCGCCCGTGTCCTCCGTACAGAGTACAGGCGGGACAGTAGCCCCTGAGACCCTTCACCATATTTTGGAGTAAGTTCACAATGGCTTATAATTGGAGCCAGGGGAGTATAATAGGGTTTGTATTAAGCTCGATGGGGATGAGAAGGGTAAAACAAGAGCCAAGAGCCAAGATGGAAGGGACCCCTTGATGCCTCTCTGCCTGAGGCTAAAAATAGACACCCCAGGTGTCCAATTTCAATTCTTACAATCTTTCGATTTGTACCAGATTGCAAACCTGATGATGCTTGTTGTCACAAACTGATATTCCCTAGGCTGATTGCATATAGGGTGGTCGTACCACAACAAATGCTTGACACTTGACTAAAGCGATTGCAAACGTCCAAAAAATTGAACAGAGCTCAATCCATTGCGTTGCAATTCTTCTTTTTGTTTTTATATTCAGTAAAGTATCAGATATCAAATACGCGGGGTCAAAAATAGTCGATGCTGTCAAAGTTTGGTTAAATATATTTCATGCTTCATCCGGCATGAACCTTCTTCTCAAGACCAATATAGACCGCGGGTGTTTTTATTTTCAATGGAAATACTATCCTCGCATTAGTTTCTGAATCTTGCTGGCTAGGTAGAGGATTAATGGTGATGGAAAGCAAATATTGAATTTCTGAGAGCTTTGGTGAATGTGGTAGGAGGGATTTCTTTTTCAAAAATTCCTAAATAGCAATTTCTACCGATTAAGTGTGGCACTACTCGTGGGGTAGTTGTTGAGATGAACCGTTTTGATGCAGGTAGATCCTATTACTTAGATCCTATTACTTAGGTACATAACCATGCTGCCTTTGCGATGATCGCTAAAGTGCAACATACGACTTATCACAGAGTGTAAAACTTAAAACTAACTATTTCATTGCATTCACCAGCAAGATATAAGAGACCCTAAAAACAGCCAGGGGTACATATTTCATCAGAAGTCCGCGAGAAATCCCCTTCCCAGTTGTTATATCTACATTAGAGCCCTATAGCAGCATAAATGATTTTATAGTTGCTTCCTTTCCCATAGACTGGAGTTGCAGAGTAAGGGCATGGATGGTTTGTCGGAAACGCATCCGCTGCTCGCTTTCTTCGGGTCGACCTCTTTCTGCCTCATCATGCTCCTCTTCACTATTCTGCCCTGTAGATCCCGCTACAACGACATGAAGGTAATATCGGGGCTCGTCGTACAAGTTGACGATGTACCGAACTTGAAAATCAAGGATGCACTGGATCCTATAAGCCCTGGAAAACACGGTATCTGGCCTAAGCACTTCCAAAGCAAGGGGAAGTCGCAATTGTAAATTTTCTCTGATGCTCATGATTTGGTGCCTGCACAATGAAGATACTGAGTTCTCCAGTACGTAAGTTTTTTTCCCTTGTTTTCTTGTCACTAGTCCCCGTGGTTATGATTAATTAGAATGACAGTGAGATTGAGTCTATCATTCATGCATTCATATGCAAAGCACTCGAGATTGTCTTCAAAATCGGATCCATGCGAGACAGTAAATAATCGCCTAAGTGGTCTCTCATTTCGATAGCTTTTGCCAATTGGGAGTGTACCTTGTTTAACCTCTTCTTCGGGGCCTACATCCAAGTCAGTGTAATCTTTCCTTTCCTTCCAAACATCTGAATACAGTTACTGACCATATCCAGAAGTGGGTTGCCAAAGATGAGGGGTGCGCACGGTGTCGTAACCATTGTAGAGAGGCTGGTGAAGGTGATTCAACTCAGTCACATGCTACCCTGTAGCTATCAGCGGCTCCTGGCCGGCTGCCCCAGCTACACAACATTGTCACCTTCTCCTCCCCTGAACTTCTAGCACAGCATCATTTTTCTGACCGAATTAGTGCTTCTGGTTACTTGATCTGCCAGGCTGTTACGCTGGGGATGGTCCATCAGGGAATGGTGTAGCAGCCCTCCATGGGTGTGTTTGATAAACGAAAGGACTTTTCCTTCTTTACATTAGTCTCACTCAGAAATGATGTGTTTTCACGAAACGTCGCTCATTGCAGTCACACTTATGATTTGTGATCAAATCCCGAGGAGAGAAAAGTTTGTTGAGTGATTACATTGCTGGTTCGGCCAAGTATTGCTAGGCTACTAGTTTGATAATTAGATATTCCCCTTCGACCTATATCTCAATGCTTTCTTCATGCGGTGAATTTATCCAACTCGGCATTTCATACTACTCCGCTCTTTACATGTCTCATTATCACCTAGCTTCTCACCCTACTACCCTCGTCACTCTATAACCACTCAAGCACTTCCACATTCCGACTCTATAACCCCCTTCTACACATAGTCTGATACATACGACCATAGGGTGTGGAAAACAGGGCTTCCCGTCCGCTCAGCCGTACTTAAGCCACACGCCGGTGAGTTAGTAGTTGGGTGGGTGACCACCAGCGAATCCTCACTGTTGTATGTTTTTGTCATTTCGCCTTGGTGTTTTTTCCCATCCTAAAGTCACTTTTCTGGCCTCACTATTGCGGTTTCCTGTCACCGAATTAAACCCTAGTCCGAGGTAGGCACTCACCGACTAATGGACTGAAGAACAATTTTCAGTCATTATTTTCCCGTTTATTATACTTTCCTCTCCAAGATAACCCCACCTTGCCAAAGCTTTCGGAACTCTTTCTAGAGCCTGATTTTCCCGCGTGGTTCTCAGCCCTGAGTGCTGTCGGGTACTCCCACCCAACAGACACTGAGCTAAATGTAGCCAAGACATCAGATTCCAGGAGAATTGATGAACCTCATGACATCGCTGGGGATTATCATTCCACGCATCGCTATCACCTTGTCGGGGAGTCTCGTAATCATTTGCAGGGTTTACAGCTATTTGATGCCTGAGGCATCCACTCAACAAGAAGTCCCTGGCAAGCGACCCCGGGGCCTTAGGGCCAGATTATGTAAGTTATAACTATGGATATAGCACATAGCTCTACCAATAGAAACCATGCAATCCCTACAGTTTCTCAGTGCTGAGCCCTAGAAAACACGTGAGACGGATTCCCCGCCTGAACGACCCCTCAGTCACAGATAAGACAGCAATGCTAGGGCATTCTCTGAACATAACATAACGTCCCTGATAATGGATGAGCATTGTGCTCTATGCATTTCGTCTGTATTCTGCTACTCCCACAATGAGCCTGGACCTTCTGAACAGGAACTCTATGACCTGTTCCATCAACCATGCTCCGCCTGTTCTGTCATCGACTCTCAGGCAGATTCCCTGTGTGACTTCTGCCAACATCTACGACTGAGACATCTGGTAAGATGCGTGGAACCCGAGACTCGGAGGAGGCTCTTATTTTCTTTGCGTAAGGGGCTAGTAGAAGGCCCTATCATGACTGAATGTGTGCTTTGTCGGTTGGTAAACCATATGATTGTGGTGGGGCTTAGCGCTGCACAATTATCTGAAGTGAGAGAGGCAAACTGCGATATCGTTCTCTACCCCGGACTACCTCAGGACTCGCAACCGGAGGGATCAAGTGTTTTCTCCGCGGAAATTTGGGCCCATTATTCTGAAAGGGGTGGGGAGGCAACGGTTTGGGTTGGCGATCTCCACATAGACGATATTAAAAGTGGTAAGGCATTCCATTCTTCTTAATACGCATAAGATCCTTACAAGAAAATCGAAGTTTCCACTGCTTCTCGCGTTGGAGAGATGATATTCTGGGTCTCTTTGATGAGCAGGATAAATGAATGCTATGAAACACACAATGAGTGCCAGCAGAAAGTCCGATGCAGTCTTCCTCCAGGCTTTCGGGTCATCGACGTGAGTAGACGATGCCTTGTTGAGAAAAGCAGTTGCCGCTTTGTTGCCTTAAGTTACGTGTGGGGCTTGAAACCTCAGTCATCCCTACTTGCAGCCACCCGTGCCACAGTCGATGGGATGAAGAAAGAGGGGGGTCTCCCTGCTTCAAAACTGCCCAAAACAATTGAGGACGCAATTGAAATTTGTGTTCGAATGGGCGAGAGGTATTTGTGGGCTGACAGGCTCTGCATTATTCAAGATGACGCAGATGATATGAAAAATCAAATAGAGGCTATGGGCGAAATATATTCCTCCGCGCAAATTGTACTCGTGGCTGCCTATGGCGATAGTATGGATTTTGGAATTCCAGGCATCGGCGACCCAAGAAAGGCAGTTCAACATAGTGAAGATGTCCTTGATTTGCGAATTACAAATGTGATTCGAGATGTTAAAGATGATCCGCTTGACGTGTGGGCGACTCGCGGATGGACATACCAAGAGGCTGTTCTTTCGAACAGGCGGCTCTACTTTACAAACACTCGAGCCTTTTTTGAGTGTGAACAATTGATCTGCCACGAGGATCAGTTCAACGTCGAACAGAGTCGGAATGAGCTCTTCTCGACCAGGCTGATTATTCCCGAGGATCGTTCCCGTTTTCAATCCTTTACGCGTCATCTTAGGCATTACACCTCCAGAAAGCTCACATATCGGTCTGACGCTCACAAAGCACTGTATGGTATCTCCATGTCGTTATACAAAGGAACTGGCGCCTTTATAAACGGACTACCGGTAGTAGACTTTGACCGCGCGTTGTTATGGTACCCTGAGACTGGTACAAACGTTATAGAGCGTCACCAAACTCAGGGAGAAATCTTACCGACGTGGTCATGGTCATCAGTTATGGGCCTGTTCGATCCAGTCCACTACCGAGCATCGGACTTCTATGGAACTCTAACCCCTTGGTATCACATAAATGGCCCTGTCCCATCTTCTGGTTCTATAGCAGCCTTAAATTCTCACCCTGACTCGGAACCGGATGATGATTGGCAGCTATACATGGCTATTGCAATTAAGGAAGGTTGCGTGGGAGATGTCTCCCTCGATTTCTCCTTGGCAACCGATAACTTCCCGACCGTGCGTGAGCTGTTCAATACCCGCTGGCAAGATTACCACTTATTCCGCAGGGAAGCCATACCGTTGACCATTAAGACGTCTGGATTACCACGTGGCATTTCCACGGAAGGAGTCATAGCAACAAGGTCCCACACTGCACTTCTCAGAGTGACTCCGAGACCTCTCTATTCCTTTGATATCATCAACTCAGAAGGAGACATAATCGGCGACTTCTGCGGAGATGCGGCAAAACTGAGAGAAGAAGCCCTCTCTCCGGGATATAACTCGTGTGCTGAGTTCGAATTTATCGCTCTCTCACTGTCCGGGATCAGACCTATATCAGAGGAGTCTATTCAGAAGAACTATGTTGATGTTGATGGAAACTCGTTGAATAAGGTACCCATCGTGAATGTGTTGATGATTGCCAATAATGGGGGTTTTGCACATCGTCGGGCGCTGGGTTGGATATATCTTATTGACTGGGCCAGGCTGCGGCGAGAGTGGAAAACCATCGTGCTTGAGTGATGTAAGTCGAGCATAGTAGGCGAGGTGTGTCCTCGAGGATACCCACTACGTCATCGGCAAGGGTATTATATTATGAGGAGCCGATCCATTGGTATTCTAGGATCAAAAGAGTCGAAAGTATCATAGCCCAATGAAATAGAAATGTGTAGAGCGCATACCCGTGTGCAATCGCTAGTAGTAAGTGAGCAGCCTTGGTGAGTTGGCCGTTTGAATTATATATAGCTCTAGCTATGACATCGACGTAAAATAGTCGGCCGCTTTAACGGGCTTATGATGTCTTTTTAGCTGGTCTTTTTATATATATATGAATGTGGTAAATAGCATACGTTGTGCAAGAGACCCTTCTATATATAATTGGGGGTTATTTCCCACTAAGCAGTTTTTCTGAAAAATCGGACTCCTTGGATACAACTTGTATGTCATGTCCCACTGGGGGTATATGGGATAAATACTCTTAGATTTCTTGTTCAGTACTTTATTTTTCCAGGTCAACGGCTGTTGTGAGGCCCGCCAGAAGCACCATCAGTGGTGCGGGGTATGTCCGAACAACTGATACTAAAGAGTTCATAGTGTAGTATTATCACGCGACTTCCCATATAAATGAGCTCTAGATTTCATCTCTTGAAATAAATAATTCAGAGAACTTCCAGAGCAAGACTTTGTCAAAGATTTAAAGAAATCCGATTTGGTAAGAATTTCCAGTGGCGCTCCAGGTTTGGGGATTAACCAAGTTGTATGGGAGGGGAATTTTGCTTGCCGAGTTATCCCGCTTGTTTACTCCAAATTTAAATAAATACTAGTAGGCCAGCTTTACTGCTAGAGTTAGTACATCAGACCTTTGCATTAGAGTGTGCTTCAGTACTAGACACACCCACGGTAACGTCCGACAGGTGGCTATTCGGCGGAGACCGATATCCTCAAACAGTCTGCCAAGGTGCCTTGGCAAGATATGGCGTATGTTTATTGGTCGAGACGCTGAAATCATCCCGTGCGGATGCTGACCACCATCAGCAGAAATGTTGAAGGCACCCATGAGCACAGGCGCCACGTGTTTGGGTGAGGGTTGATTTAATAATGTTGGAATACCCCTCCAAGATCAACCCTCCGTGTGCCGCATATACACACCCTCTTCAACTTAAAGGTCAACCTGCACCTTCCTGTATACCTTCAATCAAGTTTAACTTTATCAAGATACTCGGTACATGGCTGACTTCCTTCCTTTTTATTGATCTATATCTATAAGTATTTTCATAGACTGACTGCTTCCTCAGATACACACAACCCTCCTCATGGCTTGTTACGCGCGCTATCAAATGTTTTATAGCTGCGGCCATGGTTTCTACTACACGCAATGGGGGGAAACAACCTGCTTTCACTTAGTTGGTGGGTGCCAACAACATACTTGGCAACGCAACACTGGGAACTGCATGGCGTGTGATGAGGAAGGGTTCGAGACAGTGAGATAAGCTATTTATATAGCCAGGTTGGAATTTTCTGCTCCTGTGATAAGGCTGTCATGATATTTGATGGTAGTGTTGCTCTATGTATCTTGTAGGACACCAGAGAGCCCAAGACTATCATTCACAACCCCCTGACTAATACTAACTACATATAATTCAAATACTTGGATTTTAGGTACTGACAGGCCTTAGCTTTGAATATTTTAAGCAACTTATCCGCATCCCTTGAATCTGATGGCCGGGAATACATACAAAGCGAGTTGGCGTGTATTGATTTATTGCCCTATAGTTAGCAGGTATTAGGTTCAACCGAGGCTTTAATTTTGGAGCCCATCTTCAATACAGAGTGTAATGGCCAGCGCAGAGTGCAATGGCACCAGCAAGTATATTGACATGGGAATAGCTTACACAATGGTCTTTTGGCCGAGTGGAAGAGAGTGCGCCTAGGCATTACCTTTACACAAACCGGCTAAAATAACGTCACCATTGACTGAAACTAAGGCAAGGGGAAAAGAGAATGATGAAAGGGGAGAGTAAGAGGCGAGAAATAAGAAGTAGGACATAGGAGCTAGAAGGTAGAGGGTACACTCCATACAAACATTATATACCTTTTATATACGGGCTTGGGGGTTACAGGTTATAGAAATAGGCTGATTTCATACTCCTTGTAGTAGGTATCTAGTATGTACTATTTGGGAGCACTTTATGGTCCCGACTCGGCGTTTTGGACTCGAGTTCTTGCTTCAGTTGGAGAAGCGCCTGCATAGTTATACACAACTAGTCAGACTGCAACAGGTTAATTGAACTTTGATTGATTGATTGATATACTTTAGAGCTATTATTCTTTTAACCCTTTTTCAAATCGAATCCCCGTTGTAAATCTGCTGCTCTACAATTCTCGCATTAACCTGCAAAACTATCGTTAGCCCCAAGAACTTCTATGACCGAAGACAACTTACATAGCGCGTTCCCAGGTCTGCGATTCTCCGCACACCTAACACTCCCATGCAGGTCCTCGTCTCCTGTGCTAGAACTATTGGAAAGAAAAAGTCACCATCAGTAAACTACCTACAATAAGTGCGGAGATGAAGTACGTACTCTGAAGCGTCCTCTCAACCCCAGCTACACCACCGGCACCAAGACCCCAGAACGCTGGTCGCCCAATACCCACTGCTCTCGCGCCTAGGCACAGCGCTTTCACAACATCTGTCCCGCGTCGAATACCCCCATCAACCATAACTTCCAGCTTCTCCAGAGCCTCTGGGCAGTATTTGCGAATTTCGAGTAGGGTGTGAATAGCAGGCGGCGCAGTATCAAGGACGCGCCCCCCGTGGTTCGACAGGATAATGCCCTTTACTTGCGGAGCATATGTCGCAGCGAGCTCAGCATCCTCATAAGTCTGAATTCCTTTAATTATTATCGGCAGCGAGGTGTGTTTTGCGAGCCATTGCAGCGTAACCTCCCATTCCGCGTCAGAAGCCGGCCCAGAGATCGATGGGATAGCCACTCTAACGTCTGCGCTCGGTGGGGATGGCTCTCCTGGAGCCTCAGTTTGCACCTCGTCGTACTGTTGGAAACCTCTCGGCCCAAGCTCGTGCTTCCCTTGGACAGGCTCGTCAACGGTGAGGACAATACACTTAATCGCGGGTAGCTTATTGATCCTCGCCAGGACGGCCTCGCTCTCAGTGCGATCCGTCTGGACATAAAGCTGAAACCCAAAGACCTGATCAGGCGCGGCTCCTGCAATAATCTCCTCTGGAACCATCGATGCATTATTCGAGATGATATGCATGGCACCAAAGACTCCACACGCGGCTGAAATGGCAGCTTCACCTGTAGGGTGCGCTAGCCGGGCCATTGCCATGGGCGATACGAAAATGGGTAGGCCGACTCTCTGGCCGGTAATTGTCGTCGATAGGTCACATTCTTTCACATTGACTAGAACGCGTGGCCGGAGGAGGATTGAGCGGTAGACCTCTTGGTCCTGCCTTTTGGAGATCAGGTCTCCAGCGGCCGCGTAGTTGAAGGACCAAGCTTTTTTGCTTAAGTGTTTTATGGCAAGGGATTCAAACTCGTCGAGGCTTTGGATTGATTCCATTGAGAGTGCCTCTTTATTCTGGGACTTGGTGTCCTGGGTAGGGTGTTCATCTGCTTTGGATATTCTAGTCATTGTGAATGATAGTAATAGGTAGGGTATTGTCGTTCGCCACGCTTGTGAAAGAAACGCTACTTGGTTAATAATAATAAAATAAAACAGCGATGTGAGCGACAGGGCGATTCAAATATAGTTAGATGTAGGCGAGACCCGAACCGATGAGGAGTCCCGTCGGCTTTAGTCGGCAATCTAAAGCTTCCCGATTAGGAAATTTGTCCGGCGGCTATAGATGCCCCCCACGCGAACGCTGTTGCATAGGAAAATTAGGTTGCCGGTGTACCACGAGATGTTGCAAAGCTAAATACAAGTTCATCACAGATACAACTATGCGAACATGAAGCATATTCACTAAATGAGCGAGAAACATCAACCTCAAGAATGCAGCCACTAACTGCAATGTCTGCCGGGAAAGTGCAAAAGATCAAGCTAGGTTTGGTTCAGAAGCTACAGGTCTCCGCTTCGAAAATGCTGTGTTCGATGTGGACTTTCGCGTCCTGCAAGACGCAGTAGCCAAGGTAAGTACCCCCACGCCCCATACCCCCACACCACCATACCTATGCACTCAAGTACTCCTGCAACCCCCACATCTCACATATACTAAATCCTAGCCACATAGTATGGTGTTGTGGTCATGCGCAGCACTAGTCTGACCGACAAAACCCACCTTAAGTTCGCCCGTAAGTTCAGCGATGCTGATGACGTCACTCCGTATAACCGTGCTGGCCGCGCCGGAAATACGATGAGCTCTTCGATGTCAGCGATGTTCTCTTGACATCGATGGTAGCACTATGGACCAGAACAGCCCTCGGGGTCACACTGAAAAATTCAGGTTGCCTTTGCTTTCTTTTTGGTTCGCAGGTCTAATGCCCAACGCTATGTATGGAAATCTTATCTTCCGTGTCGATTCAAGTTTCAACCTGCATCGGGCAGGACCATCCCTCCTGCTTGTCCACGAGCTCCCGCCTAACGGCAGCAGCGGCGGACTCGCATTCGCCGATAGCAGGGTGACCTATGATGAGCTCAAAGAACGCACGAAGCAGTATTTGATTTACAACGACTTCATCGCTGGGCATTCCCCAGTGCACTAGAAGAAGCTCATCAGCCCAGATTTCTTCGCCGACACCGATCTCAACAACTAACCCTTTAGGCGGCACAGGCTTATTCAGTAGCACGAAAAATCAGGCTGGATGAACCTTTACATTGCCTCGCATGTGCACTATATCGAGGGATTGGAGGCCGACAAGTCACAGGAGCTCTTTGACAAGCTCTACAACCATACACGTCAGGAAAATTATATCATTCAGGTCGACTGGCATGGCTCCAGGACCTTTTAATTTGGGATAATACATGAACAATGTATGGGGCGGCGGCCCGCCCCTTCCTGTATTAACGCAGGCGGGATGCGAAACGTACTATAGTCCATGAGTCGGGTAGCCAGGCTTGGGGGTCGAATGGGCGCTGGAGTATTTTTCTGGGGCTGCCTTGACGGCCAAAATGAGTATACTGGCTGCTGCGGGTGGCTTTCATATTCAAAATTCGAACATTGATAGTTAGTCGAAGCGAAATATATGAAACGCTAGTCAATTTGAAAACATCACAACCAATACTTCGCTCTTCTGGTGTCTTTATCAAACCTTAATACGAAACACGCTAAGACATTTCTGAATTGGCTCAGTTTCAAGTATTAAATTGCACTGGACGGCAAGACAAGCACATTGCGCACATCGGCTCCGAAACGAAAATAGAGAAAGGTAAGAACAAGAAATGAAGAGAAAATTTCGAGGATCTGCGATTAACCCAACTCAGTTGTCATACCTATAGTGGACCAATACACTACCTGGGCTCTGGGAAACCTCGCCAAGGAGCTAGAGTTATCGCTCACGGAGCCTTGAGATACTCTTCACTTTCACTCAGAGATACGGGTAATACGTGCTCTGTATCGCTTCCAGCCATGCTGTAACCTGTAGGAAGGTCTGGCCAGCAAGGTCTACCATCAGCTCTATAGATATCCTCAATATGCTTGCGTTTTTTTTTTTTGAGCCTCGGGAAGTGGAATGGATTTTTTGTATTTTCGTGTTCTCAGAGGCGAAGTTCTAACAGGTTTTGGACCAGATCAGCTGGGGCGTAAATGAAGAGAATCCCAATTTTGATGGACAAAGACCACCCACTCCGGATGGCGCCTTTGATCTAGAATCACAGGGTAGGCTCATAATTATATCGGGTTCTAGGCATATTCCAAACTAAAAAGTCATAAATTAAGGAGACGGCCTTATGACCGGAACGATCTCACAGGGACTTGGACTCCTCCACACAATCGCTGTTCAGACCAAAAACCATTCTCAACTAGTATCGATCATGCAGTCAAAGCTCACCCTCCATCCAGGTTAGTTTCTCGGGGGAAATGTTTTAGGTGGCGCGGCACAGATCAAGCGACGCTTAGAAGCACCTTCTGATCAAGATTTGAAGGAGGAGCAACGGGTCCCACTGCCATTCCGTGGTGATCGAGTTCCCAAGACCCACCTGACGTCTATCCTCCACTGACATGGACACTTATATGGGGAGGAACTTACAACAATGTAACCGGACCGTGGCTTACTAGATTTATGGGTGAAAATGGCCTGCAGCATTAGGGATATGTCATATGCGACGGACGACTAAAGAGCGTTGGTGCAATTGAGATTCTGACCAGACAAATGAGGGAAGCGCGGGGGGAAGAGGATCCACGGTACCATGTTTACTAGGGGCAAGCAAAACTGAAACTAATAAATACGAACTGTCTTCGTCCTCAAAGCCTCAACATAAGAGTTACTCATATTAAGGATTGCTTTAGCCCGTGAGCATTTTGTATTCGCTCGAACAAGTCTATCCTGTAACGCAAGTTGGCTTGGCGGGCTGTTTGTAGCTAAACCCTGAATGTTGTAGCTGGGATAGAACTCTGTTTACTCTTAGGTGATCCTAGGTTTTATTGGGCTGTGTGGAAGACTACTCACTGTTGTATGTTTTGGTTTTGGTTCCTTTTTAGATATAGATTGACAGAGAGATATATATAGATAGATAGACGCTCTAGAATGGCAGGGTTATTTTTAACCATGCAGGTATCTTCAAATGGAAGTTGTATGCAGGATTGACTTGACGATATCCACTTCTGTACCTGTTCATATCCCACCTTGGTCTAGGTGGTGGCGTTATGGCTCCATTACTGCTCATCTACATGATCCATCTTCATGAGATCTAATCATGGTCATCTGTTGGTCAATGCAGCACCCAAGGCCATCGTTCTGTTGGGTTCCAGGTACTGTCAGGCAACCGTTTGTCGCTAGAGAAATTCTGCCGTTGCGTCAGAGAAGACTATATCCTTTATAGCCACCTATGTGGGGGGAATTTCATTGGCGAATAGTAATTTGAAAGAATGCTTGGAATTGGAATAATCTAGAAAAGGGTATTGAATGAATATGGTCTATGATGGTAGAGTTTGCTCTTTCGCCTCCGTTAAATACGTGCTCAATTTTAATGCGGGGCGAATAAATTTTGCCTCTCACCGCCACGAAGGGCCTATATCTCCTCAGATGCCCCGCATCTTTTAATTCTCTTCATCAACACCTCGTGACTCCCACTTTCTTTCAAAATGTCTAAGATCTACGTCGGGTATGTCAAAAACCATCTAATCTTGATGCTGAAGTGACACTTTATACTGACAATCTTACTAGAAACCTTTCATGGCACACCAGCGACGAGTCGCTGCGCGCGGCCTTCGGTGAGTTCGGCAACATTGTCGACTCTGTACGTGAAAATTCCCAAAATTCCCAATTTTCACTTCGAGCAATGACACTAATCTTTTCATCTCTAATAGATCGTCATGGTTGACCGTGAGACTGGTCGCTCCCGTGGATTCGGTTTCGTCACCTTCTCTTCCGCTGAGGAGGCCGAGGCCGCCATCAACGCTCTCAACGAGCAGGAGTATGTTTTCATCCCCTCCCCCTTACCGAATACCACAAAACACAAAACACAATTTTCTAACCCTACTCTAGCCTCGATGGTCGTCGCATCCGCGTCAACCTCGCCAACGCCCGCCCCAGCGGTGGTGGCTTCGGCGGTGGTAACGGTGGTGCCGGTGGTGGCCGCTGGTAAATGTTGATCAGTGACCCCGAAAAAGTGCGCGATGGTTATGCAGAACGAGAAAAAAACGTGATATATTGACGCTTAGCGTTGGTGACGGTGCTTTGTGTGCCCTGAGAAATCAGTCACAAGGCAGTTACTAGAGTTACTCAAGAAGTAGATAGTATTTTCCCTCGGTGTTTCATATACCTCAAGGACATTTGGAATCCATTTCAGAAGCCGATCGATTCGTGCACTGATTTACACCAATTTTTGGTTTTTCCTTTTTTTTTTTTTTTTTTCTGTAAATTTTTTTAAAGAGACTATTGTGCCCAACTTGATGCAAGGCTGCCATGAGGCTGGAGTTATGTTTGAACTATTGGCCGGAATGTAGTCTCAAGTACATGATATCATAAGTGGTGTCACATCAGCGTAGCAATTGTAAACCGAATATGGCGGAATACACAATCCTGCGTGTCCTCGCATAAATTTTTTCGGCTCCGCTCTGAAAATTTCAAAATGTCAATCAGCGCATGACATGTTGATATCGTTGGGTTCCTCGGAAGACTGTTCACCCAACTCAACCTTCCCTGCTTGATATGTGAGCTCTTCTTAATATCCAGCCTGTAGTCTGCACATCTTCGCGTAAAATAAGACTCAGATGAAGCCACATTATGGCGAAAAAAATCTCTAGACATGCCACAATCATCGTTCAAAGGCCCCTAGTGAGACCCCTTGCTTCTGAGCCTCTTCCCTTAAGTTTCAGCCTCATACAAACACAGACCAAGGCTCTGTTACGCTGCCTAAAAATAGTATCTTGAACATTGTCGACGTCATTGGCCAATTGCTCCCAAAAATGATGCCCCGCGGCTCAGCCACCTGGACCCACCGCCACATCGTGCTTGTTCACTTTATCAACAAAGAACAACCTCCGATCATACTCACCATATACACACATCACAATATACCAATCCACAAACATGGCACCCCACGAAGGCCTCGTTCACCCAAAAGAATACGACATCAAAGATAGCAACGTGGAGCTAATCGGCAGCGACCTCGACCACCGCGTGAAGTACAACTCAGCCCTCACCGAACCCGCCTGGCAGAACATCGGCCAAGCACCAGGCCTCACAATCTGGCGCATCGAGAACTTCCAAGTAATCCCCTGGCCGAAAGAAAAGACCGGCCAATTCTACGACGGCGATAGCTTCATCGTGCTACACACCTACAAAGTCGGCGACGACAAGCTCGGCCATGACATCTTCTTCTGGCTCGGTAGCAAAACAACTCAGGATGAAGCAGGTGTCGCGGCTTACAAGACAGTCGAGCTGGATGAGTTCCTAAACGGCGCTGCAGCACAACACCGCGAGGTCCAGCAACACCCCTCGGACGAGTTCCTCGCCCTGTTCCGGAACTACTCCATCCGGTCTGGCGGTGTGCGTTCCGGTTTCACGCATGTTGAGCCCGAGGATCGTGTGGAGGTGACTACGCTCCTGCGGGTCTTTAAACATCCTGGAATTGCGCGTCTCGACTCGCTGATCGTGCATGAGGTCGAGCCTACGTGGAAGAGTCTGGATGAGAATGATGTCTTTGTTTTGGATAAAGGGGATAAGATTTGGGTTTGGCAGGGGAAGAAGTGTAGCCCCATGGAGAAGGCTAAGGCGGCACAGGTGGTTAATGATATGACGCAGGCGAAGCATGTTGATGTTGAGGTTCTGTCACAGCTTGAGTCCAGGTCGAAGATTTTTGTTGACTTGTTGGGTGGGAAGGAGGCCGCTCCGTCTACATTGGAGGCGCCTAGACCTGGGCGATTTGCGAAAAAGGGTGCTGATGAAAGTACTCGGTCGCGCAAGCTTTTCAGACTCAGCGATGCGTCTGGAAACTTGTCCTTTGATATTGTTAAGGATGGGGGACGGGTTGATCGGTCTGACTTGGATGGGAATGATGTTTTCCTTTATGATACTGGGAACAGACTCTGGGTTTGGCAGGGATCTGGGGCTAGCGCCAGTGAAAAGGCGATGTGGCTCAAGGTTGCCCAATTCTATGTTCGGAAGATTCAGGAGAGCCAGGAATCTTCGGAGGCATATCTCACGCCGATTTCGAAGGTTGCCCAAGGTCATGAGAGCCCGGCATTCTTGAAGGCTTTGGAGGTTTAGACATGTACATATATCAATACTGTGACATATAAATGAAATAATTGATCATGATCTTATAATTTCATCCGTGCTTCATCTAGAGATACAATGTCTATTTTCATATGTTTTAGAACAGACTGTGATCCTGCTCCCCCTTATCCAATGCATCGGCCTGTTTCCGTAAAACATCAGCCCGAAATCTCCTGAAAGCAGTTTCAATTCTCTTCTTGCTCTCCGGATCCGCATTGATACTCCTTGTCCCTTTCGCCGCACCACCAGCAAAGCCTATACAACACAGTCCGTTAGCAAATCCCCCAACACCTAATCCTCACAACATCAAGAGTGATCTTACCAAGCTCTCCACCCAAAAATAATCCTCCAGCGGAAGCAAAGAAATAAGTGGCGACATCACCCAAAGTAGTGGGCTTCAACAACGGCGTGAGGTCAGGAATAGACTCTAGAGACACAAGTTAGCCACACCTTAATTTTTCAAACCTCCAACATCGCAAAGAAATAACATACCGGTCCTCCCATCCTCAAAAACAACCTTTGTAGGCCTCTCCTGCGCACGAATAGCAGAGAAGAACGCCTTGCGCGTACTGCGCAGTCGGATGGCGGCTAGGAGACCAAGACTCACCCCGACCGCAGAGCCAACTGTTGTCCACAGGGAGATTGAAGATGCTGCTGCGTTGAGCTTGTCCCGGTCAGCGGATTGGAGGTCGTGTTGGAGGTGTTCGTCGGCGAGCTTGGCTAGCTCGTCGGAGCGGCGTTGGCGGAGGATGGCGAAGGATTCGGACATTTTGAATTCGGATGGCTCGGAGAAGAGAAGGGGGTTAGGAGTTCTTCAAATTGGGAGGTTGTTCAGAGGTGTCAAGGAGTAGCAGCTTGAAATAATCAGGTCCTGAGCTTCCAACTTTGGAAGCTTGGAGCTCAGGTGGTGACGTCATGCTGTCCTAGGTCGGAATCTAACTTGGAAGTTCAACTTCCAAAGTCGTTCGAGAGACAAAGCACAAAAGATGATTCAATTACCTCCTCCAGTTAGGTCACCCTATCAGGGTTGAGCCACATTTGGGGGCTCTTGGGGTTAACCCATCGCTGTCACTCACATGTTGTTCTCAGTCTGAAGTCAGAACATCTACAATTGATTCCACGCCCACCATTCGCGCACATTTTATCTGATCTAAGTCAAGCTATATCATTATCGTGCCTAAACATCCATGCAATAACAGCTACACACCTATAACTAACCAGGATCCTTTCCCCAGCTGACGTCAGATTCAGCCTCAACCACCGATATAAGTACAAGCCCAACCCCATCAACCAACCCCACCATCACCATCCCTGAACAGATCCAATCCCAAATAAAAACTTCAAGATGGTCCGTTTCCTCACCGACAAGCGCGTAGCCCCAACCCCAGCCACCAAGCCCGAACAAAAACAAGACCTCCTCGTAATCGGCGCCGGCCTTCCCCGCACAGCAACATCCTCCCTCCAAGCCGCCCTGGAAGAACTTAACCTAACCCCTTGCCTGCACATGGCGCAAATAATCCCCCACACCTCACGCCAAGAACTCCTCATCGCAACCACGCACATCAAAGACACCGCAACACGGCAGAAACAACTCCACACTCTAGTCTCCGGCTACGCCGCCGTCTGCGATATGCCGGCTATATTCTTCCTCTCAGATTTGATGGACATGTACCCTGACGCACGGGTAATCCTGACGACGCGACCTAACGCGGAGACATGGGCGGAGAGTTGTCGTGAGAGTCTTGGGTTCTTTTTTACAAGGTGGTTTGCTGTTCTTGGGTTGCTTTGGGGGACGGAGAGACTGTGGTACAGACTTAATATGAGGATTCTGGAGTGGTGTAGGGAGAGGTTTGGGGCGGAGGAGGATATATTTTCCCTGGGGCTTTATGAGAGATATAATGAGTTTGTCCGGGAGGTTGTTAGGGAGCGTGGAAAGGAGCTTTTGGAGTTCAAGGCTGAGAATGGGTGGGGGCCGCTTTGTGCTTTTCTTGGGAGGGAGGTTCCTGGGACGGATTTTCCGAGGGTTAATGAGAGGAAGACTTTTGCTTTTATTAAACGGGTTCTGGTTTTGAAGGGGGTTGTTAGTTGGATGGTGCTTGGGGGGTCGGCTTGGTTAGCATGGAGGTATGGTCTGGCTTTATTCTTATACCTAGTTGCCTCCTTAGGTATATAGCCTGTATGCAAGACTGTTAGGGATTGGGATGAATGATTTAGTATATTTTAAATTGTTTTTGGCTATTTTTGATATTTTGTTCCATATCATGTCATACATAACAGAAACCGATGCAAACTAGGTAAGGTTAGCCATGTTCAAGACATACAGGGAAGAAGTTGCAACGTACTTATGATCATCTGGAATGCAACAGCCCAGATATGCCACTCGTATGATCGAGACGAGCTGTTTTTAACTTTCTTTATCGTAGGCTGAGGCGGGGCCGTGTATGCAGGCAGACTCGGATCAGCGGTGCTATCATCGAGTAGCTTTTCACGGGCTTTGCTGATAGCAGCAGTGCCCGTCGAGGTCGGATTTGGCGCCTTGAGGAGGCCTTCCTTCTCAGCTTCTTGAATGGCCGCCCACCACACCGATGCCATTTCCTCGTAGCCAGCGGCTGTTGGATGAATGTTATCGACAAGTTGGTTCCACTGAATGAAGGTGCTCATATCAGCTATGACGAGGCTTTCATTTCGCGCTCGGCGTTCCGCTGCAAGTTTGAGGTATTGCGTGCTGATATCTGTGCCTAATTGGGGCTTCTTTCCATTGAATGTGAGGGTTGATAGGATGATGGTTGTGTCGGGGATGTTGTCGAAGAGGTATGTTAGGAGAGAGTCCATCCGCTTGCCAGCGGTTTTTACTTGGTAATTTTGTAGAGCATCATTTGTGCCAGCGCTGTGGGGGATATGTTAGTATGCGAAGAGAAGATGTTTGTATCGGCCATTGGAGACCCACTTGATGAGAATTAGGTTAGGTTGCTGTGGGATGATTAGTTTGGCATGAGACGCTATTTGGTCAATTCTCCAGCCAATGTGTCCATCGTGGTCCTAGGAAGAGTCAAAATATATTCTTTAAAACAATACAAGAAGCAAGAACCGGATAACTCACATTATCATGCATGGTGCCACTCTTCATAGTGCCAACCATGTCAACATCCCACCCAGCATAGCGCAATTGCTGTCGAAGCCATTTCCGATACCCATTTCCATCTTTCGATTTGTATCCCCTGGTGATAGACGCACCGAGCGGCAGGATTCGCAGCGCAAACGGCTTTGTGTCACGGGCCTGAAGCGCGGGAACATCGGGGTCCGCAGACTCCATATTATCATTGGAAATGGTAGGTGATGCCGATACCAATGTCAGCCATAGTAGACAAGCCTGGACAACCCAGAGAATGGGCGTCGACTGCCTCATAGTGACTGGGGACTGTGGACTGTGTAGAGGTAGTTTTGCAAAAACGGCAAACGGGGAATCCCCATTTTCTTATATTTACCATCCGAATAAATTTTAACGTCAGATCCGAGCGATCAGATGTGCTTTCTAAGCCTCTTGATTTGCCGGTACGTTTTGGGTCAGCTAATTTAGGTCCACTGGGGGGTGGCTGGGCCACAACTCAGGGGCGATCCCACTATCTAAGCCTCAGACAACCTCAAACCTTTCAGACCCCTGGCGATCTCTGAGACGAGTCAATTTGATTTCATTGTTCACCGTTCCCTAGCGCTGACTTGAGTTATATTAAAAGTTATATTAAAAAAAAATGGATTAGGCAGAGAAGATGATGTTTTATTGAAGGCTGGTCGCGCACGATATTTACTATTCCCAATTGAGGTTAGTGTACGAAAGGCATCAACTTTTCCCTGAGACTTTCCAGGGTCTTCCCCCACGTGTGATTGGAGTAATTTCCACATTACAACGTGGTTTAACCTTATCAACCACTGGCTACAACTTACTATACTTCCATTGCATGCCTAGAAGCCAAGACTTTACCGCGAGGCTTGTATAATCCTTCTTCTCACGAATCAACAGGACTCATCTCGGTTACGATTTCGGCGCCCGCGAAAATTTTGTCTGAGACACCATGGCATCGACCCATGGCACACACCCGTTCATGTGAAGTCCAAATATAGGGCATCCTTTGGTGACCCAGGCGGTTTGTCGGGTATTATTGCTGCGTAATTCTCTAGCGCGAGTCTATTCAACGCATGTCTCGTATCGTGGAGGATAAGGTGCGCCCCATCGCTTAGAGGTGAAGGGCTTGCCTATGTCTCCCGAGAACGCATGGAGGTTCATACAAAGGAATCCGGGGCTAATTTCTGGGTTTACGGCAAAATAATAATACGGAATAGTGCCTGTGAAACACTGTGCAAACCACCTTGGGGGAGTGATTTCGTCGGACTCTTTGGAAGCGGATGCTGCGATCAGATGCACCGTGGTATGAATATGGCTTGACTCACTTGACTAATTTGACACCTGAGATGCCGTGCGCCCGTTTCGAGGCCGAGGTTACATCTGTTGGGTTCATACTCCATATTCCGCACAGTGAGGTACTCGAGGCTGCAGTCATCCCGAGATAATGGACACATGACCGACTATCTTTAGATTGCTACAGTTATCGCAGGCCTACGACTTAGCAGCGAAAAAAAAATTAAAAGAAAAGAGTTAATTTAACTACGGAGTACGGAGTAATGGCTTCCCGTTACCCTGCGTGAGAAGCATATCCCCATTGGCGCCACCGCAATGCATATGCCGCTTTAGAAAGAAGACGAATTCTAGAACTATGACACGGGCCATGGCGACATCTTTTCCCTAAAATCTTTCATGTTGTACACATGATTGAGGCTCTTAAAATTTCTGCGTTGGCAGCGCCATGGCCCCAATGAGGGTACACACATTATCCCTCGGACCCCGCGGGCTAGTGCGACTCGGCCGCGTGACGATGTACTCTTACAAAAAAAGCAACAGTGTGTACGGAGTACGGAGTAGCTCGGGAAGTGATCAAGGAAACGGGACAATCCAAAACCCCTAGTTTTGCCAAGGCAGTACTGCGAGAGGACTACTCCGTATAGAGTAGAAACATAGAAACAGAATGATGTTGCCTTGAAAGGAAACTATGTCCCGCATAAGCTAGGGATCCAGTGTAGCACAACTTTGGCAAGAAGGCAAGTTTTCGCTGAAATTAAAAACATTTATTGATCACGAAGCAAATTCTAGGCTAAGTAGAATAAAATATCACACTTTCACTTCGGCGGATTGTGATAGAAACACAAGCGATGCGCTGGGGTGTTATCACCAACAATGTGATGTGTCACGGCGGTTAGCCCCTATAATCATAAAGGAACATTGGACTTGACTTGAAAAGTTATATTTCATTCGTAAAGTTCCATATATAACATAGGCGCTGTATCAAGAAGACTTCGAATGATGAGCTTCTGGCGGGACGGAGCGCGACAGTCTAAACATTGGAGAGAGCCATGTGCCCGCATGGGATAGATAACCTTCGATCAAGTACCCAACATTATGGCCATAATGCGTACCTCGAGAGTAATTTTGTGAGATTCTTCAAAAGTCATTGTTGTTATATAGGNTCATATAGCCCCCCCCCCCCTTTTCTGGCTCATCACACACAACCCCGCCCTTGAAATCCTTCCAAATTAGCATTATTGCCATTGGACCCTGCGCACTTACAAACATGCGGTAGTAATAGTTCGATTCACAAAGTTGGAAGCCATCTGAGGTATATATATGTGGGATTAATAAATATTTGAACCCACCAAAAGAGTGTGATCGGGTGTTATAGGATGAAGATCATGTAGCCGGCACAGAAAGAATTGACGTGAACCCCCAACTCTCTTATACACGTCTCAGCATTTCGTTGAAGATAACCGACTTCAACATACAGTATCAAACCGCGGACGTGGTGAATATTTATCGTTGAGAAGCACGCCCATCACCGCTAGCGCCACTAATGTACGAATGATAGCAGAATCACTGCAAGGTACCTTTGGTTAGCAGTCCTGCATTTCTATCACATCTCAACCCCACACTAGAACAGTGTAGTGAACGTGGTTGGACTTGATCAATCTTGAGACCAATCACACTTCACTTAAACAAGACTTAGGTGGCCAAACAGGGGGATCGAGGAGCTAGGCGACTGCGGCAGCACCCGGTGTTCCGCCATCACACATAAGATCCGGGTCTCTCGCTCGTATTCACAAATTTTTATCTCTTTAGAATGTTATTCAAACAAAATCGATGGAGTTGAGCGATGGGACTGCCCAAACAGCTGTCGCATGCCAAGGGGCTGCCGAACGGTACGGACCGCAGCGATAGCCCAGGAAGCCCCTCAGGACCACGGCTGTTGAACCATGATGAAGTTCCCTTGTGGTATAGCCATAATCCATATATTTGGACTAGCTATAGACCAGTAATGCCGTCAATATTTCAGTGTCTGTGCAGCTTGCTGCACCTTCACAACGAAACTGTGAATGTTTACTCCTATCTCGTCCCAGCCACTATAGCTTTGCTGGGCAATGGAGTTCTCCATGCTCATTTCTCGACCTCTTTCCCGGGCGCTATCTGGGCTGATCAGCTTGTTTTTCATACTTACTTGACAGCCTCCGTCATTTGTTTTGGTATCTCGTCTGCATACCACACTCTCCTTTGTCATTCTGCCCGTTTCGCGGACTTTTAGGTTCGCTTGGATTATGTTGCTATTGTGATCCAAATTCTCGGCTCATTTATTTCGGGGATATATATTGGCTTCATTGGTCAATGGTTTGTTCACAATTCTTTCATCCTTCTATCGCTCATGGAACTAACTTTATTGCGTCTAGATCGGCACTCTAGGCTTCATGACAGGATTTGTCGTGGTGCATCCCCAATTCCAAAGCCCAAAGTGGAGACTGTTTCGGGTATTGGCCTTCGTGGCGACGGGACTTACGGCATTTGCTCCGATCATCCATGGTGTCAGTATCTTCCCTTATCAGCAGCTAGATCAACAAACCGGATTGCGATATAATATCTTGAAGGACTTGTCATCGTGGTCGGAGTCTTGTTTTACGCGGTGCGTTGCTTGGTGGGATGGGCTTAGGCGGGATCATGCTAATTGGTGGCAGACGCATTTCCCGGAGTCATGGAAACCCGGAAGGTTTGATATTTGGGGATCGTCTCACCAGGTATTTCACATTTCAGTGGTGATTGGAGCGGCTATACATTTGTATGGGATCTTGGTTGCTTTTCAGTGGAATTATGAAAATCAGCGATGCAAGACTAGTTGAGGAGATATGATATCCGGTGGGTTGCACATGCCACCTTCCAAGCTTGACAGCGGGTCCCCTCGACACGGCACTGGGCCCATACCCAAATCTGGAAAGAGATCAACTATGTTGTACATGACAATGTGCATAATATCCTTGAGCCCTAACATAAGTACAACATACACCGTTGAAACGATATAAGTTTAGCTTGGCCGGATACATCCGAGAACCCCCCCGCCCCTGGTCATTTCCACTTGCCACGTTTTTTTCTCTTTCTAGTCCAAAACACAGAACTATGGCGGAAAAAATAGCTGTCGTGAGTTATTAAACTGCAGTTTCTGACATGATATCTAACACTGCCAGGATTCAAATTACTACGCTCTGACCCAAGACTGGGAACCCGAAGACTTCCAGTCGTGAGTTGCCAAAATGATTCCCACAGCATTCAGCTCTTTAACGGTGTCAGGGAAACTACGTCTATCGCCTCGTCAATAGCGAAGGGTCGGTTGGAAAATGGCAGAAGGTGAGTGAATCAACGCAAACAGTAAATACATGCGCCCTTGCTAATACTACGAGCAGATACCAGGCTCTGAAGGAAGATGACTATTGGTCGGTCGCGATGCTTCAATGTGGGAGAATCGGGGCTAATGTTGTCATACAGGAGTCCTTCCGATGAACAGCAATTCGAAGCTTTTGAGATTGGGTAAATACGCGATTTTTTCCTTCGTCTGTTGGTCTGGTCGAAGCAACAGCTAATATGTGATATTCAGTCATATGATGTTTCTTGTGTTAGACCATGACCGAGAAAACCCTCTTCACCACGCTCCCATTGGCAAATCTCCTCAGGTAAGATATTGATATAGATTGTGATTATTTACCCTTGCTAAGAGTAAATACAGCACATTCTGGATATTGGCACTGGTAAAGGAACATGGGCTATGTAAGGTCCTACCCATCCTCTTTAATTAACTATTGCTCACATTCACCTAGTGATATGGCGGATATGTATTCATCTGGTACGTAATCTCCTTCAATTCCCTTGAGCCAATTTTGGCAGTCTAACAAGTTTCAGCAACTGTCCGTGGCGTCGACATCTTCCCCCCTCCGGTGACATGGATGCCACCCAACTGCGTACTCGAAGTAGATGATGTCCTCCGCGAATGGACCTGGAGAGAACCATTCGACTTTATCCACATGCGCCTCATGCTGGGAGCATTCACACCCGACGGATGGGATCAGTTATACAAGCAGTGCTACGAGTGAGTTCCTTCTCCACATTTTACCCCTACGTACCAAACAACTGTATCTAACCATCACGCTATCCAGCTCTCTTACCCCAGGCGGCTGGATCGAACAGATCGAACTAGATGTGCGAGTATATAGCGACGACGGCACCCTGAAAGAAGACGGTGTTCTAGCCACATGGGGAGATAATTTCATCGGCTGCTCTGAGCGAGCCGGCCGCTCCCTCCTAACGCAAGAGACAATGCGAGGCGCAATGGAGAAGGCTGGTTTTGTCGATGTGCAAGAAAAGCCATACAAGATTCCTTTGGGGCCTTGGCCGAGAGATAAAGTTCTCAAGGAGGTCGGGCAGCTTCAATACGCTCACTGGGTCGCGGCGTTGGAGGGCTGGGCTATGTGGCTGCTCACCAAGTTTGGTGCGCCCACTCCCTGGACTCAGCAGGAGGTCCAGGTGTATCTATCGAAGGTTCGGGCTGAGTTGAGGAATCCTCGGACACATGCCTATGAATATGCGTGAGTTTCTGATGTCAATCCTCCGAGAGGTTATATTTGCTGATCAAGTTTAGTCGCCGAGTCTGGGCTAGGAAGCCTACGGCGGAGGAGGAAATGGCCGATTCACCGGTTAAGATCGAGCCTGAGCTTTGAATAAGGCTTCTTTATCGAAGGGACTACCGAGGATTTCTGGATTTACGGGCATGGCTTTTGTGATAGCGAGTATATCTTTGGAGGATGCTTTCTTCTTTGAGTCCTGTTGAGCATATTCGTCTCAGGCTACGACATGATTTTATATGTATATAGTAACAGCATCTGCGACTATCTTTCGATTTGTCAATCAATTTGTTACAATTCAACCCCGGTTGTTTGCTTCACGATCATTCGAGCAGCTTTCTCAAAGTCGGCTTCTACAACCAAGTTATCCAACCCAGATTGTTCGATCTATAATTGGGATTAGCCGATGCTATAAAAATCGACAATTCTCCTTACCAGCTTCAATCCCTTTTCGGAATTAGTCCCCTGCAACCGAACCACAACGGGGCATTTGAAACCCCCCATCTCACTAGCAGCAGCAACAATCGCCTCAGCAATCATATCACATCGCACAATACCTATCACCGATCAGCTATTCCATTGCCCCACTGTATACCTGTATACTCACCACCATAAATATTGATCAAAATCCCCTTAATCCTCCGATCCCTCATCAAAACCCCAAAAGCCTTTGACAAAGTCTCCTTCGTCGCCGCACCCCCAACATCCAAAAAGTTCGCACATTTCCCTCCATACAAACTAATAAGATCATTAGTCGCCATCGCCAACCCAGCGCCATTAACAATATTCCCAATATTCCCATCAAGCCGCACATAACTCAGCCCCATTTCTGCCAACTGATGTTCCTCCTCTTGTTCCGGCGATCGTTCCTCCAATGCAAAGATCCCCTCCTGTCTATACCGCGCCGCATTATCAAACCCGAACTTAGCATCCAGACAAATGAACTCCCCTTCCTCCGTACGCACCAGCGGATTCAACTCAAGTAGTGTCGCGTCTTTCTCCTTGAACAACTTGACCATCCGCACCAGGATCCGGTGTATATCCTTCATCTCGAGATCCGAGAATCCAAGCTCGGCTTGGATATATGCATCGATCTCGTCGGTGATGCCGGTCGAAAGTCCGAACCAGAGTTTGTGCAGCTTGTCGACGTTTGATTCGATATCCGTTCCGCCGGATGAGGAGATTAGTAGTACTGGTGAGGCGTGCTGTCGATCAAATGTCATTGCGAGGTAGAATTCCTGTGCGATGGACATAGCTTTGTAGATGTAGAGCTTGTCGACGCGGAGTCCGTCTTCTGGGGTTTGCGCTGTTGTTAGGTAGTACCCGAGCATGTTGGTGGCGCTTTTGAAGGCTTCATCTGGTCTGGTTGTGTTACATTTGGGTTAGTTGTGTTTGTGTTTGGGATTGGGATTGGGATTGAGATTGGGAATTTAGAGAACTGACGAGTAGACCTGACGGACGCCGCTTTTACCATCGCTGTTGAATTTGCCTTTGCCGCGGCCACCAGCGAGGACTTGGGCTTTTATCATTGATGGTCCATCTGACGGGATGTTGGTTTCGGTAGCACGGGGAACTGGAGAGGATGGTGTGGACTTACTTATCACAGAGACAACATGCCTGGCTTGCTCTGGGGTTGTAACAAGGAACCCCGGTGGAACTGGTAGTTTGAACTGGGTTGTATTAGTATAGGGCTTGCCTTGTACAAAGGGATATATTACTTCTTGGAGTAATTTGTGGGAGTGGTGTTCAAGTAGACTTAGATGTCGTACTTGGGCTCTGAGGGGCGCACAGTGCTGCACTATGATTAGTATATCTTTCTAGATCACCGGTATATTGTACAAACCCGCTGGAAGGTGCGCGCAATGGAGCTCCAGGTAATCATCGTAGTGTATATGTTTTTTTTTGTGCTAGGGTATCAACTCTGAATGAGTGTCTTGAGGTTGAATTCATGACTGTTGGTTTGGGTGATGACATCAATATCTCCAAGTTTGGCTGGTTTCTGGGGTTAAGTTTTCGGGTTAAGTTTCCGAAAGTTTATTTGACAGCATTGCGTGATAATTTATCGAGTCCATTTTGGAACACGACATACTGTTCTAAATTAATATGATCTTGGAACGGTATTCAAAAATAAAAAATAAAAGACTCTCTCTCTCTCTCCGTCTCTATACTCCCCCGACTCTCTCAGTCAGCTCAATGCAGAACATATTGATCTACCTTCTCGGGCTCTTTGCTGTTGATAGATTTTAGTTAGAATTACATACCACTATTTATTACCATACATGATCGAACCACCGGTTTTTGTCAATAAGCCACATTAGGCTCCGTATCCTTCAAGGCGCGAACCTCTTTATATCGCCGGGATATCTTTGCAATCATGTCCTGGATCTCCTTAGCCGCCAAAAACTTGAATCCAAGTGTCTCGAAAAGCTGTGTCGCGAGCTCGAGGTCGGCGATAGCTCGTGTGTTTCTCAATACGGTGCTTAAGTCATCAGGCTGAGCCGTTATCGCATAGACTAATGACAACGTTGCCGTGAAGAGAGCGAGAAAATTCAACCAGTTGTAGGCAAATCGTTGTTGCTGATGCATGCTGAATGCTTGGCGGAGTGACATTGACGCTGCCATCTCCAGCATTTTTATCCGCTTCAAGTCGGAAACCGGACATAGCGGGGATGGTCGGTAGATCATCGCGAGGTGGGTATAGTAGTTGAAGTCATACCAAGTTGTGTTGAGATGTGGCACACTGTCATTGATGTCGGGGAGTGGGAAGGGCATGCTCCGACGCCAGTCGAGAAGCTCTTGGTGTAATGAAGCTAGTATTGCCTCACGCTCTTGTAAAGTCAAGGTTGTATCCTTGACGTTTCCGTAGACTTGTCGCGAAATTTTGCCTGCAATTCTCCGCAGTGATAGAATGTGTAGTGGAACGGCCATCAGTGATGGCTGGAGGGGGCTTTGGGGGCTTATGCAGTCGGCGTGTATAAATTCTTCATCGGCATCTTCAAAGGGCTGGTCGCACTCAGTAAGGCATGTTTCAAGAGAGTATTTTTCGGTTTATTCACACAAAGGTTGGACTCACCGTTACATCTATATCGTCGTCATGAAGTGCGAACGGTCGGCCTAAAGTAATGGAAACAACACTGAGTGTTGCCATTAGCCGCGTGAATTTGGATAAGAGAGGGAGAAGGAGAAGTGATAGGATGAACCTACCGATCCATCATGTATATTGAAAAAAAAATTCGTTTGCGCCTTTGTTGCACATTAAGAGGAAATTTGCGATATGACGAGGCGGCATGAAGCCCCATACCCAAGGCCAGACGGGCAGCTGTGCCAACAAGGAACCAGGTATCTGCTTCCGTCAGTGCCTGGAATATCGGTCAACTATTCATCACTCACTAGGACCTAGTTGATTGAAAAAGGAATAAGAAACCTGGAGCGTTATGGCTTCCAGGGTAGACTAGGCTCCCGTCAGTTTCGCTATAGTCAGTGATGAAGCTATATGTGGGGGTTCCTACCATCTCGTCACCTCCCAAGGCCTGCTCAGAATACTGCAAGGCCTTATTGTAAAACAGCATTGATTCCGATTCCTCGGTAAGAGTGACGGAAGAGTAAGCGGTAGAACCGATGGCCAGGACCATCCAGATTCTGAAGGCGTGGAGGGGAGTTTGTGTGGCCAAGTTCTGAGGATTCTGATGGATCTTTTCAATAGTGTCCATGACCTCGGACCGGTCCAAGATGGGATAGAGAGTATGGGAGTGAGAAAAATAAAAGTCCACCAGCCGCCGCACATGTGTTTCGTCACTTGGCCAGGCCAGAGAGTCAAGCGCGGCACCGGACCCAGCAAAGTCGGTGAAGAGTAGGTCACCAAACAGTAGCGAGTAGGGGGAGATAGACTCATTCAAGCTTTGGAAGAAAGACTCGTTGAAGGGGTCTGAAGGAGAGCCGAGGTCCAAGAGATTAATTCTCGTGGTGTCATCCTGATGGTTATTAAATACAAAGTCCGCCTTGTCTGGCGCCAAACGGCGTAGAATCATCTGGGTCAGGTTCGCGAATGAGAGTCCTGTGGTCGATCCCAAGTGTCGTTCAGCAGTAGCCTCCAGCGAGAGTGCTGTGAGTTGCTGGCCAAAGGTTGAGGTCTGGTCTGGTGTGGGCCGTGGGGTCACAAGAAGGCCTTGTATCAGACCTGCAGCGTTTCCGGCAAGGGTGGATGCGTTTCCTAATGGGCTTCCCTCAACGCCTTGGGGGCTGCATCTCTGGTCCACCATTGTTATTTCTGGCATTTCAAAGCCATCATAGAGGTGATTATTGTTCAAGATCGGCGTAGCCTGTGCGACTTGGGGCGTATTCTGTTCTTTGGCAGCCATAGCCCTCCCAAGACGGCGAAGCTTTTCTTCCAGGCCCTGGACATACCTGTGACTATGTTAGAAGCCTGCTTGGAACCATTCGAGAACGTGAGCGGCTCTGCAGGGCTAAGGGTGAGAGGCTGGGAGAGACTTAATTCCTCCAGCCCCTCAATCTCATAGGGCGACTCACACTATGGGATACGAAGCTGTCTGAAGATCATCGTCCTCGAAGCTACACCCCACTCGCGCCGAGACGCAATTCTTGCATGACGGCAACGCTCTGTCGCATCTCTTCTTCCTCTTGTGGCATCGCGAGCATGAAGCTCGCGCCCTTGCTGTGGCCGAAGACGGGGCTGCCGACGCAGCGGGAGCTATGCCGTTGTCGGGCATCATTTGGGAAGAGAAGAGTCGCAAATATGTGACGAGTGTTTCAGCATTTTCTTGTCGCCTGCTGCAGCTGGCTCAGGGTGGGATTCCCGGAACTTCAGAATTTGGAGTATTTGGCTATCTGCTCCTTATCTTCGTTGTTCCCCGATTGCCCCCGCATCCATCTGGGGGGCCTTCCAAGCTTTCCAGGTCCTTGGTTCACTGCCCTGTAAGTTACGTGAATTACACACAGCTTGAAAATTACATACTTTGTCTTGATAGGCGAGATAAGAACTCAATCCAACGAGGTATTGAAAGATGTAATACCACGCCACGTGCAGCGTGTATATCAACCCTATGTAATATATCCGACAAGATAAATACGTGTTTAAATTACATGTCTCGTAAATACACTTCCTACCACACTGAACAAGATACTTCACGGTCGCAAAACCTACATTATGTGCTCTATAGATATTTAAGATTCAAGAAACAACGCGATAAAGGCAACGGAGTATATATAATTTTATTATGCTTGACAGTCTTCGTTCAAAATGAGCAGTGTCGAATCAGCCATAAATAGATGTTATCTCTCTACAGCTGGTTGAATATATATTTAAACCATCGCACCAAAAACACATTGAAGCAAACTTGGACTACAACCTAACTAATTATAAATAGTATATGCACAATTTGAAAACGGTGATATTCCAATGAATTTAACAATTAGACAGAAGTGGCATAAACGTAGGACAAATCAGATATAAACAACAGCATTTTAAAAAGGTGACCAAGTAACGGGCATGCAAATAAGGACCCCCTTCCGAGCTGTTTCCAATTCTACGATACTGCTCCTTCCATGTTGGGAGATGGGAGATGGGAGTTGGGGCGGCTCCTGTGCAGCAAACGAATCTACTCTCGGCGTTGTCAGGCAGACATCCTTTTCGCTACCATTTTCGTATTTGTCTGAAGATACTCGGATATTATTCATGGCTCAAAAGTGGAATGATGTAAATTGAACGTTGTAGCTAGCTGGCTTGCTCTGTCTTATAAGAGTTCATCCTTCCCCAGGTTCCGACATCCTTATAACAAGCCTTATCTTGGGGATTAATTAATGGAAGCAGAGTGGACCAACTTTATTGGCTAGGATGCACAACAATACAAGGGATCCGATAACATTCTCAACTCATGTGGTCTTGCGAAGTGGTGGATATGCCCGTAATCGGTCGTCGGGGATCCCGACGGTGTTATCGACGCGACCGGAGGTCTTCCAAAGGCTGTCGGATCATGCATCTTTGTGCTGACAGTGCATCAGGTCGGTCTGTTCTTGTTGTTATCCCTAATGTGTTTATCTTTACTCAAAGTTTGTGCTCATTGGCTACTGTGTTGGTGATGCACATGAAAACAAATCGACTAGGCTTGTCGTGGGAACTTGGTATCTGCCATGATAATTTTTGGGCGGGAATTTACAAATTATGATGCTCATGCAAAACAAAAGATTTTTAATGTGACACCAATATCTGCCATACCTCGTCGGTAGTGCCGCTGTAACATCTCCATAAGCTCGAGTGGGGTAACCTCAACGCCATTGGATCATCCGCTTATCATTAAATAGCTGTTTGCGATTAATCCAACTGAGGGATATGCGGAATTTTAAACGAAGAATCATTTATAATATTGAACATTAAAGGATATATCATTTCCAATACCTCCTCGACCGACCAACACTCACAACACATCTCTCCTGTTCCCAGTCTACCAACTATACTCATTCTTCCAATATGGACTCCAAGGCCCATGGAACCATTGATTGGTTGGGGTTCCAACTGCACCAGCTTAAGGAGCAAGAGCATGCTGGACCAGTCATGACAACTGTCGTGGTGGTGCTGCTCACCTATGCGCTCTACACCGTAAGTGTGCTTGCGACCATTCTCAAGATAGTTATTGTTGGCTTCTTAATATTCATTGGCTGAAAATATCGACAGGTTATGTATGCCACCGACATTCCTCACATCAAGGGCATTCCGGAAATTCCCGGCGCTGTTCCCATGTTTGGACATCTTCTCAAGCTCGGCGAGGATCATGCTACAGTTTGCGAAAAATGGTGGCGCCAGTATAACCAATCTGTTTTTCAGATCAAGCTGGGCAATACCAGAGCCGTCGTTGTGAACTCATTCGATGACTGCAAGAAGATGCTCCTCGGCAACCAGAATGCAGTCATTGACCGCCCCAAGCTCTACACCTTCCACGGTGTAATCAGCAGCACCCAGGGCTTCACCATTGGATCTTCGCCCTGGGATGAGTCCTGTAAGAAGAAGCGCAAGGCTGCCGGTACCGCTCTGGGCCGCCCTGCCTTGAAGAACTACTACCCCATGCTTGACCTAGAGAGCTACTGCATCCTGCGGGATATGAAAAAGGACAGTGGCGACGGTCAGATAGAAATTGACGTTCGCCCTTATATTCAGCGATACGCGCTCAACACAACCCTGACGCTCTGCTATGGTATTCGCATGGACGCTGTCTACGACGACCTGCTCCGTGAAATTCTCCACGTGGGATCGTCTATTTCCCTGTTACGCAGCGCCTCCGAGAACCTGCAGGATTATATCCCAGCCCTTAGATACCTTCCTAACAACGAGAAGAATGCCCGGTCAAAGAACCTCCGGGACCGACGCGATGCCTATCTGGACCTCCTCTTGAACAAGGTCCGTGAGATGATCAAGAATGGTACCGACAAGCCTTGCATTTCTGCTGCCATTCTCAAGGACCAGGAAACCAAGCTATCCGGCGTTGAAGTCTCTTCAATCTGTTTGTCTTTGGTTTCTGGTGGTTTCGAGACTATTCCCGGTACTTTGACCTCTTGCATTGGATCTCTGTCGACCGAGGAAGGACAGGAATGGCAGGATCGGGCCTACGAGGATATTAAGCGACACTACCCTGATATCCAGGAAGCCTGGACTGGATCATTTAAGGAGGAGACTATCCCCTACATTAATGCCATTGTCAAGGAGGCTGGCCGATACTACACCGTCAGCTCCATGAGTCTTCCCCGGAAGACCGTCTCCGAAGTCACCTGGAATGGTGCTGTTATCCCCCCCAAGACTATGATCTTGATCAACGCGCAGGCGGGTAACCATGGTGAGTGATCCACAGCTGAAATAATTTGTCTTGGTCATTATATTTAAGTCTAACATCTGCAGATATTGATCACTTCGGACCTGACGCTGGAAGTTTCAATCCCGAGCGGTGGCTGAAGACCGTGAGCCCTCCCACTGAAGATGAAAGCATCGGCCTGGGTCACTTGAGCTTTGGCACTGGCTCTCGTGGTTGCTCAGGCCAGTACATGGCTTCCCGCCTCTTGTACTCTGCATTAGTAAGGATTATATCGTCATACAAGATCGTAGCGAGCAAAGAAAACCCCCCCAACACCGACTATGTCGAGTATAACCAGTTCAAGACGGCGTTGGTTGCCATTCCCAGGGAATTCAAGGTCAAGCTCATTCCCCGTGATACAGCCGTGACGGATAAGTGCCTGGATCTCGCCGAACAGAGGACCAGAGAGCATTACAAGGAGTAATTATGTATTTAAAAGTTGCTGCCGGTGTGAGCCAGAAGCCTTGGAATTTACAGAATGTGTTCTGGGGATAGCCACGGAGAATATCATTATTTATGCAAATAACCTTATTTGAGGATTGACATAGAGGCAATTGCATGGTAAAGGGAGCAGGTCTTCACACTTGACATAATACGATGTGATTACCGTTGTTTGCAAATTTTACCGTCTATATTAGAAGTATTAAACGATATGTTCCGATGCATCCGCTCATTCAGCACTGACGATACATCCTAGCCCCGCGATTGAAAACCCCAAAGTAAGACAAGGTAAGTCTAAGCCTCCCCGGAGTGTCTGAGCAAAGAAGTTGCGAAACAGGGGTCTGTGATTGCGATCACTGGATAACCCCAATTGAATCCTGGCCCAAAAAGGTTACCGTACCCTGGGGTCAGATCCCCGATGAACCATTTCCTTGTCGGCCAGTCCGACGGGCAACGTAGCGCTTATCAAAACCCCCTTAAAGTAGCACACGTGCCACATTTTGTGACGTCTTTGGTTTGACAAAGTAAAATTACAGCACAGCTTGTTCCATTGTCTTGTCAATATGTCTTCTCTTTTTACTGATAGCTTGTTCGGGGTGAAGGGGTATGTAGCAGTTGTGACAGGAGGCAGCAGTGGCCTCGGCTTTATGATTGCGAGAGTAGGTGAATTTTTGTATGCTGGTTTAAGATTGCAATTTTCAAATGCCTTCCACTGCTTTTCTTTAAAAGTTGACTTTTGTAACAGGGACTTGTGAGAAACGGCGCCAAAGTGTACATCGTTGCTTTACCAAGTGAACCCATTGAAAAAAAGGTCGCGGAGCTCAACGAACTCGGCAAGGAATTTGGAGGCTCTGCGCATGGGTAAGTTGGGATGATAGCAAGCTCGGCATCCAATACCACCAATACTCTACTAAGTGTCAACTCAGAATCCCCTGCGATGTTTCCGACAAGCAAGCTATCCAAGATCTCGCCACTCAGGTCGGCCAGCAAGAAAGGCATGTTGACATGCTCATTTCTAACGCTGGCATAAGACGAGACCCACCTGTCCAATGTAATGTCTTGGAGGCATCTTTGTCCGAACTGCAGGCTTCCATGTGGTCATCACGACACTCGGACTGGGCCGACACATTTTGCGTCAACACAACTGCCCACTACTTCCTTTCCGTGGCTTTTCTCCCATTACTGGAAGCAGCCTCGCGGCTTGAACTACCCGGTGGCCGGGTCGGTCGAAGCGAGGGTCGCGGAGTGGTGGTTATGACCAGCTCATGCGCAAGTATGCATAATGCGACAAACGTGGACCTGACGAGTTATGCTACGAGCAAGGCCGCAACTGATCACTTAGTCAAGCTATTAGCAGCCAAGTTCAGCCGCTTTTATGTACGAGTTGTGGGAATTAACCCAGGCTGTGAGTAAAACCGGGCGTTGTATAACCTACATGAATTGATTCAGCTGCTGATCGATACAGTTGTTCCAAGCAACATGAACCCCGTTGGGGAGGAAGGGAACCTCTTCAGCGCCCTTTTCGACAGAGTCCCTGCCAAGAGAGCAGGAATCGAGGACGACATTGCTGGTACTATCTTGTACCTCGTCAGTCGCGCGGGAGTAAGTCTCTGCAGCTTTGTTGGAGATTGATCTCTCTTATCTTATGGGGCTGGAACAATGCTAATGTCGTGTCTAGGCGTACGTGGATGGAATATCGCTTTGTGTTGACGGAGGCCGTATTCTGCTTGCCAATGGTCAGGAATAAAGGGACGAAGCGGACATTGAAGGGAAATGTTTCATACAAGAAATGGGTCATACAAGAAATGGGCAAATATCAACCGAATCAACATGTTACATGCTATTTCATACGTGCGATTAATTCGAATCCATCATTGTTGTTTTATATGTGCTTTTCACCATTAAGTAAACTCAAAATATTTCACGGTGTTGCATTATCAAAAGAATATATAATGTGTCGTCCTCCAGTTGGTCTTGAATCAAATACTAAGCCACCTATCCACGGTCAAGGAGATGGACATTAAAAATGAATAATGGGTTCAAAATACCGTTGAATAACATCAAAGATTTAAACCCATACAACAAGAGAATCTCGGAGAATATACCTAACGACAGAGAAAAGCGAAGTTACGCTGACTCTGCTAGATGTCTCGATATCTCGATATCTGGGAGGGTGGGCCCATCTGACGGCATTGTTCCATCGGATCGACCGACACACCCAAGATATCATAATGATACACCACTCCACTCAGAGATACTCGAGGCTATTACTAAAACGGGAGCGAAAATACATTAAAATATTGCACCTCTTCTCCCTCCTCTGGGAAGCCATCACCACAATGTCTATCGTATCGATCTCAGATGGTGTGGGGTAAGCAACACCTGTACATGAACTTGTATAGTCATAATATCTAACAAGCGACATAGCTCCAAAATAAATGAAAAATCCCTAAGGTCTTTCGCAGCCCAGCTTCATATTGAGACCCTGGATGATAAGGATGCTGAGGATTACCTTACTTTGTTGAGGTCGCTTGAAGCAGTCCTGAGAAGCATCGACAATGCGACCGACTATATTGCACCAGATCTGCTTCCTCAAACAACGCTAGAACATCGCAATTTTTGGAAACCAGCACCTGAAAATAACCCCTTCAACGGCTGGAGTCACCAATGTGATATAAGATCCGCGGTTCCAACACGCAACCTATTGGGTGGACGTACCGTTGCCATCAAGGATAGCATATATGTCGGAGGACTACCGACAACCCTTGGCGTTCCCCAGTCACTATTCGCTCAGGGGAACGAATACCCCATCTCCCCTATTGACGCTGTCGTGGTCTCGCGGATTCTTGGAGCCGGGGGCATCATCAAGGGGACATCAACCTGCGAAAGCTTTTGTGCGTCACCCTTGTCCTTCACTTCGGCGACAGGAACAGTCCATAATCCGCTCTTGTATAATCATACGGCTGGTGGAAGCAGCAGCGGCTCTGCGGTTCTCGTTGCAGCTCATCGCCTGGCATCAAGAAGCGGCTCGTCAATGGGCCAAACGGTGGAGTTGGCTATTGGCACAGACCAGGCCGGGTCAGTGCGGATCCCGGCCTCTTACAATGGCCTGTACGGGTTGAAGCCCACCTTCGGTCTAGTTCCCTACACTGGTGCGGGGTCTATGTCGCCCATGATCGACCACTTGGGCCCGCTGGCGGCCAAGCTTGAAGATATCGCCGTGCTGTTAGAGGTCATGGCAGGGTACGATGGCTACGACCCACGGATGACCCCTGAATCACCATTAGTACATCAGGTGAAGCCTTACGTAGAACTGCTGCTTCAGACGAGGCAAGAAATTCACTCTACATCAAGACCTGGTCACAAACTTAGAATTGGCCTGTTGAAGGAATCTTTCCACATGCCCGGGGTTGCTGCCGACGTGCGCGATATTGTCTACCAGGCAGCAAAACGATACTTCGAAGCTGTTGGAGCCTCTGTCATCGAGGTATCGATTCCAATGCACCAGCAAGGTCCAGCAATCTGGACTGCAGCAACTAGACCATCTATGTCTAGTTACCTGTGCCAGGGCAACCCCTCTGGCCACCTTTCCTTCCTGTCACCGCATGCGCAGATCAAATGGCCTCCATCCCAGGAGACATACGACACGCTGACATGCACCAACCCAGCTGTAGTCAACATCATGCTGAGCGAGAAGTTCGCTCGGGAGTCTTCCAAGGCAGGGTTGGAGGCCAAGGCCCATCGCATGGTATTTGCGCTCAGAGCTGCCTACGATTCCGCTCTTGAGCATGTTGATATCCTCGTCACGCCTTGTGCGCCCACAGTCGCAATGCCTCACCCAGATCCAAACGGTCCCGACGGGAGAAGGGCCTCGGTGCTGGATAGACTTGGTGTTGCCGTTGGATTGACCAGCAATACTTGCCCCTTTAATGTTACTGGCCATCCCGGGTTGAATGTCCCTTGTGGCTTCTCCACGGCCGAGGGCCATCCAGATGTCCCTCTGCCTGTAGGTATGCAGATTGTTACAAAGCGTTGGGCTGATGAACGGCTTATTGAGGCTGCAGCTTTGTTTGAACGGGGCCGAGAGATATTGGAGAGCAAGGTGGATGGACTCAGTCCTAAAGGGGACTGTTGCGATAGTAGTAGATAATTTATTCCTCCTCTCTTTCTTTTCATTTTCCCAGTTCCCAGTCAATAGCCAATATATCCCTCATAAAAGTCTATATTATTCTTTGTCGACATACCATACACAATTGTCAAGACTCTAAGCTTGGAGAATTACATGTGACCGTTCTAGTATCTACACATAGTTGGTCGCTAATTTTTCTCAGTACCTACAAAAGAATAGTCGGCCGCGTTCGCGGCCTTGTGATGTCTGTTTAGTATCTTTCCAGCTCGTATTCTTAGTTCGGCTTTTTAAAGATCTTTTAAATGTATGCGAAGGCAGTAAAAAAAAGCATCATTCATGTAATAGACTATTCTATGTGTAAGCTTTGACTACACGAGGTTACATTTGAAAGAAATATACATATTTTGTTCAAAATGATATCGGGCATACGTGCTCCAAGTCCTTTCTCACTGCTCTTTCAAAAACCAAGTTATCGCCTCATCCATAAAGTCTTTGTCTGCTGGGTTACAACCCAATCCAGCCAAATGACCCCATACAGATGGTATGACCTTGAATGTTGAATGAGGAATAACACGTGCCTCCGTTTCAGATGCTTCCCAGCGGAAGTACTGGTCTGTCGAACACGGCATAACTAGGACACGTGCTTTGATCCGTGATAACGTTTCTTGTAGAGATACGTCTCCTGAGATCAAAGTGATATCGCCTCTCTGCCACATACCTACCATGGCGAGCAAGTCGTCAGGATGCCAGTTGTGATAGTTTGTCCCAGCCGTGTCCTTATCCCAATCACTCAATGTTTTGTATCCCAAGGACTGGTACATCTCCTTCTCAAACCACTCAGGGCTGGTCAACCACGCCGAGTACGCTTTGCCAAAAGCCCGTAGTCCGCCCAGTGGCTTTGAAGAGGGTCTGGTACTATCTCCCTTGCGGTAGTCGGCGGAATATTCCAGAGCAGCCTTTGGTCCCTCGAGAAACTGGTAATTGTGGCGGCTGGTACGAGCTGAGGAGCAGATAATGACCGCGTTGCGGACTAGCTCGGGGTACATCAGGGTCCAGTAGTACGAGCACTGACCCCCCATGGAGAAACCAACCACCACATCGATAGCTTGGATTTTGAGATGCGAGTGAATTAACTGGTGCTGAGCACGAACGCAGTCTTGGTAGTTCACCGATGGGGGGAAGTTGGCCATGTTGGACGGACTTGAAGATTCACCATTGCCAAACAAGGCCACCACAATGACTCTGTGCTCTTTGAGGGTGCCATGGCTAAAGTTCAAGGTAGACTGAAGTCGGCCACGGAAGCAGGTCAGAACAAGGGCTACCTTGTCCGCAGTCGGATTAATGTCTAGGAAGGCTAGCTGGATTGACGTCGGACCAGTCCCATCCTCGAAAGTGAAGTCATCGATTTGATAGTGCTGAGATTTAGGCCCTGACATTGTGACTCAGTGAAATGTAGCTTACATTCATCCAGAAGTCAAAAACGCTTGTACTAGTAAGGTTGCCTCAAATGGATCGGTCTTGGAGGTTTCCCCGAGCATGTGGTCTGTCGGAACGTCCGATGTGATACGTTGTGGACCTGCGTCGCTTGACACCAAGCCCCAAACCGCAGAAGGAAGGCAAGGGTCTGTCGGTCGAAGATATGACCGGGACTCGACGCCCCAGGGTTGTGTCTATTTTGGGTGCTCAGAACCCCATGTTTCTCTTTCGCAATAAATGTAAAGCATCGGCCTTTCGGCCTTCCGACCTAATGGTGGTGGGGCCTCGGCGGGGAAATGATAAGAAAGACAGCCACGATAACATTGGGGCGTGAAAGCCCATGACCGTGCAAGAGATATAACATTCAAATTTATATGAGACACAATACAAATTGAGCTACCACATTAACTGTGAATGGACACGGTGCTATCGTCTGAATCGAGTTCCCGATATAGCCCCATCTTGTTCTTCGTCTCTGAAACATTGGAGGGATCTGGAACAGATATCTATCATTTTATTGATACATTATCAATGACTATAGAAGAGAGAGAGACATAAGACCTATCTAACAAGGAAGCAGGTCCTGACAGGCCTCAGGCAGCTACCTCCTCAGCAATATGCTCCTTCTTCATCTTTGACATGCTATACATCGACAACAGCAACGGCCTTGACCTCAACAATCATCCGAGGATCAGGCAGCTCCCTGACACCAATAGTAGCTCTAGCTGGTGCACTATCGCGGGTCTTAAAAACCTTGTTCCACTCCTCGTTCATGCCAGCGTATTGGCTCTCCATGTCCAGGATGTACACCACAGCGTCGATCAGGTTGTGGATGCCACCTTTGCCGTCTGTTGCGCCCTTGATGATATTGTCGATGTTATCGAGAACCGCCGCTGTTTGCTTGCCAATATCGAGAGTGTATGTTCCGTTCAAATTCTCAATGACGCCGGGCCAGGTGCCATCGGGGCGGCAGCACGCCGTGCCGGACACGAAGATGGTGCGGTGGTTGGAGAGGGGTGCAAGGCGAGCCTGGGGGAATCTGGTGGCCCCCTCTGGGGCATCGGGCTTGGCTAAATATGCTTGTCCGTTGGGAGACATGGTGACAAAGTGTGGCTGGCTAGATTGCAGGTTGCAGTGGCGTATTTTGGCAAATAGGGTGGTGGTAGTGGTGGTAAGGGTTGTATTTTATGATCAGGGCAACTTCAATGATCCATCTGGGCTGCTTTAATATCATTGAATGTGCGCCGGTTATCTTGTTTTGTCACCCGGGAGATCGATCCTACCCACATCATGTTTCCCGTTCGTGCCCAGCTGGTGGAGATGGCGCCCGAGAATATCGCACTGCGTGCTTGTCTTGTCGGACAGTCCGAAAACACCCCACGAAATCCGATCCCTCGCCCGTTCTGCGTATACTCCAACTCTATCCACCGACATCGGGCTGTGGCATAATTTGTGGACCCCTGTCATTCTATTTCACGCAAGATATGAAGGTTGGACCTCGAATCATAAACCACAACTCCGACGGTCAGTAAGCGGTCTCAAAAGACCGTTTGAAACTATTCCGGACTTCCTTATCTTGATGTTGGCTGAGATTTGAAGAAATAGATCTAAGATAACATCGACAAATTCAAAGAGAAACCTTATCCAAAAAAGAAATCGTAAAGAAAGTGATCGGGGGGACACCTCATTACTGGTCATTGCTCAATCACATGTAGCAAGATCGCACCTGGGCAGGTAGCTCCGACCTAATTAGGAAATCAACCGGGCCATTTAAGCTATAGACTAAGCTATATAAAGTTTAGCGCCTCCTAACACCAGGGTGAACTCATATAAATTGACATCGGAAAAGGCAAGCGATCCGGTTTTATGCAGATCAAAAGATATTACTCTAATATATATATCCAAAGCTGAGCAGGACAGACCATCTAATAATTAGTCGGCCAATTACCCTGCCATCGAACCGAATGTTCGTCATCATCATCAATCACGATAACCATCCACACACCGATTTGGCCGTTATTCGCCAGCAGAGGTGTACAGTGGATCCAGCGATGACGACCCTGGTCGTTGAACTTGGTCATCCACTTGATACGGGCTGTGACGCTTCGCCCGGTTTTCATGGCGTTGATAATGTTATCGCGTTTTGGGCCTGTTTCGCCGATGCGGTTAAGGAATGAGGATTGAAGCATGCCTGGGATTTGCAGGGAGGGAGATGTGAAGAGGATTCGGAGGGATGGATACGGGCGGACGAGGAGGTACTGGTGGGAGTTGCGTTAGTTCTCTGATACGTACCCGTGCATGAGGAATATCGAGGACATACGTTTCTATAGACACCGGTCAAGGACAGACTGGGGGTCGGGCCCGGGGTAGTGTTCTGTGGCCCCTGGGATGGGGTGTGGATCTCGCTCTCGGTATCAGAGTCTTGGAGGAATAGACGGTGGTTGGGATCTTCGTTGATGATCGGTTGGAAAAGGTTTCCGCCGTGCTCGCGCACGTTCTGCAGCTCGCGCGGACTGAGGAGTTCGCCAAGTTCTTGGAACTCGCTCTTGGATTCTTGGATTATTTGGCCGCCAGTTTCTGGGTTTTCCTTTTGTGCTTGAATGTTTTGGAGGGATTCCATTTGGGCGCCTTCCATTGCGAGTCCGGAGACATCGATCTGAGCGCCTATGAAGTAGCGGATGTTGCCGCGGCTGTCGCATAGCGGGGCCATTTGGAGGAGGTTCATGAATGGTGACCCGTCGCGGCGGCTGTGTTTCCGGATTAGTTTGGTAGAATTGAATGGGTTGAAAACACTTACTAGTTTAGGAAAAGTTCGGAGTGATGTCGTCCAGCTTTGAGCGCTTCTCGGATTCGTCGAACACTGTTGGGGTTGGTCTTCGGCCCTTGCAAAAATCGACAGTTTCGTCCTAGGACGTAGTCCATGCCGTATTGGGTAGTGCGGTGGAACTCTAGATTGTCCGTTAGACAAATTTGTACGAACACTGTGAAGCAGCCATAAACATACCCCCAGAAGCAAAGATAATGGGATTATCTGGCCGCGATGGATCAGTCAGACAGAATACCTCACCCAGCGCATCTGCCGTTCCTTTGAACTTATCGGGCAAGGTTCCGCGAACGCGCTCTTCGACTACCTTGCCGGTGATGTTGATACAGGTGGAAGTAATGAAAGCAGGTAGTTCCTCAGCCGTCAAAGCATCCAGCGCCACCTGCACACGCTGTTCAAGGGCCACATTTACAGTGGGGCCAACGGGGTGCTCTGCAGTTTCAACACCGGATGTCGGTACATCAACAGCCAAACGGACTAGCGAATTAGCATACTGAATTGCTTTCAGAGACTTGGAAGCATTTAGGTAATAAGTCAGGGTCGAAAATGACCCTGGACGCTCCTGGGCGAGGAACTCGCGAAAGCGCGCGAGATAGCGCGGATTGCTCAAAATCGCCAGCATATGGTCCGAGCAGAACATTAGGTCTGCTTGTCGCTCCAGTGTATGTAGTGGGGCTGCATCGCCCTCATATGGAGCGACCAAATCAAAAGATGCTTCCTCATTTTCTTCAAAAATAGGGTTGAATTGGTCGGATCCCTCATTGGGATTCGTCTGCTGAAGAATCGGGAGTTCGTTGGTAACAAAGCTGCTTTTCGGCGACCTGTTTGAGGCGGACGAGTGGAGATCCCGGGTGGATGAAGTAGGCGATCTGCATTATTAGCAAGCAATTTTAGCGATTGGAAACCTTGGGCCTTACGAGACATAGCTACGCGGTGGCCCACCTATAGAATGGTGGCCTAGTGATTGGGTTCCGACAGACTGCTGATCCAGAGAGAGGGCGCCGAGAGATCGCTGGTCAAATGGTTGGTGGCCTGTTGAGGCTGAGGAGTGTTTTTCGCGCCGTAGTGGCTGGCCGATGGTGTGGTAGCCCAGATCTAAGGTCGCAACTGAATCTGCGACTGATTCCTGGTCGATAGAGGGCCTGCGAAACGAATGCTCGCCATTATGAATGCCATTAGATGTACCATTGGTATTTCTAGGCATTGAGCGCTCTTGCGGTCCCATAGGCGGTCTTCCAATAGCCGGCTGGCCAAATGCTAGCGGTTCATACGCTTGTCCTGGGGAATGCGAACGTGAGGAATTGGAATTATGGGCCGAGGGTTTGAAATGCGCGCCAAAGCCGTCTGGCTCAACAATAGTGGGCGTAGAAGACATGTCAGAATGTCTCTTGTGAGGACGATTATCCGGGATGCACGGCGGTTCCATTGCGGCCTGACCTGACTATTTGAAGCGAGGGATCGGAATCGAGATCGGCCTTGTGCTCAGGCCTTTTCAGGTCTTTTAAAAAAACCGTGAGATCATTCATGATTAAATTGCCAGGCCACGAGGCTGATCGGCGGTTGTTTCCTTTTCGATAGTCGCCCATGGTTCTGTTAAAGCGAGAGCGAATGAATCCCATTTTTTAAGCGTAAACTCCCCTGGATGCCCCCGGTAGTTGGGAAAAGATCGGCAAACTTACAATTTCCAGGCCCGATTTGGATCGATCGGTCGATCTTCAGGTCCCCAAAATGAGCTTCCCTGCAAGATCACAAAGTCAATTAGCTCAATGATGTAACAGCTGCGATGGTCGATTTCGGATTTGAATTTAGTTCTTGGAGATCTGCACGTAGTTTATCGTTCGGGGGGCTCTTCCTTGTCTTTTTCTTTTGGAGGGGACTTTGAAGAATAATGGGGCAATTCAGTTCAATGGTCGCAGATCTCGCCAATCAGATATATGTGCTGGTTTTATCTCCGAGAAATGACCAGAAATACCCACACCAACTTGGGCACATTCAATTCGCGGCTTATATGGTGGATCTGATCCCGCAGAAGGAGAGGTACCTGAAATGGTCAAGCTAAGGCGCGTATAGCCTAGACCTGATCTCGACCTGGAGATCTGAAAGGGTTTGCGAAGAAGGTAGATGCAATCGGTGTTTCGGTCTCCAGCCAACCAGCAGTACTACACCGAGAGTAGTTTCGTTGCCGATAAACCCAACGCATAGGACGTCCGTTCTTGCAGGACCATTTCTACCATTTATGTTATCGGAAAAGCGTATTTTGGTGAGTCGGAAGCTTGCTAATTGTATAGCCTCATGTTCTGTGTCGCTAAAGAAACCAATCAGTCCATCTGTGTGTAGGCTTGCCTAAAGTGGATAGAATCAAATCATACAAGCCGGTCGTGTACTCACTAACTGCACGACAAAGATTCTGATTGTTCCTCCAAGGTCGGGTGGATCGGGGCTCAACAGAGCCAAGCTGGAAAACAAGTTCAGATTTTCAGAACTCGCAATATGGTGAGATGAAAAATAAGAAAAGAACCTCTTGATCGAGGTGAGATACTTGGAGGGACAGGAGACGTATGAAGAAAGAGAGATCAAACCCGGGGAGGCCAGATGTCGGCCTAAGGCAGAAACACCACCAACTGCCACATGTGTGTATAAAACTGTGTGATGTTCTCAGTACCCGGTAACTGTGTTATAATACCCCATTCATCGGTTCATTGTCAAACCTTCGCTATATTTATCAGGTCTTAGACAAAAAATCCTGTCAGTTGCTTTCTTCTTCTACAAATAATCTGCCGGCTTCCCTCTTCTTACCTTCCAACCCTACCATCGATAGGCTCGTCATGTGAACTGAAATATCTGACCTCTTACCATACATATTTATTGTACTCTCGACCTCAATATAGTCCGATCAGGAAAGTGGCAATGGGAGCTCAATTCTCACATCGACTGCGCAGTGAAGCGCATCAGGCTTTGACTGCCTCACACCTTGTCGCTTTGTCAAGGAAGCGAGTCATATACGACTGTGATATGTATGATGGTGAGTGCTCCTACTTCCAAGTCGATTCAGTCATGGCTATAACGGACATCCACGGACGGGAGCCACTATACACACATGGAAATTGAATGATGAGAATGAGGAGACGGAGTCATTGCTTCGTGACTAAGGCCACACAAACGACCAAAACACCGTCATCATGCGTTTTGGGAATGGTGCTCTCTTCCCCGACTTGCTCGAGATCCATATGTATTTGAATAGACTGCGAAAACATATAATCTACTAGATGTGCATGACGTGATCGGCATTATGACGGACAACATCAACAAAAAGTTGCGTATGGCGACGGAAACAAAAACAATCAACCAGATGGATGGACATGAATGGTTATCTGTGAACGAGGCTCTTCGCGAAGCAAACCTCGATCTACGTCAAGTCGATGCCAACACAAAAGTTGCAGATGGATTTACAACAGCATTTGAAAAGGAAGCTCACCAACAATTTGTCAAGATGCTATATGGATATATGTACTCTTGACACTGATATCAGATACTCTACCTGTCGATATCCTTGCACTAAGAAGAAGCTCTGCGGTTTCTATCTGGTTGCCTGCCGCAGCACAGCTTTCAATTTCAAATCTGCGAAGCACAAATATCAACAGCCATTCTGTGTTATGGTAAGCACGCTTTTATAATTGTTATTTGGCAACATCAGCGCTTGCACAAACAATTTACACCACTAAAAGGGCTTTATGGTCGAGCAGCGGCCCGAGAAGAGCCTCGCGATTTCTTTTTGCCAATCAGACCGATCAGACTGAGACTCTCTAAACGATATCTCACGACCATGGTTCTTCAAAAGGCCGCACCACGAGGTCAAGGACGAGATGTCGGACTGTATCACTACATCAACCAGATTGGTGAGCCTCATGCTACATCTAGCAGCACAGCTTACAGTGAGATCGATAATATCGCCGATGGATCGTTGATACGCCGTGTTAATTCTTCTCGCCGAGTCGACATCCAAACATGAAACCAAGTACATATGTATCTACATGGTTCTTACAATTTGGTTATTTTACTAGGCGGAGATTTCACGAGGGGATCGATTGGCTGTCGACTGTGAGGACGGTAAATCAACTTAGAATATGGAGATGAATTTTGCATGGCGTTTTCTGTTATTCGACCTTTACAAGTACTTTTAATACATCAAATCCCATTTCAGATATTATGATACACGTGTAGTTCCTATACTTCAAACAAATGATGTTTGTCGGCACTAAATTCCATTTGTACCATGGTACAACTATGAGCGTACCGTGGAATCACTTATCCGTACCTCGGGTGCTTTAGGACTGGAGATTCCCGAGGTCGGGAGCAAACACGCTTATCGGTACTCGCCATTCAGCCCTGGGCATGATGGCCTCGCTTATCGTGGATAATGTCGTTTATCCACCTGCCCAGGTGCATGACTGCGCGCTTAGTCGCCGTGGTTTCTCGCCAGTGTCCTGCGGGTGGAACCATATAGCCTTACTGTCGCTTGTTGTGTGTTAACTCGTTCATAAGCTGCACGATTAGCCGTCGATTTAGTCGTTTTAATCCTGTCGCAAGCTTCCATATCTCCACCCGCAATCTTCCCCGGATGTCTAAGCCGAGCACAATCTCCCGATATGAATCAGACCACCGATTTAACACAAGCATGTCACGTCAAGCCCCTAGCGCAACCTTATACTTCGCCAAGCATAATGGGGTTGCAACGGCCAGTGCATAAATCGGACACGAGAGCGGATTCCCACCATCCCCACGTTTTGCACCGGCGAAGCTTGGGATCCCCGGCGGGGCGCCCCGTGCCTTGGCGGAATTTTACACGCTGATACGTCGCCTTCTCCCGGCTATCTTGTCGGTGAACCCGGCAATTCCTTCGTGTTTCGCGGGCTGCGATAAGAGCTGGAGGATCATCACGCGGAGGTAACCTGATCGTACTTAATTAGGGCATTGCGCAGGATTTATTATTCACGTGCTCCCCTTTTTTTTTTCTTTCGTTGACACTCACCTCCTACCATCAGAGATATACGAATTTTGTGCCCATTATGAGCGGCTCTGAAATTACCTCTAGCTCTGCGCCGGTCGGAGACCTTAGGGATGGTAAAGGGAACGAGTTTATCAAGGTGCAGAATGAGGATGAGCTGCGGTTGGCCCAGATGGGTAGGTTTTCGATTCTCTGCTGTTAGGAGATATGATATTGACCGCGACGCAGGGCATAAACAGGAGCTGGATAGACATTTCTCGCTTTGGAGTTTGATTGGACTCGCGGCGAATTGTACTATTTCATGGACAGGTTAGTTGAGTTCATGCAATTGCTCAGCACTCGGTTAACATGATAATAGGCCTCGGCTTGGGTTTAATGACTGCAATCAATGCAGGTGGACCTGGCGCCCGTGAGTCTCCATTCTATACTGATCGCAAGGAAGCCAGCCAGTAACCAGGCTTTAGTGATATATGGCTTCATCCTCGTTTTCATCCTTCAATCGTTTGTCGGCGCTTCGCTGGCAGAATTCGTGTCAGCATACCCCACGGAGGGAGGAATGTATCATTGGATTGCCGCCATTGCTCCCAAACGATACAATAGCTTGCTCAGCTTTGCCACTGGTTGGTGCACTGTATTCGGATGTGAGTCGGCCCCCAACACCAGAAGTCTTGGCATGCAGCTGATGAAGCCTAGGGATCTTCACAACTGCATCAACCAATTTGATCTATGCCACGACGGCCATGGCATTGATTGCTCTGTACCATGATGGGCTGGTTGTTCAACCATGGATGACTTTTGTCGCATATCAGATCCTCAATATCCTGACTGCGGGTGTGGTCATGTTCGGGAATCGGTTTATTCCGGCAATCAACAAGTTTTCATGTAGGTCCGTTCTTTTATTCCTAAAAGGTTCAATAATTGATGAGTATCAGTGGTCTACCTGCAATTGGCCTGGTTTATTACCATGGTTGTCGTGGCCGCCAAAGCCCCACTTCATAATGACAGCAAGTTCGTGTTCCGCACCTGGATCAACGAAACCGGCTGGGACAACAATGTCATCTGTTTTATCACTGGACTGGTCAATCCAATGTACTCACTTGGAGGCCTGGATGGAATCTCGGTAAGTTTCGTCCATTGCCAAAGTACCCAGATGATCGCACCTGCTGACCACACTATAGCACATCACAGAAGAAATGCCCAATGTAAGTTCAGGTAGATCAGAGACACAAGCTTATGTATTGTACTAACCAATGTTCCATAGCCTGGAAGAAATGCTCCTTTGGGCCTAGGTTAGTTCGGTGGTAGGATTGCTTGCGTCGAAAATATCGCTAACCTTATGCCTCAATAGCTATTACCCTATCAATTGCGTTCGTGACCGGACTATCTTATCTGCTCAGCCTGATGTTTTCAGTTCAAAATTATGGCAGCTTGGCTGACACACATACCGGACTTCCCCTTGCTGAGCTCTTTTGGCAGGCAACCTCTACAAGAGGTGGAGCATTCGGGCTGGTGTTCATGGTTTGGATCGCTCTTGGACCCTGCGTCATTGGTTCACAGTTGAGTGAGTAGTGCTCTTTTTTCTGGACGATAAATCCCCTTCTGACTTTGATAGGTACCGGGCGAGTATTCTGGGCCTTTGCTCGCGATGAGGGCCTGCCGTTGTCAAACATCTGGGCCCGTGTCAACCCTAAGCTGGGCTCGCCGTTCAATGCGCAGCTCTGTGTTACCGTGATTACCGGCCTCCTTGGCTGCATCTATTTGGGATCGACCACGGCGTTCAATTCAATGATGAGCTCTGCGGTGTATGTGTTCCACGTACTATAAAACAATGTGCAAGGGATTAATACTGACATGGATATAGGACAATCAACAATCTCGCCTACGTTGTGCCGATCCTGACAAATGTTATCTTGTTCCGTCGAACCATGCGCCGCGGCCCATTCTTCATGGGTCAAACGGTAGGAATGACTGTCAATATCATCTCTGTGGCGTGGCTGGTGTTTGCCATTGTCTTTTTCTCGTTCCCGTACCAGATGCCTGTAACTGGTACGTCCTGCGATTTTCCATCATTCCCTGGTATTTTGCATAAGCTGTGTGCTAACAATCACGCAGTATCAAACATGAACTATACCTGTGTTGTTGTAGGCGGATTCTTGACCATTGAGCTTATTTGGTGGCTCATTGCTGGAAAGAGGTATTCTGCGACTGTACAGAGAGCCAGAGAAGAAGGGACCAATGAGACAGTAGTTATTGATGATGGAAAATCCGCTGAGTGAAGTCTGGACGTAGCAAACGAGTGTAGTTTCCCCGGGGCGTCTTTCTAATATATCGCGTCTCTGGCAACCACAATTTCCGCTCAAATAATACTTTTTCATTTCTCACTTCTCACTTCTCATCTCTTCCTTTCATCTATCTCAACCATCATCCTATCCAAATTCCATCATATATCTCTCACATCATCTCTTCATCTTTACCCATCAACATGATGGAACTTTTCCGCCTCAAGCCGAACTCAGGCAGATGGCCTACCACCATTTAAAGCAATCACTATCCCAAACGTCAAGAGGTTATCCAAAGGCTGGGACCTCAAATGCTGGGAATCCGATATCCACCTTGCCCTTAGAAACCGCAACCTTTCGGCTGTCATTAGCCACCACCTTCCACAACCCACCCATGACCATATCTCCTACGACAACTGGTTGAAATGGTCACAGCTGGTCAATAAGTGGCTGATCCATAATCTAGATGGGGGGTTCGCCATCCTCCTAGAATCTATTCGCCCTTACCTAGACCTAGCTGACGAAACCTACCTCGCGATCAGGGACTTGCGGTTCCCCGACAAAGAAGACATCGTGTCTGAGTTCATCAAGCTGTGGTCCATGCGACGTCACCACTTCCACTCGATCGCGGCCTATGTTGGCGCCTGGCGGGCACAAGTCATCATCTGCGAGCAGCTAAGCCTCGGTATCAGCTAGTACGCTGCTACCAAAGTGATGCTTCATGAGATCAAGGGCGAAATGCCGGAGTTGTGCTCCTACATCAACTACCAGATTGGTGACCCTCGTGCCACATCCGGCAAGATGACCTACGACGAGTTCGATGGTATCGTGAATGGCATCCTTCGTACCTTCTTCTAGGGATGGGTACGTCTCTTTCCTCTTCTCAATATTTCGCCATGAACTATCTTCTCACTTTGCGCTTACTGAATTCTCACTTTAACGTATAGGACATCGGCGTCTTTGAACACTCTCAGAAGATTGGCACCCATTTCTAGGTGTGTTTTGGGTATGCAAGAAGAGTCTTTTCAGCTACGGAAAAAAAGTACGAGTTGAGAATCAAATTCAGTCAAAGCAAGCCTCAAGTGTCATTTTTGAAAGTCATAATCATGGAAAGTTGGCGATAATCCTAACAAATTCTCCACAAGTTAAGAATTACTTTCCTGGATTAGTACCCGAAGTATCACGTGCTTGATGTTGTGAACCTAGTCCCTCTATCTGGGTGCAATCCCCATTTTTGTATTTGCCTGGCGTCGTTGACTTCGAGCTAGGCAGGGGGGTGGATGTTTATCACATGGTGATACGGGGGTCTTATGAGGAACCTACGCCAATCATGGGCCATTCATTTGTTATTCGAGAAAATTGACTAGCCTAGTCCCTGAATGTAAATATTCAATCTCATCTCTGTCCAGGCGCTTTTGTTTGTCCATTGACTCAGATAATGTTCGCTGACTCCAAGTCACTAACCATCCGTTGGCTCTGGCATTGTCCATTGAAGGTAGACAGTATCAATCCTAGTAAAAAAAGCTATCAGCTGGATAAATCCATCAATCCAGCCATATAATAAGCGACTTACCAATGCCCCATCTTTCTTCCAACGTTCTCCAATTGCCCTTTCTCAATAAATCCCCATTTCATGTACCATTTCCTCAGTCTCTCTCCGTCAGCTGGAGCCTCGGTGTCATAAGGTATGATTGCAATGATATTCTGAACAAGAGAAGTTTTCATGACACCCATAGAGCTACCAAATCCAATCCGTGGGATATCGCCCACTCTTTCCTCACAGCGGTGCTCAACTTCACCCTCCTGCACCAGACGCAAGAGCTTTCTAAGAATAATTGTTCCATAGCCATATTGCTGCTGGTCATAGCGCATGAAGATGGACATCTCAACGGTCGGTGCATAAGAAAGCAAATGACCACGGAAGGGAGACAAGTAAGCGTAGCCAAGAATTAAATCTGCTCCGTCTGGTGTCTTCCGTGTGTCAGACACGACGACATAAAATGGGAGGTTCCTTCTCATCAGATCCCGAAGGATGTCCTCATAGTGGGATATCGGTGGTGGGGTAGTCGTAAAAGTGGAACAGCTGTTAACGATGTACCAGTGGTTGATATCCCGAACTTGCGGGATATCGGCCAGAGTCGCGGGGCGATTTGTGATCATTTTTGTGTTTTATTGTAAAAATACAGGAATATAAACAGTGAAGGTGAATGTTCGAAAGAAGAGATGTCAGACAAGCGTGAGTGGGCAGACATGTTGTCGAAACTAATGCGGGATGTCAATTTCCTAAAGCGGATTAGCGCATGCATTGGTACGCTAGCCGTCTAAGGACTGGTGTACATGTTGACTGGCCAATCAGGAGTATACGAACAAAGAGAGGGAAACACAGGTGCATTGTCTTGCGACGGCGATCGCGACGCATTTTAGTTCTGGAAACTCCGGAGAAAAGGTGCAATGGGACCAGAATGTGTCCCGTTGGGCTTGTCGCGAGATCGCACTTGCCTAATTTCATCGGGTCCCCGTAGTTTCACGTTCTTGTTTCGTTGCTCACTTTCTTGTTCCTCATCCTGCATTTTTCAAATCGTGAGTTCCTCCTGCCAGTGCATATCATCATGGCTTCTGGCTGTACCACTTCTGATCCCGATGGCAATGGACCGAATGGTGACAGAGAACGTGACGATAAAAGCTTTCACCTCACTCCCCTAGAGACGCTCGCTTCCGTCGCCGTGGCTGCCGCTGCGCCCGCCATCACACCCACCGTTGAGCCGCCCACTATGGAGGCTGAAGAACCGACTGTTCAGAAAATTGAAGACATCGGTGAGCACACAGGCCACAACACAGGTGACAATGCAGGCGACAACACGGGTGACGACACAGACGACATCACAGAGGATGACATCCGCGAGGCTATCAGTCAGGTCATGCATCAAACTGCCCTTGAGGGCCTCCAGTTTGCTATTCCCCGCACCTCCACGTCAGGTAATGGAGAAGGAAGCAGCTCTGCACCTGCCTACCGCCAGCATGATTGTATTGTGGCCCGCACTGTTAACCGCCACGCGCCCTACCTGGCAGATGTTCCAGACATCATCCTTGGACAAGTCTGGATCGACCACATTGTCAGTACTCAAAGTCTATTCCGCTAGATACTGGGATACTAATTGAGAGGTCTAGGACTCCATGATGGGCGTCCGCACCCAGTCCCAGACTGACGAGATGCGGTTTTGCATTGAGCATACGGACCGGATCATTCAGTTGGCCAATGATGTCTTGGGGCGGCAGAGGGAACTTTTGGCGGATCTGAGACGGATTTCTAGCGAGATTATGGGTTTCGGCGATAAAGAGGGGGGTAGTGGGGACGGTGATGACACTGTTGCCAATGGACGCAGTATTGTGGAGGAGTAGGCGTCTCATTTCCCGCCGTCTGTCATTCTCCTGCCGGTTTTCCCATGTTTTGGGATCTCTCTTGTGATCTGAACATTGAATACTTGTGTCCATCAAAACATGCGTTGCATTTCTATGTACCCACCCCCTGTTCGAGCGGTCTTAAACCTAACGATACCCAGTCTGTTGTGTTTGTTCTTGAACTTGTTTCTTTATTTTATATCTTGTTTTTCTTTTTCTTTTTCTTTTTTTTTCACTTAACGAACTAACCTAAGCACGTTTGGTTAGCTCCTAACTAGTTACGGTTGTATGTTAACTAAATATGTAAGCCGCTAACCGCATTTAGGTCGATAGGTTGACACCGGGGGACACAACCTATTACTAGTGACCTAGCGAAGATAGCTCTCAATTTTCTAGGTAGATATATTTACTTGTGGTGGGGGTTTACATAATGGCCCGACCTTATACCTAGGTATGTACCGATCCAACAGTTTCAGAAAAAGGAGGGGATGGAGAGTAGGCTTTTCTTTCGTACGGCAAATTGAAGTGCAATACAAATAAGATGAGGGCATATAAGATGGGAGAGTCAAGTTTGTTTCTTGTTCATAGTCAGAGACGTTCAAAGTGAACGATGTATTTCTTATTGTCTTTACACTTTCAGGGTTCATCTAAGCTTTCCCTTTTTTTCAAAAGTCCTAATGTTCTGATTTATGATAGGTCAAACTGAGATGACCCACAGGGCTGAAACTGGAAGATCACGCCATTTCTGAATTGTGATTGGTGGAGTTGATCTATGGCCCTAAATCAGGGTCTTGGTAACACTGGAGCCTACCTGCTTATGAACCGTGGGAAATGTCTCTGCCTAAGCTACTTTTGTACTGGGGTGCCCAGGTGAGTACCTGAGTTAGGTACCTGAGTACCTGAGTACCGTACAGGTGTGAATGTTACATGCCTAGGCAAGTGCGCTGTCATACTTCAATGGCTCTCGCCGTTTTTGATTTCCCCAATTCTCTGATTGACATCATTTTGATTTGTTTATTCTTTGTTTTTATTTCGGTTTCTCGTCAACTCTGTTCTTCCATTCTCAGCCTAAGCCTCCAACGCCGAAAGTGTCCCTCTCATCATCATGACCACTCCTACGGAATTTCACGAAACCACCGCTCCCAAGAAGAAGCGGACACGCCGAGCACGCAAAGAAAACACTCCTGGTCCTGTCACTATGAAACCCAAGAAGATCTTGTTTGTGGATGAGATCGGAGATTCTTTGGTTGATCAGCTCTGTGAGATAGCCAAGCGCAACGACAATGATGACAATCTTGCTGCCTCGTCCATTTCCCTCCTCGATCACTTGCGCAGCAACATCACAGCACGTCCGGCAGCCTCTTCCTGTTCCAGCTCAGGAAGCTTTCATACAATATCTTATTCTAGCCCTGCGACGAGTGTGAACAGTCATGAACTCCCCCTGGTCACTCCCTCACAAGTACCAACGAAGGCCAATGTCCTACACCCAACCACAGATTCCCTTTACACGAAGGCAGAAGGCAGAGACCAAGATGCGGTATTTAGACTCGACGATTTCAAAACTATGACAGCTATCCAACAGATAGCTGCACTACATGGCAGAGTGGCGCACATGGGAATCCTCGACCACAGCTACCAATTCTTCGTGAACAAATCAAGGACGGCAGCATTGTCATTTAAGACTCAGAACGGGGTCGCAGTCATCGGTGGAGATCCATTATGCAATAAAGACGAAATCTCCGAGCTCCTGTCGGAATTTGCAGCCTACCGACAACGACATCACCTGAGCATAGCATTCATGGGTGCCAGCGAATCCTTCCTCAAAGACTACGCCCAACCAAAGAGCTGGACCACAATCCACTTCGCCACAGAGCGCGTACTCAACCCCCAGACAAACGAAGTGATCCTCGAGAACAGCGGGAAACGTATCCTGACTAAAAGCCGTCAGCTCACTAACAAAAACAAAGGTGGAATCACTATGGGCGTGTACGCCCCTGCTGTGCACGGCATAAACCAGGAACTTCAAACCAACCTAATCACCATCTACGATGCCTGGCGCGCCGAGCGAAACGCATCCGCCAGTCCACAAGCCTTCATAACCGTCTATGACCCCTTCGCTGTCCCCGCTTTGATGACATTCATATACACCCGCACCCCTGACGGTAACATCAACGGATTCGCCGCTCTTCGACGTCTCGGCTCCGGTGGATACCATATCGACCCTTGTATCGCAGCCCCAGGCAGCGTAAATGGAATCAGCGACCTTCTTCTCATCATGGCGATGGCGCTCCTCCGACGCGCTGGCGTCTCATACCTCGGCCTCGGCGTCGAACCACTACAATCACTCACCCCCGAAGACGTCAGCGGCATGCCGTGGCCCTGTAAGAAGTTCACACGCGGTCTATACGGTCATGCGTTTCAGCGTCTACCCATCGGCGGCAAGAAGGCATATCATGATAAATTCCGCCCGGACTCAACTCAGGACTCGGATCTTTATCTTGTTTTCCCATCTGGCATACCCAGTCCACGACATATGCTTGCTATGACCCATATGGCTAACATCAGTTTGCGGAAGATGTTCCGGGCGGATGTTGAGTCGTTTGTGTTGACTCGCAAGTTGAAGGCCGGTGGTAAGGAGAGTCCTGCGGAAGAGACCGATACGGGTAAAGGGTTTAAGGAGGAGGAGGTTCTTGTACTCTATTCGCCTTGTGTGCGTTAAATCATCATCTCTTTCCTCTCTTGCTATGTCAGCGGCCCTGGGCACTACATCATACTCAAGGCGTTCTGTTCTAATTGCTTGGCGGGTGTTTTGCTGGGATCTTTGTACTTTAGGTTCCCTGAAAAAATTCCTGGTCTGATTACATCTGTGTATCTTCCTACTCTCTTTTTATGGATAAAAAGCGATACATCCAATTTTGTATTTGCTTTGTGGGTAGCCATAGTTATGTACGTTGTTTGATTTTCTGCATAGGCAAGACTCACTCAGCGAATTAGAATAATAAAAACAGATATATCCACTACTAAGAAGTCTGACCACTTCATACTCGAAGATGTGTTCATGCCAGTATCGGCTCGAAATGTGAATCATAATGTAAAATGCAATGCAAAAGGCGATTCCTAACGCCCAGCCATGTAACTTATCCCGCAGCACTCAGCGAAAACGAGTTGATTCGATTAACATATACGACCAAAGAGGAACTCTTTGACGATAGGGGAACCCGAGAACTCCGGGTTTAAAAGGACACAGCTAGAATGGTATGAGACAATGTCTAGACCATGAATGCATGGTAATGGATGTGATGAAATACTGACTTGAGAAAATACTCCAACCCCACACGCCTTGATTCTAGGAATTTGGGTCGGAATTTATCTATCATAATGATCGTTATTAGCCAATTGGATAGTAATATAAAAAGGACGAGGAGCCACGGGAACATACAGATAACACTCTTCGGCGGCAATGCAGGCAATGCGTTCCTCGCATGTGGAAAAGAATCAACCAGCCGCTGGCGCAGGTCATCGAACTCGGAGTATCTATAGTAATTCCAACTATCAGCTGGACGTCCTCTCAAATCGGGACAGAGACGGGAAAGGAAAGGGGGATCAGAAACACACCTCATCCGAACAACAATCGGACCACCCTACACCAGAAAGTATCAATATTAGAAACCATGCCAACCACAATCCCTTATCCTCATCCAAAACTCACATCAAGCGTCTGAACCGTACAATTCCACACAACATACGACCCAACCCCAGTCATACCGCGCACAACAACATGATCATCAATAGCAACGCTACTCGCCCAGAGCCCTCGACTCGTCTCCGAGTTCGGGTCAGCGGTATGGTCTTCAAGGGTTATGCGCGCAGCGCCATGCAGCGACGACTGCGAGGCGTGCGAGGCATTGCGCTCGTGTCGACGCCAGTAGGGGGGTACTACGGCGGAGATGGGGCGGGATGTTGTGGAGGTGGAGGATGCGGAGCTCTGGGGCGGGCCATTTTGGCTGTGGGTGTTTGTCGCGGTAGGATTGGCATGGATGGTATCGAGTGCGGGGAAGGGCTGGGTATCTGGGTGTGGGGAGGAGGGGTGTGGCTCAGATGCCGGTCCGGCCTCCTCGGGTGCTGGCTCCATCCATTAGATGCTGTGAGGGATAAGGGTGTTGGTGATCTGCTTGGTGGGATTGATGTTTGTCAGTTTTGCTGTTGGGGTTCAATGCGTTTGGGGTGAGTGTGGCTTGGTTCGCGGAGGTCTTTCCCCCCATTATGCGGGGTGGCAAGTATAAAGTACTGGAGGGAATCGGGCTATTTTGGACGGGGTTGATGCAAGGATGGGCCGGACTTCGGCGGAGTTGTACAAGCGATCCGAGGTAAGACAGACTAACCTTGGGAACTGGAGTGGCAAGAGAGTGAGAATGTAAAGTGTGTAGATAAGTGTTCGACTAAATAAAGAAATTCAATTGGAGTCGATTTGAGACAACGGCGGTCAAGGGTTGGCTATCGCTGGTTTGGGGTTAGTGGCTTAGCTAAGGCTATCTGGGCATTTGGGCACCTGGGCAGATATAGAGATGCCGGGGAAATGTCCAATTCCATTTTTTATTAACATCTTTGATTGTATTTCCTCCCTAGAATCTCAAATATAATGGGAATTTCGGCCTTGTCTTCTTTGGAAATTGAAATTGACCCTCCTCAGAATTTCATCAGACTACACTACTTAAAGCCAAGCTGCACCCTAATCCCAATATGGTAAGCGTTGCTTAATCACCGTCCTCTAATGTTTAATTCTCTCAACTCAGACTGAGACATGCCACCTTCCTATCTTTGCAAAGTACAGTGATGTTTTTGTAGTGGAGACCGGAGACCCGATGACAGATGTGACACACAGTGAGCTGTCCACCTGGGGAGGACAAACGTCGCTACAATCCGAGATCATCCAGATATCCCCGGATCGACACATCTCAAAGCCAAACCCCTATAGCGGACCCTTCTTTCAATAAATCCATACCTCACTTCCAAATTAACGGGTCTCACTATAAACTCCCTTGGCAGGGAATACCTTGGGCTTGCCCTGGAAAAAAATTGAGAAACATTCGCTGCGGTAGAACCGCGAGGGTGGCACTAGTGCGTGCCACCATGCAAACCAACTAGTGCATTCTATACATAGGCAGTTATAGTCCTGTGATTGCTTTTTTTTGCTTTATGAGCTCCCACTCCTCCCTTGCTGTCTACGTTTTTTCTTTCTCTCCTCAAGCTACTCCGTACTTGCACTCCTACACCTGTGCATCTTCAAAGAACAGACTCTTGCTATTTATTGGCTTTAGATCATCAATTAAGCTCTCTATCTCTCCTCATTCCTCGCCTTGTTCTCGAAAGACTCTAGGAATTCAAGCTCAGTAGGTTCCAAAACATTGCCTAGTTCCATTACACCTTCCCCCCTTCATTCCATCTGCCCTAGGTAGCTATCGTTATCTCTATATTTGGGCTCTAGACCATGTATCAGACTGTCACTGGCATTCTTGAACACAAAATGGCTAATACCAGAATTTAGTAACTGCCCACTGTCAATTTTGATCTCGTCTTCAATTGCAACCAAGCTCAACCGACACCATGCTGTCTATGACCATGTTCATCCTCGCCTCGGCTGCCACTCTAGTCAACAGTCAATTCGACCCGACATCAGTTCCCTATGCTACAAGAGGTTAGTCGATGTTATACATCCTCCTTTTCTCTACATAAAATCATCATACTAACATGTCGTCCTTACCCTAGAGGCCTGGTGTAACTCCCAAACATCCGCATGTCCCCTCCTCTGCCTCCAACTACCAGGAGCCTCGGGCTCACCAATATCAAACACCTGCTCACCCGTAAGTTTCTCATATACCAAGAATTCCTTAAGAGAAGGCCAAACGCCCAACTAACTCCAAATTTCCAGGCCACGCTACTCTACTACTGCCTATGCAGCAACAACGTCACCCCCAATGCCACCGAATATTCCCAGACAATCCCCTACTTCACCTGCACGGAAACCAACAACCAATGCGTCCTCAAATGCAACGGTGACTCTACCTGCCAGAATAACTGCAGAGTACAGAACCCCTGTGGAGCTCAGGATCCCAAGCGTGTTAATGTAACTACTACTACCGCCAAAGCTGCTACTACTACTGCAACAGCGACCCCAGTCAATACACTTGTCAATGGAGCTACTGGTGCTGCTCCGCACATGGCCTCTGTTGATATGAGTCATGTATATGGGCTTTGTGTTTTGGTTGGTGGGTTTGTTGCCGGCTTTGCTACTCTTTTGTAGAGCGCAAAAGTCTAGATCTTGAGTGGCTTGCCCTGGGGTCTATGATTCAAGGACCAAGTGCTTGTTTGGATAATGAAACTCGGAGTTTTGGTTGTTCTTGATCGAGACTTTACTAATATTGGCTAGTCTTTTGTTGCTTTTGGGTTTGCATTTTCCGGCGGCATTAGCATTGAGCGTCTTTCTTTCTTTCGTTATTCAACCCTATTTAATACATACATGAATTATTAGAATATCGAGTCTGCAAGTACTATATCAAAAGAAATTCTGGGTTTGAATGAGCGACAGGTTCAATTGACCTTTCATCCTCACTAAACCTATATCTTTGCCCGCACCTTCGTGCTATCCATCCGCTGCCCTTCATCATCTTGCTCTGCAACTTCTAGGACTGGGAAGTTTGCCGGCATAATTCGCCGCGGCGTCGATCCTGGGATTACAGAGTATTTAGAAAAGTCTGAGACTCCACATTTCTCCCGGAGGAAGTCCTCATCTGTATCCAGGAGCCCGTTCACTATTTCGTGTGGGGCACGAAGCATGGCTAAAACAGCGTCTGAGAATATCGTCTGTTACAGCGTGTCAACATTGAAACACTAGAAAAAGTTGATGGCACTACATATGCAGAAACGAACATACCGGCTTCCTCAAATCATTCTTGTAGGATTTGTCGGATCCCTTATTATGCTCTGTAGCTGCTGACTCAATCGACTGGAAAGTAATGCAGTCAGCAATCCCCTCGCAGACTCCAGCTCGGGATAAAATCAAGACGAAGACACGTACCGATGCAGGCCAGATACTCGTCACCGCCATTTCATTTCGGCCTTGACGGACAAAGTCCATGGCCAGGCCTTTGGCCAATACACTCATTCCGACTTTGCCTACATACAACACATCACATATTAGCACATATATTCAAACACACTCTATGTCGACCCCAGCCTCCAAAAGCCACGAATCAAAGATAGAAACTCACCCATAGCATAAGCAGTCTTCCCCCTAAAGAACCTCGAATAAATAGGCGGCGAAACAACAACAATGCGTCCTTTCCAACCCGCCTTCTCAAAGAAAGGCAAAGCAGCTTGAACAGTCGCATAAAGTCCCTCAGGGTTCACCTGCTGCATAAGCTTAAACCGCTTGAGAGGCGTATTCTCCACAGACGACCACCAGATTGCGCCAGAATTGTACACAAGCACATCGAGCTTACCGAAGACGCGCACCGTTTCCTCAACAGCATGTTGGATCTGCGCGGCGTCGCGCACGTCAACTGTGACCGTTGCCGCGTGTCCGCCCGCTTCGTGGATCTCACGTTCTACTGTGTTGATGGTGGACTGCGATGAGTTTGGGTCTGGTGGGAATGGGGTCACTTTTGATGCGTCCGAGGTTGTTTTTGCAGATAGCATTACTGGGTTTGGTGTTAGTTTTGATGACCTTGATGATATATGTGAAATTGCATGTGGCTGTACCAGCATAGCCGTTCTTTGCTAGATCGATCGCGATCTGGCGCCCGATTCCGCGGGATGCACCTATTATTAGGGCGACTTGCTTGGTCTGGGACATTTAAAGGGCTTTCGTGAGGTTTGTGGTTTGGGTATGTTGCTAGAAGTCGAGAGGTGAATCGATTGACGTTATGGATTAAGCTCGATATATATATACTTCGGGTTTTTGTGATTATCGAATGCCGAGCTTTGTGGATTATATTTCTGTTTATGCAGTCGGCAAAGACAATAATTATAATCAAGATATTCGGCCCCGACCTGCCTTTATATAGCCGAAAGGTTGAATTGATGCTTAGTTTCCTGATTACTCAAGTTCCGAGGTACACCCCGGCCCTTGTGTCCACCCCACGAACTTAGAGAATCTTTGATGCCTCAGGCACAGTAAATTGTATCCAAGTCCATATATCTATCTAGAGTCTTCAATGGCTCAATACTTCCATTAGATGCTTTCTGATGATCAGAAATCTCTTCTGGCAGTATGTTAATGTAACCAAGCTGTCTGAGTGCAGAGACTGTTACTAATCGAGCAGCGGTTCTAGTTCTCCCGGTCGTCCATTGGCCTTTCGACTCTTTTCAGTCATGAAATAACACATCTTACAAAGGGTTTAATTTCTCTCAAAGGAGCTCATAATTTTTTGTCGATCCTCATCTACGTCTGTCGTGTTCATCGTGGGAACTTCTGGATGGCGGTGTAGTAGACGGTCAAGTTCTGCCAGATAATCAATCACCCATCACAATGATCGAGTGACTGATTGTCCCGCACCTTAAGCTCTCTGCCCTAAACAGCATATTGTTCTTAGCGTTCAAATCAGTTGCTGTCTTTCTTTGCTAAAAGTCTAGCTTGTTTACCAAGCTCCAGTTGCTTGACATAATTTGTCAGTGCTACTTCTCCCTGCAACGTATCATCTGAACAGCCCGACAAGATGGACACCACGCTTCCAGATGCCTCTGGTCCGTCTCGGGCAGATATGGATGCTGCAGCTCTGGAATCTACCATAGCTATTACTACCCCCCGAGCAAGGGTATTACTGAAAGTGGAAGGTATGTTCACCCCCCGTGCGGGGCTATATCCGTGATGATGTTTGTGCCCGGACAACGCTGACATGCTTCGTTTGACAGAGCCACCCAAATTTGACCTTGATACTTATATTGCAAACTACACTGGTGAGTGATCTCTTCTATCTCCAGACATACTTCTTTTTCTCATGCATCACCAGGGCGCACCCGCTACGACCGTCTTTACCTCATCGGCACATGCTCCCCATTGCTCTCGACCGACGCCCTCAAAGCAGCCATCGCCGAAGCTAGAACCAGCAAAGACGTTTCGAGATACGAGAAGGCAGTCCGCGCACTGGCGGAAGTAGCTCCGAGCGATCCTGACGCTTCTCTTGACGCGGCCTGGGTCCAGGAAACCAATCGATACGTACAGACTCAGACTGAGCGATTGGAACACGAGCTGCGGGGATACAAAAACAATTTGATTAAAGAGAGCATCCGGGTAAGGAGTGAAAATATTGTGCTGGGAGATGTGTGACACTGACCTCTATAGATGGGCCACGAGGATTTGGGCAACCATCATTACGAGACTGGTGACCTTGCTGCTGCCTCCAAGGCTTACTCTCGCATGAGAGACTACTGCACCACCCCGAACCACATCACTTCCATGCTCTTCAAGATGGTCAACGTTGCTACTGAACGCGGTGACTGGATGTCTGTGCAGTCAAACGTGCACCGACTGCGCAACTCTCAGTCAAAGCCAGAGGACGCAGCTAAAAACCTATCTAAAATCTCAGCCGCTTCAGCTTTGTCACAGATGCACCAAGGATCGTACCTCGAAGCAGCAAACTCTTTCTTGTCCGTCCCGCCGGAGCTGGGCGACAGCTACAATGAAGTCATCACCCCCAATGACGTCGCCGTCTACGGTGGTCTATGTGCTCTCGCCTCCATGAGCCGCGACGAGCTGCAGAAAAACGTGCTCGACAGCCAGACTTTCCGCACCTTCCTTGAACTCGAGCCTCATATCCGCCGCGCCATCGCTTGCTTCTGCAACTTCAAGTTCCGTCAATGCCTCGACATCCTCGAAGCTTATCGCCCCGACTACCTACTTGACATTCACCTTCAGCGTCATATCCCCCAGTTGTACAAACGCATTCGCACCAAATCAATCGAGCAGTACATGATTCCTTTTAGCCGTGTTACACTCGACTCCATGGCGAAAATCTTTGCCCCTACAGTCGTTGGCGGCGAAGCGCGTCCCACAGACATCTCCTCGCCGTTTGTACAAGAACTGGTCGGCCTCATTCAGGACGGTGTGTTGAACGCTCGCATAGATCTTGAGAAGGGATTGCTAGTGTCCAACCAGATCGACCTACGGGCAGAAGTGCAGCGTACCACGCTGGAGAGCATACGTGAATTCAACGAGGAGGCCCATTGGCGGATTCTGCATGCCGCCGTCCTCCAAGCAGGATTAGAGGTCAGACCCGAAAAGACTGAAGGACCTGGACTAGGAAAGGGTGCACGATTTCCTCGAGGTCCGGGTGGGATCAATTGAAGGAGACAGGACCGATCCCTCGACTCCAGGCGATTCGGGCGCATGAATGATGACGAATAAGATAATACCCCGATGCTCCAGCTGCGATTGCAACTGCAATGCAAATACTGTATGGCTTACAGAAATCAATTCAACTCTCAGTGAGGTATTCCTGCACGTACATGATGTCTACTTTTACACAACCAATAATAGTAAACCCCATAAACAACATGAAACATCGCACAAACCGGGCTGTTTGAAATGGTCATCGGGTAGCTGAAAACATATTATTCTTGCCTTGTCCGACCCTCGACAGGATATCAATCTCGCCGATCTGATCCGGTTATTAGTCCTCCGTGCAACACGATGACCTGGCACGCTTCGAGCTCTGAGAAATAGTCAGAGCAAGTATACTAAGAAGGCATCCTAAACCACTACAGAAGATCAATCGAGGTAAAAACTCGAAAAAAGAATTTGAAGATCAACTGGGGTTCGGCCTTCTGCATGGGATAATCTCCCTGGGGAGAAATCATATTACCGCCTTGTCTACCGCCTGCCATGTAGAAGGTCTTTCTTTGTCTCTTTGACCTACAAATACTCGTTTTTCATAAGATGACAACCATCTCCTCTCCATCCATCGGTCCATCATCGGTCTGGCTAGCTGCCATATATATAGTCATCATCAACAACTGAAGTTGGCCAATGAGTTGATAAACCCTAGGTGAACCAACAAGCATTCCGGCTTGGACAATAGCAACTCCCGAGTGAATAAGCTAAGATTTCAAGTCCGCTCGTTCAAACCTACTGCACTGTCTTGTAACCTGCCATCCGTGTTGATATTCTACTGTCTTCATCACTGCCTGCGATACGCTCCATCGATGAACCCCATATATATGAGCACCAATTCTGGGATAATGGAAAAGTTGACCCGCCCCCCGGGAGTGAAGTGGGGAAGTGGGCACTGTCGCCAAAGTGGTGCATGATTTTGCTGGTCAAAGATGCCAGCCGATTTTCAACATTTATACAGGGCTTTCCCGTCCTTGGTGAGCGCATTCTCATTAACATCAAATGTCGGGGGAATACCTGTTGTGAGCCATGATTGCACTTGTATCCATGTACGAATCTCAAAGTCATACATGGGTGCCTATGTGCTTCTTCCTCAGGGCATTGGATTGTGATGAGATCCCGAGTCAAGTTATATCAATACCATAGTTTTCTCCGTATGAAAAAGCAACTGTTTGTGATATTCTTTAAGATTTGTACACTGGCCTTGGTTTTCTGCTGGTAAAAAGCCCGATTGTCAGATTATGTTGAAAACCCCTGTAGATATTAAAATTGGCCATATACTCCGGCACTTTTCCTTTTTTGACATTCCTTGTGATACACTGGTAAAAGGGAAATTTCCATGAGAAGTCGGCTTCTTTTGCATAAATCGACTGGCTCTGTATTTAGTCTTTCACTCCCCGGTACCTTCCTAAGTAGTCCATTGCTCACTGCGGTCAAATATCGTTACTGTATAGATTGGCTTCCTAGGGCTACCTCTTACCGACATGATTGACTTCCTCTGTATTTACCCCATGTGCTTGGACGACCGGCGACGCAACACGAGAATTGAACTGGGTACCGATCTGTTGTCCTCTCACACATACCCGGCATTGACAGGGAACCATGATTCTTCGCAAATCTTGATGCAGTCTGACTGCGTCCCGAATTCCACGAAAATGATGCCAGAAATTACAAGTTCAGATGCTGAATCAGTGCCTGTTCCTTGTATTCCGTTGAAACGGACTTTCGACCAAATGGACGCGGCAATGGAAGAAGCTTCAGACTTCACTAGGCGATTGTCGCCCGCTTCTTCAATTCCAGCGCCAGTAATTCGTGCGTCTGGCTTGCCGGATATACCTGATTTCCTGTTGCTGGACTCTGTGATTGGAGCCGATATCAATCATCGCAAAGAGAGTATTCTTTTATCGCCTGTATTGGCCCCAATAGCGGAGGAAAGCTCCGAGGACAGTGATGGCGAGGACCTAAACTTATTGATACCTGAATCAACGGCCTCACTTGCTGAAATTGAATTTTCGAATCTAAAAAGCGATCTATTAACACCGCATTCATCGCCACCGGCTCCAATGAACCCACCAACTATGTCTGTTCCCGAAGTGGGTCACGATCGTCCTATCATCGCTCCATCACCCACACCGTCTCTACCAGTAAACTCTTTATCACCAGACAACCATGACAATAATGGAGACACATCATCTGTAGCATCAACAAGTGATGATTCAGACTCAGTATTTGATGATGGTCAATCAGAAAACACATCTAGCTACACAGCCTCATTGCTATCCGATGTGAAAAACTACGCCTATGAAAATGGAAGACGCTATCACTCATACCGCGAAGGCCACTACGTCCTTCCCAACGACGAACCAGAACAAGATCGACAAGATCTTCTCCACCACGTCCGGAATCTTGTGCTAAACGGCCGGCTTTTCCGAGCCCCACTGGACAACCACATCCAACGCGCTCTCGACATTGGCACCGGCACTGGAATCTGGGCTATCGACTTCGCAGACAGCTTCCCCAGTGCCGAAGTAACAGGTACCGATCTAAGTCCCATCCAGCCGTCATGGGTCCCACCCAACCTCCGCTTTGTGGTGGACGATGCCGAATCGCAATGGCTGTATAGCCCAAGTCGGCCCTTTGACTTCATCCATGCCCGGGATTTAGGCGGTGCTATCGCGGACTGGCCGCGGCTGATGCGCCAGAGCTACGAGCATCTACGTCCCGGTGGATGGGTTGAGTTGCAGGAGTTTGAAGTTATGCTCAAGTCGGACGATGATTCGATCCGTCTTGCGCCGGCGTTGTGCGAGTTTCTTGAACGACTGACTCAGGCCAGCGAAGCATTCCACCGACCTATGAATATCGCCGAAGGTCACCGGCAGCGGCTGGTTGAGGCAGGTTTCGAAGACGTGAGAGATGAGGTGTACAAGGTGTGACCCCACTCCCTCTCCTGTGCCCCGGACTTCTGTCTGATTGGGCCTTGCCTGTTGTTTGTCTCTTTCGTCATAACTAATTTGTGTTCTGTTTGCTAGGTTCCATCGAGCGTTTGGGCTAGGGATCCTGTGCAAAAGGAAATTGGTCGGTACAACCAATGCTCCCTTCTTATGGCGGTCGAATCCTACTCGCTGGCTCTTTTCACTCGTGTACTGGGATGGTCGAATAATGATACTCAGGTTTTCCTGGCGGGGGTGCGGAAAGATCTCAAGAATCCCGCTGTGCATACTTACTGCAAGCTGCATGTCGTCTATGGTCGGAAGCCGTCTCAGCGCCCAGTCGAATCGGCAATTTGACTAGGGATCTTCCCGAGGATGTTCGGAGTCAAGAAATATTGTAGATAGATTTGATATGGCTCTATGTATTTTGGGTGCGGGAGTAATGAGATACCTCGTGCTACTCCTCCTTCCGCCTGGCCCCAATGTGATCCCTCACCTTTACGTCTGCCACTAACCGCATTCGACTGGTACAACTCTGCGTTTCTTTGTTCTTTTCTCATTTTTCAGTCTCAGTTCAGTGCCCGATCACTTTCAGAAAACTGGAAAAAGAGAATCATTTACCAAATCCCACTCCTATCCAGAAAAGAAGCAGCCATATGATCCCGAACTAAATATGGCTTCAGGGCAGTGCATGATCTTGTGGACCTCTATGACCTCTTTTACTTTCAATCTTTCCATTTCTTGGGCAACCTCAAGTCCTAGCTTTTGGTGCGCGGCCGCAGGGTGCCTGGTAAGTTGCATCAACCCGTACTCCCAGCCCTCGTTGTTCCATGCAGGAAAAGAACTTTACAGTAGAGCCCAGTCCTCCCCAAGATATCTCCCCGGGGAAACACAGCAGCTCTGAGCAATGCAATCCAACTAGTCCTTCCCCCCCGACCGGCGTTTGCAAAGAGATCAGCGCTAATCAGCATCCAATCAACAGTTCTTACTCTGGGTGACCTACAGCACCATCTACACCTTTTGCTGGTCGCCACTACGCCACTTCCCCGGTCCAAAGCTATGGGCACTATCTCGCATCCCATCTAATCTCTCAGTCCTCCGTGGTTATAACCACCTGGATATTCTGGCACTGCACAAGAAGTACGGTCCCATCCTACGCCTGGGACCCAATGAACTGGCCTTCAACACTGCACAGGCCTTCCGCGATATCTACGGCACTAGACCTGGTGGTTGCTTCCCTAAAAATCGGAGCAATTACATAGCCCCGGTGAATGGGGTCGATCATTTGCTCTGTGCGGTCGATGATGCGACCCATGCAAGACAGAAACGGCTACTAGCCCATGCCTTCTCTGAAAAGGCTTTGAGAGATCAAGAAGGTCTCATCAATGGCTATGTTGATACCTTGATTAACAAACTGCGTTCTCAAGTCCGACAGGGGACTTCCATTGTAGATATCAAAAGTTGGATGAACTTTACCACTTTTGATATCACCGGTGACCTGATGTTTGGCGAGTCCTTCGATTGCCTGAAGGACAGTCAACTTCACCCATGGATTAAGTTGATCTTCAACTCTATGAAGGCTCTTGCATATATTGGAGTTGTAAATCAGTTCCCCATGCTCAAGGGCCTCCTCGACTTACTTCTTCCGCGAGAAGTCAAGCGCGTTGGCCAGGAACACTTTGATCTCAGCGTGCAGAAGGTTGACCGTCGCTTGGCGTCAAATATGGCTCGTCCGGACTTCATGTCTGCTATTCTCCAGAATGGACTTAGCGAGGAGAAGGGCCGGTATCTGGAGAGCGACCGTATCATGACTCGGGCTGAGATTCATTCTAATGGGTTCATGTAAGTGGCTTTCGTTGCTTCCAAATTCTTCTACCCATGTTCTTTCTTGTGCTTTGCTTTTCTAAATTGATGTATCATGCTGAAACTAATCATCAATAGTCTTATCGTGGCAGGTAGTGAAACATCAGCAACCCTACTATCCGGCTGTATCTTCTATCTTTGTAAAACTCCCCACGTCATGAGCCAACTCGTCGCCGAAATCCGTTCGACTTTCAAACAGGACACTGACATGACCTTCCGCGCCGTGGAAGAGCTGAAGTACATGAATGCTGTCATCGAGGAGACGCTGCGTATCTACCCGCCCTTTGTGACGAGCCTGTCACGCCTTGTACCACAAGGCGGAGCAGTCGTGAACGGCCACTTTCTCCCTGAAGATGTATGTATATGTGTTTTAGTTCAATCGATTAAAGTTATAGCCTGCTTACTAACCCCGACCAGACGACTGTGGCATGTCACCACTACGCCTCCTACCACTCCGAGTCCAACTTTGCCATCCCGGATAAGTTCATGCCAGAACGCTGGCTGGGACCCGATCCGGTTTTCGAGAACGATAAGAAAGATGTCTTGCAGCCATTCAGCCTCGGTCCACGTGGCTGCCTTGGAAAACAGTGCGTTTCCCATCGTTCTCCCTTTATCCACATTGCGTCACCTAAATTCATACTAATATATTCTACCCTCGTGTTAGCCTAGCTAACTGCGAAATACGCCTCATTCTCTGCAAACTCCTCTTCCACTTCGACGTAGACCTACGTCTAGAGAGCACTAACTGGGCAGACCAAAAAGTCTATTTCCTTTGGGATAAGCCGGCTCTCATGGTCACGCTGAAAGATCGATTTCCTGACGCAGGTGTCTCGGGTTCTTAGCCCATGACTCTGTTTTCATAATGATGAAATTGGGCCAGAGTTTGAGTTTTGCAGGTGACTTGAATCTGAGTTTAGGTCCTACCTACAATAGGTACAGACACAGTTTGCGGGGTGAGGTTTATGAGATCCATGACTTCCGTTTCTTTGCCTTCGATTCGGCTTTTTTCTTCTTTCGAGAATCGCTATCTCACGTCAGTTGTTTACTGGATTGGCTGTTTCAGTCTCTTTCGCGTTGTGATCTGTGACAGCGGCTGGGATCGGATATGGAGTTTGTTGCATTTTAATCGCATAATACATTCGTTTTGGTTAGAGGTGGGCTTCGTCGCTCGATAACTGCAGAATATTAAGCTTTTTTGATCTTCTAGATTATTTTATTAGTGAATTATCTAATGTGAAAAAAATCGGGTCAAGTATCTTCACTTGGATTATTGATATAATAGTTTCATTAGAGCCAATAGTCAATCCAATGAGCCTTTGTAGCTGTCTGGCAGCTCCGTTCGACCAAACTGAATGTTCAAAGAAACACCTAATTCCAAGTGCATCACCCACGGGGAAAGCTGCTCTTTGGAGATGCCTCCCTGAGTTCACCTAGATGGGAATTTGCACCAACATGTGTGGGGACTTTCTGAGTCGACCCAAAAGTCAGCTGTCTACCTCGTTGGGCGCGTTAGTGCTAGAAGTTAGGTATAAATAGCCACTTTCAATGGGGACCTTCTGAGTATTACAAATGGAGTCTCTAGATATCGTTTGAGAAAGGAGCGAAGGAATATGAAAAAGCTAAAGTACACAGTAGCTGACAAGTTTGGCTTCTACATAGTTTACTACTAATCCCAATATGGACTAGGCAGGTCTCGGGTACGGCCCGAGAACTAAATCGTGCGCGTTTTCGAAATTTAATGTAAATACAGTTGGGGAACCTCATTCGTTTCTTCTTTTGTGGATCAATTTCCGGAGACATCAAGGTATGATCTATAACATATCTTCATTCTAGGCATATTATTTGACAAAATAATGCATAAATCCATATTGGATATCCGCCGAGGCCCACTGTGATTGAAAGCTGTTGGAGGACTGACCGCTCGAAAGAGCAACTCAACGTCACTGGAGGACGCGAAGGATGTGGCATTTGTCTACTCCGTATGTTGAAACTGCATGCATCCTACCTAATCTAATTCAATTGTACCGAAACTACCCAACGTTAGCTTTTTCGTGCCAAGTGTCTTGTCTTGTAAAGTACTCCACCATGGCTCAAAAAAGTATATTGCACAGTCGAATATCCGCGGGAGACGTACAAGTCGAAATACGCCGAGTAGCGACTGGTATGTTGGCATGGCTTAATGCAGATGTTTGAGGCATCTTTCCAGTAGATTCGGCCACGTAAATACTGGTGGACATCCCGTCTAGTATTATGCACAGTCTCCCCCGGAAGGTTGCCTTATTGGGAGATCCTCGGCATAACAAAGCCAAGGAATGCCAAGCCTTCCCGAGGCTTATACATCCGGCGAAGATTCAGCCTGAAGTAAAAGTGGAGTCACTCCCCCTTACGCCGCCGGACAATTGTTGCCATTTTCTGCTCCTTATTGGGGATTTTGGGGATTTTTGTTAAATTACCAACCCTCTTTCCCTCTATGATATAGTTTGAAACCACCAGCGCGCTTTGACCTACTAATATGAAAGCCTCGCCGTGGTCAACTGGGTTGCCAAGACTGAGCATACGCATGCTGACTACGCGTCTATTACACTGGAGCCCTGGAGTGGAAAACCTCAGGACCTAGAGATCCTGTCAGGAACCAGCAATGCTTATTATAACTGCCTCGAATTGGTGGGTGTGCTTTGAGAAATGATCGCTAGTGGTTTACACACCACCTGCCGCGCCGTGTTTATCATCGTCCGTCTCGAGTATGGATCGCTTGCAATTCCAATGGCTGGCCCTGTATTCGGGGAAAGGAGGGAAACCCATTATGACCCTCATATTACTTTTAACCAATGCTTTGCATGGGATTAATAAGGAGGCGCGATTGATGTAGCAATGGTCCTTCATGAATCATGCATGGTGCCTCGTCATCAGTGCAAAAGATTTGGATTATCCACCTACCGAACTCCATTACACTATAAACACGGCAATTGGCACTTTACCCAAGCTCCATATGGAGAATTAGTCAAACAGTACTTTCAGAGTCTACCTTGGCATCATGCTAATGTCTCCAAATGCTTCCAAATGCCTCCATGATCATCAGTGTATCCACCCTCACGCTACCAGATTGCCTCTCGCGGAACGTTATTCCTCCGTCTAACATCTCTGACCTCTAATCAAGGGCTCGCTTATTGGTTACATCTTCTCTAAGCCTGTTTCCAGTGTGCCCGGCCGGCGGCGGCTGTCCCGTCCAGGCCCAGAAGTCTATTGCGTACTTGTCTCGCTGAGGAACAAAATGTTTCTAATTCGTGGAGCTGCGATAAAGGATCCAACCACTTTCGTCAGCTTCTTCTTGGAAGGAGTATACGGTTAACTTCCGGGAAGCAGGAGAGTATTAACATAAAAGACAGGAGAGATCAGGGTCAGAAACAGCTTTTCTTTTCTATCATCTGCAACAAATCTACTCAATCCATCTTTCTCTCTTCCAAACAAAATGGTTCACCTTGGATCTGCTCTCGCCGTCGGCCTTCTCGGTCTGACTGCTGCTGTTTCTGCTCACCCCGGCCACAACCACCGTGCTGAAGCTGCTGAGCGCCGCGCTTTCCTGGATAATGCTAGTGTTCACCAGCGTAGCCTGTCTAAGTGCACCAACAAGCTCAAGGCCCGTGGTCACGAGAACACCAACGTGATGCGCCGTTCCAACCTCGTCAAGGCCATCCGTCGGCGCCGTGGTCTGGAACAGAGTAAGCCTGAATCTACATTCTCGCTAGCTCAGCCGTGACCAAAAACTGACCTATTCCCGCAGCTGCTCACTTCCTCAACGCCCGCTCCCTGGACAGCGTTCTGGCCACTGACCACAACTCCACCCTGACTGGAGTCAGTGCTTCCACCGATCCCAGCGTTCTTTTCGGCTCCAATGCGACCTGCATCCTCGGGCCCGATGTCACCCAGGGTCCTTACTATGTTACCGGCGAGCTCATCCGGAAGAATATCGTCGAGGACCAGGAGGGCGTCCCTCTCTACATGGACATCCAGTTGATCAATACAAACACCTGTGAGCCCCTGGAGGGAATCTACACCGATCTCTGGCACTGCAACTCCACCGGTGTCTACTCCGGCATTGTTTCCAGCGGCAACGGTGACTCCTCTGACGCTTCCAACCTCGACACTACCTGGCTCCGCGGTATCCAGCCCAGTGACAAGAACGGTGTTGTCTACATGGAGTCCATCTTCCCCGGTCACTATACCAGCCGTGCCACCCATATCCACGGTAATAGAAACTCCAGAAATACCATCTCCCCTTATACTCAAATTCAAATAACTAAACATCATAAAAACAGTCCTGACCCACCCCGTCAATGAGACCGTCGTCCAGGCCAACGGGACCATCTCCGGCCTCTACAGCTCTTCTTCCTCCCACGTTGGCCAGCTCTTCTTCGACCAGGACCTCATCACCGAAGTCGAGAAGACCGCCCCTTACAGCACCAACACCCAGGAACTGACCACCAACGCTAAGGACTCCATCCTCTCTGAGGAGGCTGACACCATCGACCCCTTCATGGAGTACGTCTACCTCGGCAACTCTGTCTCTGACGGTATCTTTGCCTGGATCTCCATCGGTCTAGATCCCACAACGGATACCACTGTTACCCCCGCCGCTTACTACACCGAGCAGGGTGGTGTTGAAAACGAGAGCTCCGGCTCCGGCATGGGTGGTGGTGGCTCTGCCCCCAGCGGTACCTCCTCCGGCAGTCGTCCCACCAGCTTCTAAATTGATTTGAAGTGAGTTTGAAAAATCATTATTTCATTCAAAGCCCCATTTCCCTCTGAATGTGACTACCCGAGGAATATTTTATTTGATGCAATTACTCTGTTTTCACATTCGGAATATCTACACATAGCGTACATGATCCGGCGGTCTCTAACTGTCGGTTGCTCATTGTCTGTGTACTAATTACCAACTCCGTACAAAATCTTTAAACTAGCCTCGAAAGAAATGATTTTTAATATATTTGCTACGAGGCAATTACCCTATATTTGATGGTCCTGAGCATGGAAGGTTAATGGAAAACAGAGACAGTAGAAACCCAGCGAAGTTCATATTGCTAAAGCAGAAACCCTAAGGCACTAACTAGTTAGACGCCTTAAATTGAAAAACCAAGGAGCGTAAGGAAAGTGACATAGATCTCCTATTATAGTCTGATCATCTTTAGAACTGGATATCATTGAACACCTTCGAATCCCCTTCCAGCCACGGATCTTCCAGCTCAACAGATCTAATTAGCATTTCGGCATGTTTACTGCGCGGTCTAACTTGCACGCGGAATGGGGATGGATGACTGATAATACCAGGTGAAAACTCATCTGGGAGATCTATCTCCTTGCCATCCTCTCCGACACTTTTCGCAATATCAAAGACCGCGAGTGACTTTGAGATAGTGAGAAACAGGCTTGCATCGGCGAGAAAACGACCAGGACAGATCCGGCGCCCGAATCCAAATACCACCTTTTGAGGGTCGCACTCGGGGGCAATGCCATCCTCGCATTCCAAGAATCGATCCGGGTTGAATTTCATCGGTTCATTATATATTTCAGGATCGTGTGCAAATGACCTAGGTAATGACGATACTCGGAAGTCAGAGAAGAGGTGATAAACGAGCTTGCCACACTTACTCACCAGATGTTTGCGACCAAAACTGCCCCCTTGGGAATCCGATACCCATTGTATTCATCCTCCTCGGTTGCCATATGAGGAACCCCCAAGGGTGCAATGGGATGCCAACGCATGACTTCCTTGATGAGGGCATCAACATACGGAAGATTTTGACGATCGCTCATGGTGGGAAGTCTTGACCCAACTACGATATCGATTTCTGCTTGAGCATGGCGCTGGATATCTGGAAACTGAGCCATGACGCGAAAAAATGTTAAGAGCGTAGATACAGTCTAGTCATGTCAATAGGTGTTCAACGTAAGTGGGAAGGTTGCCTCTCTCACTGTATCTGCACCACCCGCATACATGACTCCTGCTGTCCACTTAATGACGCTTTCCTCCTCCGGTGTGGCCGGGCTATTTAGTAAATCCAAATGTCTAGAGACATACGAAGCCGCGTCCTTTTGCTTGCTTCGTTGGTGAAGGACAAATGCGTATGGCCTCTCTGCCAAGCTGGTCAAATTATGACGCCATTCCCGCGCTGTGCGTTGGAATCCGGCCCCCGGAAACCAAGTGGGAAGGTATTTTACTATTAATATCAGTTGAGTAAAGGACATTAGTCTGAAATATCAAGGTACTTACATATAGGGACACTATCAACTATCCAAATTCCAGTTTGCACTGCAATGGAGAATTGCTTATTGGAAAGATCAGCAATATCTACGAGAGGGTCTGGCCCAGATGGCTCGACCTTGTACCCATAGACCATATCTAGTATACTCGCTCCTGTCATACTAGCCTTGGGATCAGTTACTTTTCTGTGTTTCTTCTGTCTTCTGATGCTGCAGCTCATGGATTTGACCTACCGTTGCATGTTCGCAACCAGAGAATCAGGCTCTTGAAGGGTTTTCAATAGGAAATGTCTGGCCCCAAGTTCAAGCTTAGGATGCAGGTTTAAAATGGCATTTTTCGATCCAAGGAAAGTCGTGATATATTTTCGGTGTGTACGAACCCCATTGGCATCGCCCTTGAGGGTCACGAAGCGATTCCAGCCGCTCCTTTTTTTTCTCATCAAACATTAGATATCAAATAGATTGGCCGGGTTATGCAGTTTCTTTAAATGAGAGCCTTACAATTCAGCTCCAAAAACAGCCTGTGGCCGCGACGAGTAAATAGCCGATCGTTTCTCCAGCAGATCATGGGCTACTTCCGATTTGTTGAGGATGATAACTGTCTGTCCAATTGAAGCAAGTGAACTGATGGGGCCTGACAGCTAAGTGTCAGAAATTCGAGCGGGAGGTATCCCTGTAGAAACCCACCATAAAGATCTTTGTGCTTCAACCAGTGTTCCCACTCTTTACATCCTGGCTTCGGAAAATCAAAAAGATTCCCGATGATAGGCCTCCGAGGGGGGCCAGGCGGAAGAGAGCGATATTTGAATGATACCAAATATGCCCTGAGAGTGTGCACCCCGAACAGCCCTAAAATTACAGCGAGAGTGATGTATATGACAAACATCGATACCAGAAGTATGGAGATGGAGGCTTGAAAGTCGTACTTGGTGCTATAGGTTGTCCTTCTAGCAATCAGTGGATTTGTAAGTGAAATTCAGTTAGAAATAGCCAATATATAAAAGGACTTCATATGTATATGTCTTAAAAAAAGGAGAGCTAGGCCACTGATCAGCAGACGCAGTATACTTGTGTTCTCTGAGATATCGGACAATTTCTGTCAATAGACGTGGTAGGCCAGTAATATGCCTGTGCGTACTTGGCAATTTTCACAAGCTTCCTTGCACTCGTTCGGATTTGTGCATGAATAATATATTTGGGTTTCAACATACTAAACTGGGGCCTGTTAAATCTAGCTCTGCCACACCCCTTTTATCACGCAACCCTCCATCCTACGTAATGAGAATCCATATGGAGAGTCCGACATAGATGAATTGTAGGTCATGCATATTGCTAGCTGTCATACGGACCTTCATGCGGTAGTCATCCCGTGAGGATGACCAAATGAATATGTAAGGCGATAATTATTACACATAAATAGTATCAGGCGAACGCCCAATAACTCGTATATTTACCCAATACAGCACTATATTAGTTCACTGCCCCTGTCTCCGCATTCAGGCTACGATTTATTACCTCCATCTTCATTTTAGGATGCCTCTCCTATCAAAGCCCCCGTCGTCGGTGATTATAATTGGCGGCGGGTTCTCTGGACTGGCCATGTCATGCCAACTCCAGCAAATCTTCCACTTGGAAGACTATGTTATTTATGATCGGAACAATGATATCGGAGGAACTTGGTTGGCAAATACTTGTTCGTCAATTTTTCCGCCTGCATTCTCTTTGGTCAACCAAGTACTGAGAGGGACCATTTGCGTGTTATGCAACAGATCCAGGATGTAGCGTTGATATTCCAGGAATCTGTTATAGTCTCTCTTTTGCTCCAAACCCTGATTTCACCAAATTATTTCCTCCTCAGTCTGAGATATTAAACTACATGCACCGCGTGGCTACCTATTATGGGGTGTGTGACCACTTCACTGGAAATACTGAATGGGAAGGGGCGGCCTGGCAGGACAAGCAACAGCTGTGGGAAGTGAGACTGAAGGATCTGCAAACCGGAGAGCAGTTCACGCAGGAATGCCGGGTTCTCATTTCTGCCGTGGGTGGCCTCGTCAATCCCCAAAAGATGGACGTACAGGGTTCTGAGACATTTGAGGGGAGTATCATGCACACTGCCCAATGGCAACATGGCATTGACTTTTGTGATAAGCATGTCTCTGTAATTGGCAATGGAGGTGTGTTACTATTTTGTTTCTGATCAACTGAGAGCGTTGAGGCGCAGTCAGAACCAGAAGAAGAATATGCTGACGAATCTGCAGCATCTGCAGTACAATTGGTGCCGGAGATAATACGCGAGGCCAAATCCGTCACGCAGTTTATGAGGGTCCGTTCATTAACTTTCTTGTCTTCCGCACTATTCGAGGGCTAATGGATAACCTTTCCATCATCACAGAGTTCACATCACCTCGTTGAGAGCCCAAACTATGAGATTTCGCCAATTTGGCGATCTCTTTTTCGCTATGTTCCGTGGATTCTCTACATCTTTCGACTCTTAATGTTAATCTACATGGAAGAATCTTTCCTTCACTCGCAAACCAATGACCAAGGCCATTTAGCGAGGGCTAAATCCGAACGACAGAGCAGGGAGTATGTACATAGAACAGCCCCAAGTATGTGCTACATCCCCTTTTTTAGTAGGAGGGAGAATGATCTGATATTTCATGGCAGAAAGGTACTGGGGCCATTTAATCCCCACTTTCAAATTCGGATGTCGTGTTTGTGCCTCCCTATCCCATGGCTCAGTCTATAACTGAAACTATTTCATAGAGACGCATTTTTGACAGGGCATATACTGCTAGCCTCCATCGGGATAATTTCAACCTCATAGATGATCGCATTGTGCAGATTAAACCAACTTCTATTGTGACCGAATCAAAGCAAGAAGTTTATACTGATATTATCGTAAGTGACCTTTCTCTTATCTTTACACGAATTTCGGACGGTAAAGTTAAACTCCACACCACTTCAGGTGCTCGCCACTGGGTTTGCCTTGACGCAGTATGACATCGAAATCAGAGGTCGCCATGGAAAGACGCGGGAGCAGTATTGGAAAGAGGCGGAAGGGAAAGCCACCTTCAAAACGGTGGCGATGAGTGGATTCCCAAACTTTTTTTACATTCTAGGACCAAACTCGGGCCGTGTCTACACCTCAACTCTTGTCATGATTGAAAGGTGGGTAGTACCACTACCCGTTCGGGGATCAATTTCTTGTTGCTAAACCTGTGCTGATCAACTGGTTGATTAATTCTAGCCAAGTTAATCTGGTGATAAATGCCATCTGGCCAATCATACAACGTCACGCATCTTCGGTCGAAGTGAGAACTAAAAAAGAAAAAAAGTATCAAGACAGTCTGAAGTGTGCGCTGAATAACACCATCTACGATCGGTCGTGCTCTAGTGTATGTCTCCACCTTGTGCTGGTCGAATGATAGAGCTAATCAATCCTTTTGTTGAATAGTACTTCATCGATCAGCAGACTGGGAAAAACTGGTTTATATACCCGTGGAGCTCAGTTCATTTGTGGCTGGAGATGTATTGGAACGCGGCCGCTGGGTGGGAATACCATAGATAAACATCAGTGGTCAGTGGATAACGGTTTTTGGTTTAGTGGGTGATGCCTCGTTGACTCGTTAGTTAACTAGATCTTAGATTGTAAAGCACTAAGCCAGCGGGTAATCTTTGCGGTTTGTTTAAAAAATTGTAAGCTTTCTGCATCAATTTATTCAGCTAAAATACAGTTTCCAGTACTTAACTGAATTCAAATAGAGATATCAGTAAAACTTCAACTGCATTTGACTGAATTTGCTACAAGCAATGCGAGGTGGCGCACTGGCCCCTTCAAATTACCGTAGTGGGCGAAGTGCGTTAAAAATGTTTTTTATGGTTTTAAGAGGCGCCCTGTCTGGTGACGACATTGCTCTTTGGTTATCCATTACCGGCATATATGTTGTTGCACAATGGGGATATCAACACGGGGATGCATAAACACGTGTTTTGTGGCGTGGGGCATTAGGTACTCGTCGTAGCAGAACCTGTTTGCTAACTAGCGAGTAGATAAATCCTGTCGCCTCTCTCTATCCCTCTTCTCTCCCTCTGTTACTTACTTCACATGAATGCACATGCAGAAATTTTCCGTGCAGATATCCATCCGGCCAATCAATATTACTGTGTCGATAGAAAATAGCGTTGTTCATTAGATCCATCACCAATCACATAATGCTCGAAGGTTTCTATGCCTGAAAACTTTAAGTGTGTTCTACACACCAATATATCTGTGACCCAAATTGAACGGGCGGCATTTGCGTGATGGCATTGTGACATTGTAGATCACTGAGAGCGCTGATATACCCTGCCGAGATTCGCCACACGCTAGAAGCAACCACCCTAAGATGCAGTATTAGATGCTTTCAAATTAAATTGACCTTCAGTTTTGTGGCCTTATAATTCGGGTTTCAGGACTCGGGAGATCGAGTACTGTATACGGGGTGAAGCTGCATACTGGGGATGCACCATTTGTCGTCGGGAGCGGGCTCTGGGATGCAACCCCCGCATAGCAGCATGTATGTAGAAGCGAGCTAAATCGGCTCAATGAATTCGCCATCATCATCATCAGCATCAGCATCATCAAGTGACCTTCAGCGCCCGCGAGAATTATGTAAAAGAAAAAGAAACTGTAATAAGTGTTTATATATAACTCAGAAGATGGGCTTCAACCTCCTCTCTCATCCTCGGTTTTAAGAACACAGTGTCAAACAACAATCAATATGGTATTTATTAAAGAACTCTTTTACTGTGTCACATTGCTTGGTGTGCAATATGAAGGTTTGAGGTTCTGGATCAAACTCATCGTTACATTCACTGGCTTGGGAATACTCATTGCCACCCTCGCGCTGGCAGGTCTTCTGCTGTGGGTACTGGTGGACAGCAGGAAATTAGTTTCGACTGTGAAAAGTCCTAACTTTATTCTGGGTCGGCCTCTATTATTCCCAGTTACTCTTACACATACAAGAGTCTCCCCAGTCAAGAATCAATTCAGCCACCGGGCCTTTTTGGTTGGCATTCCAATAGGTTTCCGAGGCCGAATCGGTCCTCTCTTGTCTATAGATCAAGATCCCTTGACATTATCTAACATCACATCTTTAGGACAATTCTTTGCTTGGTTCAGCTTTGATCCTGTGCGTTATCTACAGCGTGGGCACAACGAACATGGTCTTCGGGATAAAATGGATCGATTTCTGCGCTCGCAGGTGAGACCCAACCCACTGACAACGGGCCATGTCGACTAATACCACTGAAATCCAGAACAAAGATCCAGCAACCTGGCCATATGCCTATTTAATGAGTGTACCACGCTTCCTATGGTGGGAGCGTAATGTGGTATCATTCTGGTATCTCTACTCAGAATCACAGGAATTAGATGCGATGATCATGGAAATCAACAACTCGTTTGATGAAAAGCGAAATGTCCTTTTCCAACTCCAACCTGAATACATGACCCCCACGACCAAAATGGACGATTCGGCGAAAGAGCCCATATATCTAGACCAGAAGAAGACTGTTCTGTCCCTTCCTTCATTATCCACTGCGAGGTTCTACAAGGGTATTTGGGAGAAACACATATTTGCATCTCCTTTTGAGAAGGTGGAAGGATCTATTTCCACTCGCTTCATGGATCCTTTACAGGAATTCCCATTCAACCCCACCGACTCAATTGCAAACGTTGTTTCTGTTGGCCTACAGGGGGAAAGTAAAATGATCACAAGGATCAGCTGTCGGGAACCCCCTGTGGACCCAGTCAACGTGACTACAACTCACTTGGTCAAATCTATCCTTCTATGGACAGTCCCCGGCACCCTGACGACTCCCCGCATTCTCTTCCAGGCCCTTAAGATCCAGTATGTTCAGGGCTTGATGCAGATGATGGATCGACCTGTGATCCAACCAGGCAGTGTCGCGCGCCATCCCACTTCCATAGAGAGGTATGTACTACTTTCTATTTAATCAGCTATGCTTGTTGTCACAGTTCTAACAAGTTTGCAGGAATCTTGAGTCATTCTGGCGTGCCTTCCTGTCCCGATGTGTTACGAGCTTTCCCGAACCGGTAGAACTCACATACATTCCCTCCGCATCGATTTCAAATGAGCATGTTCGCCTTCTCTCTCCTTGCAGCAAATCAGCTGCGGCAGTCAAATGCCTGACTGTAGAGGTGGTTGATCCTGGATTCTATGCACGAGTGGTCAACTACGCTGATCTTTGGGAAGGAATATCGCATGAACAGCAGCAGAAAGAGAACCATGCAGACGCTACATCCCGTCCCCTCACTGTATCGGATCTCCAGCTCCTCCATACACTGATCTCCTCTTTTCAAAAGATGGTGCCACCCTTTCCACGTGGGTTTGGGTTGACTCTGCGAAATGTCCTTGCCTGGTGCCGTGGCTCGAGGAGCGAGATGGACTCTTTCGTGCTATCTTCGACAGCTCCATTCCTCCATCCCCGCTACACGGATTGTGTCATCCGTATTGCACTGATGCATCGATTTGCCATGAATTCTCCGTCACTTTTATGGATTTATGGGGTCCTTGCTCGGTGGATGCTTTTGAACATGGGCCTATCTGTATTATCCATAATGGGTATCGTTCCAACCACCTATAGTCCTGTGATCAGCGTCATCATGTATTTGTTGCTATGGAACATTGGGCATGTGGCAGTTAGAGCACAGTTGTTTCCTTTGACGTTTTAGTTATTTTAGTTATTTATATATACGTAGCTATGACCCAATAAAAGTTGCTTTCTCCTCTTCAATCCCCCAAATGCCGTTCCAAAATCCTTTAGATCAATATAGCCACTCTGATATGAATCAACGGCAGATTAACCGTATATCTCAACAGAATTGGCTTTTTACTTCTACTGATAAAAATAATATTCAAGAAGGGTACGTGCTTAAACTTCCCAAGATACTGCGCAATCTCGATGATCGCAGTCGGCCCGCCTTTTGTAGAGAAATGAGGCATCGTCACCTGCACACTAATAATAGGTATTTTGTCGATCCCCGCATAAGAGGTGTGCTGTGAGACGGTGATTCCACATGTAACAAAGTTATTCCGGGATGAAAACTTAGTAACCATTGCCTTGAATGACTTCACCTGCTAGATTGACGGAATTGGCCATAATCATCATCGCTGGCGGCTACATAATGTCTTCTTCAGCACACCTTTTGTTACACGGTAAGAATTTTATAGTTCATGCACAAGATCCATCTGGTCGATCATCACGAAGATCATCTGCCTAATAGGCATATTTAAGATTCAAATATGTGTTGCTATCTTTATCGGTGGATTATTGCATATAAGATGGCGGCTTAAAGTTTGATCCATCATTCAAGTTACGTTAGCAGCCAAGAATTTCATTACAGGGCCCCGGGGGGTAAGGACATTTAAATCTTACCACTCACCACACTTCAGCTTTGGCAACTCTGAAATCACTCCATATTCCGTCCGCCGCTTATCTCACTATCCAACCAAGCCCATACAATGGACCTGTCATTTGAAGTCTACCGCGGTTCACCCAGTGGTCACGTTGTATCGGACACTACGACTCGAATCTTAGGACCCAATGAGGTCTATATTGAAATCACCCACTCAGGAATATGTGGAACGGATGAGCATTTTTTGAACTCAACCCAGGTCCTCGGCCATGAAGGTATTGGCGTCGTCAGACTTCTTGGCTCAAACGTGACCGCAGTCAAGGTTGGCGAGCGCGTTGGCTTTGGATATGTGCGCAAGGTCTGCGGTGACTGTGATAACTGTAGAACTGGTTTGCATTAGCTCTACCCATGATAATGTTAAATCCGGGACTCTAATACCCACTATTAGGTTGGGATCAATACTGCCGGAATGCTAGGATCTACGGTGAATGTGACTTTGACGTCGGTACGTTTGGCCACGGCACCGTCTGGGATGTGAGTTGTGTCTTTCCTATTCCCAATGGCTACTCATCTGAAGACGCGGCGCCTCTCCTCTGTGCTGGGGCCACGGTCTGGAACTGCCTAAGTCATTTTGGTGCTCGTCCAACAGACCGGGTCGGCATCCTCGGTATTGGGGGACTGGGCCATTTGGCTATCAAGATTGCTGCCGAGATGGGATGTCATGTCGTGGTCATATCCCGAACAGACGATAAGAAAGAGGATGCACTCCGATATGGTGCAGCGGAGTTTCATGTTCTAGATCAGGTTGATCACTCTTCTTTTCGGCCTTTGAAGCATTTGTTGCTCTGTGGAAGTCACTTGCTCAACCAAGCATCGTTAGTACCCTCTACTATGGTATAGCTGTGAGCATGTACTAAATTTCTGGTTGGCAGATTGATACGCCTCATGGATACCAAAGGGACTATTTATCCCATGACTGTTTCCCTCGCAGAAACACCCGTACCATTCCTCGCGTTGAACGATCGTGGGGTTCGCATCCAAGGAAGTCTAGTTGCTTCCCGCCAGAATATTCGTGAACTGATAGAATTCTGCAATCGCAAGAAAATAAGTCCTACAATTATGAAGTTTCCTATGACACCAGATGGGATCGAAAAAGCGATGCAAAAATTGAGAAATGGGGAAATAAAATACCGGGCAGTTTTAGTGCGTGAGCCACCTCCAGTAGAAGCTTAGAGAGCATACGGGAGTGTTTGACTTCTGCACTCAAATGTGATTGTAGGAGTCATATTCATTTTGGCCCGACTCTGCAGCATCTGTGGTCTATTATTTATCTGATTACTATGTATTTCGAATAAGTGAACAAATAACCTTCCACTTTATGAGTCCTTCATTGTGTATTTTATGCTATATGAATGTTTTTAGATCACTTTGCCCATCCCCGACCTGCGGTATCTACCAGCTGGGGTTGGTGCCGTCAATGCTCCAAAACTCTCCCGCACCGTTCTCCTTGTTCAAACCATCGATTTTGGTGACAATTGCATTCACGCTGTCCTCAAGCTCTACAAAAGCGCCAGGGTATCCCATTGTTTGGGCAGCGTGGTTGCCAGCATCTGTCTTAACTGAACTATGGAAAGATATTAGTCAACACCTCAAGCGAGACAAAAAGGTAGCTCCATACCCAGGGTCGATAGCCAAGGTGGCAATTTCATCATTCTCATAGTTGATTTTCCGGGCAAAATAGTTCGCCGCAGCCTTGCTAGCTCCATAAGGTCCAACCTTGAGCGGAATATCTTTGATACCTCCAATCGTTGCCATCAGACTGCTGATCAGGATGAAGCGAGCAGACGATGACTTCTGAAGAAGGGGAAGAGTGGCTTGGAACAAGCGCACGGGTCCAAGAGTGTTCACATCAAAATGGGTTTGAATCTGAGAAGTGGTAGCCTCAGCAACTGCAACGAAAGCAGCTGTGTCGAAGATTCCCGCGTTGGCGATGACAATGTCCAAAGCTGACACTCCCTGGCTGGACAGTGACTCCACCGCAACCTTTCCGTCAGTGTCAGAGCTGGCGTCGATTTTGACAATAATCAACCGACTACTCTCCCCCGTGGGAAGTTCGGAGAGAGAGGTTGCTTCCGATGAGCTGGGGTTGCGAACAGCTGCGATCACAGTCACATTATCGCGAGCCAGATACTTGCTAACCAAGCCACGGCCAATTCCTGGATCGATTGTTAAATTTAAATTGCGAAATTGGTCAAATGTGTAGATGTGGCTTACCTTTGTTGGCGCCGGAAATCAAGATAGTAGACATGATGTTATGTATTGCTTTTTTGTCTGTGATATATTTCGTTTCTTTGTTTAGATATATATCTTCCTCTTCTGAAAACGAGAACCGGTCATATTATACCTTATAAATACATAAGCAATTGATAATTCGGCCCCCAACTTGACTCACAACACCCCGCTTTGGATCGATGTAACCCCTCCATGCCTGAATTCTGCCAACATAATTGCTAGGTGAAAGTATCAATATCCTGGAGGTAATTCTAGTGTACCATTGCGAATATAGTTTGATTTGCGAGCATTTGTAAGATCAGTATAATTAATTTCCAAGCATATTGGTAATTGGTAATCACCAAGATCTTGCCTACAGCTCTAAGTCCCTACCTAAACCCTTTCAGACATACACCATACATCCAATCTATGAAGTTTTAGCTTAGAGTAGTTACGAGTATTATGAACATTACCATGCATCGTCATAAGGTAAGCACACTACTACATACCGACGGGTCAGCAAATACGCACAGACCACGAGCTTCCAGATATACCCAACAAGAATAGTCGGTTCGGCATCACACTCTAGATATAGCGTCGATGCTAGTCGCAGTATGACGTGCGCTTATCTGCAGGGTCAGCAGTATGCTCCAAGATCAGCCAGAAGTCCAATAATATCCGACCTCCAGAGCTGACCATGCGTCGTAATCATCGCGCTAACCATATCCATACTACCTCCACTCCATAAAGTGCTTGCTGATTCAAGATGCGTATTGGCATTTTCATATTCAGTTCTCTTGGAAATACCATTTCCATTCGCATTTTATGGCTTTTAGTCTTACGTAGATACTCGAATTGCCAGATGAAGCCTCAATTTCAAGAGCCAGACATTTTTCGTGTCTAGATGAACTTAACCATGTGATTAATAATTGTGAAAATACATTAAGGGTAACCATATATTAGGGGAGAGTAGGAAATCCTTACGTGTTGCTGAAATAGACAGATACTTCAGTTTACACCTCCGACCTTGAGCCTGCGAGAAAAGAAATCTATGCATTATCATGTGTCAATTATATATCCACCATATGAACGACAAATATTCGCTGATCATGATAAGATATGGTCAGCCAGCTTCGCAATACGGAGTACCTAACTTGCATCTGGTAGCATACTTAAGTGGAATCTAAGAAGCGTGCACAAAAATGAGACAGATTGAGGCGCCTATAGAATCTTTCAGGAGTGGAGCCAATTTACAGGGTTGCTGCCAGTCTGTGGCGTAAAACGGAGAACAAAGAACAAAGTCAAAAAGTAAAGCGGCAGGAAAAGGTATATTCAATAGCTGAAGATACAAATGTATAAAATAGACGCTAGATCGTTGTCTGTCGTGGAGAAAGGTATCAAAACATTAAAGAATAAAAAATGGACACATATAGGCGGAGTATAGATGAATACATCCATGAGAAGCAACATCAGAAACCCCGGAATTAATAAATCGACAAGCACGAAGCTCGTCTCTTCCACAACCAAAAAGCCGCGCAAGACAGAAACGTATATAAATCACTCATCAGACTTACGCGAAAGCGCAGGCCAGGGCCAGGAAGGCACCACCAACGGTCCAGACGCTGCCAGCGATCTGGCCTGCGGAGTTGAAGGCAGTCGCGGAAGCGGCGGGAGCGCCGCTTCCGATGACAGCGGTGGTGGTGGGCGCAGCCACCAGAGGGGTGGAGGCGGCCAGAGGAGTGGACGAGATCACAGCCGAGGACTTCTTGGGGGTCGAGGTGACGAGGGTCGACGAGGAAGTGATGGCCGGGGTGGAGGTGGAGGTCACCTCGGTCGTGCTGGTGCTGGTGCTGGTGCTAGTGCTGGTGCTAGTGCTGGTACTAGTACTGGTGCTAGTAGGGGTGGGGGTCTGGGTTGGAGTGGAGGTTGACGTCGGGGTCGGGGTGGCGGAGATAGTCACGGGCATCCAGTTGAGATCATCTTGGGCCAGGGTGCCGGATGGGGTCACAGTGCCGGCGGAGGCCTGGCAGGAGGCGTAAGTGGTGCCGGCAATGTTGCAGGAAACGGTTCCAATGCTGGTATTTGAGATTAGAATGCGGTTCCCATGAGCAAAGTTGTGCTAGTACTTACGTTCCCTGGAGATCGATGTTCTTCAGCTGCATGGAAGTCGGGGCAGCGATTGCGGTCATGCCCTCGCCGGCAATACCGCAGGCAGAAGCAGTCTTGGGGCAGGTGATCTTGTAGGTAGTCGCATCTCCATTCTGTGAATTGTTAGTCAAAGGTGCTGGGATTAAAGAGCGCATTGATCGCGCAACTAAATCCGCTACGTACGGTTTCGATAACACTAGCCTCAAGATCCTGGCCCTTAAAGCCGGGCAGGAGGAGGGTTGCGGTGTTACCGGCAGCGGCGGCGGTAGCGCCAGTCAACAGAGCGACGGTGGAGAAACGCATGTTGGAGATAGATTGGTGGTTGAGCGGTATTTAGATCGAAAAATTGTCGATAATCAAGATGTTGGAATCGCACAAAGAATGAGGTACACAGTACTTGAAGTAGAATCAACAATTGCTCAAAACGAAGGACTGGATTTAACGAAAGACTGTCGAACGACGAAAGAGTGAATGACGGACTGCTTGAGCCTGAAGGTGTGAAAGAAGGAAGAAGTGTCAGAGAGAGAGAGATCTGGGGGTTAGGCGTGCATATTACTGACTTGGCATAGTGCCGTGGGCAGTCGCCAAGACGAGTTCGGCATAGTGGGATTGGCCCATATTGCGGTCCAAGCGGATCTGCCAGGGCAGACACGATAACGCAGGAACAGGGCCCCAGGGGTTCGAGGTGTTCGAGGTTTGAAAAGGGGGCAGTTACCATAACCAAGTCCGAGTGCCTTCCAAGGTTGGGGGAAACCAAATTAGGGGCGTTTTAGTGGAAGTTTCTTGATGGAACTAGGCTGATCTGGGCCTAGGGGCCGAGCCGACCCCTGGCTCACATGCCTATTTGGGAAAGTTGTTTGATGCTCTTCATTTACGTCGGAGACTAGCGAGATGAGATCAACAAAGTAACTTGGGAAATTTCATGGTCTATGATGTATAAAAAAAACTCCGCTGCTTTGGAGTATACGGAGTACCGAGTACACATTTATGTAAGTTGACTGTCCAAAATATATATTAATTATCGCAATCTTCTTTTAACGCCCGTAATTTCCCCAGGTCAGCCACCGAGTGGACTAGCGTCCACGAGTTCGTTCAAATTACGCCCGGTGAAAAAGCCCGTGCCTGATTTCATCAACGCGCAACGCCACGGATGAATTAATTAATCTTACGAACCATTGTGCCAATCAAATACTTTAATTTGTTTTTACCTGTTTTCACCTGCAATCCACATGTACTTAAATTGCAATGAACCTGTTAGCCGATCAATGCCGGTAATCTCAATCCTAGGCCGTTTTCCATGCTGAGAATGAAATAACTTTCACAGCCAATCCAACAAAATCCTGCACCACTGTGACAATTTATCATGAAAACTAAAACTAAAAATAATCACCAAGTCCTTCCTGCTGAGGATCTAAAGTGGTTGATACCTCCACACACAATTCCTATGACGAGGAGCACGCCATTAAAGCCAGCCATGATATAGAATGGTGTGCCCGCTGACAGAATGTCAAATAACAGTCCACCCACTTTGGTCAACAGCAGGATACCTGCTCCACCATATAGTGAATAGACACCTGCGATGGAGCCTTTGAGGTGGGACAGATGCTCTAATCTCTGGTTACCCGACCCGGCAAGAAGAGACTGGCCCTCGTCGGGCTCTGCTTCATTCTCGTCCCCACGGACGCGTCGTTCCTCAGATATTTTTCTTAATGTTTCATTGTCAATACTGACCCGCAAGATACCGTTGCTCAGCACAGCCAAGCTGCAGACAATTGCTCCGATCTGGCTGATTCCAAGCAGAGCCATCACAACAAACACCCCCGGATTGCCGTCGGGTCTTTCAAACAAAGGGTTTGGGAGCATAGCGAAGATGATATAGCCAATGATTCCCACCAATGCTGCGAAAAGAAGTGGGAAATTGTATCGTCGTGATTTGTCTGTCAGGTACCCAAATGCTGGAGCTGCAATCAATGCCACCAATTGGGACACCCCGGTCAGTATGGATGCGACGATGTATGCACGGGGGCACGCTTTCTTGATATCCCCTAGTCCCGACCCAGGCACCGGTTCATGTTCCTCGTCGCAGAGGCCCGATACCCGATAGTAGTGATTAACAGCGAGAGGAATGAACAATGATATCCCCACAGAAGAGGCCCGAGCCACGAAGCCTCCGACGTAGCCGAGTCCAATGCTACGGTTTCGGAATCCCAGTGTAAGGGCAGTTGTCAACTGCTTCCAGTATGGCAATGTTGACCCATGGATAGATAGATCATCGTCGTCTTCATCTTCGTCATCACAGTGATGAGATGTTTTCCACAAGGCACTCCAACTTTTGCCCTTTTCTCCGGGAAGATCACGGAGGCCAATGAAACATACAAGGCAGATAACAAGGGATACGGCAGCAACCACATAATAGCTGCGTTGGATCGCCTGTGCTGGGGATAATCCCATCTTCTCGAATCGGGCTGCAAGTGGCAGGAAAACAACCAGTGCCACAAGCGCACCACAGCCAGCGCACATGCCAACAAACCCGGAGAGTCGCGCAGACGGTGATGCGCTGGAAGCACCAACATTCGTGGAATGACCATTCCTGGCGCGCTCCGGTGTGATGGTCAACTCCGAAGACACAGATGCGCGATATGCCTGGGAATTAAAGGCTGTGCCAGTAACAGTTGGCAACACTGCAGTGACCATGGTTGACACTGCTGAACCACCGATACTGAAGAGCAACCTTCCCAAGAGAAGCTGGGGATAGACATTCGTGGCTTGCACAAAGACGACTAGTGCGAGTGCTACAATAGCATAACCTGCAGTACATACCTGTCTAATGTCAATATCACTGAATGTTATTACCCCAATGTGGGCCAGTAGAAAGCTTACATGGCGGACTCCGATTCGGTCCGAGAGAACACCCCAAAGTGGGCAGGCAACTAGCGCAAGGAGTTCATCTGCGAATCCCAGAGTTCCCACTGAATTTCCCACTCCATCATGGACACCAACAAGATCGATCACCACAAACGAGATGGATGAGTTGAGGTAAACCAAAAAAGCTATGGAAAATGGACAGACCGCCAAGAGGTAAGTTAGTGTCTGGCTGCGCGAGGCAGTAAACAATGCCGGTGATGAAGCCATCACCGGAGATGATTCATTGCTTTTGAATGACAAGTATAAGGGTAGGATGTGAGGCTCCAGCCAAGGAGAGTTAAAGAAGGGCCTTGCAGGATTCGAAGATGATGAAATACCTCGAATCGATGCAAATTGGCGAGGAGATGATCTCTGGACGGTGTCACAATGGTTGCTTCTTCAAGGCGGTGTGCTCCCAGAGGGTATGTATACTTAGTGCCTGAGGCATAAATACTTGCTATATGAATGCCTTAGGCCAATACGCTTCCTACTATTCACACTTACTAGGTACTTACTACCTAGGGCTTAGTGAGCATATAAAGAAGGGTTTGATCTTAGACTAAGCGAATTCTTAGCACTAATTGAGTGCATTCTGCATTTAACTAGTAATTAGTACTATGTAATAGAGACCATACGATCTTTACAGAATCTCACCACTATGGTCTCGAGCAGATTCCAGGGCCTAAAGACATCTCAAAATTCCAACTAAGAAGACCAACTGAAAAGACATCGTAAGGCCAAAAATGTAGCCAAATATTCCCGTTATAACAATTTAACAACTTTCATACTTTATCATAGTGAAATCCAATCTTGGTATCTATTAAATAGTCTCGTATAGATCTGGGTGGCAGCACGTGTTGGTCGCTGACGTAAGATGCGGAGAGGCGTCAACGGGTTATTCTGGAAAGCTGTCCAGATCAAGCTACTTACTCCTCCCAAGTAAACGGCATCCACTTCGTTTCTCTGCCAAATGCTACCTTGAGACGCCCGCCTTTTTTGTCCTACCTTCGGTCTATGACCTTCGGCTTGTCCGATCTAGTCGATAGCCATGAGACTGGCCGCGTATGCTGGGGTAAGTAGTACCGCATCTGATGGGGGAGACAACCCGCTAACCTTGGAACCCCGTTTGCAGGCCTCGGTGGTCCTAGCCACTGGTGTGTTTCTAAAAGCTCTTCATCAGAGGTCCAATTTCTATTCGGCGTGCGTCTATCTCTCTCAGAGTAGTGCGAATCTTATGGTGAGTTGTCCAATTTCGGTTATCGCGCTTGGCCATCATAGTCCCAACTGATTAATCTATCTCTAGATCCTCACGAATTTATGCCTTCTCATCACCGGTTTTGTACTATTCTGGCTCCAGCGACTTCTTTACGGACCCTTGCGACCAATCGAGACCGAGCAACTATACGAGCGGGCCTGGTTTGCCGTCACCGAAACATGTCTGGCCATGACCATCTTCCGAGGCGAGCTTGGAGGCTGGTTTCTGGTCATGTTCATTTCGCTGCTGGTCGGCAAGGTCTGGGGCTGGATTGGCGAAGGCCGCGTTGAGTTCTTAGAGCAACAGCCGCCGGCTAATCCCCGGTTATTCCATGCTCGACTAGCGACGTCTCTCGTGCTAACGGTGCTATTTGACGTTTTCATGTTGCGGTACTGTGTGCACACCGTAATTACTCTGGCACGTCCAGATATGATGGTGATGTTTGGATTCGAATTCGCGATCTTGGCGATCCTCTCGACTTCCACCCTCCTGCGATACGTTATCGCGTTGACCGAGATATCCATAACCCGCCAGCAAATCAAAGCTAAGATGCAGGAACGTCGGGATGAGATCCGCGTTGCGCGTGTTGAGGCGATTCGAGAACATGCCCGCGCGGGAGCTGCCTCTCCTCCCGACAATCTTCCGGACGAAAACGACATCAATGAGATGGAGATTGATGTACCCGGATGGGAGGAGAAGGGTCGTTGGGTTTTCTACTTGGATCTTTTAACCGATTTGTTGAAACTCGTGATTTACTTGAGCTTCTTTGGTATCCTGCTCACTTTCTATGGCCTTCCCATACACATCCTGCGAGACGTTGTTGTGACCATCCGTTCATTTACCCGTCGTATTATGGACTTCATGCGTTACCGAAATGCGACAAGGGACATGCACCAGAGGTATCCGGATGCAACGGCAGAGGAAGTCTCTCGGGAAGATGTGTGTATCATCTGCCGCGAGGAAATGATTCCAGTTCAGCCGGCGCAACCACAACCGGCGGCTAATGCTGCTGGAGAGCCTGCACCACAGCCGGCCGCTGCAACGCAGCGTGTTCCTGACCGCCTGCGTCCAAAGAAGCTCCCATGTGGCCATATCTTGCACTTTTCGTGTCTCCGAAGTTGGCTTGAGAGGCAACAAAACTGCCCAACATGTCGACGTCCTGTTATAATACCCCAGCGAACTCGTGGAGCTGCCGGAGCTGGAGACAATAACGCACGTGGGGGTCAGAATGGTGGCATCCAGCCAGGCCAACAAGGTGCAGATGCACAACCTCGTGCTCGGGTTTATCAGCTCGGGCCCTTCCGTGTCGGCTTTGGTGCTGTGCGTGGGGATTTATTCAACAATCTTCACCCACAGGGCCACCAAGGTAACGCGCCGCAGCCTGGGGCACCCGCGAACGCCCCTGGGGGACAAATTGGGTTTGGATTTGGGTTCGGGCGCCGTCCCCATGCCCCCACCCCGGCTCCCGCCCCACAAGGTGCTGCTCCGGTGGGTTCTACCACTGCTGAAATCAATGAGCAGTTGCTGCAGATCGAGCAACGACTCAATCAAGAGATTGCCACTCTTCGGGCTGCCACAGAGCATCTAAATCACGTGCGCCAACTTCGGGTGGAACTAGAGCGGTTGCTTGCTCAAGCAAGGGCCGTTAACCAACAAGCTGCCGGTCAACCACGTGTCGGTCAGCCAGGCCCGCTTCCCCCCGTGACCCCGGGATCTTCTGTCTTGACAACGGGTCACCAGTACGGAGCAAACCCAGGCGCCGATGTTCTAAACTCTGGAGACCCTCGTTTGCCGGAAGGGCTCACTCTTCCTCCTGGTTGGACCCTCCTTCCTCTCCAGCGCTTGGATAATGGTGCCAACGGTGTGGAACAGACAGTACAACCCACGCCTACCACTACAGTGATATCCCCAGCGGCGCCAGCCGTGACCAGTCCTGTAGCAGCTCAACCCCCTGCATTCCCCGTACCTGTTCAGGGTCAAACGAGCGGGGACGTCGGAGTAAATGCGCGTGGCAGCACCAACGCTGAAACCTCCCCCGTAAATGGAATCTCTAATCCACCAGTATTGCAGCCCACACCCACCGTCCCTTCAGTCGAAAATCGTGCAGAATCCCCATCTCAAGAATGGACCGACGTTGCCCCTAGAGGGTCCTTCGAGGCCAGGCAAGCTTCCTCCATTCCAACTACATGGGGTAGCAACGAGCAATCTTCAAATAGTGTCTCTGGCCAAGCCGAGACTCAGCCCGAGTCCGCATCCAACGGCAAAGGCCGGACCGCATCAGTTGAAGAAACACCCGACGAAGAAGCTTGATCCCGGCCTCCTCTTTTGATTATCCCCTCCCTGTGTATTTTTTTTCTCTCCAGGGTCTGCCCAGCCCTTTCGGTTCCCCAGTTCTTTACACCAGCGTTTCTGCATGGCGTTGTTCGCGAGCAAAAGATCATACCCAGATTTATTTTCACGATTTTTATACCACAGTTGAATCTCATGGTATTTGCTCTTAGTGATTACCTTGGTCAAATGAAAATGTGTATACGCAATGAGTGTAAATTTTCATAAGGAGAGTATAACGTAGACCTCGGGTCCTCGGGAGATGCAGATCAAGTGTCCCCGTGGCTCCGACAGGCCGCGTGGCTGAATTCTTGGGGGGGGGATCGACATGCAGCCTCCCGTATTAGTTAGATGATTTAACATTGTGATTAATATTTGATGATATTTGTTTCGCTTCATTTTGATTGATATTTATTAAATTAATCAATCAATGGTATCTTATACATCTTATATGAAGTTCTTTCTGCAGTGCGTAGGCACAAAATCTCATTGAAAGAAGCTTCGTCATGACGGCACAACCTTGACTCCACTTGCATCCGATTTGTCCAGAGCCCTGTAGCCTTCCCCAGGCAGGGTCCCTTGAATCTAGATCGGCTCTCTTTTCCTTCACCCCCTTACACTCTCGGGGCAATGATATCCTCAACTATGTAAGGCATTGTGTCCCCTCCATTGCTCAATTCCAAGGTTTCGGCGCTTCGGGCCTTGCGACCTCCCTCACCCGAACGCACGCGACAGTGACATTGCAGCTAACCAGCATCCCGTGCAACAGATAATAACCCCGTGTACGATTACCCAACCCTCCGTCCATGCTTCTCCCACGGCGAGCGGTCATCTTCCTTGGCGTCTGCTTCTTCTTCGTCTTGCTCCTCACATGCCGGAGTCTCTCACGACCATGGCGTGATGTACCCCAAGTCATCGGCCTGGGCGACCTGGTCTCCTCATCATACAACACAACAGGAGCCTGGAACACGACCCGTAGCCACACAAACAAGCTCTATGCCCCACCTCCGAACTTCATCCCCGGCACCCCGAAGCCCCCGGGCTACGAATACTCCAAGGTGGTGGTCGTGACCCGAACCAAGGAGGAAGACACCAGCTGGATTGCCGAAGAATTGCCAGATTGGGACCATGCAATTTACGTCGCAGACGACCCGGCGGCGCCACTCCACCCGCCCAAAAACAAGGGCCATGAGGTCATGATCTACCTCACCTACATCGTTGACCACTACGACCAACTGCCAGACGTGGCAGTGTTCATGCACTCGCACCAATTCGCCTGGCACAATGATAACCTCTTCGCCGGAGATGCGGCGCAGCTACTCCGTCGCCTCAATCTGAACCGCGTCATCCGCGAGGGCTACATGAATACTCGCTGCGGGTTTGGCCCGGGCTGTCCGGCCTGGATGCACCCTGGCGCGCTTGAGGAAGACGAGTCGAAGCAGGAGGAGACCATGCTAGCTCGCGCGTGGGGAGAGCTATTCCCCGATCAGGAGATTCCATCTGTCCTGGCGCAGCCGTGCTGTGCGCAATTCGCCCTATCCCGTGATCGAATCCACTCTATTCCGCGTGCCCGGTTTGTTTTCTATCGCGATTGGCTGCTGTCGACAGATCTGAGTGATTATATTACCGGTCGGATCTGGGAGTATCTGTGGCAGTTTATCTTTACCGGGGAGCCTGTTCTCTGCGTTGATGAGAGTGTTTGTCTGTGTGACGGGTACGGGTTCTGTTTTGGCGGAAACGAGGAATTGAATGCTTACCGAGAAGCTGAAACGAAGAAGAATGACATCCAGCGGGAATTGGATAATTGGATGTGGTTGAGCGACATGGGCTTTGATCCCCCTGTTGAAGAAGATGGCATACCTGAACCAGATGACCCTGAGGGTGAGAAGGGCAATGAGCTTTTCGATCAACTTCAGGAGAAACAGCAAGAGCTCGTTAGCACCTTGCTTGCTGCTATAGAGCGTGGCAAGAACCCTCAGTACCGTGCCCAGGAGGCTGGTCGTCCTTGGAAAGAGGGTGATGGGTTCTAAGTTGTCTTGACTGGATCGAGTGCTGCTTTTTTCAGTCACATTTTTATGCTGCACTGCAAAAGTTTATGTGGGCCAATGATCTATATGCCATCTATTTACCATTTCCTCGCGTCGCAGAAGGCCTGCTTTTGGACACATGTTTCGTCATCTGTCAACACTCTTACACTTTTAATTGACATGGCCGTGTATTCTACCATGGATTTACACCCTTTTGGATTTTTGTTCTCTTTGGTGGCTGATTTCTTGATTTGGATGTACTTACAGAAGGATTTCACTTTGACTCAGGCTTCATAATAGGGTTGCGAAATAGAAATGGATATAAATTATCACCAAACACTTCATATTTCTATATTTAAGGTACAATGATTAAATTCAACTCAGATATGTAATATAGGTTCTTTATAAAAAGATACTATGTTGTACTCACATGAAAAATACGATCACGTGACACAGTCGAAGTTTTCAGTTTGCACTGTCTGTTGTTCCTTCAAACTGCACAAACATCATTCCAACCGTCGCGCCTCTTATCAGCCAACTCGAACTAAAGCTGTCGAAGCTTTTTTCAATTATTTTGTTTTAGCTTTGTTTTCGCTGTGACACGCTTCTCACCCTCTTGGGTGTGGCGCGCTGGGACACCTGTGTTCTGACCAAGCTACATTGTCAATGGATAGCTATTCATTAGACTGTCTACAACTACTGGATAAGAGCTTCAACCCGGAAGACATACTCTTCTAGAGATAAATCTGGGGCCTCGAACGCGGTTTGATTCTCCTCTCGAGTTCGCTTTCGTGGAGCAAAATTCCCTGTCCCACTTTCCATCCCAATCCTCACAACTTTGCGACACTATCAGCTTATCGAACTAGGTGTCTCCAACCACCTAGCCCTCAATCAACACCATGAGCTCCTCCACCAACCAACACCTCCCCACAACCTCCTCCGACCTACCCTCCCAGCAGGCAGCGACCGCCCCCCACCTTGACCCGAACGCGCAACTTGGCAACAACGGGTATGCACCCAACGACAACCAGCTCGCGGGATTAGTCGAGGCCGCCACGGCCGCCGCAGACCAAGATGTTTCGCAATGGGCGGCCGCCGCTGCAGTCGCGGCAGCAGCCGGTGCAGCCAGTCATCATCACCAACTGGATTCATACGCAGACATGGATCTCTCCGAGAACGGGTTCGGCGACGCGAACTTCGGAACTAGCATAAGCGGCGCAAGACATATGAGAGTACCCAGTCACACCGACCATTCTCAGTCATCGGGGCTCACGCGAACTGCAACGAAAAAGCGCAAGCGAAATGATGATAATCTTGACCCCGCCTTGGCTGGTGCGGGTCTCTCAGCCGCGCAGCATCAGTCGCATTCTTCACAGCAAACGCCCCATGGGTATACCGGAGAAGGTATCGACATTCGCCCCGAACAGCAGCAGTCCCTATCGGATGCTCGTGCCGTGGGTATTCATTCCGCTGCGGCGCTGTTTCGCCAGCCCTCTGGCAATAAGAAGTACACACGACCTCCCATCTCAAAGATGTTTTCGTCCCTTGAGATCTCACCGGAGAACTTTTTGCATCTTCAGGCTGCTGCTAAGAATTACATGCTGAACGATGAACACCCTGAAAGACGCGATTGTGTTGGCCAGCGTGGAAAGGGAGATACGGAAATGGTCAAGCTTCGCCTGTGGAACTGTGTTCGTCAGTTCCTCGAAGCCGAGGGAAATGGTGAACGCTTCTTCGGAGAGAATGTTGTCAATGAGGGCATGGGCCCAAGAGCCTACATCTGGCCGCGTGACCAACACAAGATCATCTCATTGGTTATTCCTTTGCTGAGACGGATGGTCACCAACGAAAGACAACGCCAATACGCAATCGAGACTCGCAAAGGAGGTGGTGCTGAAGAACGCCGGCGCCGTAAGACGGAAGATTTCTCAAATCTGAATAGCCCACGATTCTCCCCAGAGCAGCATCTCCAAATGCAAAATCAGACGTCCCATCGCGATGATATGTCGCAGTCAATGCCCCCTCCTCCACAGCCGATGCAGCAATCAGCAATGGACCCATCCCAGCCTATTGACCTCGGTCTGACCGACCTCCTCCTAGACGGATACACAGTTGACTGGGAAGAGATCAGCCGATACTATGATACGTACAACGAAAACTTCGAGCTCGATAACTTATGGTCTCTCTCCGGTCTACAACAACCCGATTGGCGTGGACTCGTTGCCGCAGTCGACAGCCATTATCACGTCATCCACAACGGAAACTACGACTGCGCATCGGCTTGCGAAGACCAAAACATCAACCGCATCATCCACGCAGACACCACCTCAAGTCTCCAATGGCGCATTGGCGGAGGCCGCAACCTCCCAGCCCGAGACGAATTGTAAGCCATTCATCCTGTCCAAACATGTGTGGAATACAAACTAACAACCCCATAGCGCAAGCAGCATCACCCGCGACGTGTCTCGCATTATTCGCGAGAACCTCGCCTCCCGACACGGCCACCCTGCTCAAGCACCCGATCCTCACTTCCATCAACCCTTCAATCCTCTCCCAGACTCAACACCAACGACCAGCACAGCCACCTCCTCTCACTGCCAAGGCCAAACCTCCCTTCGCGTCAGTATCCTGCAAAATGGCAAACGCGTCCTTCCCAGATTCGACCTGCCGGCAGGCCAGTGTCCCCACATCGACACGGTCAAACAAGCAATTCTCCGTCGGTACCCTGGTCAAATCCCCGGTTTGCCGGTATTCCAGGGCGTCAATGAAGCTCGCGAGTCTGCTGTTATAGATGGGTGGAAGGTCAAGGTCTGGTTGCCGGATGGACTGGTACCTGTGCAGAACCAGAAGGATTGGACTATTGCGGTGCTTTCGGCCGATGCTGTTGATTGGATGGATGGGGAGTTGAGGGTTCTTGTTGAGGTTGATGAAGGGGGTGGGCAGTAGTGTGATTTCGTACCTTTTCTTTCTTCTTCTATATCCCCGTTGTTTTTATGTCGGATATGTTGTATCGCTATACCCTCAATTTCAAAAAAGCTGTTTCAATTTATCCACGTTGAATGTGTACATTTGATATCCTCAATTTTAAAGATTTATTCCAATTCATCTACATTAAACATGACATGTACAATGTGTATCCTCAGTCAACATAACCTTCGTCGACGTCCCAAGGTTGCACTAAAAATCAAAAAAGTGGAGCAAATGATAAATGTGGATTGCGCTAGTCCTAATTGGGAACAATATATCCCTATAAAATTAACAGTCAGAGAAACATTTCAACGCCTCGCTCCAGGTATTCCAGCGGGAACCGCATAAGGCCTTGTGCGATAATATCCCGTTTCGGCGGTATATTATAGTGCAGGGTACCGGTACCTGGCGTTCAACCCTCGCCTTTGAACTTGATCCACTTAAAGGGGGGACGACCTTGGAGAGTCATGATCAAGGCTCTTTCCATAGTCAGGGCTGCATGTAAGTCATTGGCCGATGTGACCGCCCATCACACCCCGTCGGCAGCAGAGCGCCCAGGTTGTAGAGGTGCCCCTCTTTGGGGCCTTTTTTTTGTGTTTCTTCTTGATGTTTGGTTTGGTATATCTTCACTCGGTGATGGCGGTTTAGCGTATGTCACATGCACCTTCTGTATTAACTAACACCTTATTTGTCTACTTGCCTTTGGATCATGTGTTGTCTTTCTCCCTGTTTCCTTTGTGGCATGATTCGTCTCTTCTCTTGCGTCGATCTCATGATACCCTTCACCTCCTACACTTCTGCTGCCTCCTCCCCTCAACTAAAATGTCAAGTCTCCAACTCCCCCATTCTAATGATTTAATAAAGATATCGAATTATTAGGACGCTTACCTAGTAAGAGGTAAAAGAGTCGATAATAGTCCTCATGGGAATACCGAGCTGATATATATATCCTAGCTTCCCCACAATTACCCTGAAGATTCGAAATATATTTAGCCTATCAAGTCAAATCCTTGCAATACTAAATTAAACAACCCATCAAAACTAAAACGTGTGTTCTAAGCAGAGCCCAAAACGCCCAAAGATTCTATTCTCAATCATCTGTGACAGCCAATTGAAGGGCCTATTTGAGTTGACAACTCTCCACAAAGTAAGATATGTAAAATGTTTATATTTTAATAAAAATATGCAAAAGAAAATCCCATGCCTCATTATATAGGGTAAAAGAGTAACGATGAGGAGGGCCCAGAATAATGCACATCTTAAATGCGTCTTGCAAAAACACCAACAAAATAACAACCGCTCTAAACGCCGTAACGCACAAAAATTTCAAGAAAACCGGTCCCAGCGAGAGCTTATTTGTTGTGTACAAGCAGAGTGCGGAGAGAGTCCCAATGGTCTGAGTCGCCGTAACTGTGGTTCAAATGAATGTTAGCATTGGGAAAAGCGTCTCCGAACCTCTGAATTCAAGGAAATGAAGCAGAATCATAGGAAGTAGAAGGGAATCGTACATATACACCATGCTACTCCGCAGACTCGACGCCAGCGTCTCCGGGTGCCACCGGAAAATGTACATGACCATCGCCCAGGTCATACCGGCGAAAACGGGGTAAGCATTATTCGTGATCTTCGTGCGTGAATCGGATGTGATGAGGGAGGAGAGGGGGTGCATGTTAGGTTGGACGGCGAGCTTGGCGAGGGCAAGCATCACACGCGCGAAGACATAAATGACGATCTAGATTCGAGTTAGCTCTGCATAAAAGCCGGAGGATAGCTCGGGAACCGAAGTCTGAATTGTCTCCACAATCAGGGGAAAGTTCAAAACACATACCTGCTGGCTAATACTACCCGGCTGTCGTCCGAAAACTGCATACCCGCCCAGCAGGCCTGCAAAGAAACTATCATATCGGCCCTCTTTCCCAGCACCACCTGGTATATTGCGGAGTCCGATCATCGAGGCTTTGTAGATGATGGCGAATGTGGCGAGGTTCCGCGCGTGCTGGCGGGTTGCTTTCAAAACGAGCTTCGTCTTTTCGCGTACTCTATAAACGAAGCGATCAGTTTCGTTCTGCGCAGAGGTCACATCGGGTGTAGGGAGTGTCATACGTTCCAGATCTGAACAAAAATATCATTCTAAAGCAGTCGGTATCGGTCAGCTATGTCTTGTAGCGGGGTTTCCGGCTGTCCGAGGTCCAACATACACCAGCGCATGCGGAAAGCGGACTTTTGACCCGTAGACGACTCCATTGCGTGCACCCTTCACTAATGATAGTAGCGGCGCGAGTTCGGGTTTGAGGACGAGCGCTTCGAGTTGGGACTGCGGGGAGAAGTGTTATTATTGTTCTGTATCGGAGGCGCGGTGGAACTCACGAGCAGTGCATCCATGGCGTCTCTGGGCCTCGGTAAGAGGTCGGTCTCGTTTCGGGGTGTTTATAGGGACGATGAACAACGAAGAGAGAGCAGGAGAGCGTCACGGATCATGAGGAGGAAATAGAGTAAGAATAATAGTTTTCTGGGGCAGAAAATGTTGGGGGAGAGGGGACGGCACTTTAATCGGTTCCCGCATCGAGAAGGGCCTCGGCATGTGAGAATACAGCCGACGTCATGGTCACGTGGCTCTATATCAAGACCTTGGCTACAAGCATACGGGGGAATCTTGTTAAGTCAAGTGTAAAGTAATGGATGGAGGAAATGTCTCTATTAGATGTAGAGGTTTTTAAAATAACTTTTCATATGCCGTAAGACTGCTCATACAGGCGCAGAAAACGAAATCCCGTCCGGCCCAAACTCCTTAGCAAAAAGAAATCATGCAAATCGATCTTAGTTTTTCCGTGCCTTCTTGTGGCTCTCCTCCTCCTCATCAGAAGAAACCTCATCCACCTCCATCATCTCCGCAGATGGCTCGTCCTCCTCGTCGGAAGATTCCATACCCGCCCGACGCTTGAGACCCTTCATCTTACGGGTCTGCAGGTCAGACAGATCCTGCTTGCCGAGGTGAACACGACCAATCTTGTCACCCATAGAGTCCATAATGACGTTCTTCTTGGTGCGGGCTTCCTCGTTGGGACGCTTGCCCTGCTTCATGGACTCCTTCTGCACCTCAGGAGCAGCCTGGCGTGTGCGACCGACCTTGAAGTCGAACTTGGGACCAACTTCTTGCAACTCCACGCGGGGCAGCTTGTGACCGCTGCGCTTGGTAACAACTCTGTACCAGCGCAAGTGGATGACCGGTGAGAGGCCATCCTGGGGCTCCTCGGCACCAACCATCATCACGTACTGCAGACCCTCAACGTCGACCTGGGTCGTCTCTTCACCCTTGAACATGTCGAGAAGAGTACTCTTGAGGATGATGTGCGCAGTCGAGGTAGGATCGTCCCAGGGGGAGCCAGTGAATAGCATCATAGGTCGCAGGCCAAGACCGACGTCCATGACAAGTTCGTTGATGGGGGGGATGGTCTCGCCATCTCTCGGGGGGAGCAACATGAGCTCGACGAGATCGAGCACCTCTGAGTTGTAAATCCGAGCCAGTGTAACGCAGTTGGGTCGCTTCTTGTTGTGGCTTCCGAATGCTACGAGTCCACACTCGTTCTTGTTCGCCAAGAATTCCAGGCTCTCTGAGTTCTCATATGGGTGCAATTTCTCGTTCTTCTTATGGAAAAGAATGTTGTGAGGCTTCGTCAGAGCGTGGAAGGTCTTCAGCACTGTGTCCAGTGCTTGGGGGCATTTTGCGCCGTGGAAAATCAGGGTCTTCTTGGGGGGTTCGATGAGTTGCGGCTCCCGCGCTTTCAGGATACGCGCAGTGCGCGGGTTCTTGGCTTTTCTATAGGGCAGAGGGTTAGCCTATGATGACAATCTCGATAAATTGCCATAACTTACACTTCTCTCAACATTTTGTAGTGAATGATCGGCAGAATGACTTGGGGTAAAAATATCGAATGAACGGAAAAGTTTTGGGTTGCTGATGGCTTGGCACTCTTATCGATAAGCAGGTACTGATCGAGTCACGTGATTTATATATCAAATCTTGTCTGATTGGTCACCTGGTACTAAATCCACCTGCATTCTACCACACCAACACATATCTGTCTGACATATAGCTATAGTCGCAAGCTACTTATTTTAAACGGGTACACCTTAGCCCTAGGAGTAGAGAGGTAAATCGCTAAATTGTCCCTATATCCCTAGTTTTGTCAAATGATATCTATAGGCTATCATTCCGCCGAATATCGGCAATTATAAGTCGTTTCTCGAGCGGATTATAAGAGGAATAGACGACCCCTCATCCATCTGGGGCGTGAGTGCACTGTCATCCAACTGACCAATAATATATACAGCCATCAAAAGTCAATGAACCTTTACTTGAAATAGAAAGATATGCCAAAATCGACCAAATTGTCTGTCATAAACTGGAGAAATGGTTTCACCTTTTGGAAAGTACAGCCAGGGGGGGGTACAGACAGACCACAAAAAACTTGGCGCATGAACTTAAGGAATCGATGACCAATCGCCGGATGAATCGCTAGATATTATTTGTCGGGCGGTTCAAGAGGCTGATTGTTGTAGAGGGTAAATTTCACTAAATGCTTTCAATCTTATGTTTCAATTCCAAAGTAGAGTATCACGGTACCAGTTGCTCTAGAACACACTGCTGGCTCAATAATAAAAAGGAGATTTCCAATTAGAGATCTCTTTTTCTTACCCTTCAAATACTATATTCAAGTCCTAGTACCAAGCTACACATTGGGGCTGAAATAGATGCATCTACCCATGAGGTTCTCATTTTTGCGAACCTCTGGCGAACCTCCGGATGATCCTAAAACGCCTTGTGTTGCATATGTATATTCAGATCTTACATACTTTTACATTGCATGTGTAACTTGAAGCTCACAGTGTTACATCACATAAGCGCTCAGCTTGACCCACCCTGCCTTAAACCAGGCCCCAAGGCTATGTATGCAGGGTCCACGGCTCGGCCCTAGGGGCAGGCAGGTCAGTAGTACTGTTATCTTTGAACCAATGAGAGCATTTCCTATTCTATACCCCGCATGAAAAATATGCTTACCTATTCAAGGATCTAGAGATCATTTCTACTTCCAACATCACCGAGGAATGTAAGGCCACCATCCGCATTGGCATATACGACCCAGAAATTCAATATTTTGCTATCAAAAAAGACTAATCTGTTGCCTCGATCCTTCTGCACATGCTATCATGCCCCAGTGTGGTACAATGATCAACAACTCGTCTACTTCACCTATAAGATCATACCAACTAACAAGTTAAGTAACTTGGATGTTTGAGGCATAACTTTTATTGGACATCTTGGATGATCTTTCGACCATGGCCCCCATGATGACTGCCTCGAGATTGAGGATGGTATTTGTCAAATATCGCATGAAGTTTCCGGCATTGTCTATATAAGACAGCTTCACGGCGCTCCAGTTTCTAAATCAACACCAATTCGCTCTCAACTACTTTACCGCAAGCTTCTATCAGACCAATATTTTACCATGCAGATCACCAGAATTGCCATTTTCCTCTTCGCCGCAATGGGCGCGGTTGCCAGCCCCATTGTGGCCGAGTCGAGGGATGTTGATGCCCAAGCTCTAAGTAAATACGGAGGAGTAAGTTCTTCTTATGAGATGTCCATATAGAGATGTCACTAACCTTTCTGAACTACGTCACAGGAATGCAGTAAGGAACATAACACGTGCACATACCGAAAGGATGGAAAGGATCACATAGTCAAGTGCCCTTCGGCTGATAACAAGAAGGTAAATTCCGATTAGATTTTGGCTCAATTGATTTTTTCTAATCATTTGACTTTTATCTACAGTGCAAGACTGATCGCCACCACTGTGAATATGATGACCACCACAAGACGGTCGACTGCCAAACACCGGTTTAATCCAATTATACGTTTCTGCAAGGAACAGAATTTTGGAGAGTGTTTGTTATTCTCCGGCTCGTCATAGGCCTTTGATGGTCTGTGTCTCTCAAGGAGGGCTTAACAAGCAGTGGATTCCGTCTGTATTGGGGTGACACATTCGTACATTCCTAGTGGTTCTCTTTTTTTACAGTTCGCGTTATTACCACACTCATTAAGTATTTAGCTAGCTATAAGTTTATCAACATGTTGCCTATTTACTGCTTATATCATTGAGTAATACTACTAGTAGCAGTATCATTTTGACACTTTTCAAGGCTGTTGGCTAGCTGTATTTGGCCATGTATACAATTCAAGTCACGCTACTACTAGTAGGTACCTTATTGAAAGTCAAGTCCTTGGTTTCAGTATTATTTCAAATATATCAATGCTGTAGAGCTTTATATCATCATTTGATGTTCCAGAATACGCTTAAGTTCAACCGAGTGGAGGCATAATTCAAGGAGATGCGGGTAGATTTATTATGGACGTTGAATTTAGATATAAAAGCATTCAATTCCGGCATTGCTTCACTCTAAAAGATAGAGTAGATGTGGCTTTGATGAAAGATTTGATGGTACGGAGCGGAGAGAGTGCCATTCAACTTGAGGACTCGGAGGCCGAGAAATAAAGAGACAAAGGGGGTATGTCTACATGTCATTTTCGGATTTTTCTTTGGTTTAATTCAAGTCTTTACGACTCTGGCTCCTCAAGGCCTGCAAGGGACGTCAGGCACGAAAGATGCTTGTCTTGATGCAGGGCATCGCCACCATTCTTGTAAGCCCTGAGGATCTCAGCATTCCTTGCTTTGATTTTGTTGACCATGTACTCGATCCCATTAGTAGCAAGCTCCTCTAGGGCTCTCTCATTGGCCTCCTTGGCTTCTTCCTGAATCTCATGGAGTCGCCTCAGCCAGAACATGTATCTCCATGGCGAGAATCCAGTAGGTGATCGCTGTCCGAGCTCCGATTCAAGGAACTCCTCGCCACCTCTGCTAATATCGCTAGGGCACTCGTTCCAATACACCTCTGACAGTAAAAGGAGATTGTGGCCTGCTATTTTCAGCCAAGCAACCGCAGCTGGTAACACATGAAAGACCTCAAGCTGCTTGATACCTCGGTTGAGATCTTCTTCGTCTGACTCTTGCCCAGTTCGAAGTGCTTGGCTGCTTTCAAACAGATTACGGAAGATCAGAAGAGCAACTTGGCATAGCCTATCCTTAGCGGCACGAGTGGCTGCAAGTTTAGCCAGGAATGTGGCAAAGTTGAGGCGGTGTGTTCCCGACATAGAAGCGCCGTTGTTAAGCCAGAAATTGGTCATATCGCCAGCTAAGAAGGGGAGATCATTCCAAAGTGCACCGTCGACGGTTCTTGCGATATCAATCCCATTGACTCCTCGTGAAGGCCTAGTCAACGGTCCCATTCCTTGAATGCGGAGGATATCGAGAACTATACCCTCATGTTCAGGTGATTCGGAGGAGATGTTTCGGCCAAGCTCGTAGTACATATACCATAGGGAATGAATTTGACCTTCAAGAGAATCCACGCCATCTCCAATATCGCAGTATCGGCTGGTAACGACCCAGGTCCGGTTACTGAAGGCCACTTCTCGAACTTCTGTGAAGTCACCCCGAGCAATAGACTGGCGTGTATCTGCCTGGTCTCTACGAGCATGGTCGCCTGTAGAAGGTGCGTCTCTGGGCAGAGAGCCCAGCAGAGAATCACGGAGATGGTGCATTTTGGGAAGTTGACAATGTTGATTGATGATTCAACTAGAATTCAGATAAGAGAAAGAAGACAGTGGTGAAGTGAAAGCGTTGATATTGTGGAGCCCCACGGGGACTGGGGGGACGGACAGATCTCTCTCCAGGGGGGGCCCCTACTAGGCAGCAACATACAGCATAGGTTCTGACAGGCTGACAGCCCAACCAATCTCTGGATTATTAGACTCGTGTACGCGCTGGTAGGCTGGACTGTTTTCTTTGTTAGCTGTCGATCAACCGGCCGCCAAGACAGATGTCCATGTCGATCATGCAGCCATCCAGCAGGTAGTACGTAACAGGTCACAAACACTGGGTCGCTGCGAGTAAGACTGGAAATTTGAAACGCTGGGCTTTATGAAGTGAGTGTGATGAGATAGCTCATATAGCAATATCTCAATTTTATATTCAATGCGATTAACCGAAGGCTTGGTTTGCGAGCTGCTCTGGATTGTCATGTGGGCTAGCGACCAACAGTTCAAGAGTGAGTCCTCAGAAAAGTTATGTTTGTAGTGCAACTTCCTAGAGGGATAAAAGATTGTCTCCTCGGGCCTTTAATCACGTGCATTTCCTAATAGTCCTGGTGGCCCTAGGCTGTGACCCTGAAATGATTTCAACCTGGGATGATGCCTTAGTTTCTAGGCGAGGATAATTGTGATCCAGGTCGGGCCAGACCAGTGCATGCACACGATATAGTCTCCACATTGCAGCTGATCGGACTTGACATTGGAGGCCCATGGATGGATTTCGGATAACTATCACTGGACCATAGAACCCTAGACAGCATGTTTGTGGTTATAGACATCTTCAAGAGTGCACAGAGTGGTGGTGGCCAAGGGCGTGGATATTGTGGACTGTTCTGCCTTATTCCATCTATTTCCACTTCTACAACCCATTTGCGGCCAAAATCATGGCAAAAGTGGTTAAGAAGGGCGGTATTATAGTCGGGAGACAGAGTGGCAGTGTGATGTCCACAGAAGTCCCGGGGCTATCAAAGCAGGGACTACTGGCTTCAGACATGATATGAGCACTCTGGCCGAGATGTGGGACAAGTTTGGGGTGGATACTGGCACTAAATGGAAGATGGAGGGTTTACTTGACGAGGTTGGGCTTCGAACCAGAAATTAAGAATGCGGTGGAAGATGAGAGTTTAAGATTGTTATGTACTATTACGCAGGAGGAGACTAGTCTTGGAGATATGGAAGTATGAGATGAGATAGGAGAGGGGAATGAATGAAAGAAGTGTCGCTTGAAAGGTCCGTCCTATCACCGGTCTAGAGCTTGCGCTTGACACTATAATTGGGTTAGTTATATGATATGAAGTAGATATGGCTCAGTGGGGAACATACCATCTGCCAATAAGCCCCCTTTCTGCGCAACAATTCATGATGCGTTCCGGACTCAAGAATCCTGGATCCCTGTCCTGATGGCCCTTCTCCAAAGACAAAAATTGCATCCGCTTTCTGAATTGTCGCTAGTCTGTGCGCGACCGCAATAATAGTCATATTTCGCTTGCTTGCTAATCTCTCCATAGCACTTTGTACAAGGCTTTCCGACTGAGAGTCCAAACTGGATGTAGCCTCATCGAGAAGAAGAAGCAATGGTTTTCGAATCAGGGCGCGTGCAATGCAAAGACGCTGTTTTTGCCCGCCACTCAGCGAGGCCTGAGCGTTGACGCCAAGTTCCGTCAAGAAGCCATCTGGCAGAGACACTATGAAGTCGTAGATTTCAGCGTCCTTGCAGGCTTGAATCATTTGGTCTTCGGTAGTTGGGTTATTGGGGGCTTCCAGGCCGAGGAGGAGATTCTCGCGGATGGTACCTTCGAAGAGTTTCGGCTCCTGGGCGACGAGCGATAAAGCACTTCTGTACGAGGGCAATTCAATGGAACGAATGTCTCGGCCACCAAATAGGATCGTTCCCTGAGTGCAGTCATAGAAGCGCTCGAGTAGTGAGACAAGCGTAGATTTTCCGCAGCCTGAGGGTCCGACAAATGCTATGAATTGACCACTCTCAATAGAGAGATTCAGGTTAACAAATGTTGGTACCTCGCGAGAAGAATATTGAAAAGAGAGATTTTGTAGTTCAACAGAGGGGCTGGGGGTGTGGTCCGAAGAAATGAGTGGCCCCGTCGGAACTTGTTCAAGCTGTCCCACGGTAGGTCGCCGTGCAGCCAATATGCGATTGGCGGAAGCCTTGGCCTGGGCAATATTGGGACCAAAACTGAAGAACTGCCCAGCCGATTGGCCGCCTTGAATGATGGCAATATAGACCACGAAGAATGCAACTGGGTCATATTCATGGGACGCGAGGAGCTGGCCGCCGTACCAGAAGGCGAGCGCCATGGCACAAAGCTCAACACTGTCGGAAAATGCAAATATCAATGTTGCGTACCACGCCTTTCGGATGGCCTTTTGGCGCTGATCTTTCAGCAGATTTGAATATCTTTGCAAAATTGCATCTTCCATGGTCAGGGCAGTGACCGTTCTGAAGGCCCGGACCGCCTCCGTCGCGAACTTGGAGCTGTCGGCATAAACTGCGGCGTTAAGAGTCTCAAATTTAATCTCATATCGAATGCGCATAAAGGCAGAGAGAAACAAGAATGGCATTGCAGCAAAAAAGGTGACAGCCGCCAGTTTCCATCCAAAGGCAAAGGAGATTGCAACACACCCAATGATGTTGAAGATCGAAATGAGAGGGAAAACACCGGTGGGACCAAACATCTCCTGTAACTGTTTTGAGTCGGTGGAGAGTCTGGAAATTAGACTACCTGAGGAATTCTCCTCGCGGTCATAGTAGGACACCGGTTTGGACAAGAGATTGTAGAAATAATCCATCCGAGCATTGGACACGACAAACTGAACAGTCAGCCTTGCTTCAAATCTGTAGACATATTTAGACTCACCATTGAGATTGAATTCGACGAAAATCCTAGCATGAAATAGAAAGTTGCCATGGCAAGGGCGAGGATGAAAAACATCAATGCCCAGAAGTTCGCAGCGCTCACGAGCTTCTCGCCAGTGAACTGAAAAACCTGCACAAGTCTGGCAAACAGCCAGCTTTGTAGGGAGAATCCGGCTATTGAATCCTGTAAGCTAGATACCTGGAAATGTGGGGGATAGCATGGTGAATACTTACAACCTGCCCCTACCGCCCCGATCAGCGTTAGCGCATATAAGAGCCAATGGCTACGGTTTTCATAAATGAGCACCCCAAAGCTGTGAAAAAAGCCAAAGCCCTTTTCAAGCTCAGGAGTATCTTGGGAATTTGGATCGCCACCCTCTTTGGTGGTGTAATCCTGAGCCGTGACTTCTTCTTTCTGCGAAGAAATCGAGCCCGACACGCCGGCATCCAGCAAATCTGTCAGCGGCGCCAGCTGCTGCGCATGAACCAAGCTATGATATATCCCTTGTTTGTGTATCAATTCTTGGTGAGAACCTTCTTCGAAATTTTGGCCGTCTTTCATGACGATGATCTTGTCCGCACGGCGGACTGTGGACAAGCGATGAGCGATCATGATTGTAGTGCGATCTTTTGACACACGATCGAGGGCCGCTTGCACAATCTTTTCTCCTTGAATATCGATCGAGCTAGTTGCTTCATCAAGAATGAGAATTTGGGGTTGGCTGACGATACTTCGCGCGATGGCAATTCTTTGGCGCTGTCCGCCACTCAATGTGATACCACCTTCACCAACGGCGGTAGAGTAGCCCTGGAATCAAACGGTCAGATGGAATATGAATAAAAGAATGTAATGAAAAAGGGTCACAATACCATGGGCAGGCGGTCGATGAATTCATCTGCAAAGGCTTGCTTGCAAGCCGCGGTGATGAGTTCCATCTTCACAGCCTCTATATCATTCTCCCACGGCGATCCAATCAGACCGAAAGCAACGTTGTTGTATATTGTATCATTGAACAAGAAAGGCTCTTGCTGAACAAGCCCAATCTGGGATCGCCACCACTTGACATCCAAGTCATTGATGTTGTGAGCTCCTACATGGATATGACCCGACGTAGTCTCTTCTTCTTCTTCATCGGACTGAAGTTGATACCATCGCTCAATCATAGCGACAATAGTGCTTTTCCCCGAACCGGAGGGTCCGACCAGAGCCGTAGTTTTATTCCGCTCAAATGTTGCATGGAATCCCTTAAGCACAGTCATTTCTGGTCTGGTGGGATAGGAAAATGTCACGTTTTGAAACACGATATCTGCATGGGATAATTCTGGATCTCGAATTCCAGGTGGATCATCTCGCTTAGAATCAATGACACCAAAGAAGGCACCCGATGCGCTTATGGCCTTCGATATCGCCATCAATGGCCCCGCAATGCCTCCCAAAATAGTCACCACGAGGAGCACGGAAAAGAATACCCTAGTTGGTTGTTAGAACAAGCCATCACATGTATTCAAATGATGGGATAATCATACGTGATCACGGTGTTAATATTAGCAATATGACCTTCGCGATACAGCTTCAACCCAAACCAGAAGGCCAGGGAGAAACTGACATACATGGCGAAGAAGAGCATTGCAAGGTGAATACCACTGACTAAAGACATACGCAGGCCACGTTTTCGTGCTTCCTCGACCCACCGTGTATACTTTTTGAAGAGTGGTTGCTCAGCGCCCAGGGCGAACACTGTCCGAATAGAGCCGAATACTTCTGCGGCGAGGGCTGCGTGCTTCTCATCAGCTTTATCAACATTCTGCTGCCCCTTCACTAAAAACGGCATTGTCAGGCTAAAGCCAAGGATCACAAATACAATGGCCGAGCTGACAACAAGCGTCAATGCCCAGGAATAGCGGAATGCGATTGCGTAAGCCGCGATGAGCAAAGCGAGTGACTGGAACAGAATAGCGAGGCGATCGGAAACACTCTGCTGAATCGTGTTTGACAACGCCGTAATCGCATGTGTGACAGTTCCGACTGACATCTCGTCTATTTTGCTCATAGGGAGTGAAAAAAGAGCCTGGGTGTATTCCAGGCGCAAGGCCCCTGAGGCGCGGAGGCTGGTCAATCGAAAACAAATCTGTTTTGTGTGAGTAACAATGGAGCTCTGGAGGTATGAAATAATAATACCATGGATATGTAAGTCAGAACAAATTTTCCGATAAACAAATATACAATATACAAACTGGAAAGAGATGGTAAGTTCGCTGACATGAGCAATCGAGTGCGACCATTACCTGTCTTGATTGACCGAGGACTTGAATGATTGCTCTGTGATACCCGATCCCGGAATAAAGTACTCGTTGAAGTTGCCGACCAGCTGACCAAAGACAATGTTCATCAACGGAAGAGCCTGGGATTTCATTAGTTGATCTTGAGTACAGCTGGAAATTTGCTCTCAACGTACAATTCCCGAGGCCATGGCGCAAACCAGCCCCAAAATCATAATGTAGATACCCCCATGAGAGGCACCGTATGATAGAATTCTCTGGAGGACATGTGAGCAATAGTAGATCAAGCTAGGTCCATCAATGAATCAAACCCTACCGCATAGCTACCGAGACTTGCTGGTTTATCTGTCTCGTCTTTTGACTCCGCTAAATTAGCGACCATATCTGGACTCGTGAGGGAGTTATTCTCTGGCGACGTCGGAATGTCCTGCGTTTCGACACAATGCGGGGAAGCTAATGGAGAAGGCATTTTTCATCCCGTCAACACGGCGGTTTGATAAAAGAAAATCCTTTGTTTGCCGAAGGACTTTTGCACCATCGCCGGGGTTCTAATTCTGTGTGTAACTGGGAAATTCAATGAACGTGTTAGAACCCCCCTGAGTATGGACCCTTAGTGCCTCAGATACCAGCAAGGCACGAACCATTCAAGGTTGTCGGAGACCCCGATCATGCGAAGATTAGGCACGCCTAGTCTCAAAGTCATCAGAATATTTTGATTCTCACATTGGCCAAGATGGTAGAATGAGTGGAGCGGTGATGTCAAGGATGTCGAGGTTGTTGAGAGGTGGTGTAAATAGGGTTTCCGCCCCGATGTAACCCAAATTGATTGGAGACACGTATTGCCAATTTCGGAAACATATTGTTAGGAAACATGACATGAGCTCAATCGATGATGAATACAAATGCTGATCACCTGGCAAAATGAAAATAATAAAGTGGAAATCGCCGGAAAAGACGAAGCCGTTGTTCCCAGCATGTCAATTTTAGATCTAGAGTTTACTCCGTACGTCAAGGAAGTTAGCATGTTACATTGACAATGTGAATACATCCACGGTTTATGGAAAATTCTTTTGATCAGGGCGCATGATGTTTATCCTGGCCCTCTATGGAGCCATAACGTGATTGTTCGAAGGGGTAGGCCAAAGTACTGCGGATATCGCCGATACTCTCGTATAAGTTTCATTTCAATCGCCTCGTAACTGTCAATTTACGAACTCTTCATTCTCATAGAAACTGAAAATGTCGATGATATTGCACGTTTGTTGAATCAAACTGGAATACACAAGACAGCTACCATTGAGTAGGACAGGTATGTCAACATGAATCCCAAAACAGATACATATTTGAGTTCTAATAGAATGGATGGTGAAGAAATTAAAAATCATCATACATACCAAAGCAGCCCGAATACAACATGAGGGCATCAACAGACCTCCCTGCCACAGGGGCAATCACTCCACCGGGAGAGTCATTGGATGAAACATTGATTTCATTTAACAAAGGACCCTTTACTCCATCTCCGTCGACTGAGAAGGAGAATGAAATAGATGGAATTTGGCAACAAGTGGCTGATCAATGCCATTGTTCTCTGGACGAGATTGAAGATGTATACGCCTGCACCGCCCTTCAGGAAGCAATGATAGCCCTCACCTTCAAAGACCCGAGAGCATACACCATCGAACACGAATACCGGCTGCCACGAGAGGTTGACCACCATAAGCTGCAGGGGGCATGGATCAAAACGGCCCAAGCCAACCCAATTTTGAGAACTCGTATGATTCCAACTGGTCAGCTCGGGTGTGTGCAGGCAGTGGTGCAAGGATCAATTCCATGGGAGGTGCAGGAGACCGACAATGGCATAAATGGTGAGATCGCCAGCCCTTCTTGGCGAGCGGGAGCTCCACTGGCGTATTTCGTCTTCAATGTCACCGAGCATAAGCTGAAAATCACAATCCATCATTCCATCTGCGACCACTGGTCTGTGGCATTGTTGTTGCGCCAAGCCGACGCCGCGTACAGAGGCGAGGAACTGTCTTTCCACCCCTTTCGTCCTCTAGTGGACCATGTACAGCGTACCCAAGACAAAGCAAATGAGTTTTGGGGATGTATGTTCCATGATGCACACGAAGCCACGATGAGGGCTTTTCCTCAACTACCCACAGTGGGTCATTCTGCCAGACCAACCGAGCGGGTAGAGAGGTCCTTTGGCATCCAAGATGGAAAGAGTTCCTCAAGCACTGTCGGCACCAAGATTCGGTTAGCCTGGGCTATCCTGCAATCGGTCTATACTGGCTCCGACGATACATTATTTGGAGCAGTTAACGCGGGTCGTGCAGTGTCCGTTCCGGGAGTGCAAGACTTGAGCGGACCTGCACTAGCCAGCGTACCGGTGCGCATCAAGTTGTGCGGCCAGAATACCGTTTCAAATGCCTTAGTTGCAGTGCAGGATGAATGGGCAGCATCTATGGAGTTTGAACATGTCGGATTGCAAAACCTGCTTCGGCTTGGACCTGGTCCAGCAGCAGCATGTCATTTCCAGACCCTGCTCTCGGTCGAGCCTCGAGATGGTCATCAACTTCCCGACATATTCTCACAAAGCCGATCGACAAAGTTGACATATGATATGTATTCTTTGATCCTCCGATGTCGTCCCTCCACCGCCACAATGTGGATTGAAGCTTCTTTTGACCCGGCAGTAACCGAGCCCTTTCAAATGAAGCGAATTCTCTCCCAATTCATTCATATATACGAGCAGATCGACACTAAACCGGGCCTCACACTTTCCGATATCAGTGTCGTGAGTCCCGAAGATTTGAACGATCTCCGCCGCCAGAACATCTTGACAAAGCGCCCTGATGTCATGCCGTGTGTTCATTCTCTAATTGAAAGACGTACACGGCAGCAGCCTCTTTCTCCGGCCATCAGTAGCTGGGATGGGAGCTATTCATATCTAGCCCTCGATCACTTGTCTTCAGCATTGGCTGATCGTCTTTCCCTGCATCATGTTGGCCTTGGGTCGTTTGTACCTCTTCTCTTAGGAAAGACTAAGTGGATGGCTGTCGCCATGCTTGCTGTGATGAAAGCTGGTGCTGCTTTTGTGCTTCTAGAACCATCACACCCACAGTCCCGATTGCGGAATATGTGTGAAGCTGTTGCAGCTCCCCTAGTATTGAGTTGCGGCTCACATATTGAACTGGCGGCCCATCTTGGAGTCAAAGCGTTGCTCAACGTGAATTCCTTTGACTCCGAGCAGTTGCATCGCAATAACACATCTCGGAGATCCTCAGTCAGCCCACAGGATCCCGTTTATCTAACATTTACCTCTGGATCCACGGGAACCCCCAAAGGTGTGATTGTTCACCATGAAGGCTTTGCTTCAAGTTCTATGGCCCATGGCAAGCCATACCACTTCACACCGGAGTCGCGTGTGCTACAATTTGCCTCTCCGGCATTTGATTCTTGCATTATCGAACATTTCAGCACGTTGATCCAGGGAGGCTGTGTTTGCATTCCGTCAACAGACGACTGTCAAAGTAATCTTGTGGAATCTATGAACCGCTTTGCAGTGGATGTTGCCTGCCTGACGCCCAGTGTCACCCGGATCATTAGTCCTGATAGTGTTAAGTCGTTAAAAGTTTTGATGTTTGTCGGGGAGGCAGTCTTAGCTAGCGACGTTGTCCGCTGGGAGCCTTTTGTACACGTTGGAAATGCGTACGGCCCAGCAGAGTGCTCAGCAGTGTTCAGTGTACAACCAAGCCTTAAGAGCAGCGATCCGGCGAACATAGGATTTAGCACAGGGGGATCTGGATGGGTTGTTCATCCGGAAGATCATCGGGTGCTCATGCCACTGGGATGCACTGGAGAACTATTAATAGAGGGACCAGTCGTCGGAAAGGGATATCTATCGAATCCCGAGCAGACGGCTGGAGTCTTCGTTGAAGCACCTCCCTGGCGCCTGCAATTTGGCTCCGTTGCATCCAGGAAATTGTACAAGAGCGGAGATTTGGTGCAAGCTACTGGCGATGGTAGTTTCCGATACTTCGGACGCAAGGACACCCAGGTCAAGCTACACGGACAGCGTCTGGAACTAGCCGACATTGAGTACCATCTTCACAGAGCGTTTCCAAAAGCCCATCAAACTCTTGCGGAAGTTCTCCGGTCATCTGCTCCGAACACTATCAATGATCATCGACCAGAGGCTTTGTTGGTCGCGTTTATATGTGTCCCTGCGTCTCCAGATGCCGACGGCAATCATGAAGCCGAATTCCTTCCCCCAAATGACGAATTTAGTAAGGCTTGCGCTGCAGCAGAGGCCAGTATGTCGGATGTTCTACCCTCTTTCATGATTCCACGGTTTTTCCTACCCCTATCCCATATACCTCTGACGCCATCCGGGAAGACCAATCGACGCCATATCCAGGAGCAGGCCAATAAGCTGTCTTTGGAGCAGATGCAGGCTTATCGAGCTGTGAAGATCCAACCGGAGGCACCATCAACTTCTCGCGAGGAAAAACTTCAAGAGATCTGGGCTAAGACACTTAATCGAACTGTTGAAGAGATCGGCACTACGGAAAGCTTCTTCCGCCTGGGAGGTGATTCAGTCAGCGCGATGCAAGTCGCTGCAGGCTGTCGCACCGTCGGACTCAAAGTAGCTGTTGCTGATATATTCCGATTTCCAAGCATCAAGCAACTGGCGGAAAGGATCCAAGATTCCGGATCCGTCTCGCTTTCCCCAGCCGGGGAGGAGGATCAAACAGAGGTGTGGTTTGAACTATCTCCGATCCAGAAGCTCTTCTTTGAGCGAGTACCCAATGGGCACAACAAGTTCACCCTCGAGTTCATTCTCCGACTCAGCAAGCCCCTTCCACCTCCGGAGATTAAACGAGCAATTGAGAAGATTGTTGCCGCTCATTCAATGCTCCGCGCCCGGTATGAACAACGGGCAGATGGTCAATGGGGACAGATTATTGGTCGTGATGTCTCTAGAAGCCTCCGGTTTAGAGAGCATCGGGTCCCGTCTATGAATGACCGGAAAGCCTTGCAGACAATTTTATCAACCAGCCAGAGCACGCTTGATATTATCCAGGGAGTAATGATTGTTGTTGACGTTATCACTACCGACACTGGGGAGCAGTTTCTTGGGTTGATGGCTCATCATCTTGTGATTGACCTAGTGTCATGGCGCGTCCTTCTGCAAGACCTGGAAGATATCCTCAACACGGGTCGTACCATACAGCCTCTCTCCAGATCATTCCAACAATGGTGCCGGCTGCAAGGAAGCTATGCCAAAGAGTCTCTTGATCCCAGTAAAACGCTGAAGACAGAAATTCCACGTCCATCGATGGACTACTGGGGCTCAGAAACTATCCTGACTGCAAATACTTGGGCGGATGCAACGCGACGAACAATCACAGTCTCTAAGGAAACAACGGAGGCAATAATTGGTGCTGCAAATGGCGCATTCCACACCCAACCAGTGGAGATCATTCAGGCAGCTGTACTTCACGCCTTTGTTCAGGCCTTTGACGATCGACTCGCACCCACCATGTTCAGCGAAGGGCATGGGAGGGAGCCATGGGATGCGGACATTGATATATCCCGCACAGTTGGATGGTTCACCACTATTGTACCTTTGTTCTTGGATGTCAAGAAAGAGGACAGCGTCAGGAGGATCTTGCAGATAACAAAAGACGGCCGTCGCAGCATATCCAACAACGGATGGGCATACTTTGCGTCTCGATTCCTCCACCCCGAGGGGCCGAAGAAATTCCAGAGTCATTCCCCAATGGAGATTCTTTTCAACTACACCGGTCTTTTCCAGCAATTTGAACGACCAGGTGCACTTCTTCAGATGACATCAGTCCACGATGATTCTCTTCTCCCCATGGCAGCCGATTTGCCGCGCATGGCTCTCATTGATGTGAACGCGACCGTCATGAACGGCTCTCTAAACTTGTCCTTCATCTATAACCAGCGATTGCAGCATCAGGACCGACTGGAGCAATGGATTAGCAATTGTCTACAAACCCTTGAGCAACTCCCCCTGGAGCTGCAGCAGGAACAGAGACTTTCCGCAGTCGACTTTCCATTGCTATCACTTGCAAGCGAGGAGCAGCTCCACATCCTACTCCATCAGGTCTCAGGTCGATTCGATGTATCTCCGTCCGGAATCGAGGATATGTTCCCTTGCTCGCCAATTCAACTCGGCATGTGGCTGAGCCAATTAAGGAACCCTCAAGTATACTGGTCGCATATCCGGTGGTCTCTGTTACCAACCCCCGCCAACTCAATCAATGTCGATGAAGTGAAGCAAGCGTGGCAGCAGGTTGTTGACCGTCAACCCATCTTGCGCACTGTCTTTACAGATAGTATCACAGGGCAAGGTCATCCTGTCCAAGTAGTTCTGAGAACATGCGAGGCAAACATCAAAGTGTTGTTAGGATCGGAATTACGTGCGGAAGGTCAAGTTCCCTCTCTTTCGGATGAGTTCCTCTTGAATCCAAAGTCGCCAAATACGAAGGGTCTCCCACCCCATCAGCTTACTGTCGCAATTGAGCCTGATGGTGGAGCTTACTGCCAGCTTGCTATTCACCACATTCTTGTTGACGGTATCACCGAGCAAAGGTTATTGTCAGAATTCCACCAAGCATGCAATGGGACACTAGGCGCCGAGTCTGCGGGCAGCTATAGTCGGTACCTGGGCTACCTGCAAACTCGGGATCATAGGGCTTCGGAATCCTATTGGAAGGAATATCTGGTTGATGTTCACCCATGTATTTTCCCATCCCTTGGATCGAAAAAGCATGGGACTGCGTCGAGCTCTCTGAAGTCGTTACCATTCTCCATGGCTTTTGGACAAAATCTCCGTTCATTCTGCCAGTATCATAGCATCACCATTTCCAGTTTGCTGCAAGTCGCTTGGGGCATGGTTCTCCGTGTATACACGGGAAGCGAGTCTGTATGCTTCGGGTATTTGAATGCTTGCCGTGATATTCCAGTGAAAGATGCGCATGATATCTCTGGGCCATTGATTAATCTTTTGATTTGTCGCTTATCTTTGGCTGATAAATCATCGGTTCTGTCAACGCTTGCTGAAAATCATGAGGCCTATGCCCGAAGCCTCGATCATCAACATTGTTCTTTGGCAGAGGTCATGCATTCTTTGAATCGGTCTGGTCAACCTTTGTTCAATACCGCGATGTCATTACAGAAGGACGCCGGCAGTTTATTCTCTGAACAGGCTCAAAAGATTAAGCTAGTACCAGAAGATGGGATTGACTCAACTGAGGTATGTGTGGATAGTGTCTGAGATATTTTCCACCCATCAACATTCATTCAAAAAAGAGAAGCACTCACTTACCAAAGAGCAGTATGACTTAACTATCAATATCACTGAGCGTCAAAAGACCATTGATGGTGATCTGACATACTGGACACACGCTGTGGCTGATGCTCAGGCTGAATTGGTGGCCGACACCTTCCATCACATCGTTCTGCAGCTTACTGATCCCAAAATCACCGATCTCAGCGACATAAATATGTCAATGGGGAAGAATGAGAGTCAAATGCTTTGTTTCAATTACAACCTGCCGGAAACTGTGCGATCTTGTATTCACACAGACATACAACGAATGGCGACGGCGCAACCCACATCGCCAGCAGTCGATGCCTGGGATGGTCAGTTCACATATGAGACCCTCGATCTTCTCTCGTCGCTATTGGCTAAAGACCTGGTCCTAATGGGTGTTGGTCCCGAGGTATTCGTGCCAGTATGCCGTGAAAGATCCCGATGGACGGTCGTCGCCATAATCGCGATTTTAAAGGCAGGTGGAGCATTTATCCTGCTTGACCCTTCGCATCCAGTGGAGCGGCTTCAAGAGATGGTGCAAGTGGATTTCCAGTGTCCAGTCATCATCACCTCATCGAAGTACCTTGAAATTGCAGCCACTCTAGCACCGAACACCATCACCGTGGAGGACATCAGCCAAATATTGCATTCTGCGATTCGAAAAGACACTATCCCGTTGATGACTAGTCCAAAGTCATCTGCATATGCTGTTTTTACATCTGGGTCGACTGGTAGACCAAAGGCAAGCGTCATCCAACACCAGTCTTTCCTGTCAGCATCAGCCGCACATACCCAGGTACTTCGTCTTGATAAAAAAGCCCGGGTCATCCAATTTGCTTCTTATGCTTTTGACGCTAGCATTGTGGAAATGGTCGACACACTTTTGGTCGGTGGCTGTATCTGTATTCCCTCCGATACAGACCGAAATCAGAGACTAGGTCATGCAATCTTCGAGATGCAAGTGAATTGGGCGCTGTTGACGCCTTCTGTGGCACGCCTCCTAAATCAGCAGCATGTTTCGACCTTGAAGACACTTGTTCTCGGTGGAGAGGGCATGACTAGGGACGATGTCCATCGCTGGTCACCGCATGTACGCTTAATGAATGCCTACGGTCCCTCAGAATGCTCTGTCATTGCCGCAGCCCAGCCATCACCGGAATACCTCTCACAAGATGAATCAAACATTGGACAACCTACTGGTTGCATCGCATGGGTGGCACAGCCAAACAGACCAGAGAAGCTTGTACCTGTGGGTGCTGTCGGAGAACTGCTCATCGAGGGTCCTATTGTCGGTCGCGGTTACGTGAATCGTCCAGAGGCTATGGCAGCGGCATTCTTCCCATATCCCGCTTGGTTATGCAAGCTACGTGGTTCCAGCCATGGTATCTTGTACCGTACAGGGGATCTTGTGAGGCGTCTTGTGGATGGCTCCATAAAATACATCGGACGGAAAGATCGTCAAGTCAAGTTGCGTGGACAGCGTATCGAACTTGCTGAAGTTGAGCACCACGTTCGGGGGTGCTTCCCTATCAACGACCCTGAAGTCTTTGCAGACTTGGTCGCAGCAGACGATGCCAAAGATGCACAGTTGGTGGTCTCTATTATTCAACCAGAAGATAGTTGCGATTCTCAAAACTTCGACGCGGCCGTGGAGCAGATGCTATCGCGTCTTCGGGCAGATGTTCCACCTTCTCTTATTCCCTCCGCATTTGTTCCAGTCTATCGTGTACCACGTTTGGTGAATGGAAAGATTGACCGAAAGCAATTGCGCCATGCAGCATCTAAAGCGCTACAAGTACAGATTAGTCAAGGAGAAAGCAAGTACCAGCAGCGACATTCAAGAGAAATGACACAAGGGGAACGTACATTGCAAAATTTTTGGGCTCAAGTGCTGGCTCGCCCTGCGGAGACAGTCGGACCTGACGACAACTTCTTCCGCTTGGGTGGAGACTCCATCGCAGCAATGAGGCTGGCTGCCACGGCTAGCGAGCAAGGCATTCAACTAGGTGTCTCGGATATCTTCCTACATCCTAAGCTTAGTGACCTCGCACGGAATTGCTCACTTCCAGAGCCGAAGGAACGAACAAACTCCAAGCCAAAAGAATTAGGTGATCCGGTGCCCTCATTCTCAATGCTCCCGGCAAATCACCTGGAAGAACTCAAGTCGCAGGCAGTAGAGCAATGCAACCTCCCGATCGAGAAAATCGCGGACATATACCCCTGTACCGCATTGCAGGCCGGTATGGTAGCTTTGACAGCGGAGCGTCCCGGTTCATATATCGCATACCATCGTTTCCGTTTAGGGTCAGATATTGATCTGTCTCTGTTGAAAGCTGCTTGGGAGACAGTAGCGAAACACAACCAAATTTTGCACACCCGATTTATTCAGTCTGAAATTGGCTTCATGCAGGTTCTAGTACAGAATAGTGAGCTTCACTGGGTCTTGGGTGACACAAAGGAAGACAAAAGGTTACATTGGGATGTTCTTTTAGGCCAGCCACTGGTGCAGTTCGAAGTCATCCCGGCGTTGAGCGAGGGTTCGAACAAACCTCAGCGACTTGACCTGGTTATCACAATTCATCATGCTCTGTATGACTCTTGGTCACTGCCTCTGCTTGTGCACCGTGCGCAGGCGGCCTACCAGGGCCAGGTATTGGAGCCCTCCGACATGACCCCATTCAAAGAATTCATCGAATATTCCGTGTCCCAACAAAAGGACGCGCTCGAACATTGGCGTCGTGAATTCCATGAACTTACCGCCGAGCCATTCCCCACACTTCCTTCCACGTCATATCGGCCCCAGGCTTCGAAACAAACGGTACGAACGATTGAGACCGGTCCAGTGATGGATGAATGTGTCAGTCGAACAACCGCCATTCGTTTCGCATGGGCTCTTGTTCAGTCCCAGTACCAGAGCAATGACGATGTGGTATTTGGAATTGTATCCCCTGGTCGAGCAGCACCCGTCAATGGCATTGAGGGCATGGCTGGTCCAACAATTGCCACGCTTCCTTTGCGCGTGCAAATCGATGATAATTCAACGGTCTCACGCGCCCTCAGAAATTTGCAAGAACGGACAATACAACTCATACCATTCGAACAAGTCGGGCTACCTGAAATTGCTGCCATAGGACCCGAGGCCAAGCAGGCTTGTTCGTTCCAAACTCTTCTTGTGGAGGGGAGAGGAGAGGCTGAAAACTTGGGAACCACCTATGGCCCTATGGAACCCATGGGAACATCATCGGGAGATGCTGCGTCAAATACCTACGCCATTCAGGTAGCCGTTATGCTAAAGCCAAACATGGTGACTGTTGCGGTGTCCACTGATGAGACTGTTATTCCAGCATGGCAAGTGGAACATATGCTAGACCAATTCAGCCACCTTTTGCAGCAGGTGCACCATCACCCAACACAGCTGGTGCATGAAATTGCTACCTTAAATGACAAGGATATCCAGCAGCTGCAAGCCTGGAACATCGGAATCCCGGTACGATGCCCGGTGTCGATCACTGATGTGATTTCTCAGCATTGTGAGAAGCAACCATTGAGCATAGCCGTCTCATCTTCCAACTTCAGCCTATCCTATAAGGAGCTAGATCTTCTTTCGACCAACATCGCTAGCCTTTTGCATTTGCGTGGAGCCTCATCAGAGATCTTCGTTCCAATATACTTGGATCGGTCATGCTGGACCGTGGTAGCGGTGTTGGCCGTGCTCAAGGCAGGGGCAGCCTTCGTCCTTCTGGACACCTCGCATCCACAAGAACGGCTTCGGAATATTTGCGCAGAAGTAAAGCCTCGTTTCATTCTTACATCACCCGAGCATCGCCATGAAGCCGAGGCTTTGTTCCAAAATGTTGTGATCATGCCTCAGAGCATTGACTCCGAGTGTGCATCGATCCCACAGTATAGGACGTCCCGCTTGGGCCCAGATCGTGCTCTTTATGCGGTGTTCACATCCGGTTCAACCGGTAAACCCAAGGGAGTTGTGATTGAGGATGGTTCCTTCATGACAATGACCAACGAAGTTTCTCGTTTAATGAATATTGGCCCAGGCTCCCGCGTCCTGAACTTCTCTTCCTATGCTTTCGACGTCGGTATTTCGGAAATACTCGGTTCATTGATTGCTGGTGCCTGCATCTGCGTTCTGACGGAGTCTGAGCGTAGAGGCCGACTAACTGAGTCATTGCAAGAGCTACGGCCATCTCATGCCTATTTTACCCCCGGTGTGTTACGCGCGATGGTGCCAAACGACTTGGGCTCACTCCGGACGATCATGCTCGGTGGAGAACCCCTTCGGTCAAGCGATATTAAGCAGTGGGTGCCACATGCACGTATCATATCAGGTTACGGTCCAGCAGAATGCACGGTCACATTCACTGTGCAGTCCCCAATCGACTCTAGCTCGCAAGGCGGGAACATCGGTTTCCCGATTGCAGGCGCCTGCTGGGTGACCGATCCACGAAATCCTGATCGAGTCGCTCCTATTGGTGCAGTGGGCGAGCTTCTTCTTCAAGGACCTCAGGTCGGTCGAGGATATTTGAACAGTCCAGAACAAACAAGTACAAACTTTATCCCATCTCCAACATGGATGCGACATGGTGGCTTCACCGGTGGTGAAAAGGAGGGCCGAGTGTATCGAACAGGCGACCTTGTTCGTTATGAGAAGGACGGATCTCTCTCGTTCGTAGGACGAAAGGACCTCCAGGTCAAGCTACGAGGTCAGCGCTTTGAGCTTGCAGAAGTTGAGAAGCGACTACAGGAGATCTGGCCTGAAGATCTAACAGACATCGTGGCTGAGATTGTGACTCCGGTGGCTTCGATGAATTCTAAATGCTTGGTTGTGTTTGTCGCTTCCAAAGCGGCCGAGTGGGCTTCACCGGTATCCAGCTCACCAATCCCATCCCTGGAAATTGTTGCCACGACCAACTTTGCCGCCCAGGTCCCGAGTGTCAAACGCCAACTCGGTGATATTCTTCCAGATTATATGTTACCGTCTGCATTTGTGCCTCTTCGACGGATACCACACACCACTAGTGGCAAGGTGGACCGAAAACAGCTGAGAGACTCGGCGGCGAGCGCAACGCGGGTGCAGCTGGAGTCATTGTTTGCTGAAGCCCCTTCAGATAAGCGAGTGCCCGCCATGGGAACAGAGCGGGAATTGCAGCACATCTGGGCGAAAGTACTCGATATTGCAGCTGACGAGATTGGAGCCGAGGACAGCTTCTTCCGATTGGGAGGCGATTCCATCTCCGCCCTTAAAGCCGCATCGAGGGCGAGGGCAACTGGAATCGCGCATTCAGTGGAGAGTTTGTTCCAGTGGAAAACAATAATGCGGGTTGCAAAACATGCTACCCTCGTGAACGCCGCTGAAACCACGGATGTGATGCAGACTAAAGCTTCTTCTATGCGGCACCATATACCCTACTCCCTGATTAGGGATCACGAACGTGCAGAAATTTTTGCTTCTCACTCCGCACCGGAACATCCGTTGATCAAAAATAATGTGGAAGATATCATCCCGGCGCTCCCATTCCAAGTCTTCTACATCACCCATGCATCGCCAGTCTCGATGGCACAAATATTCCCAGTGACCCTGGACATCGATAGACTAAAAAGCGCCTGCAGGCATGTTGTTGCCCACCACAGCATATTACGCACAGTATTTGTGGAGGCCAACGGCCGGTTCTTCCAGGTGATCCTCCGGGATGTTGAGCCTGTGCTTAATGTTGTTCATTGCGACGATCCACAGGCATATGTTGCTCGAGAGTCCGAACAAAAGGTTCCACCTTATACAGCTCAGGGTACAATGGCAGTCAGCTTCACTCTGGTCACTAGCCGCATCAAACAGTGCTCTGCATTGATTCTCAGAATATCCCATGCGCAGTATGATGGGGCCTCCATACCGTTGCTGTGGGAAACGATGAAAAAGGCTTATCATAATGAGCCTCTCACACCGGCTGTCCAATTCAAGGATGTCGCCTATAAACGAATGGGCGATCTCAACAAAGCCGAAAGTTCATTCTGGCGACGATACCTTCAAGGTGCTCCGTCCGATGCCCTCGATCCCCTTCATCAAACCGGAAAGACACGGGTTTCGGACAATGACATAGTCGAGAAGCGCCAAACGGCTATGCCATCTCTTCCACCAGACATGACCATGTCAACGCTCGTGAAAGCAGCTTTCTCATGGGTCCTGTTTGAGAAAACTACGCAATCTGATATTATCCTAGGTCAGGTTGTTCACGGACGTGGGAGTTCCCTTTTGGACGCGAATACAGCCATTGGACCGTGCTTGAATCATCTTCCCGTTCGAATCAGGATTGAACCTGACTGGACGGTGGAGGATTTCTTGCATCATGTTCAGGTGCAGCAGCTAGAAATCACTGGCCACGACCAAGCGTCATTTGATGCGATCGCCAAATGTTGCACACAGTGGCAACCTGGCTCGAAAATGGCTTGTCTTGTCCACCACCAGAGCGACGAAGCCACAGAGCCCTTCGAAATGGGTGGTGTTCGCTCATCGTCTGGTCGCGATTGGGCCAGCTCCAAGTTGGCACATGGTCAGCTAGCTATCATTTCCGTGGAACACGGATCCCAGCTTGAGCTCATGGTCACAGCTACTGAGGATACCATGGACCAACGTAGCGTTGAGGTTCTGTTGGAGAAGCTAGTTGCCACCATCCAGTTGTTCTCAAAGTTTACCCAGTGCCGGTTGGGAAGGATGAATAGTAGGATCCACACATGAAGACCTTTTCTTGTATCGAGCTACGTGCGGTGAATTTGTATGTGGGTGAAGCAATGTGCTGGTGGGAAATGGCACTAAACATAAACAAGGGGCAATGTGGGGTGGCTGTTGCCTCAGGCAGAATTCTATTGACAGGTCCCTTGTGAGATATTCGCGAGTCAAAGATGCAGTCAAAATGTTTTGCACGTTCGAATTTTGGAGCTTAAATTTCCTGTTGCCAGTTGTTTTGCAGTGAGTTCAAAATTTGAAGGAGTTACAAAAGCAACCAATATATATGCAATGTTATCCTTGTTTGCGCATGTTATAAGAATAACCTTTTTTATGCGTCCGTATCCATATGACAAACTAAAAGGCGTACCCTCTACCATGTATTTGTCACTTGGGACGGTTGATCGCTTTATGTTGAATGCTGTGCAAAGTGAAATTCGTCCCAACCCTTCTGGCGCAAAGGAGTTAGAAGTCGACTCTGACTCTTCGCACACTTGGTACAAAAGATGGCGCTTTCCAGCTTATCAGTTCTATCAGAGTCATATCGACGAAGGCCAGCATCTTCAGACGTATACTTGAGCTAGAGCAGGTGAAGATACCCAAATTTAAGTTAGCTGTGTTGTGCTGTCTTTCTGTGCGAGTCGAAATATATTCAAGAGACTCACAGATGAGCATTGAATGCGGATATTGCACATAGTTGTCGAGTATAACAAAAACCCGATCTCTGTTTGTTCATTGGAGTTAGCAGGTGAAAACACGTAGAAGACAACCTACACTCGCATAGGAGTTTTGAGTAAAGTAAAGTACATCGATCATGGTTTCCGGAGTCATGTAAAATACATCGAATACAATATTCAAATGTATGGTTGATAACTAGGTATTGAACCCCTCAGAAGATACATAGACCGCTATTTTGGCAGATACCATATACAACATAAAAGCGCATATTGAGATTAGTCAGATTATTTAGTGAAATTTCTATCCAAGTCATTTTAGTTAGAGTTATCATATTCATTTAACGTGCCATACCTTGCTGTATACCTTGATTTCTACCAGCATACAGCTTCTGAGGGTGAGCAAGCCTACAACGGTCGACAGAGGTCATTGTCACCCATGGAACATATTCTAGCCACCTATCTATTATTATCATATGATTATCTCCTACACACAACCTGATACATACGACCATAGGGTGTGGAAAACAGGGCTTCCCGTCCGCTCAGCCGTACTTAAGCCACACGCCGGTGAGTTAGTAGTTGGGTGGGTGACCACCAGCGAATCCTCACTGTTGTATGTTTTTTTTTTTGCTCGCTTCATATTCTAGTTTATCAACTGTGAGTGAGCATACTAAGATTTCAACATGAACACGCTTCCTAAAATGTCAGTTTCGCCTTCCTAATTGGGTGGAGTTCCTTGATAGTTCTGCCCAGTGCTCCCCTCGCCGCCTTCATATTCAATAGGAGAAATGATTTAGGGCCCGCCTAGCCTGGCCCGTGACAGTGGCCCAGGGAACGACCTCGGGACTTCGGAGACCTAGCGGCTGACTCACCTTCACGAACGATGCAGACGTTTTCAATATATTTACTAATAACATAGCCTCAATTTATTTCGACAGAGCTTGTCGCATGTACGATGAATCGCCAATCAGCACCCAGAGCATCTCTGGCCTGTTGGCCATGTCGGAACCAGCATCTCAAATGCGACGCCGCACTCCCTGTATGTGCACGATGTCAATCACTGGTAAAACCGTGCTCATACCCCGAATCACGACGTAGGGGTAGATACAAGGCCGCCCAGTCTAGGAGAAAGCAGCCTACAATATCATGCCTTACCTCTCAGCTGCCAACACCGTCCGATACACGTGCATCCGTACTCGGGGAAGACCACTCATCAATCTTCACCCCATTTAAAGTGCCACTCGCCTCAGTCATCGAAGTCGAGAATATCATGGGTGTGGACAACACCCTGTTGGACCTATACTACGAATACTTCCATCGCGGCCATCCATTTGTTCTACCGAGGCCCAATCTTCAGGCGAAGCTAGCGTCAGAATGGCCCAGCCTACGGGCGCTGCTCGCCGTCATGCAATACATTGGTTCATCTTACGGGGAGTCTTTCTCGCCAAGAGAGAACATGCCAGACGATCAAACTATTGATGTGGTGGATGGATTCGTTGTTCAAACGACACTGTTGATGGCGCTGATCAAGAGCATGTGTGCTGAACGGGCTGCCTCCGAAGCACTTCTAGCTAAAGCAATCGAGCAAGCTAGGTTGATCGGCATGAACGCCAAATCTTTCGCCAATGCGGCTGCTGAGAACGACCCTGTCCTCGCCGAGAGCTGGAGGCGGACATGGTGGATGCTCTATTTGTCCGACCAGAACTTTTCTGTTATTCGCTACGACTTCATTACGTCGATCCATGATACAGACCACGATGTCGACCTACCTTGTGATGACCTCAACTACTGCTCCACGGTAATACCGTTTCCGTATGATATGATATATCTTTTGATTACTGAATAGTAGGGCCCTAGGATATACCTCGGACGATGCTCTCCTCCAACGATTACCGAAACCGAGAGTACGCCCTAGACACCATACACTTCTCATCATTTGCCTATCTTATCGACGCAACGCGCATTTTTGTCTCCTCATTGAGAGAGGCAACTCAATACGAAAACCCGCACAAGGCGGAACTCCTCTGTAGCGATTTGGAGGCTTCGATAGTTGGTTGGTTTGTCATGCTTCCGCCTGACAAATGGCAGCTTGCCGTACAGCCTGTTTTCCTCGATCAGCTGATCTTTCAAGCTCACATGATGATGTATACGTATGTATTCCTAAGGGAACAATGGGTGATGCTTATACTAATAACACAGAGCTCTGGTGTATATACATCGGCCGTTGTCGAGCCTTCAACATGATCCCGCCGAAGACTTGTCAAGCTGTGGCACACCCCCGCCCCCTCTAGTCTCCAGGACGATAACCACGGGCACACTCAGTCATAAAACCCACTCAGACAAGCTATTTCAAGCAGTCCGTAATCAAAACCAGTGCTTGACCATCCTGCCTCTAGGTGCCGCCCAGCTTTCGCCCTTTCTTATTTGTATGATAGCGTGCTGCACGATTGCCTACCTGGTCGCTTGCAAGTCGGGATTCACACCAGATGAGGTCGAGGTGGCGCGGTCGCGCATACGAGTCTGCCTGGGCACGCTCAAGCACTACGAAGATATCTGGCCCAGAGCCAAGAATATCCTGCATGAGCTGCGAGTTATCGCCAATGCTCTTATGCGAGAGGATTCTGTTTCTCTACCACCAAGTACCGGATTTGATCTCCTCGCTGAACAGGATACTATGGCTGGTGATTTATTTGGCGGAGAGTGGTTTAATGCATTAGGAACCATGACGTGAGGTAATTCAGTTGGCGCATTTCGGTTGGAGCATCATATACCTGCACATCCATCTATAACCGAACTACGCCTAAAAAGCGTTTTAAATTGAAACAAATTCAGCTCTTAACCTTCGCTGCCTGTTATACGATATTGTGATACAGCACCAACCCTGGCCATTCCTTGTACTTACGTTACGTATACCTGCACTTACTGATGGTATGGGTAAGACTAGAAAGCAAAGTATTCGCTCAGGGTGCGGGATGGAAGAAATGAGAGCTAAGACTGTATTGGTCAGTAAAAGTTGTGTTTTGGGATGCCATGACGACATAAAGTAAGAAGAATGCACTACGGTGGCGTTGGTATATGGATATTTAGTAGCGAAAGCCTAGCCGTCGCACTTGGGCACGCACTCTAGAAATGCCCTAAGCCACTCGGGTCAACTACTCCCGCCGCGTAAACCCCGACGCAAACAAACCAAAGCCGGTGTGAATGAATATCGCGGAGTAGACAAGGCTAGCTTCCCTTTATTTATACACTAGTAGTATAGCCTCTTCAAACTCTGGAGTTCACTGGCGGAGTTATCGTATCGTGGGTGGGTGTGATAATCCCGAATAGCCTAATGGTGGGTCATACCAAGTCCAATGTTGAGATGATCCCGAATTGCCTAACCGGAGATTGCAGATTCTCGGACAATTGACGGAATTTTCTCTTATTTATTGGTGCGTCATGCTAGCTTGTGTTGTGTCAATGAAATTAACATATTTGTTCGCGCAGTTGAAACACACAGAGAGAAACAGCATGGCGTATCTCTTTCGGACAACGGCACTCGGTGCATTTGCACGACTAATTACCGGGAACAAGGTCATGGCATTTCCAAGCAAAAAGCATGAGTACTGCACTGGCGAGGACTCCAGCTTCGCTGAAAACCAAGAGGGAAATGAGGAACCTTGGATTCCAGTGACATGGTGAGCGACCCTATTATCCCTTCTGTTTGTGGGCGCTGTGGCGTGCATCCTTACATGACAAATAGGGTGTCCGATGAGGATATAGAAAGCCCTCATAACTGGTCGACAACAAGAAAAGTGTTGGTAGCGTTCCTCATATGGTGAGTTAGGTACACAACCCATTCGGCTGGCCAATTGTTGATCGGTATGTTGGTAGCATCTACACATTCACGGTATACTGCGGATCCTCAATATACGTCCCGAGCGAAGAGTACGTTAACGCATATCTATTATGTTGACGAAAGAGTTGTGTTGTTGACTTGCCACAGGCAGGTAATGGAGGAGTTTGGGGTTTCCGCGGCCGTCGCCTCCCTTGGCCTTGCTCTCTACGTGCTGGGGTGTGAGTTTTGCCCATTTATCTCCAATCAGATTGGGAATTCTTGATCAAGTATTGACCTAGGGTTTAAGATGGCATCGGACCCCTCCTCTTCTCTCCTCTGAGTGAAATTCCGCATATTGGCCGGAACCCCGTCTACATCATCACATTCGGCATCTTCATTGTCCTGTCGGCTATAGCCGCGATATGCAAAAGCTTTCCGGGGTTTCTTGTCGTGCGCTTTTTGCAAGGCTTCTTCGGTAGTCCCTGTTTGGCGACTGGGGCAGCGTCCCTGAGTGATATGGTATGCTCGACAGAACCTATAACCATACTAAGGCTGACAGAAGACTGTAGTTTTCCGTCATATATATGCCTTACACTCTGGCAGCTTGGTCTGGTGCTATGTACTGTGGCCCTGCTCTTGGCCCGTTGTTGTCTGGATTCTCCGTATCTATTAAAGGGTAAGGCTCTCTTGTCTCTAGTTGTTAGAAATTACTTATAGGGATATTCTTAGTTGGCGCTGGTCTATGTGGGAGATAGTCTGGCTGGCGGGCTTTGTCTTTGTTCTGCTTGTATTGTTTCTTCCGGAGACATCGGCGCCTACGCTACTGTTCTACAAGGCTAAACGTCTCCGGCAAGAGACCGGTTCGGACCGATTCGTTACCATCGAGTCCCTACGGTCCAAGGCCGTGTCGCGCAGTCAACTAGTAAAGCTTGCGCTTATCAAGCCTTTCGAGATCACCCTCAAGGACCCGGCAATTGCGTTTGCAAATTTTTATGTAGGTTCTACTTGTTCCCAGCTTGCGATGATTTGCTAACGTCAGATTGAGACCTCTCTTACATACGGTGTCTACTACTCCTTTTTCGAAGTAATTCCTATTGTATATCCCAAAGAATACGGCTTCAATGTTGGCGAGACTAGCGCCGTCTTTACCTGCGTCCTCATCGCATGCATCATCGGCGCAACTTGGTACTGCACCTGGTACCGTGTCTTCGTCCAGCGCGGCTTCGAGCGCCTCGACACTTTCGACGTCCAGGAGACCTTTCTACGCCCCGGTCTTGTGGGAGTGTTAGGTGTTCCAATCGGCATGTTTCTCTTCGGATGGGCGGCTCGTGCATCAGTTCCCTGGCCTGTGCCCACACTCGGCGTCGTCATCTTTTGCGGGTGCTCCTTTGTTGTTGGATTGGGCATCTTCCTACACCTCCCGTTGAGCTACCCGGAGTACGCGGCGAGCCTGTTTGCAGCCAACGACGCGCTACGAAGCTCATTTGCGGCCGGTGCGGTGCTTTTTGGGCGACCGCTGTATTTAAACCTAGGAGTAGGGAAGGGTTGTACATTGCTTGGAGGGTTAAGCATCCCCCTGGTGGTAGGATTTTGGTATTTGTTCATGTATGGGGACAAGTTGAGGAAGAAGAGCAAGTTTACAGTCCATGTGTAAACGGACGGAAATTCTCCTATACGTCCTCTCATTTTCTAAGATTTCACCCTTGCATGTCATAAAACTTGTAAAATAGAACTTAACCGGCCTAGCAGGAGTTCGTTACCTCCGTAGTGGAATATCATACCTAACCCCTGTCTAGTTGAATACCAGAACTGACGATTAGCAAAATTCTAAGCAGGAATCACTGCGAAGTAACTAGCAAAGTACCCCCAGGAGCAGAGAAGCAAGACGGGAGAAATGATACAGAAACTCCACAGCTCCTCATCCGTTTGCTTGTAGGCGCTAGTTCTTCCTATACAGACCCCGACCCTACTCATAATTTACCGATTCTCCTCCGACACCCCACGGAGTGCGGCTCAACGTAGATCCACCAACCAAACGCGTTCCATTTCTATCAATACATCATAAACATGTCCTCAACACCAAATATGCCCGAGAACGACGCTCGGACACGGGCCCTCGCGATCCCAGAGATCGTGACCTCAATTCTGCACCAGATGGACATACGAACGCTGAGCACCGCCCAAAGAATCAGTCGTACGTGGAAAGATCTGATCTGCACCACGCTATCATTGCAGAAGATTCTATCTCCCCGACCCATCAGCCATGAGCTCGGCCTGAGCACTCGGGTCGAGAACCCGCTACTAGCAGAAACATTCCCATCGATTCTTAATACTGAAGAAAAGGATATCTGCATGACTGTTCTTATCTGGGAGAAATACCTAGCTGTTCGAGAAATGTTCATCCGACCTAAAGCCAGCTAGCGCCGCATGCTCACGGACCAACCACCTCTCTATCGAGTCGGAACATTTGAATTCTACTTTTACCCTTTGGCTGGGGTTGGAGTAAGGAAAATGCAGGTGTTCCGGAAGATGTTCTTCGAATGGCACCGCTCTTTAAATTTTTGATTGATCGCCACTGGCAGGACTGGGCCTACGGGGAGTCAATCAAGGTTGATTTCCCGGCTCCTTTGCCTACCGCCCTCAAGTCGAATAAATTTAAGAATTGGAATGAAGCTGATCGGCCTTGGAAGCAAATGAACGGGCAGTTTGATCCTGTGTTGGAGATTAGCTCGAGTACGACTTGTACGAGCGGGATAGATTATGAGGATTGTATGGAGAAGAGGGATAAGGAGGCTAGAGATAAGGGCGAGGTACTTCCGGATACTGATTTGACTGTTTGGAAAAGAAATTGTGAATTTTATCGGGAGTTGGGGTTGGAGATAGACGGCTTTAAGATGGAGAAGTTTGACGACGAAGTGGGATGTGGGACTAGAATAATGGGTTGCGAGTATATACTTTATAGTGATATTATAGGTTTGCGCAAAGCATTTCCACCATTATGTTCTGGTTGATTTGTTCTGTGGATATGTCTTGTCTCGTCACCCCAGAGTTGGGTATTTCCTTTTCCCTTGTTAACGTATACAAGAATAGTCAGCCGTGTTTGCAGCCTTGCGATGTCTTCTTAGTTGGTTTTTTGAGATGTGTTTTCAAATGCCTTTTAAGATGTATCCAAAGGGAAAAAAGCATACTTTGTGCAACAGATTTTTCGATATATAATCAGGGATACACACTTCATTTTTCTAGTTGGCCCCTATCACCCCGTTCATACTCCTCTTATCCCAGTGTCTAGACTTCTCACACATATAACCCACCCTACCTAGAGTGCCGCTTAGGTGCCGATGAGGTACATTGATAATTGCCGTGCAGAGAGCATGTGGTAAGAACAAAAAAAGAAGACAAAAACATACAACAGTGAGGATTCGCTGGTGGTCACCCACCCAACTACTAACTCACCGGCGTGTGGCTTAAGTACGGCTGAGCGGACGGGAAGCCCTGTTTTCCACACCCTATGGTCGTATGTATAATGTTATTTGTAGGAGAGAATGATATGATAACAACAGACAGGTGGTTAGAAGATGCAAAATGGGTGAAAACCAGGATTAGAGCCACCTTCAGCCGCGCAACGACACTGAAACTGCCGCAAGTGGGATGTTACAAAGGCCTTGAATATGTAGAAGGTATCGTTTATAAACACCCGTGGATGCACACACCAGTGCGCGCGGAAGGACTATAGGAAGTGCAATCTCAATGTCGTTCAGCGTTTTGAGAAAAGCGAGAAGAAACATTACCTGGCGCCGGCAGGCGCAAGCAATGTAACGTAGACCTCATATACATCTATGTTGTATAGCCACGATCGATGATGGTTCTAAAGTGAGGATGGCGACAATATCTGACTTGTAGCGTGAGATTCTAAATAGCGCTACGATAGTAGCCCAATCATCTCTGATAGCGATCGCGACCCTAGTGGACCTGCAACCAAATCATATGGAAGACTCTTCCGATTCGCGAAGTTGCCACTCATCTGGATGAATCGGATGTTAAAAGCTGGACACACCATGAAACTAAGACATTTTCCACTAGCTGAAAGTACCACAAATGATGCACCTAGATCCACTGTACGGAGTACGGAGTAGTCGCCCCCCTGGTCGATTAGGGCAGGGAATTTTTGCCGAATTCCCCACTATTTTCCTGCTGAAAACCTTATTTATCCTTTTCGTCGGTTTTAGATCACAGATCGCGCATAGTGACATTATTAATCGAGACCTTGTCACGCCGTGAAGAGATCTCATCTCAATGACATTTGTACTTTATATCTTTCAATCTCCGAGATTGTCTAGTAAGTAAATATTAGGATTTGCCACATCTCACCTGCTCTTCAAAAATGTCCGGGTGGCTCGGAAGGTGAGATGAACAGTCGGTAGAAAAAGCCCATTCTCATGCAATACAATGCCTACAATATATTGTAGTTTGGTGCTAGCAATAATGTGGATCTAGCAGCGAGTTCTATCCACTCTATCGCTTGGCGGAGAGCGAAGCACTAAAACTTTGACACTGTTGGTGGGACCTGTATGCTTAGCACTGGTACGGAGTACTCCGTACCTGACGAGCGTTTCTTATCTTCATTTGCACCGAAGTATCGCCGACTACGCCACATGGCGAACTATTTGCGGGACTACCCTATTTAGGGCACGAATCTCCGGAAAGATTTTAGTGTTTTCTATAGGTATGATTGTGGAAGTACTCCGTATTCAATTCTCAATTCATATTATCATATGTTGGAGACAGCCGATCCGTAAAAGGTAAAAGTAATTTATGGTTCCTATGTGATCTACAGTATTTTTGAAGAGCTATGAATATTCAAGCCGTTATTTGGTGGCTGTTCAGCTGTGCGCTCTGCTCTGCCCACTAATTAAGCTTTCCTGGCACCCTTCACCGGCATATCGACAGACGCCCCGTTGTAAATGGCCAATTCTGGGAAATATCCACAGGCCACGTGTGTTCCACCGTATGTGGTGTATGTCTCAATCCAATTCTTTGGATACACTGGACTATGTTGTACTGATCCGCTGGGTGTTCGCACTAATATTAGATCTAATTCGACCAAGACTGATTCCCATTCACGATGAGATCGATCGCCTGAAAACCCCTGATTTCTGTCCCTGGAATCGGGTCCCATGGGTCTGGAAGGTCTGGAATGGGGTATTATGGGTTTTGACGCTTGCATTATTGTCTCGTATTCTAGTCTATTGTCTCGTATTCTAGTCTAATTGTCGGTTATTTACCCCCCGAGAACTAGAGGCAAAATAGTGCCGGCGCATGGCGTTCCCTGAATGTGATAGTGCAATTTTCCAGGATATACCTATCTCTTTAAGGCGTAGGTCGAGGACTATATGAGCTGGTCAATCACCAGTGGGTCTTGAGTTCTTTTCTGGTTCTTGTTTGCCCATCCGAATTTTTAAATATAGATCTTCGGATCCTCGGTTGCGCAGTCCTTATAGCCTTCAGCAGAGCCTCCGAAGATTGATCTTGTTTCGTAAGATTCGTCGTTCGCTGCCTGTGAGGCTTCTTAGGATGCGCGCTTGGTCGGTCTTGGGCTTTGCTGGCCTCTCAGTGGCTTCTGCAATCTCGAGCGTTCCTGTCCCTACTGCAACAACGTCTGTCATTACTACTACATCTGCTACGTCTACTGAAACAACCACCTCTGCGTCAACTTCCACCTCGACCTCTCCCAGTGAGTGAACCTAAAGTACCACAAAATCCATCGTACTGACTTGTCTCTAGCCTCCACAACCATTGTCACTGTTGCAACGGATAGCAGTGGCCAATTCACGGTGATTGGCGATGCTATCAACTACGCTCAAAGCCATGGAATCCCAACTGTAACTGTCCTCGCGGGTACTTATACCCAAGCAGTTACTGTGTCTGCAACCCCAACTGTGACGGTTATTGGTCAAAGCGATGCCGCCGACGACTACACCCAGAACGAGGTCACCATTACCAACGCAGGCACTGTTCTGACAATCAACAATAATGTCCAACAGGTCAGCTTCAAGAATGTTAACTTCCTCAACACTGCTTCTGGCTCCGGTGCCATGGTGTTGAAGGGAAACAAGTACAGCTTCTACGACTGCCAGATTGTCTCAACTGGAACACTGGGAGTCACTGCCAGTGTTGGTCTCGGAATCATCGCAAACTCTTACATCGAGGCTCTTGATAAGATCCTGTACGGCGGTGCCAATCTCTATGTCTACAACACCAAGATTGTCCCTGTTGACAGCTCCGCTCTGCTCGCTTACATGAAGGGTACCACCCAAACCAGCACTTCAACGCTGTACAACTCCACCGTCATATTCGATCATGTCACAGTGGCTGCAAAGACGGGATCCTCGATCAGCAATGTGGCTTTCGCTTCTGCTAACGGTCCTGGAGTCGTTGTCCTCGTCCGAAACTCCGCCCTCGGCAGTTTGATTGCCGCCACCGGTGCTCATGTCGACACCATCAGTCAAGACGGACAGAATCTTTTCGCTGAGTACTCTAACACAGGCTCGGGTGCCTATGCCAGCAATGCTGTTACTCGTGCTCAGTACGTGTCAGTTCTCGATGCATCGGTCTTGTCTGAATACAGTGTCAGTGCCGTATTTGCCGCTGCCCTCCCCGGCTATGCTTCAGCTGATACAACTTGGGTTGATTCATCCCTTCTGGCTGCCATTCAAAACGCAGATAAGGTCCAGAGCTCATCTGTGATCTCGACCCCTACTGCCTCGACCGTTGCATCCTCGACGGCTTTGGTTGCTACAAGCACAACTGCCGCTGCCACCGCGACATCTACTTTCATTGTTAACCCAACAGCTGGTCCTTACAAAAATGTCACTGCTGCTATCGCCGCCCTGCCTAATGATAGTCAAGAGTACACCATCTACGTCATGGCCGGCACATACAATGAGCAGATCTCCATTACTCGTACGGGAAAGACCATCCTTCGCGGCGAGACGACGTTTGAGAATGATTACACTCAAAACACTGTCACTATCTCATACTCCAACGGTGTTTTAACCAGCGCAAACAAGGATGAGGATACCCCGATTGTCAATGCGAAGAACACCGACGGCAAGGGCTTGGCCATCTACAACATCAATTTCCAGAACACTTACCCTCAAACCGCGAACACTGCTGCTCTTGCTGCCGACTTCTACGGAACTGTGCAGTCTTATGGTTGCTCCTTTATTGGATACCAGGATACACTTCTGGCGAACATGGGTACACAAGTGTTTTCTAACTGTTACGTTGAGGGTTCCATCGATTTCATTTGGGGTTTCTCAACAGCTTATTTCTACCAGTCGGTCATCGCAACGAACACTGCTGGCTCTTGCATTGCTGCAATGAGCCGCTCTTCTTCCACCGCCACTGGAGGTTACGTCTTCGATACATGTCTCGTCACCTACACCTCCAGCTACGGTAGCACTTATCAAAACACTTGGCTCGGCAGACCCTATTCATCATACAGTCGCGTTGTTTACATGAATTCGTATCTCGATAAGCATATCAACCCTGCGGGCTGGCATGTGTGGTCAACTAGCTCTCCTCAAACAGACTACGTGACGTTTGGGGAATTCAACAACACCGGACCTGGAAGCTGGTCAAGCAGCCGTGCATCATTTGCCACAAACCTCACTGAGGCCCAGGCAGATGCCTACACTTTGTCCAACTGGGTCGGAGGAACCTCTTGGCTCGACATGGACGCTTATGATTACGTTCCATCTTACAACTTGACTCCCTCGGCAACTACCTCTGCTACCAATGTCTCAACCGCTTCCGCAGTGTGGGCTCACCCTTCTAACGGGACTACTCCCCCGACCGGTGCTGTTCTGGTTAGTGTCTCTGGGTCTGTCAATGGCTCCTATGCCAACCTCACTGATGCTCTTGCCTCTCTCCCGGATGATACCACTACTCAGATTATCTTCATTTATGCTGGAACATACGAGGAGCAAGTCCCCACTATCAACCGCAATGGTCCCGTTATGATTATCGGCTACACCACTGGAAACCCTGGCCAGAGCTATGCAGACAACCAAGTGACAATTACTTTCGCGCATGGACTTTCCGTCTCCCCTCTACCCACTGGCCACTCTGATGCCGAGACAGCGACTGTTGCTACCGCCTCTACCCAAATCGCTTTCTACAATGTCAACATTATCAACTCTGATAACCTTGATGGTCTGGAATCTTCATACGTCACCCTGGCTGCATCTATATATGGCAATCATGTCGCATTCTATGGTATGTTTTGAATTGAATCTCACAATTTCTCCTGTGCTATCTGCTAACATCAATTCACTATGCAGGTGTCTGGTTCCAGGGATGGCAAGATACTCTCCTGACCGGAAGTACAACCGGATACCAATATTACGAATCGTCGTATATTGAGGGCGCGATTGATTTCATTTGGGGATACTCTAAAGCCTACTTCAAGGGCTGCACCATTGGTGCCAAGAAAGCGAAGTCTGCGATCACCGCACACAGCCGAGCCTCGTCTACCGCGATCGGTGGTTACATCTTTGACCAGACGTTGTTCACTGCTGCCGCTGATGCCACCGTTGATCTTACGGAGACTATCTACCTTGGTCGTCCCTACTCTCAGTACGCCCTTGTCGTGGTCAAGAACTCATACCTCACCGATGTGATCAACCCATCTGGATGGAAGGCCTGGTCAACCAGCGACCCTCGCACTTCTGGAGTGACTTTCGCTGAATTCAACAACACCGGGCCGGGTAACTGGGAAAACAACGCAGCAGCCCGTGAGGCATTCGGATACGCTACCCTGCTGACGGAGGATACCTACTCCCTGGCGAGCGTCATGGACTCCACTGACTGGATCGACATGACCCACTGGGACTCCATTGATACGCCTACCGCTGTCTCTGGTACAGCTACCACAACAGCCACCCCGACTCCGACCCCCACGGCGATTTACGATGGAACCACTCCTCCCTCTGGTGCTTACATTGTGTCTCAGACCAGCCTTGGAACAAATACAACTGTAAACACAACTGTTTACGATACTATTCAGAGTGCTCTCAATGCGATCCCAACCTCGTCTAAGGTCACACCCACCATCTTCATCTACCCCGGTACATACGAGGAGCAACTTATTATCAGCAAGTCTGGCTCTGTCGTTTTTATGGGTTATTCTGAGTCTACATACGACTATTCCAGCAACCAGGTCACCATCCAGTACAACCATGGTATTGACACTGGTGCCGATCAGTCCAACTCTGATGGTGCTACCGTTTATGCTACTGGTAACTACTTCGAAGTAAGTTCCCTCCTGATATAAATTTGACCACAGGACATGCTGACAAAAAGTACAAGGCCATCAATATTAATTTCGTCAACAACAACGGCACCCAAAAAGACATTGCCACTCTCGGATTTGCTGTCAAGTCCAGCAAATATGCCAGTCTGTATGGTAAGTCTATCTTTTTGTTTCTTCCCAGTATCACTCATAGCAAACCATGATTCTGATATCAAGGAATGTAGGCTGCCAGGTCAAAGGAAACCAAGACGCTCTCTTGATTAACGGCAACCTTTTCATGAGCAACGGATATGTTGAGGGTAACATTGACATGATTTGGGGAAGTGGCGCTGGTTACTTCTTGAACACAACCATCTCGCCCAACGAAGACGGCATCAATCTCACAGCGGATAAGAGAACCACAAACACCACCGCCGGAGGTTTCGTATTTGATCAATGTGAGATCATTCCTTCGACCGGGGCCGGCTCAATGTCGAAGATCTCGCTCGGAAGACCCTGGAACCAGTATGCCCGGGTTGCGTACATTGACTCCTACCTCGATTCTTGTGTGGAGGCTGCCGGATGGGAGCAATGGTCTAAGTCAAGCCCTCAGACCTCCGGCGTCACCTTTGCTGAATATGGAAATTACGGTCCGGGATCCAGTACTTTGTCGCGTGCGACGTTCGCTTCTCAGCTCACTGACACGGATGTCGTTCAATTCGAACTTGCCCAGTTCTTCTTTACCACCTCCTGGATTGATTTCACGCACGTCGAGGGGACGCCCTTTGTGCCGGGAACGACTACCACTGTTTCGAGCGCTGCCGTGCCAAGTGCTACTCCTTCAAGGGCCATCATCTCTTCAGCCATCGTTTCCACCCCTCTATTGACTTTCACTACCACTGTTGACGTGATCTCCACGTCAACCACAGGCGCCTTCATCACGGTCACCCCGACTGATACAATTTCGACTGTCCAGTCCACCACGATCCTGACGCTCACACCGGAAGATGTGACAAAGACTACAACACTCAAGTCGACTATCACTAGTACTAATATTCTGACCGAACCAACAATCACATCCACCAAGACCTCGATCGTGACTACGGATATTGGCAGCACCATTACACCTGACCCAAAGACTGTCACCACGACTAGCAAAGCGACGACCACTGATACAGTGACCATCACTGGCAAGGACACAACAAAGATCGTGAAGAGCACCGTCACCTCGACGTCAACCATCTCTGCCGCTGCTTCCACGGTTACCGACAAGGAGACAGTAACTATCACCAGTGTCAAGACTACGAGCGCCAAGGCTGGGAAGACTACTTCGATCGCAACAGTCACAGTTGGATCCGAAGGAACCACCACCGTCAGCGCTAAAGCCACCACAGAGGTCGTTACTTCCATTTCCACAAAGACAGCCACCAAGAAGGTTACGACAACTCTCAGCTGTGACGCCCCCGCCAAGAAGATCAAGCGAGCGCTCATCCCCCGGGACAATGTTGCCATCGTCACTGACTATGTCACGGAAATCGACTACGTTACTAAGACTGTAACCACAACGCTTCCTGCCGCTACGGACTACATGACCGATGTCACAACTAAGACAACCTCGCTCAAGGCCGCGACAGTCACGAACACTATCACTTCCATCGCCACTAAGCTCTCCACAAGCACCATTAAGGCCGTCACCTCGATTGTTACTGCCATTGAAACCACCTCCGTTGGCAAGACCACAACCCTGAAGGCTTCCACTGTCACCAACACCGTTACCTCGTTGGTCGAGAAGCAGGCTACAGTGACTCTACCAGGTCAAACTGTGACTTCTGTCAGCCTGAAGACGGCAATTGTCAAGAGCACCGTCCACCTGCCTGCCGTGACTACCACCGCCACTGTAACGACAACAGTGAAGAGCACCACCACTCTCCCTGGCTCCACTAGCACTGTCATCAAGACTTCCACTGTCACTAATCACCCCTCGGTTACTATTACCAATCGTGCTACGTCCACTTCCACCAAGGTCGTTAAGACTACTTCCACTAGCACCGTGACAGCCACGAAGACTGCCAAGTGCTCCTGATAACGCATCCTTTGTTGGGACACTCTGAACCCTCTCACGAGCTTCGTCACGGTCTTTCATTCCCTTCATTCTTTCCATTCTCTTCATTCTTTCCATTATTTTCTTTTTTTTTATTCTTTCTCTTCACCTGGACATTCCCTTCCATCTTCATTTCCTTTCTTTTCTTCAATAATTACTTTCCATTGTGCTTCTACACATTTATCTCATATATATAATTTTTCTACCCATTCAGAGCGTGGCCGTTACCATGTACATAAATTTATTCGTCTTCAACAATTTGGATAGAAGACTCAAAGAGAGCGTCACCAATGAACACATTACATTTACTTGTATGGAAATACTTCACATCAAATATTTCTCAAAAATACCAGCGCATCTCCAGCCCGAACGGTATCGCCTGGTTGGACGAGCACCTTCTCAATCCTGAAAGACTCATTAATGCCGTCTGTCTTGTCCCCATTGTAGGAGACGGATACTTCCATTTTCATTGCCTCGAGTATGACAACAACTTGAGCAGAGCGGATAACACTGCCATCTGCAAAGTTGACCTTCCACACGTTGGCATCGAGAGGAGCATACAATGTCAGAATGTCAGGGTCTGGCGATCTTCTGTTAGTATACTAAAATAAATGCTGAATCATTTCCGGAATTTGGAGCTGACCTTCTCTTAGGAGTGTAATTTCATCAGCAGGAACGTTGTTTTGCGCTTTCTCGACCGTCCATCTGTCCATTGATTCCTTTTCTAAGGCTAACATCTTTACCTGTGCCGTGGCTTGCCGAGACTTGAATTCCGCTACTTCGTCTCTAGTTTGCTCAAGAAGACGGTTGTGGGCGCCCATATCGAAAATAACATCTTCGTACTGGAATTTGTAACAACCAGCCCGGAAACGCGCCATATCACGCTCAAGCTCTTCCTTCTCTACTCGATAGAAAGTAATCTGGTCGAAGTCACGGAACAAACCTGGCTGACTTGGTGAGAAGTTGGGTTTGACCCCCAATTGGTCAAAGCATGGAATAGTTTGACCCGTCATTTGATAACCTCCAGGGGAATCAACGGGATAGATACTGTTGAAAATAGCATGTTAATTTCGTCAACTTCAGTACTATGAAAAAAAGAAACTTACTTCATGCATGATCCACCCCAGCTGACACTTCCTTCTGGGGTGTACACGCGACTAGGGTTCTGCTTGGGGCATGTCAACCGATAGCGGGGATCAACTGGCAGACAGATAGTATCGCCACAGAAGAACCCGACACAAATAGCCATAAACTCGACCGAAAGGAAGATATTAACCAGTTCATCATGCGTAATCCCGTTTATATTCGCCACAAAGTCCATATTACTCGGTAAAAACGGAGCATGTGGTCTTTGTGTCCCCATGTATCGCTGGATGGCTTCCTGCTGAGCCCGGCTCTCGAAGCAGATGGGAAGACGGAACTTTCGGCTTGGGACGTTGGAGGAGCTAAGATCCCCAACTGTTTTTTGTAACGATACCAAAAGGTTGACAAGGTCACCTTGGGGGAGCTTCAGACCGTCGTAGTGGATCAGGAGCGCTTTGGTTGACAACTCATTAGTCCAAGTCAAATATCAGTAACACTGGAAAAAGAAACTCACAATTGCAGCATCCGGTGGTCTTGTAGACTGCTTGTCTTACAAATTCATCAGATACTTGAGAGTCCTTGAAAGCCTGGTCCAATGCTGTCACACGACAGCGATAATTGAGATCAAACTTTCCATCGCCGAACTCGACCAACAAGAACTCATCACCACCCTGCCAGCGGCAGTTAGAATCTGATATGTATGGTGAATTGAACTCTCGCTTACCTGTCTAAATGTCATGGGAATTCCAGATTCACTCAATTCGGTGCGGTAAATCAAAGCCTTTCCCCAGTTGTCAGAGACAGTTGACTCTGGCAACGTTGGAGCGAAAATCGGCTTAATGATATCCATATTGCACTGGCCCGCTACAAGTGCGGACACACTTTCCATGAACTGTTCCAATTCAACACGAGCACGAAGAGCATCTTTTAATGATACTCTGCGGTATTGAATAGTGTCACCGGATTTCAGTTGACCCATACGCCATAGACTGCCTTTCACAATCGTCGTGGAGGAAATGAAGCCACCAAGATCAGGGGCGTCAATGGGGAAAATGCAAGGACTGAAATGGTTAGTTGAACTAGTAGGATCAATGTCAAGAAATTCGCCGCTGGGACTTACCTGTCTCCCGTCCAGTTCAATGTTCCCGTAGGGTACCCATATTCAATAACGTTGCTAGGGTGTTGGCCACCCTCGCCTCCATCTTCCCTTGCCCATCTTGGAGAAGGTCCAACAAGGCGAATTCCACCTCTTGTGGCATTATGCGAGACATCCCTAGAATACAGCAATTAGGATTGCCTTATAACCTGTTTTTACCCTTGCCATGCATGACATACCAGACCGTGTTATAGATCATCTCGATATCTTCGGATACAATATAGCCTTCATCGTACGGCCCAACCATGGCATCAATCTCCCAGTGACGGGAGTATATGGGGCGCAAATGAGTAGGCAATGAGATCTCGCGCTCTGCTTCAACTGCACCGAGTTTCGAAATAGCCAACATATCACCCGGAGCGAGCGATCTTCCTTGATACCCACCAATCCCAAGAAGAGGAGAGGTTGATTTTGAACCAAAGTATGGGGCACTGCATATATAATTAGTTCTGTGGCCGAGAATAATATTGATGTATAGCTCACATTGCCGGGAATCCCCCACGAACAGCGAGATATGCTACGAGCCAGTTAGCAGAGTGAACCCGGAATTGGAAATATCAAGAGTATCCTACCTCGAGATCCTCCTGGCCCATTCAGCTTTCCAATTGATAATATTTGACCAGGTTTTATGTAGAGTCGTGTCCACATTGGGATGTCAGTCCCGTCAAGTGTCATGTCCATTGGAGCACCGCAGACAGATATGCATGCTGGAGCTAGGAAACGTAGTTCCGGTCCTTTCAATGTGATCTCTAGGCCTTCGATGCCGGAAGGATTCCCTGCCAAAATATTGGCCACTGCAAGTAAGATATATTGTCAGAAATGTATGCACGTGGAAAAACACAAACAATACGGGACGGATATACCTTGAAATGCCAAAGGGTCCTGATATCTATATGTCAGCTGATGAATTATTTCAAGCCCCAGGAATGCTAGCTCACCATTGGTCCTGCTTGTGGAATTCCCCGCCCAGCAGTTGGACGTCCTGGATAGTCTTGTATCGTTGTATACAACCCTGGTGATATGACATCTATCACAGCCGGGGTGAACTCAAAATCAGTCAAGAAATTAGTCAACGTATGCCCCGTGCGGAATTTATTGGAGTGAATTATGGCGTTCAAGAACTCCAAATTTGTCGGTGGTCCGCAGATGGTCGACTGCGACAAAACATCGCCCAATTTTTCAATAGCCGCCGCCCGGTTGGAGTCATGTACCATGACCTTTGCGATCATAGGATCTAAGGTCTTTGAGTCAGCTTACTTTTTCATATGACATCTTGAATCAAACAACAGACCGTAGTATGTTGAAATTCGAGTTCCAGTAGCAACCCACGTGTCAATTCGAGTGTCGCTCAACTCCCTCCACTCAACATGTTGAAGCAATCCAGGGGACGGCGAGTAGTTCCGAGCAGGATTTTCTGCGTACACACGAACTTCAATCGCACAACCTGAAGGCTTGTCTGGTTGCAAAGATTCTAGATAACCCCTGTCCAGACCTCCGAGATTGCATAACTCCCGGTCGGCTTGTTGGAGCATAAGCTTTACGATATCAAGATTGTAACATAGTTCAGTGATACCGTGCTCGACTTGGAGACGAGTATTCATTTCCAGGAAGAAGAAATCCCCTGATACGTCATCAACTAGATATTCGACGGTGCCTGCGGATCCGTAGCGAATGGATTTGGCCAAAGCAACCGCCGCAGAGGCAAGCTTCTCGCGAAGACCTAGTGTTTATCAGCAGGGAAATAAGTCTTGGGGTAGAAAAGTTGCAACTCACCTGGGTGTTTTTCCACGAACGGGCTGGGACACTCTTCGACGACCTTTTGATGACGGCGTTGAATTGAGCACTCTCGCTCTCCGATATGAATTGCATCTCCCAGACCATTACCAAAAACCTGGACTTCGATATGATGGCTCTCAGGATAGTAACGCTCCATAAAGACGCCAGCATTCTTGAACAAAGTCTCTCCTCGAGAACGGACTTGCGTCAAAGATTCTCTAATCTCTTCGACTGATTTGCATATCATCAAGCCCATGCCACCACCTCCACCTGTGGCTTTTAGCATGACCTATAGTACATTATAGTCAGTAGGCATTTTCAGCAGAACATTATTATAGGGAGGAGTACGGGATATCCTAATTCATTTGCCGCTTCCACTGCTTCGTCCTCTGTAACGAGCAGTCCCTGCGTCCCGGGCACAATTGGGACACCAGCTGCCACAGCGATCTCACGAGCTCGATGCTTCAGCCCAAATGCTTCAATGGCTTCGGACCGAGGGCCGACGAAAACCATTCCGGCATTGGCGATAGCTTGGGCAAATTCCACATTCTCCGACAGGAATCCATAGCCCGGAATAATGGCATCGACTTGATGGGAACGCGCGATTTCTATAATTGAATTTCTATTGATCATCGTTCTAGTTTCAGTTTCATAGCGCGATCCTTTCGCTAGTGATGGGAGACAAACCCGTTGATGTATGCGGTAGAATCGTCACCCGGTAGTAAGACAGCCTCATCTGCCGCCCGAATGTGATTTGAGGTTGCGTCGGCGGCAGTGTAGATTGCAATCGTACGGATACCTAGCTCTCTATTTCGGACTAAGAGTTAGCTGGGCTGCGTTTGACAATGGTCACTTTCCTTACTTGGCTGTTTTGATGATGCGAACGGCGATCTCACCGCGATTTGCGATCAATAAAGTCTTCAATTTCTCCATTGCGACAGTATGAATATCAAATTCTGGGAATTTGCAAATAGATATGAGTACATCCAAATTCCATTCGAGCATCTCCTCCAGATAAGCTTATCACAGTCTCCAAGTCTCCAACGTGAAACGCCAAGTGTTGGGGTAATTGGCGTTCATCCGACTGGCTGGAAACCACCGGTTATCTCGGCGATTCCTTCATAAAGAACCTGGATATCCCCGGATCGGATGTGTTGGCTTATCTTTCGCCTTTCATGTCTGCGAGAGAACACAAACGAGTGTACCAGGTAGGTGGGCATTGGCCCCTCATCCTCCCCGCATTTTGTAGCCGATCATCTGACGTACCCAGGCTTGTGAGCCTTGCAGGGAGAAGAAGGTGCGATGTGAGTTGGGATCAGCCGATTGTCCGAATAAGCCACCTTGTGCGCGATGCCGCAGAGAGGGCAAAAAATGTTTTTTTGCCGCATCGAGGATAAGAAAGATTGCTTCTACAAAGCGAAGAGCGCTATCACCTCTTGTTCGAGATTCCAGATCGCAACGTGCGACTTACCTTTCCGATTTGACACCGGTGTCTCACAGCAACCCAACTCCTTCTGTACGAGGAGACAGCCAAACGTTCCCGGAAGATGGACGTGCTGCGGCTGCTTTGCTCGAGGGTCACCCCCGAACCTATCATGACGCATTGACCTTGCTGTCAGAGGCTTGTGAGCACAGTGAGGCTCGGAAGGATTCGACTGATGGCTCACCCCCGACCAACCCTCCCCCGGGCGTCAGACCGAATCCCACTGACCCAGCTCTTGGAATTTATACCGATACTAGCACCAACAAAAGCACCCATGATGCCCTTCGCGCCTGGTCCAACGTGCGTTTTGTCCGTGGTGGACTCTTTACAGCAGAAGAAGCGCTAGACATGGTTGATCATTTTTACAACTTCCAGTCAGCCTTCTCGCCCGTTGTACCGGAATACTTTCGTAGTCATTCCCAGCACGCGACGCTGATCGAGGAGGAGCCCGTATTGACTATCGCCATATTGATGATTGGATCGCGCTACCGAAAGTGGACAGGACCGGCCGCGGTCGCGCGTTCCTATATCGTTCATGATCGGATTTGGAGATATCTACAGGGGATGATTTCACGATTGTTTTGGTCAGAAGACCTGTTTGTAGGTGAGTTCCCTTCTCTCAGAGACCCTTTTCTTGGTCCTGGGGGAGGGCCACGACCGGCATATACGGACAGTTGGTCGCATGGGTTCCGCACGTTAGGAACATGCGAGGCATTGTTGCTGTTGCTGGATTGGCATCCTCGGGCTCTCCACTTTCCACCCCCAGACGAGGATACGTCGTCAATCGTGATCCCTGAGCCAAATAAACCGCGAAAGAGTGCTAATACCCCGGGATATTACGGGCCTGGCTCCGGACATGACTGGCTCGCTCGATCAGATCGTCTATGCCACTCTATGCTTTCCTCTGTTTTGATACTGGCAACCGAGATGGGGATCTTCTGCGAGGATAATTCCTTTTGGCAAGAATATGAAATTAGGCACGACCATCTGAAGGTCGCTCGTGACCAAGAGAGATTTCACCGTATACGGTGCTTGATATGGGTTTATGCGACACAACAACCCGGTCGACCAGGTAGATACTTCCTTGATCAACACATTTCACACGACCCTCTTGAAAGATCAATACTAATAAGGATCCTGAAACTACTGTAGGACGAAGAAATCCGGCGCAATGCACCCCTACAAAAAGTCCCGGCATAAGGAATGATGACGCGACGGAATGTTGGATGCGCGTCGCAACTATTATGAAGAATGCAAACGATCTGCTCTTTGTGTCACCAAATTATACGGGAGAAATTATTCGCAATGGACATTACCTTCGGATTGTTCGCGGCCTTGAGCCACTTCTAAACGAATCAATTCTCGAGTTTGATGATGCCAAGTGTATGTATCACCCTTGAAGCTGTGTGATCAACGCTCATTTTTGTAGTGGCGAAGCAAACACGATATATTTTGAACATTGAGTACGAGTATGCACAACTCTGTATTTTCAGCCTCGCTTTGCAAGCTGTAATCAATCGAAATTGTCGTGATGATACAAGCTTTAGACCAAAGAGATGCGAACGAAGTACTTCAGCAGAAGAGGAGAAGTACCTAAGAGGAACTGTTAAGGCCGCTCGGACTATACTAAGAACGGTGCTCGACGATCTACTTCCTCGTGGAAGTTTAACCTATATTCCCGTTCGATCATACTCTAGGGTTCTCGGTGCGACGTTGATTCTTCTCAAGGTAAGTGGCTCTTCTCCGTCGCTCCGTCCATCTCTCTTTGTCTCATTATCCTAAATCCTGCAACCAGTGCTGTGCAGCTGGAATTAGCGAGATCGACGTACCTACGTCCCTGGATCTAGTTCGGCGAGTTGCTGTTGGTCTTCATAACTCTGCAGTCGATGATACCCACTTGAGTGCGCGCTGGGGCGATCTTCTACAAAACCTCGCTAGTCGACTTCGGTCGCGCCTAGCCAAACCAACTACGCCGAAATTCCAATCGTTAGCAATGCTATCAAAAGATCACGCGGGTACCTCTGTCGCTCATGAAACACAGACATCAATAATTCATTGTTCTTCTCAAGATTTACAGACTAGACCTGATGCTGAGCCTGATACGCAGTTTGATGCCTGGTCAATGTGGTGGGATGATCAATTTTCTCAGGTTAACCTCAATTACATGCCTTGGTTTCCAACTTTGGGTCTCGTGAGTGGAAGTGATCCCTCGTTCTCAAACGATGCCACCGATGGTATTTTGTGAAAGTGTTGGGCCAACTCATTGAGCGTTGATCTATTGTCCCTAGTGAACATAATAGCTACCGGTATACAACAAACTAGGTCATTCCCCTCTGAACTATATAACCTGGGTTCCATCATGCAAATCTTTGTTTTCCATCGGACGATAATAGACCCCTCATGTCTTTGACCAAATTAACTGTTCCCACTCCTCTTTCGCATCCTCAAGAGGTCAATTGAACAATCGTATTTGATTCCACAAGAGCATTCGTGTGATCTCTGCCTATTTAGTTTACATGTCACATATTTTGTGGATCCTAGAAGGCAAATAGAAGTTCTTGGGTTAATTTAGTCCCGGATAATGCAGGAAAGCGGCCTGACTCCGAGCCGGGTCTCCAAAAGGTGGACCTACGAACTAGTACTCCGTACCAGTCAAGCAAATAAATACGATAGCTGGTGCAAGATCTGAACTATTCCAACTTTGAACAGACTTGATTTGCTACTTTTTATTCGTCTTTTCATCCTTGCAAAACCGGAGGACTTCTAAGAAATCCTTAGAACATCCCACACACCGTCATACCGCCAATATCATCCATAACCAATCGAGGGACAGTTTCCTGCAATCATGGGACCTATCAAGCACAAAGCACTGATCAACGTCGACCTCGGAGAGGGCTTTGGAAATTGGACAATCACTTCAGATGAAGACCTGCTTCCATTCATCGACCATGCCAATATTGCTTGTGGATTTCATGCTTCGTATGTCTTCTCTTTCTTCTGTCCGGCGCTCGGAATTGCGGCAACCAATCGGTCGGAAATTTTACGCGCATTCATATATCATGATGAAATTTGACTCACACATCTTTCTGTCGGTAGTGACCCCCTCATAATGATGGAAACCGTTCGCAGCTGCAAGAAACACGGCGTGAAAATCGGAGCACACCCCGGCCTACCAGATCTACAGGGCTTTGGTCGTCGTGAAATGAAACTTTCGACGGACGAACTTACTGCAATCACTATTTACCAGGTTGGAGCACTCAAGGGGTTCTTAGACCAGCAGGGAGTCCCCCTTCACCATGTCAAGCCACACGGGATGCTCTATGGTATGTGCTGCAGAGACTACGAGACTGCGAAGGCCGTCTTCAAGGGTATTCCCAAGGGTGTCAAGGTGTTTGGGCTTCCAGGTACTTTTATGGAACAAGCCGCTAGGGATTTAGGACTCGAGTTCATGGCGGAGTTTTATGCGGATGTCAAGTACAATGCAGATGCTTCTCTCCTGATCGAGCGCAAAAAGAAGTAAGTCACTCATTTTAGTCTTCTTGTTCTTACTATTATGATCTAATGTTGACTTTCCTTTCACTTTTGCAGGGCATGGGACCTTGCCGAGGTCCGGACACGTGTAACACAGCAGATGGAAACATGCACTGCTACTGCAATCGATGGATCAACCTGTGAACTGCCCGTCAAGGACTATCCGATCTCCATCTGTTGTCATTCCGACGTTCCCGGGTGCTTGGAGCTGGTGAAGGAGACAAGAGCCGCTGTTGACACCTTTAACAAGGCTCACTTCCCCAAGAAGTAGGTATATAGAGAAATGAAATTTATATTTTATGGTTATTAGGTTGAATAAATTTATTTCAAATTAATTTGGGGTTCTCTTGTGCTGAGATCAACATCGTTTTGCGAATGTATCGTTCTGTTCTTCCTTTTCAGTCCTTGACGATAAGCCAACTGGTGTAAATCATTGGAGCTGAGTATTTCCCGTCGTTAACAACCCCAACAACCCCAACCGAAGTGACCCCAAATATTCAGATACCGGGAAATGTCGGTTGGGGTAGAATCGAAAATAGGAGAATCTGACTGGATCGCTCTGTCTCAGCTTCTATCTTATCACTTCAACTCCTCAGGGACCGAAAATGACTCCAATTCAGTAGCCAACACTATGCCCATCGACCCCCGAGACCCATATTCAAGGTGATAACGTTGAATGGGAAAGGAAGTGGATCGGCCATGCGTTGCGGGGTATCACTTGGCGTCTTTAGCCCACAGCAATATGGTCAATTAAGATTTCAACCCCAACAGCCATGATCGGTTGGTTAGTTCATTTCTATCCTTGTTCGCCAGCCGTGTATGATAAGCTATTTCTAGGATCCTCTGTGATTAATTGAATGTGGTTTATACCGGAATTGGGGAAGTCTGATAAGACAAACGTACTAGAAGCGTCAATTTCTGTTTTTCTATTTGAACTCAAGCTTATATCCCAATCGAAAATTTTTAGACCAAAGCATATTGGAGTTTCCCATACGACTAAAAAGTCTACGATTGCAAGTAGTCGGGGATCTTTCTGGCATTTTCAACAACCCATTCTACCAATACCTTGGGTGTATCTTGAGGTATGCATGAAGAATATATATCTCCAGCCTAGATCATCACTAATTCGTCTTAACATAGTGATCAGCCTTGATCCCCAATCACCATCTCGACCGAAGGCCTCTAACGCTGCATTCAGGCGATACATAAATCGACCCAAGCTACCACAGCAAGATATATACTGAGTACCCTTAAACGGCTGTGTCGCTTCCAGCTCAACAAAGATGGATGATCCTCTCCCCATTCCCGGAACGGTCCAGCAGGTGGATCTAGATCACACCTCGCGCCTGAGACACAATAACGAGCATGAAGATATCGTCCTGATTCCTCACCCAAGCTCTCATCCCGATGATCCTCTCAATTGGTCCCGCCAGCGCAAATTTCTGAGCAGCGCCTGCCAAATGTCCTGGTGCTTCCTCACCGCCGCCCTCATCAGTGGTCTATCATCCTCCTATCTCCTGATCTCAGAAGACACAGGTATTTCTGTGGCAGATCTCAGCACAGGAAATGGTCTCATGTATCTCTTCATGGGCTGGGGCACCCTGTTGACCCAAAACCTTGCGCAGGACTTTGGTCGTCGGCCAGTCCTGTTGGTTGGCATACTTGGCTCATCGCTGTTGCAGATCTGGTCTACGTATATGAAGTCGGTGGGTGAATGGTACGCCAATCGAATTCTTCTTGGCATTTTTGTTTCGCCTCAGGAAGCCTTGATCGAACTCTGCATTGCGGATATCCACTTTGCCCATGATCGAGGCTTCCACATGGGTATTTATAACTGGACTTTGTGGTGTGGTGCTTTCATGTCACCTATCGCTGGTGGCTTTGTTGCTGAGAGGTTCGGTTGGAGATGGATCCAATACATCCTAGCCATTATTTGTCTCTGCTTCACTGTTATCACGTTCTTCGGCTTTGAAGACACGATGTTCTTCCGCCAAGTGAATATTCAGGAACCGGCATTTTCCACTGCCAAAGACATCAGCGATCTGGAGCCATCAATTGAAAGCGACAGCAAAACGGTCTCCGAATCTAAAGAGCCAGAGAATCCTGGTGTCACTCCTGTCGTTGTTGAAGAGACTTACCAGATCAAAACATACACCCAGAAGCTGAAATTGTGGGGATTAAGACATCCTTCGCAGCCTTTTAACTTCTTCCGGTCATTTTTCCTTTCCTTCCGTCTGCTATGCTTCCCCACAAACATCTTCTCCGGTCTTCTTGTGGGAAGTATTCTCGCCTGGTACAATGTTCTGGGAGGGTCCTTAGCGGAGGTTCTAGGCAGTGCCCCTTATAATTTCACGACAGAGCAGATTGGTCTTACCTATTTTGCTAGTGTGATAGGAGTTTCGATTGGATGTTACTTTAGCGGCTGGTTCAGTGATATCCTTGCAATCAAGCTGGCCAGAGGACGAAACGGTATCAAAGAACCCGAAGACCGTCTCTGGATGTTCTTGATTGCCCTCATTGCCCATCCTCTGGGGTGTATTCTTTATGGTGTCGGAGCAAGCCACCATATTCCATGGATTGGAGTCGTCATCGGAATGGCCTTCATCTGCATCACTCTGCCGATGGGATCTGGCTTAGCCATTACCTACATTATTGACAGTCAGAAGGAGCTGGCGGGAGAGTCAATTGTGACTGTTATTTTGATCCGTAATACAATTGGTGAGTTGCAATGCCTTGCCAGATCAATCAATATTTTTAAGTGAGCTGACAATACTTTGCTAGGTTTCGCTTTTGCATACGCAGTCAATCCCATGATTACGAACATGGGGCTGCAGAATACCTTTATTTTGATAGCAGTGTTGGGAATGGTTTTCTGGAGTGGTTGTTTGCTCTGGATTAAAATTGGAAAATCGGCTCGGAGATCCATTGCTAAATCCTACTGGAATCTGGTTGAGATTCATGGACTTGCTGCCCACTGATCTTGTTTTTCGATATTTTGGTGATGGACTTAAGCTTTCAGCTCAACAGCTAGTATCACAGAAAATGCTACACAGAGGTAATTTTTCAGGTCCCAATCTACAGTCACTCAAGTTCAAAGGGTTTCACCCAGATCACATTACACTGGCGGTGTTGAACTGCCTTCATGGTCCGAGAGATCACGCAGGAAATTGCAAGGGAGACTTGAATATGGCACGAGGGGTACCCAATATAATCTCTTCTAGCTTCTCTATATAGAATGGCATAACATAAGTTAATCTTTCAATGTGAACTCGACAATATAATACAAATAGCTCTTAGCCCTTATAGGTAGATTTTTTCTAAAATCTTTCTCATGAAACCTCATCTTCGTTTCCTCTCTTGACACCCTCCGGCCATAACATTTGACGTCTCGCAACTGCAAGTATGGTAGCACATCCCACACCTAACCACATCATAACTTGCAACACGGTCAGAACCGAAGTGACCCACAGGATGGCCGGTGATTGCAATACCTCTCCTATACTGATTGTTGCTATAATAAATCCCGTGTTGGGGAAAACCATACCCCAATACACAACTGACATGGGAGGTGCCCCCGCACCGCCAAACATTTTAGCAGAAGCCAAAATGCTAATAGCAGCAATACAAAGGTGGAAGAAAGCCATAGTCCAAACAAAAATAGCAAAGAATGAAGCAATGACTAGTGCAATGTCACCAGTGCTCACAGTGGTGTTTCCAGTAGACATGGGATCTGCGTATGAAATTATATATCGCGAAGGCAAGGCTTTCACCGCCTCCTTTGCCATACCGATCAATGCAAGAGCAGTAAAGCTCCATGGTCCAACAGCAATAAACATCTGCGGCCGTTTAGCCCGTTCTGGAAGACCGTGCTTGGCGAGGAAATATTGGTATTCGGCGTAAATGAGCAAAGACATGATGAAACCGAAGCCTTGTAATGTAGCACCGCCGATGAGAATGGGTATCGCTTGGTCTCTTGGTTGATTCGCCGCAATAGATGATGCAATCGTGCCGGAAAGCATGGCTGGGAAAGAGGGCAGTAGTTGGGCTATTGGAAAAGGTTGCTGGCTAGCCATAGCTAGGTGGTACAGATACCAGTTATGGAATATTGCTGAGAGTGTAGACAGGGCGACGTAGATCCAGAAGACGATTCGTAAGGCAATCTGCAGCCAGGGGCCGCAGGCGCTGGTTCCATAGCCGACTGCTCCGAGGATGATAGTAGCGATAGCTAGTAGGCATGTTGGCGCGTAATAACTTTCATTGCCATCTCGGAATGACTCTTTGAGGGCCACTGGCCTAGAAATGAAACGGACGGCCATGCATGATGTGATCGCGAGAAAGAAGGCCAAGTTGAAAATGTAAATGATCTTTCCGATGATCTCAAGTCCAGTAAATTGGTGAGGTGTCCGGTAGAGGAGAACAGAGATACCTCCAGTAGCCATGGACATTGAGTACCAACCCCATTTAATCTGACATAGTCGCTCCTTGAGGGTCACCCTATCAGCGAGAAACATTTTGGCCAATTTGAGGGTGGAAGGTGCGTATTCAGAACGGATCGGAAAATTTTGGCCACATATGTAAAAAGAAAATCACCCCCTTGGATCACATGGTGGGTCACCCAACAATCAGTTTCAAATATCAGGGCAATAGATTTGTTCGACAAATTATCATGAGATCCACAATGCAGGTACATGTATTATTTTGGGATGCCGAGCTCGGCCCCGAGCTCGGGATCTGTCCGAGCCCGAGACACCTAAAGCTTAAAAAGGCTTGGATCGAGACTTGTTTTACGCACGGGGTGATTGTTGACACTTTCTTCAATGGAAAAGGATAATCCTTAAATTAAAAGAAGGGATTTGGTGGTCTATATATATCAGGCGCAGATATTGGGGAAACGAACAATGTTCCACAGTGGTATTTCGTTTTCCCAACATTCTCTAGTGGATTTTGAATGATGCTCTTCAGTGGCCAATACCGTCTCCACATCTGCACACAAAACCAGTCTTCTAGCTCGCGTGCATTGCTCGGCATGCCTTAGCCGTGCTAAGCCTTCTCGCGCAGCGTCCTATAAGCCTTGGCGATCGATGCTCGTACCTCACCTCGGGTACTTCCTCAAAATCCGGGAAAGGCCTCTTGATTGGGTCTTGGAGTGCAGGAGACCTGGCTCATAGTGACTATTTGAGGCGTAAATCATCACCTTGGCCAGCAAAGACTACTTACGCACAGTGAGCTCGAGTGGCTCATTGTGATGATTTTTCTGAGTGGGAATTAAGATAAATTGATAAAAAGAAATTTGTCCGAAATCTTGTGACGAGGACATAGCATTTAGTGCACATTAAATTACCGGTTCCGTTTTACTAAAGGCTACTCGTAGTGCAGATATCCAGTGACGACTCCTCGGGCAAAAGATTGAGGCAATGATAATTTGGTTTCTCACGTAACCTGATACATACGACCATAGGGTGTGGAAAACAGGGCTTCCCGTCCGCTCAGCCGTACTTAAGCCACACGCCGGTGAGTTAGTAGTTGGGTGGGTGACCACCAGCGAATCCTCACTGTTGTATGTATTTGTTTTTTGCTCTCAATGTGATTGTTCTACATACTCCGTAGGAAACTGCCCTTGTCCCTTGCCTGATTCGAACGACATTATCATACGCCTAATATCCTACATACCCCGAAGCAATAACATGACTTGTCTCTTCTATGCTGACATCTTATCTTAGGTATGTTGTTCCGTAACTAACGGCCTGGTCCGGGTTAATGTAAGAATTGTGAAATAATATTTGAATTGAATTGTTTCAGCCCCCGAACCCATAATAAGAGTTGACGCTGGAAAAAGTCCCCCGCTGGCCATCGAGGGTCGATGCCATGACCTTGGAGAGCCCAGTGGTGGTTTAACGGCGGCTTTTTTTTTATCTGGTCCTACGCCGGGAGGATCTTGAAGAGTAATAATTATTGAGGCAAAGGGAGATGACTGGGGAGTGAAGCTCAAAGGTTTAAGTAGTTGGGGATTGAAAAAACACTACTCCGTACTCCGTACACTGAGCGGGTGTAGACGGAAACCTCGACGGTTGCATAGAGATGGCAATTAATCTCGCCGACATTTCAGGTCTATCCAACCAATCATATGTAGGTCAGAGATATCAGCGATGTACCACTATCTCACTTTGGGCCCTGCCAAGACGATCTAAGCATCTAGGGTCCTCGGTGCCAAGACAAACACCCTTTTCTTCTCGCGGAGTACAACTGGTCGCTCTTTTGGAAGATCTTAACCTTCCATTTGCTGATCATTTCCTATAACGTTTGAATCTGGGGTAAAATGCGGGTATTCTGCTTAAAAAAAATGAACGGGGAGCAACAACTGTGAATGGGGATGGGGCGCCTCTTTTAGCCTCATGTAACGTCTTTTGCCGCTAAGAACCTTTGCTAAGCTATTTCAGCACCGTAGGCGGATCACCTTTCACTAGGCGAATTTTAACCCCCTTGGCTTGTCATGGTGAAAGTTTCATTCTCTTTTTCTTCTTTCCCGTCTTCACACTCGCTCCTACGCTTTTTTCCCCCCTGATCTTTATCCATCCCCCGTCTATCACCATGCGCAGTGAGGTGGCCTGTCTACTCGCTTTGTCTGGCGCAGCCCTGACTAATGCGTTGAGTCTGGAGAAGAGAGACAATCCGGCGGTTCTTGCGGTGCCAATGGTACGCGACACTTCGCGTCAGCTTTCCAAGCGATCGAAGACTGTCGGCGTCAATCTTAACAAAGAGCGCGATATTGTAGGTCCAGGGCTTACAATTGAAAGGACTTGCTGGCTAACCTCGTTTTCCAGTACGTATCCTATGTCGGAAATGTGACTTTTGGCTCCCCGCCCCAGAGTTTCCTAGCTTACTTCAACACCTGGGGCAATGGCTGTTGGCTTGGAAGCGCGGATGACGGCGTTTGCGGCGTCTACGGGGAGCGGTCCCTTTGTGGTGAATATGGAGGCTACAACCTGACTGCCTCAACTACTGCCAAAAAGCTCGACGAGAAATTCACATATGATGATTTCGGTGAACTCGTAAATGGGGATTTCGTGACCGATGTCCTGGCAATTGGTAATGTCACAGTGGACGCTATGAAGATGGGAATCGACGAGGATAGTGAAATGACTTCTAGTACGTCCAGACCTATCTAAATCTATCTACTATAATCACTAACATGGACTTATTCAGATAGTTTGGGTCTTGGATACGGAAATGTATCTTCCATCTCCCTGACCCAGGCACTAGCCAACGCCGGTACCATTAACTCTCCGGCTTTCAGTCTTTGGGACCAGACAATTCTATTCGGAGGCGTTAACAAGGCCAGGTACTACGACTCTCTCTACACTTTTCCCATCGTCAACGGATCAGACCTTGCAAAAGCTTTCCGTATCAATATGGATGGCATCTCGATCAAAGAAACATCCGCGGCGTCGAATAAGTTTCCCCTGGATGCTGTCTTCAACACTGCATATGATATGACCTACGTGCCCAAGTTTGTGGCTCAGGCCCTGAATTCCCAGATTGGCAACACCTCCGTTCCAGATGACTACGGACAAGTCAACTTCTCTTGTAGTGCAGTAGGCGAGAACGCGACTATAGAGTTCAAGTTCGGGGAATTGGAATTACAATTCTACCTCAGCGATTTTATTGCCCAAAATAGTGACGTCGGCGATAATGAGGGGCCGTATCCTGGCGAGGAGACGTGCTATTTCACGATCTGTGAGAACACCGACCTCCAATATGAGGGAAGCATTGTTTTGGGCTCCAACTTCATGAGCAAGGTTTATGCAGTCTTTGATCTTGAGAACGACGAGGTCTCATTGGCGAATCTTGTTATTTGGAATACGCTCTGGGAAGCAGACGCTCCGGTCGATATTGTCGAGATTACTTCGGGCAAGAATGGTGTGCCTGGGGCGAAGAAGAGCTCGGGCTCGGGTAAAAATGGTGACTCGAGCAAGAATGGTGAGGCTGAGGCAAAGAAGAACTTGGCTACGCACATCAAAAAAGGCCTGAGGACGGGGGCTTTGGTGGTCGGTGCTGCTGTGATGATCCTGATCTTCTAGATCCAACCTTGTTACTAGTATTGAATCCCATTACTGTTTCACGATTAATACGTTAGCCATGCGACCTGGATCAAATCTACCTCAAATCTTATGTATCAATAATAGTCAACATCAGAGGTTACTAAAGCGGCACCCCTGATGTCTAAAAGAATTTGGCAGGACCTGCTTTTCTAGGCAGCTTTCATACTATATTTTTCTAGTGTTCATTTAGCTTTTAAGACCTTTAGAAAATATTTCTGACTTCGCGATTACGATGTATGTAATTCTGGCTGTAAGCAAAGTAATTAGTAACGCAGATTTCCGATCTCCTTGAGATTCATGTGTAGTATTTAAAAGGCCTATCAATCGCTATCTAATGACAAATTAAATAACAAGATGATACCCAGGTATATAGGTAGCGCTCAAGGTTCTTATACTAGATTGATGCCTTTGTGCCTGGACCTTTTCGATAAATACATTTCTGGTCTATCTTGGGTAGAGTTAAACAAACCTTGATGCCAGGCTGACCTGCGACATGGGATGTTACTAAAATGCAGATAAAACACTGGTATAGACTTTAAAATCAAGACTGGGAAATCCTAAAATGAACGAACGGGAGTTTCTTCTTACTTATCTTGCTAGTGTACCGTGATCATGAATCTGAAACAGCTATTCTTTCAAGATTTCCAAGAGCCTTCTGCCCCATGATCTATTTTTTGTTTTGTCCAGATCTTCAGAGGACCATGTCAGTCTGTCTGGAAAGTGAATTTGATCCAATGATACCCTAAAGAAAAATTTGAATGTGAGTATCGACTGTTATTTTGATATGATGTGGGAATGACTGACCATTGACTCTTGAACCACCATTTGTACCCAATAAACATCAGGAAAAACACCAGAATACTAATATAAGAAGCGATAAATGACTTATAGTCGAAAGGCGCCTCGAATACTGTGAAACCTTGAATCAAGAGCAAAAAAATATTGAAAAAGAGGTTGCCCCAGTAGACCAAAATATGACCTGGCGCTTTGAAGGGGAATGTTTTAGCGTCGATACCTTGCTTCTTTGCAGCAGCGCGAACCCTAAGCTGAACAAATGTGATAGCAGCCCAGGCGATATAAGCTGCTGTGCCGCCAAAGGAGGTGAAATAGGAAAAGAGGCTCCCAGCTGTTGTTTGCAAGGACATCAGACCTAAGAAGCCCCACATATTTGAGAATATGATTGCCGGGTACGGGACTGTACACGGTATTAGCTTCTATCAGAGAGAGGGTGAAGGGAAAAATTAACTGACCTCCCCTAGCATTTGTTATTGCGAAGAAAGAAGGCGCTTTCCGTTTCAAAGCGAGAGAGTAGAGCGTTCGTGATTGGATGTAAACTACTCCATTCGCAGCGGATATGAAGGCAATGAGGATGATGGCGTTGACGAAATGCCCGGAAGATTTCCACCCAGCAAGAATGAATCCAATAGTAAACGGAGACGATGCCGTTTTAGAGGCTGGATGCACTAGATCATCCGATGTTGAGGGACAGATCAGGCCTTGGAAAAACGACATACCAATAAAGACGAACAGAATACGATATAGGATAGAATTGGTGGCCTAAACAAAAATTAGTGTTAAGCCCACGCTAAAGGCAACATCTTCACGCGATACACTCACACGAGGAACGTCGCGTTGAGGGTTTTTAGACTCGCCCGCAGCGACAGAAACAATCTCAGTTCCAACATAATATGCGGCGGCCAGAACAAATACTTGGCCGAATCCATTGATTCCATTTCGAATTGGACCTAACAGAATGTCAGACTCGCGAGTCAATGCCCTTCGGACTTATCCAATGTAAGAATACCCACCATATGGTTCTTTCCAGTATGTGAATCCGACATACCCATTCCCGAACGCTCCAGTATCGGCAAGAATCGAAATGAAGAATAGCACGATCAGTGACAGGAACTTGAACATGCCAAAATAGTATTCGGTCTCTCCGTAAAAATTCACCCCAAGAGTTGTTAAAATGGAGAAGAAGACGAAGAACAAGATATACCAAGCCCAAACGGGGATAGTGGTGTCGGGAATCCAGAATTGAAGGAAGACCGTGGCGTTGTTCCAATCTTTTGAACTCAATTAGTGTGAAGATAGTTTCTTTGCTTGTTGATGACACTCACCCGATGCTAGAAATACACTCCACATGAAATAATACAGCCAAGATACTGCAAAGCTGAAGGCTGGATCCACAAATCGATCACAGTGCTGTATAAAGGAGGTTAGCAAGATACTCAAACGGTTGAGATTAGCATTAGCTGAGATTCCTTATACCTCAACAAAGCCACCATGAACTGGGAAAAGCGTAGCAATCTCTCCAACACTTTGCATCAAAATCCACACCGAGGCTCCTACAGGTTCTGTCAACATAGTGAAAATATTTTGATGTATTTATGATGGCAAACGACTCACCCACAATAGAAAAGCCAATCAAGAGCCCCAATGGACCAGCTTCATAGATTCCATAGCCTAAGCCATAAAAGCAACCTGGTCCGATAATACTTCCTAGGGCAATGATCATAAAATGACGGCCCTTAAGCCCTCTTCGTAGGCCATCCTCGATAACGTCACCAGAAATATCACGATGGGGTTCATCGCTTTCTTGCACTTCGGCGATAACGGATGCTTGTTTCGACGCATCGGCTTTTGTTTGAACTGGAGATGATAAGTCAGCCATATTGATAGACAGCGATTAAAACTTGCAAAATACCAACGTGTTGACCGGGGTGTCTGTTTTATAGCCTCGGAATCCCCAACGGATAGGTTGGGGCAATAGCCGAGCACTCCAGTTAACTCGTCTGCATCGCTTGGATGGGATGCTAAGCGTGCTAAGCTAAAGTGATTAATTGCTTATCATAGGTCATTTATCCCGTTCGGGGAGTTGTCATATCCTTATATATCACGCCATTGAGGAGTAGAATTTGTTGCAGATAGATGCCGCGAGGCAGCCAAAGTGTGCGCTCTGCTCCTAAATTCCCGAAAATTAAAATTTCTCCAGAACTTCTCACTTGAAAAGACAACGAGAAAACAGAAAATATAACACCAACTTGCAAGATCGTAGTTTGCTAGAGTCCGGAAATTTGTCAATTATCACAAATNCCCCCCCCCCCCCATCAACGCAATTAGCGTCATCAAACACGACAATGGCGACCTTGGTATATTATTGACGCCATATAGGCTTACTACAAGATGTGATTTTTGATTCTCTTCCTAATTCTCGTCCTTCTATCCATGTAGTCGTTGAACCATCCCCCAGCGCCTTTGGATTTCCCAAGAATTCCTTGTGATTGCTCTTTACTCAAAGTGTAGTATCTTTGATAGAGGATTGTAGACGGTGTAGACATTTGATTAAAATTTGGAAAATGGGTTAAACTTGCAGATAGAAGGATACAAGGGCTTTCTAGCTAAGATAAACATTGTAGTACTTTACCAATTTTGGGTGGCATGGAAACGACGACATTTGCCCTGTAGATTAGCCTATATTAAGATTCTAAGCATCAATATTCACACCAAGCAAATAAGGAAGCTCCTACAGTTTACAAATCATTAATTATCATCATTTATCAGGAAATTGTAAAATTCCATCCTTCAGTGTCAGTACTGATTTTGCTGCGACAGTACTACTACTACTATCTTCTTCCTTGGCGATTTGGGACTTTGAGATTAGACAGTAGCAAACCTAAAGCAAATAATGGTCTATATTAGCAAAAAGGCTTATTGATCCGTGAAAAATTATACAATGGGTGTTGCCGTCTAACTCAATTACTGGCTAGTGTCATTGCCGGTAGCACAAAATAGACCCTGTCAGCAGAAGAAGAAAGAGAGAAAAGAGACAGAGAACCATCAACCTCTTCCAAGTGCATCAAGAAATCAAAGAACGGACTTCTGTACTTATTTGATGGAACATAAGATGTATCGGGTTATCCAACTGTGCTACTTAAACCCCTTAGTCTGCAGATAGATTAATTGACCATTGGCTTTGGCACAGCATCCTCGAGGCTTGCACTCTCCCCATTGGCAATGCCAGTCTGGTCACTAGGCTTAGGCAAATTGTCATCGTACTTTGCATCATCTCCGCTGGCGATTCCGTTCTCTGCCACTGGAAGTAAAGGATCCTGAAGTCCTGCATCCTCGCCATTACCAATTCCATTCTGGACGGTGGGAACGGGCAAATTTTCATCGAAATTTGCGTCATTCCCATTGGCAATTCCGTTCCCGCTCACAGGAGGTACAGTGTCCTGGAATCTTGCACCATTTCCTTGGGCGATTCCTACAGTATCTAGGCTTCCACCTGGCACTTTGTCCCTTCCAGAATCCGGTCCTGCACACCCTGAAGTGCAAGAAACCCCAGCAGGGCCCTGTTTTCCATCAGCACCAGGAGAACCCTTAACACCCTGATCACCTTGCTTTCCTTGTGGCCCTGGTGACCCTTGTGGCCCTGGTGACCCTTGTGGCCCTGGTGACCCTTGTGGCCCTGGTGACCCTTGTGGTCCTGGTGACCCTTGCGGCCCTGGTGGCCCCTGTGGCCCCTGGGGACCGGAAGGTCCCTGAGGACAAACAGTACACGATTGTTGCTGACCCGGCGGATGACTCTGTGTTGGTGGCTGTACAGGTTGAGGCTGAATGACTGGCTGTACAGGTTGAGGTTGAATGACTGGCTGTACAGGTTGAGGCTGGATGACTGGCTGTACAGGTTGAGGCTGGATGACTGGCTGTACAGGTTGAGGTTGAATGACTGGCTGTACAGGTTGAGGTTGAATGACTGGCTGTACTGGTTGAGGTTGAATGAATTGCCCACCGGGAATAACCTGTGGTAGGTACGGCACTTGCTGCTGCCCAACTCCAAATATTGGGCCTTGACCACCCATATTCACGGTGCTAGGCATGCCGATGAAATAGGGTTGTTGTGGTGGGAGGAAATTCGGCAGGCTAGGACCGCCAAGTGAACCCATGCATAGTCCACCTTGGCCATATCCGAATTGAGGGAAGGGGTTTTGCATGCCGCCTACTGGTTGCTGCATTAAGCTGGCGCATGGTTGTTGGCCTGGTTGAGATAGCGAGACGGGTGTGCATAATGTGTTAGAAGTGCAGATGTAGGCGACTTGGGCGAAGGAAACATCGATGTATATGAGGAATACAATTGAACTCGTTGAAGCGTCTATGATCTTCATTTCTTATTGAAATGGAGAGTTAGATAATGGGTGGAAAATATGCTGAGTTGGGGTTTGTTGAGTGTGTAGTGACGGGAATGAGAAGCTCAAAAATTTGCAGTTAATAGGTATCTATCTAGAGTATGTAGCAGATAAGTAGAAACAAATAACAATCTCAACAGATGGTTACAAGCCGGAAACGGGCATACGAAGGTTAGGGGGACCAATTTGTTGAAGCGACGAGACGGTCATTCCCGTGTCCGGGAAGGCCACATACCACGTTACATGCACGTAGCACAGAGCATCGTAGTATAGAGGCATTACAACGCTAAGGGTCAATAAAGACGGATTTAGTGAAAGATACTCAGGCAAAATATTCATATTTGTTGGGCTATCCCATCCCCAATGGATAATTGATTGTTGCTAGTGGACTAAGCGCTTGTTGTTTGATAGATTCAGCTATAAATCCCCTGGTTTCTATAGTTTGAGTAACCAAGCCGTTTCAATATCTCTATTTTCAGTCACAACTGCAAGAATATTGGCATTTTTGAATATAAGAAGATGCGTAGTAGAACTCCGATAGTACCATTCTTGCCAAATTTGCCTCGAGCCTCAAGAAAGCGATCCTAACCAGTGCTGTGCAAGACATAACCATATTTGTCCTGCACCGGAATAACAGGCAGCTGCATAGTCTTCTCATCAACTGGGTTAAAGAACAACTTATTGGCATAGTCCTTGTATTTCTTGACTCGCTCCAACCCGTCAGGCCCGACACCATGAGGGAAAATGAAGATCTGTGGATGAGGACCTGTTTCATGTTAGACAGAGCAATTGTGTAATGTGAAGGTAAGTAAACTTTGCATACGTGGATCTTTGGAGTTCTCTCTGCTCTTTTTGTAATACTCCTGATAGTCTTGCATCACCTGGCCGAAATATGCATGGGCAGTGAACGCATTCTCGAAGACCAGCACCCATTTGGGACGAACGTTTTGCCCGACACTCTGCATACCATATGCATAAAATGCATTGAGGCGACCTGCTATTAGGTCTTCTTCCGCCTTTCGCTTTGTATCCTTGTCGTTCTTTTGGTTGTCCTTGATTTTTTGCTTCTCCTCCTCGGCTGTACTGTTGTTCTCTTTAGCACGCTTTGCCGCCAGAACGTCGATCTTTGCTTCACCCTGTTGGCCTCCTACACCAACGAGTTTCTTTTTATGGTCATTCAATTAGCTCTCTTTTGTTCAGGTGCGATGTAGTCATTCATTTCTGGTATGGCGTACTTTTTGATTATCCAGGTCAAGATTGAGAATTTGATCAATACCAAGGCCCTGAACTGTTTCTCCCAAGCCCCCTGCCTGAAGATTAATATATATTTTTAGGTTAATCATTATGGGATTGGGAACCTCACCATTTCCACCAACTCCAGGTAGAGGCTTATCTCCTGCACCGCCCGCTAAGCCACTCCCTAAACCGCCCGCTGGCGGCACATCCAGGCCTCTCACTACTCCAGAAAGATATGATACGAGAAGGCCAAGGGTCGCGAATTTTATGCTGGAAAAGACCGACATTTTTGCTTTATCAATAGCTCTTCTTTCCGTGTTGTAAAAGGCAAAATTCGAGGGAGGGGCTCGGAATATCTGTGATTTAGTAGATTTAGGATAGCAAGTGGCTTGTAGTGAAGAGAAAGGTAGCAGCACGGTAGATGCTAAAAATGGGCATAAGCCTATACCCTATTCATAGACTTATCCTCTCGACTGTCATGAATCATAGAATATAAACAGATAGGTCACGTCATGCAACACTGTGAACCGTGGGATTTGACAAGACGGTATACTCACTAGTATAATGTTACCTTTTCTTGTTAGTCGCATATTACCGAAGGTGAGTTAGCTGCTAGGCCTCATAAGGGTTGTAAAGAGACCGTAGCTGAGTGGGGTTAGAATCCTAAAACGTCCTTCTCACTTTCACGCCACCTTGCATCCGTCATATTGAGTCTGTTTTAGGTAGCATCGGCCGTCTTGAGGGTTAAAAGAGTCATAGAACCGTGTAAACGGATGTTGAAATAGGGTCGTGGCTGGCTGAAAGTCATACTCAATTATGGGTCCGTGCGCAGCCCTTGATGATGAGGGATGGAATGCAAAGGTAGAACGTAGGGAACGAATGCGGCAGTGACACCTTTTGACAGCTTGTGACGGCTGATCTAAGCCTGATCAGTCAAGCTTTTGAAACGGATATGTCGGATACTTTACATAGGTTCAAGAGAAGTAAAGTATAACCTAGCGCATTCATGTCAATAGACAACCTTTCATTCCTAAGTCACAAGGGTGTTCCCATCACTTCCTTTGCCTATCATTTCCTGTGAAGTAATGCAGGCCAATTTCTTTTTTCTGTGGGCTTTTGTTTCTAATATGCATATTGCCGCTGCGCAATTCTATGCTGGATGCATTGCTCCCCCTTGCTACCCACCAGGGTACGCGTCTTACTGCAGTATTGTTCCCAATACACCTTTATGTCTTAGTCCTGAGAATATGAGGGGTCCCCCTCCGCTTGGATGGAATGGGAATGGAATGGGCTACCAAGAATATCATACTCAGCATCTGTACCCCTATCACCAAATACGGCCACCACCACCACCACCACCACCACCACCACCACCACCACCACCTCCGCCACCTGGATACCAACCTCCGTACCCTGTGCAACAACCTTATCCACCACCACAACCACAACCACCTACACCACCGCCTGGATACCAACATCCTTATCCTATGCCTCCTTATCCTCCTCAGTACCCTTATCCGTATCCCCTTTACCCACAACCTCCCCGAGAACCAGATCGTCCACCAGCTCCCAAACCTGATCCATGTCCTGTGAGCTCTGAATGCAAGAGGGGGGATAGGGGTGAGAAAGGAGAAAAGGGAGAAAAGGGGGATAGAGGGGAAAAGGGGGAATGTGACTGTAAAATAAACAAATGAGGGATTTTGGGAAGCACTTAGAGTGATGAATCTCCCACATTTTGTTTATACCAGACAATTACACATAAATACTATTTGCACTGTGAGAACACCATGTGCTCTCAATACTTTTTCAAAGGCAACTTAAGAATGCCCTTGTAATATTGGGTAATCATTCTTACAAAAACTGTCTTCATCACCTCAAAATAGCACGGTGACACCTATATAATCTCCGCCATGCATAGATTTTGCTTCCAAATGTGTTACATCGCATGAGTGAGGTTTTGAGTTCTGTTTGCACATTGAATACTGTAAACTTGACTTTCAGCTGCTGCAATATTGACATCACTATAATGAGTGTATGATTTCATGTAAGCACTTTTCGTAGAGGTGAGATCAGACAAAACAGCTATGTGGCCGTTTTGTATGATCAGTTAGAGGATAATATTCACTAGGAGATACAATGTGGCTTCCTAGCCCTGTTACATAGAAATTCACTCCCTCACTAAATATATCAACAGTACCTCATACTTCTTTCACCGAAGAAGGTGGGTATAGAGACAATACACGCAGAACAAAACGTCTTGGTTAGTGCTTCGACAGTGTCATGTGTCATTAAATGCTTGGATAGGCATACCATCCTATACTGTACTGTGCATACATTGCAAATACAACAGTGCTAGACACTAGTCTCCGGTAAACCTGTGGGCTTGACGTCATTATCTTAGCTTCACTGTCACCAGTATCATCTAGCTTGCCCGTTCAATCATAAATGGTACTGCAAACGAGCCCTGTACCATTGAATTGTGTCATGGTGAATTGGACGTGGAATGACTCCACTATTCTCAAGTTTCCCAGTGTCATCATCTTCAATCAACACTGAACCAGGGAAACATCGGTAAAAGATAGTCTACTTCTCAAAATGCATTTTCTCTCTAGGCTGACATTCTCAAGTGTCCTCGGATTTCATTTCTCGCTTGGACTTTGCTCCATTGTACAGTCAAATTACCGGTCTCGTCATAATGAAGGAGCCATTTATTTTGTTGATATCCTTTAGCTGCATGATCCATGTACAAATTTGTGCAGGTCGCTATCATGTACCTTTCATGCCCGGATCGCTATCAGGGCAAGATTGGCCACGCAACCCTGGCTACAATTGTCATAGTGGCGGGGCTGAATTCCAGCATTTTTCTTCATGCCCATACTCGTCCACACGATACGACCATGAATTCAAATATCAACACAACATTTGCTGCCATGATAATCCGGGCATTCCATCTGGTTTTGATCATGCATTTGGAATGCCTCCGTGGCCTCCAAATCCCGCCAGCAAGTCCCCATGGTCATGGCAATATGCTAGCGATCCATGCTGGCTACAGCAGTACTACGGGTTCTCTACCTCTCCTGAAAGCTTCGCTACAAGGCCAGGATACGGCACAGGACCTCTGGACAATGGATGGAAGGATTACGGATCCTGTAGCGACAAAATCCACACAGCAATATCCAATTGCAAAGCTGAAGAGATAGAAAGTTGTAGGAAACACATGGCGACTCTGGAACAGAAACTTCGGGCTCAATACACAAAAGTGATCGAGGAAAAATGCAGCAATCAATCTTCGCAGCCTCAGTATGGGAATGACTGCGAGGAGAGTTACAGAAAGGAAAAGGCTGCGTTGGAGGAGCGACTTCAGGCACAATGCGCAACTTCACAATCAAACGCAGCGACAAAATGCAAGAGCGAAAAATATACAATGAGTGAAGATCACCGAAAAGCCAACAAACAGCTCGAGGAGGAGAATGAAAGATTGAGGAAGGAAAACGACAAACTTGCGCAAAAGGCAAAGAACGACCAAAAGGCCAAGGAGAAGCTCGAGCGAGATAACGAAGAGCTCGAGCAAGAGAACAAGAGGTTAAAGAAGCAAGACAGCGAGTGTGCTCAAAAGGCAAAGGACGATCAGAAAGCCAAGGAAGAGCTAGAGCAAGAGAATGACAGATTAAAAAAGCAAGAAGAAGAACGTGCCCAGAAGGCAAAGGACGACCAGAAAGCAAAGGAAGATCTCGAACAGGAGAATGCGAAATTAAAGAAGCAAGAAGAAGAACAGGCCCAAAAGGCAAAAGAAAATCAAAAGGCTAAGGAGGAGCTCGAGAAAGAGAACGACAGATTGAAGGCAGAATCAAGACCAAACCAACAACCCAACAAGATCGCTTCGCAGCCCAACTCTTCGGAATCCGAGCTTGAAGCATTCTCAAAGAAAGGGTGCCCCTCACTCCACGGTGAACGAGCAACAGTGCTTGGTGTGACCTACGAAGCCTTTTGCGGCGCTAGACCTCGTGGTCGACACACCGGTGACTACGTTAATTCGAGGAACCTTGCGGACTGTATGGGGGCTTGCACAGTTGATCGAAGTTGTCAAGGAGTTTACTATGAGACTTCCCTCGGCAGGTGTCAAACGACGATGGATTGGGAATATCCCCCACTCAGATGGGCAGATAGTGGAGAATTTAGTCTCGTCCCGGTTGCTCCCCGCGAGGGAGGGATTGGTACTACAACGCCGGATCTTCCTAGTCTTTTGATCAAAGATGAACATAAAGATGGTGCCAGTTGCCCGGATTCAGACGGCATGATTGTTTCCGTTGGATCACTTCAATTTCGGGTCAATTGCAGGAAATACCAGCCGAAGAAGCATATTGAAAAAACGGGTTCGTCGGGCAGGGTTAGCGGAATGCTTGCTATCTGTGCTCTTAACCCAGCTTGTCAAGGTGTTTCCTATTGGGCTAGCAGTGTCTACATGATTGCAGAGCATGAAAAATTGCCGGAAAGGACCAAAAATTCGGATCTAGTGAAGGATTACGAATGGGTTATTATGCTCATAGAGCCACGAGTCGCAGTATGATTGGCAGGAATTGGTGACCCTTCGGAAGCTTTGGATTTGAATTAATATGGTGTTTTATCATGAAAAGAAGAAAATCCACTTTATACAGACGTGTTGGTTTGTTGTCAAGGGTATGCTCCCCGCATTTCTAAATCAGACTTGTGATTTGCCATAAACAATTTTGCTAGAATCTACAAGCTAGCAGATATAATAGAGTAAGGGAGCATTATGAAGCATGACAGTACAATGTTGTTTTATAAATAATGAATACTATGTAGGAGGAAGGAAAATAAGACTGCAGGAGTTCACTATGGAGTATTAATAAAGTGGCCACTGGTTGATCTAAACAGGCTGCTTCATGTAATCGTAGAATAGGCAATGATAACGATGGGAGTGGTTCTCGAGGTTGATTCTCTTCCTGAACTGTTACACCCTATAATTTAGTCCCACACGAACCCTAATACATACGACCATAGGGTGTGGAAAACAGGGCTTCCCGTCCGCTCAGCCGTACTTAAGCCACACGCCGGTGAGTTAGTAGTTGGGTGGGTGACCACCAGCGAATCCTCACTGTTGTATGTTTTTGTTTTTTCTTTTTGGATATTTGTCTTAGTCTATCAAACCTAAGTGAGTATAATAGACTTTTAGACGTTTTTCTTTATGTTTAACATAAAGAGCTCCACTCGCATGAAATCATTTTTTAAAAGTACTCCTATTTTGATGATAAAAAGGACATGATGACGGTGATGAGGGGAGATGAAGAGAGACAAAGAAATGATCCAAGACTATTCAAGAAGACTGCTTATTTATATATATTGATAACTACTACACATAGCACTACTAGTATTAGTAAAGATACGTATGAAAACGGGTAGCTGTGATACTCGTAATATTTAATATATCAGTTAAATCATTGGTTTTAGAGGCGAGTCGAACTTCTCCATTTTTGAAGGCATGTTCGAACTTACGGTGCTGCCCCCGTGAAGACCTGAAAAAATAGCTTGCTTGCAGGGGGCATGTGATAAAATGGGATAGTTATTCCCGGCGCTTTACAACGGTCTATATCCCAGAAATATAGTGCATAAACCAACTAAGTAATTGCAATTTACCGGTCTGAAATATCGCAGAGCGATCCAGGTTCTTCTTGGTTTCCTAGTTGAAAATGCTCTTCTGATTCACATACAAATGCCAACTTTACTATCCAGGTCGTCCGAAAAAGAGTGTATTTTCTTCAGAATTCTAAGCACAGGGGAAGACAAAAGGAAACCAATTTATATCACCCTCTGCAAATACCACAACCGAATCCTTCCAGGTCGCCACACCGAGGTGAATTTGTGGATAATATCTGAAAAAGGAGAGAGACAACATAAAGACAAAGAAAGCTACGTAAAAATGAGATGTGAAACAATAGATTCAGCTGATCGCGGTTGATGCGAATATCCCAACGATGCCTTTCTACCAAGGCAAAACAGAACCATCATAATTTTGGAACGTGCCACTGGTCTCTCTAGAAGCAGCATCAAGAGTCTTCACCATTGAAGACACGCTGGTCTCGACAGAAATGGCGCCAAGATCCGAGAGCTTGATGCTTAAGCCTTCAACGGCTGCATGAGCAAGCTCCGTCTCCACCAGGCCTGGATGGAAGACAAAGCTCGTCAACCAAGGCTCTTCGAAGTGAAGGCGACGGACAAACCAATTCAAGGCCGCCTTACTCCCGCCGTATGGGCTTTGAGTGGGCGGGAAGCCTGCAAGCGCTTCCATGGATCCAATAGACCCAATAAGAGTTGAGATTGCGACGAAGACAGGGCTTCCGGTCTTACTAGCCTGGAGGAGATCGGTAGTGGCCTGGAAGAGCGTCACAGGACCAGTTGTGTTTACAATGAAATGTTCAGCGATGTTCGCAGCGGTTGTCTGGCGGACAGGCGCGCCACCAGCCGAGATACCAGCATTGGCAATAACGACGTCGATCGAGGAGAGGCCGTATTCGGTTCGAAGCTGTGTCACCGCTTCGGTGGCGTCGGTGCTGATTGAGGAGTCAAGCTTGACAGTGATCAACTTAGAGCCAGCGCCCTTTGGGAGGTCTTGTAGGCTCTTGGATGATGCGCTCGACGGATCTCGGACGGCCGCAATAACAATGGTGGCTGCCCTTTGTAGTAGCGTCTGGACAAAGCCTCGTCCAATGCCGCGGTTTCCACCGGTGACAAGGTAGGTAGTCGGAGTAGTCATTGTGATAAAATATTTGGGTTCTAGGAGAAAGTGGCTTGATCTGCGGTAGTCTGGGTATGTATGAAGGTTTTTCTCCGCGGATGTCAAGTAGATTTATAGCTATCTGAAAGAAAGAATATCTAGACATCTAATCATATGTCTCTTATGGTCTCGTTCGTATATGCCAAGAAAATAACTTATTGCGCCGACTCCGAGCCAAGAGACCACATTTACCGTGTATCACACCATAACTCTTAGAACGTGATGATTCAACATTAATTCCAGTCGTCTGCTTTGCTTAGCAATCAGCACAGAGTGCTCTTCTCCGAGCTGGCGGTCAAATATTCTGAGCTCCACTTCAACTCTAACTGATACCCGGGCTACGGTACAATATTCTGCCCGCTCCGCAATCACTTTATATGGGCGTGTTCAGTAGAGTAAACCCATTGATATCAGCATCCGAGATACATCTCACTCATTGCAAACCCATCGAACTATTTTCTCATGCGGCAACCATTCTAGGCGATCACTCTGGCAATGTCGGATTGTTATCTAAATGATGAATACACATGTATCAGAGGTTCCTTCGCCATATCTATTCCTTATTATCCCTTCGGCAGAATAATTGCTTAGTCTTAAAGTGCTAACTGTGTAGTATGGTTTCGTTATCTGTGCTTACTCCATATACATTCCCCCCTAACACGCTGTGGAAACCGTGCACTCTTATCTTTGATATTAGAAAAGAAGTTAAACTGCGAATAATAAAAAAATAGATAAAAAGGCCGAGCAGGCACTGTATTGATAAACGAGTGATGATATTGACAAATATTATATAAGACAGTCTCGTATGAGGTATTCCAGAAATGTGATATTACTAAATGTAAGCGCGGTGGGAGAAGGATAGACGCAAGCCATCGTCCAGTTTAGATGGCGCCGTATACACAAATCAGATGAGGCATTGAGCATCCGGCTAGCTTGTCTAGCGACACAATTATCCCTCGAAAGATAGTGACTCTATAATAACAGCCCAACACCTGAAGGGAAGGGTAGTCTCTGATTAAACCGAGTGCAAGCTATTCTCAAAACGCCTCGGCAGTAAATTTAATATTAAAAGTACATTATTGGGAAAGCTCTACAACAAGCTTGGTGCCCCGGGCTTCTCCTTTGCGAAGTTTTTCAAGGCCTTCCAATATCCCACCAAATCCTCCGCTTGTGACTGTAACAGGTGGTGGCTTCACATCATGGCACAATCGGCTTAGATCAGCATAAAACTGACTTAGAACTTTGTGGTCGTTGGGTACAACCGGAAACACTGGACCCAATGGTGCCAGCAAAGAGAATTGACGACCAAAAACAGTGTAAACCATGAGGAATTTGTACTCAATGTCCAACTTTTTCGGCTTGCCTTGATCAAGCAATACTATAACTTTCCCCTTTGACAGCACCTCCGCACAGAATTGAGAAGATTTGCCTTCTGAAAAGCAGTCCAAAGCTTTAGTAATGTTGGGATAGGCTTTGGAAATTTCACTGATTGCGGAAGGTGATTGGTAGTCGAATACGGCGTCTGCACCATAACGTTTGACAAGATCGAAGGACCGTGGAGATGCTGTCACAACAACGTGAAGACCTGCCCGTTTGGCCAATTGGATAGCGAACAATCCCACATTAGAACCACCCGAGTAAACCAGAATCGGCGTTTTTTCAGACGAGTTTGCTTTTAAACCCGTGGAAATATCTTCCCAGGAGATATCAAGATATGACAGTGCAAGCACGGCGGTAGCTGCTGGGACTCCGTATGTTGCAGCCTCGGAATGACTGATTTCATCAGGTAGCTTCCAGGCCAGTTCCCCGTCGACTTTCAAATACTCAGCAAACGAGCCGATGTCAGGGTACTGGCCACCATGAACAAAGCCGGCTACTTTGTCTCCGACTTTCCAACGGCCCGCCATGGCTTTCCCAACCTCGGCCACCTCCCCGGAATAATCGCAGCCGATGACACTTTTATTTGGAGCAAGAAAGTCGATGTATTTGAAGTCTATTGGGTTGAGGGCAACATATTGCACTCGAACCAGGATCTCACTGTCGGCGATTTGGGGAGTCGGGAGGTCCCTGACTCGTGCACATTGGCCGAATGAAGAGCCGGAAGCGAGATTCAGTATCTGCCTTGGCAGAGATCGGCTTGCCACGAGAGCTTTCATGTTGATTGAGGGAGTGTAATATAAAACGGGAGAAGAAATCTATTTCAGGTGCCGCATAATATACTCAGCACTGTGAGGATTTATAGTATTAGACGGCGCATTATACCAGCCGCATTGAACGGGGTAATTCAAAGTCCGAGTAGGAACTCACAATCGGCATGATTACTATTCACTACGTACGTCAACGATGGACCATTCGGGATTAGTACTCGTACTCGTAAGATATACCACTTTTGACCTAGTGCAGCGCCACCCGATAAAAGAAAAGACCAATCACGCACATCTCAAAGCTTAGTCAGAACCTTAATATGCATCCTAGAGCGGCTAGAAGCCCCTTTCAACTTCGGAAGGTGTGCTCAGGTGTTCCAGGGTTATCACTGGCCCCACCATGTGTTTCTCCCGCCACTTTCAAATAATGAAGCAGGTAACCTTAACAAGTCATCACTACAATGGCATTCCTAGAACGGATAATTTTAGTTTATCGTAGAATTTGAATGCCCAAAAATATCAAACGAATATTTCGAATATATATTTCGTTTTACATTGACAATCTCGTTGTTTGATCGCTTTCTACTCCCAAACTTGTTTAACAGGCCATTCAATATGGCGTTGCCAATCTGAGGGAAGTAATTGCTGAATTTCTCCCAAAACGACACGTCCCCAAGTTCCCACACACCAATTCTCCCGGGCCATGTGTAAGAAGCCACAGTAATGAGCCAGCACAACTAGAGAATATAGTTGCCTGCTTGTGAGATCGCTAAGATAGACCTCAGGAGCTCGAATAGCAAACCCACCAGCAAAAGTCATGGATGTAGGCTGTAGCAATGTGAAGGCTGCCAGTTCCCGCGAATATTTGATGACCCGCTCATAGACGTTAGTGTCATGATGAGCAAATTGCTGACCACATTGTACGTTCAGTCTTTCGAGACGATCAAACGCAACAAGGATATGATCGGGCCAGGAAACGTTCGGTGGAGTCACGTCAAAAAGCGGAGCAAAATTGCTCTGCATGAGAAATTCAGGCTCCCTACTAACGACTGCTTGGACTCCGCGGGAGAGGGTGAAGATTTCAATCAAGGAATTGAGGCTCGGGCCTTCGGGAGAACCGGAAGTAAGTGCACTTCCTAAGCCGAATGCCACGACAAGACCGGCAAAGCTCATCATTGCTTTGATATTAGATCTATCGATATTGGACAGTTGCTCCGAGAACATGGAGAGGGCCACATTCTTGTGTGACATCGCGATACTCAGCCACTTCGCTTGGCTTGTGTCTGCGCGAAGATGCGACAAATGTAGAGCGGATAGGCCCAAGATGCCGTGCATAAGGAAAGGTTCCTGTAAAGCCTCTTGCAAAACCAAAATTTCCCACACCTTTCGGGTTTCCTCGTTTCGAGCAAGAAGCTTGTGGGTTTGCATGATCCACTGCAGCTCAAGTTCTAACTCTTCCATATTCAACACAGGACCAGTGGAAATCGGTGCCGACCCTATCTGATGAAAAAGCGCAGATGCCTCATCTTCAGAGGTGGATGTGGCATTTGGCGTCTGACCTGTGGTTGGAGACTGTCCACTGCGCGAGGGATTTCGCGATCGCTTGTCGGCGAAGAAATAGGGAACCTCCGAGGTGTAGACACATCCTTCCCCTCGCTGGGTACAGGTGGTGCAATTTGGTCGTTGCTCGTCACACTAGTTCTGGGGTCAGCAAATGAACTCTGAGAAAGGGATGTTCTGCATACCTTTACCCTCCTGCGCTTGCAATTGCTACAGCCATGGCGGGATTTGTTGTGCGAGCGTCGATAGACCATCTCAGAACTGCATTCCTTCTGATATCACGACGCTTATTCTACATCAGTGCCTCCAAGAGAGTCCCAAAGATAGAAGATTAAAATTCTGCCTAAGAGCGGATTGATCATCAACGTCACCGAAGGGTGGAAGGGGGTATCTGGCCCAGCCACACTAAGCTATTCTGGGACTAGGGTAATATTTCTCCACTATGATGTGACGGATCTAGAAGGCGGTATCGGGTGTTTATTTACAAGACACCCACCTACAACATAGGCAATATTCTTACCACAGTCTTATTTCTTCCGTAACAATTTTGGTTGTATTATTGTGAAGTCTACTCCGTACGTAGGTCAGAACTTGGTAATATAGTCAAACCCTGTTAAGTCTCAATTGGATTCCAATTAAGCCAACCTGAAGGGTCTCTCCTATAACGCGAACCTACCTACCCAGAGTGCCGTTTAGGGGCTGATGAGGCACATGGATAATTGCCGTGCAGGGAGAATGTAATAAGAACAAAAAAAGAAGACAAAAACATACAACAGTGAGGATTCGCTGGTGGTCACCCACCCAACTACTAACTCACCGGCGTGTGGCTTAAGTACGGCTGAGCGGACGGGAAGCCCTGTTTTCCACACCCTATGGTCGTATGTATCATTGTAGGTGTGATAGTAAGCTATGACGTGTTAAAGGGCTGGAGGGTGTGAAGGGAGGCAGTATAGATAGGTCGATATCAAGGGGTGGGAACTCACCCAGTCCCCTAACTATTACACAGGCCTTATCAGCTGCAATATTAAATGATAGACCATGTCCATCCAAAACACTCGGTGTCTTGGCATCTACACACAGTTAAGCTAGAGCTTTGTTGGTCGGTTCATGCGCAGAACGTCCCGGAGTGATTAGAGGTTCTTCCGAATCGATGAATATAGAATCTAGGACGCTTGAAGTCGGCTAAGCGTAGATTCCTATTAGCTTAAAAGCAGTCCCTCGATTTATAGGCCTTGCTCAAATTTCACTTATAATGTATAAGAGTTATTTAGCTCATATATGGATTCGGATAGCGATGAGCAACTGAGAACTCTTTGAATACCGAAGAAACTCAGCCCTTATCTAAACCGCCTATAGGGTAATTTTGGGGAGAATTTACTAAACCTGCTGCGAGATTTCGATTTCGTTCTAGGCACAGAGACAGATTTGGTAAGGGAACCAAAATAAATATAATGAGTGTACGCCTGAATTTTGCTAGAACTACCCAGATGATTTTACAGCGGTTGGTTAATGTTACGCGTAAAATGATGCTTAGTGTCTTCGGCTTGGAGGCCTTTGGTGTGTAAGGAAATGCTCGGTAGAAGCTTGGCTCCAACAGTCAACCAATTATATATAGTTTAACACCCACATCATGTAGGGAAGTGTCTGGTCCTGGAGTCAGAGCGGATGTCGAATTCGCGAGTATAGTAAATTCGATCCCCAAGAGGTACCTCTGCTCCGTGATCCCGTTGTTCAAACCTTGCAATCGATTCTTGGATTGCGATATTTTCAACATCCGTGCCTCGTTCATTGCCCTTGCCCCAAACTCGGAGCGGAATATTATCGACGGGATCCTGATCCTCTGCGTTTCCACCCGTAGACTGATTTATCGCCTCTTGGCTAGAGCGTCCTGTATTGTTGTGTCCAGGGAGCGTGAGACCGTTTTCCGAGCTGCGTAAACCGAGTCGAGAGAGACGAAAGGGGCGGGTTAACGAAAAGGATGCACGGGACTGCGAGCTAGCAGCCTTCGAGTAGGGATGGCTTTCCTTGTTGTCGGTGCCTCGGGATGGCCGCCCAGGGGTGCTGTGGTACTGGAAGGCTCTCAGACCGAACAGCTTCCGAAGGAGCGGCCACCAGCACATCATATTGGCGACAAAGACGGCAGTGCTAGACTCACGTATATACCAGATCTGGTACACTGTGGTCAAGGGGGAGGCAAAGTTGAAGTATTTATTCAGGATGGCGGCAATGATTGTGAAAAGACCTAAGCTCATCACGCAGAGTAGCAGCATCTTCCGGCGTAATGGAAGTCTCGCTTTGACGATAAGCGGTATCGGAATGGCAAACATAAAGGCATCCGATGAGATGTTAAAAACCGCCTGTGTGATTGAATAGTGTTGGTACGTGGCACACTGTAAATTCGACACTGGCAACGCCCAATATTGCGAGAAAGGTCGGCAGTACACGGCATAGTATGTGACCATAATCACGACGAAACCGAGCGCCACATAACCGGCGAGAATCTTGACATAGAGGTTCGAGGGCAGGTTCTTAGTGATCCGCCAGTAGAGTATCAATAGGCAGACTTTCACCCCCCAGGTCACAAAGAGCATGCACTGTTCTAACGCAATAACAATTTTGCTTCCAATGATGCGCTCGCGAACTTGTTGGGGGTCGGATAGTACCTGATCGTATTCGCTCGGTTGCATCAGATTTGTCGCGTATTTTGCCGAGATTCGAATCAAGATCAGCAAGGACGTATATAATATCTATCAGGATGGAATCAGTAGTTAGTAGAGGGTCACAGATCGAGCCGAAAAAGCGGGCTCACAAATGTTGCTGTCATCACATAATCGTCCCCTAGAATGTGCGATTAAGCTGGTGAGCTATGGCCAGTCAAGCGGAAGGAAGCAATTTTGCGCACATGATACCCCTTGAATTGATATGTTTGTCATTAACCGGGAGGCTCTGTTTATCAAGTCAGTGTCTCCTCCGCGGCTCTTTGATGCCCGGAGCATAGAAATTTTTACACATACATTCGGCCAATGTAAAGTACCGCACCGATACTCCAAAAGATCACAGCTTCTACCAATAGTTGGTGGGGCGTGGGCGATACGTTCCCCATTCTGGCAGGAAAATGATCGCCCTCCTTGTTAAGCGAATCAACTACACAAGGTCACAAGAGGAAACATCGAGCCTGCCATCGGAGGCTCTAAGAATATAGGAGTTGAACATATCATCCACGGCCCTCAGAAATGGAATTGGGCTCGGAATAGCCGGGTAACTTTCAGCCACCGAAGGATCAATAGATTCGCTCGGTCTAAGCTAGGAGAAAGATCATTGGTAGAGAGCCAAAATAAAATTTCTTGGAAACCTTCCAATGCTGTGCGAGAGATACGAGGGCGCCCGATATAGGGGAAACATCCCGAGAGATTTGCTAATGGGGGATCAATGAAAATGGCTATAGGGGAGATGAGGCCCTTGGCTAACACAGCAGATTACGTCTTTCTTGGGTGAGTTTTCAAGAAAGACTGCTCAACATATAGAGTACCTTGTCGCCATGTTTTGTACCAGGTACGGATTGACTCAGCGGGCCGTGGGCGAACCTCGGGACTTTGACGGAGAGCCCCACATAGGTAGTTAGAGCCCATCGGAACCCCCGATCCCGACCCTTGTCTCTTTAGCTGCATTTCGAGCGCGCTAGATTGTGGGGGCCATTTCGCTTGCCCGATGCTTGGGGTTCTGGTTCTGCAGAATGGTTTATTCATAGGAGAATCCAGGATATATCACAGCGCTTAGTTCCTCATACGTTCTACTGGAGATCTGGACCACCATAGGGTCCAATATTATGAGGACCGAACCCTAACCCCGGTCGTCCCTGAAGGCTAATAAATGGGTCCATCACCACAGTGGGGTCTCATTTAGATTGGGCCCATGTGGCCTGTTAATTCAAACTGAGTTGAGGCTATGTCCCAGCTAGAATAGGGGTGTAGATTTTAAGCCCTGGGACTGGATTGCACCCTCATGATCATCGTGCCGTTTGTTTATATCCACCCTTCCTCGACCAATGGGGAAATTCTTGCACTGAATTTCTGGGAGAATAGCGGGGCATCATGTCTTGCTATTTTTTCTTGTCTCTCTTTCTTGATTCCTATCTCACTTTGTTCTTGACTCGCCCTCGTTGCCCTACTTGTTGACCTCATTCGATATCATTTGACAGATGACACTATGGTGGTTGCTGAGAAGCAAACTGCCCAGATTGGCGAGTCGAGGCTGGGGAATAGCACCGAGATAGACACGGTACGCCAAGAGGCTGCTCTGGGTCACAAACAGGAACTGGTGCGGAATTTCGGGCTCTGGAGTGTGACAAGCTTGGGGATTGTGATCGCTAAGTCAGTGACTTTAACATTCTCTGTCCGTGGCCTCAACTAACTTGAATATGTACTAGTTCATGGGCTGCAACTGGTGGCACAATTGTGACTGCACTCATGAACGGAGGCCCAATGGCTCTTCTCTATGGCTTGATCCTCGTGAGCATCTTCTATACGGCGATTTCGGCCTCGCTGGCCGAGTTGGCATCTTCCATGCCCTCCGCAGGCGGAGTATATTACTGGTCCACGGTACTAAGCGGGAAGCATGGCCGCGCCGCAGGATTCTTCACAGGCTATCTCAATGCCTGTGCCTGGCTCCTTTCGGCCTCATCAATGAGTTCCATGTTAGGCAATGAAGCGGTGGCCATGTATTTGCTTCGGCATTCTGACGTCTCCTGGCACTCCTGGCAGGTGTTTATTGTGTTCCAAATTGTTAATTGGACCTGCTGTGCAATCGTATGCCTGGGCAACCGGTTTATCCCTTTGATTAATCAAGCTGCACTGATCCTTTCAATGACTGGACTCTTTGCGACTGTGGTGGTCCTCGCGGCGATGCCAAAGACACACGCGAGCTCTTCGCAGGTATGGACACAATACTATAATATGACTGGCGGCTGGTCCGATGGGGTTTGTTTCATTACGGGGCTGCTTAATGCCGCCTTCGCTGTGGGTGTTCCTGATTGTATCAGTCATTTGTCTGAAGAAGGTATGTTAAATGTGTTAAATGCCGTGCATCTCGTCCTGACTTTTAAATGAGGATAGATAAATTCTAACTAGTGGTTTTATTTTAGTTCCCAAGCCACATGTCAAAGTCCCCCAGGGTATCATGATACAGATGTTAACGGCCTTCACTACCTCCTTTGTTTATCTGATCGCCCTTTTCTATTCAATCCAGGACATCGATATGGTTTTCAATACCAACGTGGGCTACTTTCCTACTGCTGAAATCTATCGACAAGCTACGGGATCTACCACAGGTGCTATTGGACTCATCGCAGTGCTCTTCCTGGCTACCTTCCCAACCCTAATCGGCACGTTCGTGACTGGAGGACGGATGTGGTGGAGCTTAGCCCGGGATAACGCCACGCCTTTCTCGAGCTATTTTGCCGAGGTTCATCCTACATTGAACGCCCCTGTCCGTGCCACCGTCGCTATGAGTGCACTAGTTACCTGCATCGGCTGTATTTACGTCGGCAGCACAACGGCATTCCAGGCCCTTATCTCGTCCTTTATCGTGATGAGCACTCTATCTTACTTCGGGGCTATCCTCCCACATGTGTTGACTGGCCGTCGGAACATAGTTCCTGGGCCCTTCTATATGGGTAAGACCCTAGGGATGGTGGTAAATATCGTCTCGTTGGTGTATATCATAGTCACCGTGATATTTTTCTGCTTCCCATTCGTAATGCCTGCCACCGTTCAAAACATGAATTATACGAGTGTTATCACTGTTGGTTTGATGGCATTGACCGCATTGTGGTGGTTCGTCCGCGGCAAGACCGAGTACCGAGGCCCACACTTTAGCTTTGAGGCTGCCAAGCAATTGACGTCTGTTCGAGCAGGGGAAAAGAGCGACGCTCCTGCGATTGCGCTCATGCAGGAGTCTACAGCAGCTACCCTTGATGATCATGGGCGGATGGGATGAGTGCCACCGTTGCGATAAGGACAAGGAAAAGGGAGTGATCAAAGATCCAATGTGATACCTCATCTACACCTATAGTTACCAGTTTCGGGCTATACCTCGAGAGTGCCAAGTGCCTTGGATCGCGCGCTTTAATCAACCATGTTGGGAATCAGGTGACTCCCATGTGTTCAAGCTCGCTAGTTCGGTTCCTCGCTTCTCTTCTCCGTCCGGCTTTGTGATAGCATACATACATTTTTTCTACCAGCCCTATCATAAGAACAGATCATCGATGGGTTCGAGGAACGGATGAACATCGTTGTGCGCACAGGTCAAAACCTCTATGTGCGACTTTGCGATCGAGAATACTGACTGTATTTAAATAAAACACTTCCATGTTGTTGATATCTACGATAGTAGATGGCAAGGCATAATGTAATGTATTGTGAGAGATGAGGTATAAAGTAAGGAAAGGATGCTGGCTAGATAACCAGTAGTACTACGGGATGACCTATCAGGCGATATCTGAGAGTAACAAACAGATATTTCGACCATATCCCTTCGAATGGCTTTCTTGTAAGCTTCCTAAATGAATACAGTCACATTAAAAATGTGAGTGGTAATACTGTTTCATGGACTTATTGATCATTCATGTCAGAGAATTGGTGTGCCGATGTTGGATGCTCATATATTTTAGACTTCTAGGTTGTTCTTGGTGTAATTCTAAGCTGTTAAACGAGTCCAACTAATGGCACTCCTGTAAAATCGTTGCTTTCAAACTCGAGCATTATTGTATAGACATTATGTTGCTATCCTAGTCCTAGCACTATATAACATGCCTTGTTTTCTAGAATTGACAAGGTTTCTAGAGCGTGCCTGTCATGAGTTTCATAACCATATGCTCGGCTTAGCTAAGTAAAAAATAACCAAAGAAATACAAAGGTCAATTTATGGAGAAAAACATGAGCTTTGATTCTCACCTGGCCTACTCTATATGCTCTCTTATACGGCCTGGGAGTGAACATATGTGTCTTGGCGTGTGGAAATATATCTAGTAAAATTTCCAATCATATACAATTCGTTCCGAGAATTGGCATACTAATAATAGGTAATGGTATTACGAAAACAGGCTGGAATAGGCGTTTTATTTTACCAAAACATGAGAATGAAGTTTACTCCCAAGCTGTTTAACGGGCATTGAAATCACCTTCCTTGATTGATTCTGGCAGTTTCATGGTATAATTTTCTTCCACACATAACCTGATACATACGACCATAGGGTGTGGAAAACAGGGCTTCCCGTCCGCTCAGCCGTACTTAAGCCACACGCCGGTGAGTTAGTAGTTGGGTGGGTGACCACCAGCGAATCCTCACTGTTGTATGTTTTTTTTGGGTTTGTTTTTGTTTCTTTCGCTTTTTGTATTTCATTTCCAGTGAAAGGGAAGGGCCCTAATAGAGAAATACAGCGCTGTACGGAGTAGAGGTGAGATAAAAAAAAGCGTCTTCCTCCTGATTGGCTGAGTCTCCTTCCTGATTAGCTAAGTTGGCAGAACGGCCCCGGGGCCCCGGGGGTCTCCCTCAGTTTACGAGTCTCCCTGAACTGAAACCTGGGAAGGAGCATTTCGCGAGCGAATACGAGATTTATGTGCAGTTATTGTGAATATGTTTGGCGTGACGGTAATCGGATCCCAATTATAACAACAACTATCCTTCAAGATTGAAAATGATACATAACATAACAGAAATCACCGAGTTCTACTGCATTTACGCCATAACAGGCCTAATCCAAGCTAGAATATAGGCACGCTGTTGGCCGTTCCCAATGTGGAAGGAGTGATTGTTTCTAAGCCCCAAGATAAGGAGAAATCTTTTTTGATTGTGCCTTGGAAGACTGTTGGGACAAGTGCAAGTGAGCTTGAATACTTCTTTTCTGACAAAGCTCGTATATGATCCTCCAGTCTTTCTTCCAGTATACCCACCTCGATAAACGACCATAAGCCAAATTCTATCATTTTTTACTGGAGCATAATGAGACATCTATTGGCCTCACGTCGGAGGATTAGCTGAAAACAGGCAACTGCAGCATCCATACTTTTCAATCGAGCTTCCATTGTGCTCAGTCTCCCTTTGAGCTGTATGTTATCAGACATAAGGGTGCTCAGTGTGTCTCACAGGCTCTGGACCGTCTTTGCGCTGCTGGGTTCGGCTGGCCAGAGAAATCCTGAAATGGTATGTTACAGTTCAATTACTCCTCTTTTCCCCATTTTTGAGTAGCCAAGCGCTTCGTTTGCTTGCAGCGGGTTCCCGTCACATAATGGCTAATGCATGTGATCCAACAGCTGTGACGTGGCAGCTGCACAAGCTGCAACTGCAGGTTGTTCTTTCACCTCTTCCATGTTCTTGGATTCCAATGGGAATTGATTGTTCTCTAAATTACCCCCTGCAAATAGTGGCGTACCATCCATATCGACAAAAGCGAGGCCATGACAGTGCATCTTGTTGCTTATTAGCGCAGAAATATCGCTTGGTACAAGATTGTGTGTGCCGGCGTTGGGTCTGGTTGCATCGATTAAGCCCAACGTACTTTTCTCCAAGTCAAACCGTCCTAAAGCTTGAACCCTGATGCCAAAGCCTTACCACCGCAGCCTTCTAGCTGCGGAGCGACTCAATTTCCCAGATTAACATTGCGACTAGCTTTATGACATTCGATGTCTTCCTAGTATGGGCGAGCGGTTGTTCGAGCCACAAAACGACCCCCCTTAATCTACTGACCCCCTGAGAAACTATACCAGCATATTCGCACTGATGTGACGTGTCGTAAAAGCCCTGCAGAACACCTCATACTTGCATTTCCCCTCCTCTCGCTTCCTAGCACATACATATATTAAGGCTCCAGTGTTACCGTCCTTGCGCACAACTCCTTTTCCTCTGCATTGTCGTCCACATCCATCTCTCAATATGGCAAAGAAAAAGTCTAGGGACCGCCCGTTTAACGACGAAATGGGAGATCAGGTCCCCTCCCAACTGTCTCCACAGATCGATTATCATCGACCATCGTCATCGTAAGTACGTGGCAGTCATTGCAATCAAATTCTTTCTAATTTGTCTATTGGCCGTACGAGTCAACAGTTGTTACCCTCGTGATCGGCAATAAACGATATGGCATTCCGGCGCACTTTCTTCAGAAATACCCCAAATTTCAGCAGAATTCGCTGTCGTGTTCACCCTTAGAATTGCCTGATGTTCATGAGGATGTCGGTCATACATTAGTGCGTTTTCTATATTCAGGCGACTACGAGACAATCAACTCGCCACTCAAGGAAGGCACGTCGGACCTCGCAAGAGAATATCGGAGGAGCGTTTTTGTCTATCAAGCTTCTAGAACATGGGGCATCTCTGATCTTGAAAAACTTGCCAAGCCGAACATCGAGAGTTTGGGCAAAGGGATGCCGATATTTGACATACTTTGCACAACAAGAGACGTGTTTTCAAGTCTTCCCGAAGACGAAACCTGGCTTCCGAAGTATATTGAAAGGAGCTTTCAGCGATTACTGAGGCCCGGAAAAATAGGTTATGGTCTGAATGGCATTTACAGTACTCTCGGTCAAAGCCATCGTTTTGATAATACTGTGATGAAAATCATGCTCAATATCCTTTCCCATCAAATCGTATCTTTGGAGAATAGCTTGGAAGACGGTAAGTCCCATTTGGCAATTTAACAAACATAATTGTAAAGCAGAATCACCTTACTAAACTTATCCACAAAGACGAGACACCAAACCACGCAAGTTGGTGCAAAGAACAGCGTGATATCGCCGCCGAAGAGCCTCCCCCCGGCAAACCTTTCACTGATAAGCGGCCTGGTGCCGCCCACTGAGGAACCTCTCGCTGAAGAGCGGCCTGATACCGCCGCCGAAAAGTCTGCTTCTGCCGAAGAATGGCCTATAGCCTCTTTGCCGAGCGATGGAGCACATACTGATGCCATCGTGCTACCCGATTCGACAGTACCGCCAATTGTAAATCTCACGGAAACCAGGCCAAGTTTGGATCATTTGGTGAAATGCTCGGTCGCTGATTTCGCATTGTATGGGGGGATTGGGATAACCTATTAATGGAGAGAAGGGCTAAAAAGATGATCAAGCTCACGACAAGGGGCATCCCTGTTCCAAGCGAAGATGGATTCATCTCGATCTTTGTGAATTGAGTTTGTATTTGGATTGTACTGTCTTGTGTCTAGCCTGTTCTCGAATTTCACTAGACTGAACCTTCCCCAAAGAACAGTAGTCTGTCCAGACCAACCAGTCTCCCAATTTTATTCATAATTTCCACATAGGTCTCAGTCGGACACCAGACATGATCAGGAGAGTATCAAGAGATAAGTAAATAATATTCCACCATTCATGGAGGTGGTAAGCCAAGGACTTGTCAATGCCATCAGGAAACAACCCTATACGCTACGACAATTTCCACGATGCCTGCATCCCTAACAGAGTGTGCCTTTTCCTTACGATTTTCTGGTTGTCCCTTCTGGATTGTGATGTTGTCAATAGGTTTTATACGCGACCGATAGGTAATGAACGACGCACTATTTCAAACTTGAGATCTGCCTTTCATCGGGTTTTATACCGATTCTGAATAGGCCGCAACAAGGCCCGCACATAACTAAACCCATCCATATGGATCGGCCACTGCCTTATTGGTACGCAACCTTGGAAAAGGTGGAGAATTTGGTGGGCCCGGATCACCACAAACATGGGGCCGGAAGGGATAGCCCGGAAGTTTATAAATGTCGAGAATCTCGATGCTGATTTGTCCCATGAATTACCGCACGCTTGGCAATGAGGCTTGGCTCACACCCCACTATGTAGGTTATGTGAACTAGAAATAGCCGGGAAAGTTTGCTCGTCAGGCTTATTTTGTCGATAGCGCTGCTAAATCGTCTTCTAAGGGTCAGGATGGTTATAATGATGGCTGACAAAATGCGTCAGGCGACGACCTGAGGGTCAAAATTTGCCAACATAGAGCCATGATGATGCGGAGTGGGCAGGTAGGGATCCTTCATATTTCATCCAGCCGTGTTTCGCTCCATATACTCAATAAGTTAGAGGGAAAAAAAGAGGAATGGTATCTTCATTTGATATTCCTATCAGACTTTAGTCCATAGGAAAGAAAAAAAATACTATCCAACTTTGAACGAGAGTATATGCAGGTTTACAGCATAACGATACCAACGCCCCCCATTGTCTTCTCATCCGGGAGATTCTTTTGGTTGATACCGCCGGGAACAGGGGCTGTCCGGTAGTTGTACAGGTAGAAGTGGAGCTGGCTGATACCTGCATTAAACTTGAGCTGTTCGAGGAAGAGAGGGTTGTCCTGGGTGGTAAGCGCGTTGAAGACGTCGAAGTGGGCCTAACAGACACATGATAGCATTAGTATCGAGAAAAAAGTGGACTCTGGGGGACGGATAAGATAAATGGGCCTACCTTCTTAGCAAGGATAAGTGCGTCGTTCATCAGCATAAGGAGTCGGTCCTTGTGAGCCTTCATGTCTTTGGTGAAAGCGGTTTCGGTGGCGTAGTAGTAGAGATAGGCAGTGCGTACTTCCTGGTGCTTTGGGTGCTGGATCACAGTGGACGGAAGGCTGTAGAAGGAGAAGAAGTCGGTGATATTATGCGTTTCAGCATCCTCCACCACGTAAGCCCATACAACCTGCTCCTTCCCGAGGCTCGCTTTATGTACTAGCCAGTGTGCGACTTCCTCTTTCGTGAACGCTGGGTTCATGTCATAGCGGCATAGGTAGCGCTCCAGTAAATCATGAATTGCATCGATATCCCTTGGTTCCATAGGTCGAAGCCCCGGGGTCGACGTACTACTCGGGAGATAGTTCTTACTAACTTGGCGGGCCTTAGTCGAGCCGAGGGGGAGTGACGAAAAGCCGACCTCGTATAGCTTGAGCCAGTCTAGAGAGCGGTGATAGTAGCGACACGAGCTTACCGGGGTAGGTAGAACCACACCGGCGGTATAGACGGCCTGGTAGATTCCATCTAGGTAGCAGCGACGAGTGATCTCCTTGATCAGAACAGGGGCCAAACGCTTAGACCGCAGCTTCTTGTGGACGCAAAGGAAGTTGATCTCTATAACCTTCAGCTTCTGGCCCCGGACGCGGACATCTGTAGGTACACCACAGATTGACGCGACGAGTTTACGGGATTTGGTCGCACGCACGCCGACGTGCCATTCCTTTTTCCAGCCGGGAGACATCAAAGCCCTTTATATATAAACATGTGTATCAGCGTTTGTCCTACCCAATACGGCTTTACTTCCCCCCTGATACAGGATCAACGATAGCACCATCAACTCTAGCCAACTTACCAGTGTAGAAAGGACTGAGAGTATCTGAAGCGGAACATGGCGTCATCGTCTTCCACATAGTGATAGGTCAACAGGTCCCACAGCTCCTGGAGCTCCGTCTCGTTTGTCAAGTCCAGGGTCGCCCACTCAAAACCCTCGATAAGCGGATCCGGCTTCTTTGATACCTTCTCGGGGTCAATTATCTTGATCGGTCCATCGCTGACCCCGCTAGGTTCGTCGAAGTGAGGCACGGGCTGCGTCTGCCAAAACTTGAAGGAAGTCATGTCTTTTTGGTTTTTTCCCCTCATCGCGAGCTCGCTCGATAAATTGACAATATCTGTCTTGCGCAACGTGGCATTTTCCTTATCTATTGCGCCCAACGCGATAGTTGGGGTGCTCTCTTTGTTAGACAATTTGGTTGCATTTGCATCGTCGGAATCGGCGCCCTGCGCCTTGCCCTCGTCTTTAATATCCTTAAGGTTCGACATCGCGGTGGGTGGTAATTGATCAAAGCGGTTGATAGAAATCCTTTTATCACAAAATCCCTAGTGCGGAGGTCGATTGCAATATTTTTTGTCTCATCATTTTAACGCTAGTATGAATAAAGCACTAGCTTGTACTGGTGGTGTATAGTACCCCTACTCCTCTTTTAAATCCCTATTATATATAGTACCAGTTCTACTACCTACCTTCCTGCGCTGTTACTATGGGCTATGATATTTAAACCGCTCTCAGCTCTGTTGTAGTAAATAGCAAAGCCGCCAGTGCTAGAGATCTTCGGCATCTCGAAGCGTACGGTTGATCGTATCTGGATATTACGGCCCCATGGTGAGTGGCAAGTCGGGATGCTCGCTACCTTGAGAGATCTTGATATTATCTATCATTGTCATAATCAGCGTCACAGACGACCTTGGCGAAAATAAGTTCGAGCTAGACCTCTGCAGCCCATCAATGCTCCGGGGTGATCTTCACCGAGGCTTATAAATTATTAATTAACGGTAGACAAGTGAGGACAATTTAATTTGTTATATTCTTTATTTACTTCTGACCTTGGAGAGTGGGGGTGACCAAATTACTGACAATATTATGGACCGGTGGCATATTTCGTCGCCCTCTACAATCTTAGGACAATCTAAAATGCGCTTATCCATATTTGGTCATCGCTCTGTACCTTAATAGCTCAATGTCATAGTCAGAATACCGTTATATCGAGGAGCAAATAGTGTCGGAAAAATTACAGCCATTTTCACTAGACTATAACAAAACTCTCGGTTCCTGTTTAAGACTAGGGCCATATCCCAGTTTGAGATCCTGAGAGTTGCCTAACATGACTGCCTTCCACTCTCCGGATAAATCTCCCTGCCATCAACGAATAACACTCCACGGGTTACTCAATTTATCACTTTCCAGCTTTCGCTTGTAGATGGTGTGTTCTTCTACCCAAAATGCATTTGCCACTGGTCTTTATCTTTCCTTGCCTTGTGCTGGCCGGGCTTGAGACCTTCCAACAACCGCTTCAAGGGCACAAAACCCAGTCCGGTTCGCCTTTTGATGCAAATTTCGACCGAAGGGTCAACTGGGCCCTTGAACATTTTAACATTCCTGGTCTTGCTGTTGCAGTTATTCGCGGAGATACCTTTTTTAAAGTGTGTGACCCTGTGTTTCTATGTAGCTATTGGCGAAAGAATTGACAAAGAGCCATGAAGACCTACGGCGTCTCGGATACTATCATTTCCCAGCCAGTGACAGAGCATACCCTATTTTTCGCAGGAAGCACGACGAAGGCCTTCACTTCTGCGGCCATTTCTCTCCTTGTTGACGATAACATTAATTTCCCAGCAATCCATTGGAATACACCGGTTCACACTATTCTTCCAACGGACTTTGTACTCAATGATACTTGGGCTACGTCGCAGATGACAATTATTGACATTTTGTCTCATCGCTCTGGCCTACCACGCCACGACTGGGTTTGGCTCGCCAACATCACACTTCAAGAAGCTGTACAATCAATGAGACATCTCCCATTTACGGCTTCTCCACGAACAGAATGGCAATATTCCAATCTTATGTACGGCGTGGCGTCTCATCTTATCGAGACTGTGACGAACCAATCGTTACAGGTTTTCTTTACGGAAAATATTTGGCTGCCTATGAATATGACAGAAACTTATGTTTCCCTCTCCGAGGCTCGAGCCGCACAACGAGATATTTCACAAGGCTACTACGTGGATTTGGACGGTAAAATTGCCGCCACCGAGCGAATATTCACGGATACTATCCGGGGAGCAGGCAACATACTGTCATCGGTATCAGACTACGCTAAGTGGATTTCAACCATGCTAAAACGGGGACCACCGTTCTCCCAGACAGGGTACGACGCATTTGGCGGCCACTTTATAGTATCGCCTAATCCCATGGAGCCGTTTCAGACTCCTACTCTTTATGGACTAGGATGGATGTCGCACGCATATAAAGGCGAGAGGATACTGTTCCACGAAGGATCCCAGTTTGGGTATGGAGCGTCCGTTATGCTCTTACCACAGCGAGACTTCGGGCTTGTGTTATTAGGCAATAATATGGACGGGGTTAATGCGGCATCAAATGCACTTGCGTATCATCTGATTGACGAAGAACTGGAAATTCCCCTCGATAGTCGATTTGACTGGGTTGCAAGGTATGCAAGAACATTCGGTTGGCTACTTGTCGATAGCTTGGCCTTGTTATCCTTCTGAAAATGTCTCCCTGATTCTGATAAACCGCAGAGGCGATGCAATGATCAACGACGGACGCCTTTCCGATAACATCCTATCAGAGCTCTACCCGAGAATCCCCGACCCTCCGTTGGCAAGCCCTATCAACTTGTCTGCTTACGAAGGATCCTATACACACCCAGCTTACCCGGAGTTGAGGATGTCCAGAAACTGCACCAAGGGTGACAGCGCTCTAAACCGAACAACCCCTGACCTGTGCGCCTCACTTGTAAAATATAATGACTATTCCAAAGATTTGGAAATCAAATTTTTTCACGTTTCCGGTACATACTGGGTTCAAATTGCAGTGCGATGGGGCGTTCCCAGTGCCGCCCGGGTGGAGTTTCTGATTGGCCCTGATGGCTTAGCAAGCTGGTTAGGAATTGAGATCGATCCTTTGATGGCGAACCGGGGGGAAAAGATATGGTGGAGACATGTGCTATAGATAGGAAGCGGTCTGAAAAGCGGGATGTCTATGGAGCATGGTATTTTTCAGGTTCGAAAATTACTGTGCTATGGGCTTTGTACTTCGTACTGTTTCTTACATACAATACGGGGCTGTATTGTATTATAACACTGATACATAGGTCTCCATACTCCATGAAATCCACCTTCCTCCAGTACGTACCGAATCCAAATACTCCGTATTAGGTTTTAGCTCATAATTAGTAGGAAGTAGTAGGCCAGTAATAGATCCTAATCTATGTTTACCTGTACCTATTATGTAGGTGATTAATAATGATAACGTATTACTAGGATCTACTGGTGAGACATTTCCAACACGCATTATAGAAATGGCCCCCACAACTCCTCCGGACACGGAATGCTCTCCAAGGGTCATCAAGTCAATAGAAAAAAAATAATACAATAGAAAAAATCTACAACCTAATATTTTGCCATTTGTCTTCCCTGTATTTATCTAATAGATAAAAATATAAAAACGATTACATTGGTTGTCATCATAATTACAACAATTGTGTAGGCCCTATTCCGGGTTTGGAGGCTAGTCCTCGGGCGTTCAGGAACCTTCCCAAAATGAGACAACATCCCTGCCATTTACGGAGGATAACGTAGCTACTTGCCGTACAAAAGTACATACATAGATCAGACGAAATTGATAGTCAAAGAGGGGGCCGTTCCTATCTACTGCTAACAGATGTCAACCGCGCTACCAGTACCTGGTAGCCGCTTTTGCATGAGCGCACTCATGCCTGTATTCCCACATTATTTAAAGCCTTTCTTTGCCAGCCGAAGTCCACTCCTAGGCTTACAATGGGAATGAGTGAGACTCGATCTCGACTCTTCAATTTTCGCGATCCCAGATCAAGTTCAAATGTTCAATTGACGAGCCTTTCTGAACAAGAGACGTTAAAAGACGCCCCAAAAACACAGCGAGACAGTCGTATGGACCGCCAGTTAACATCCGCCAACGAACAAACGACTGAGCTCCTCAAGACAACGGACCATGTCCTGATCCAACTCAACGAAGCGAAACGTCTGCGAGAAGTGAATGATCCTGGTCTCAATCCCAGCGAGCGAGAGTGGATTGATTGTATTATTAAAGATACTGCGGATGCTGCCCATGAAATTGCGGTAATTTTGGAGCCCGCACGTATTGAAAGAGAAACGGGTAATGGCAAGCTCGGGTTGGGAAGACAACTACGGTGGTTGTACCGGGACAAGCAAAGGGCCCAAGATAAGAAGAATCGACTTTTGATTTGCTATCAGAGTCTGATGATGGCTCTTAATCATCTTCAACGGGTATCCCTGCCCAAGACGATGACCAGACCTGGATTTGTTCATGAACTTGGGGCTGAAGTGCCGTCGACATTCGTGGATGAACTATCCAATAGTCAACGATCTGGGTCGGGCATTAGTGGAGTTACAGATACAACTAAGAGTTCCATGAGCCCAGCAAGTCCAAATGAGGAGTTACAGGACATGTTGACATGGCGTCGGTCAAAGGGAGCTCAGGTGCAACCGTGAGAAGAGAAGACATTTGCCACACATGTAGGATAATTCCCCTGGTCCTTTGCTGTGATGGAGTTGACTCTCCATTAAGGCTCAATAATATTGTACTTATCATTCAATATATAGATATAGTTACTGCAAGCAACATCAAAAGCAAAAGCTCCCTCCTTTATGTTTGTACCGTTTCTTCCTTTACCAAAGTCTCTGGAACCGCCAATCGTCGCCCATGTTCATCGTAAACTTTAATTACAGCGGGAAGGACCACCAGCTTATTATCAGAGACTCCATCTGTTGTCCAACGGAATTTGAACGAACATGGCTGTAAGAATAACCAGACACCGAGGTCGGCTGCCGACTTGGAGATAGTGTCCAGGTGCCGAAGGCGATCGGCCTCTGCGAATTGAGAGTTTCTGTACGCCTCGAATGCCTTGGTAAACTCCTCCGCAAACTTTCTTATGTCGCCTCTTGGAAGAGTCGGCGAATCGTAGAGGAAGGACGTGAGCATACGCCAAGCAAATTCGGCACGGTCCGTGGCTATAGAAATTGAGTCAGTATGTCTTCTTTAGTGCATTTCTAGACTCACGGGTCTTACCAGTATCTAGCATCTCGCTTCCCCGTTTCTGTGGGCTTTTTGCATAAATTGCTGGAAGAAGAGAGCCTTCAGTTTCTCCGGGTTGGATGGCGCGCAGTAGGCTTTCGACTAGAACATGTGTGAGAACAGCCCTTTGAGATCGGGGGTTTGAAAGCATGGTGATCAAGGAAGTAGGCAGAGATATTGAGTCGTAGTGACTGAGACGAGCAAGAGAGTCTTGAGTTAAAGCAAGGTTGGAAGTGGTCCGAGAGTAGTAGTTCTCCACATGTAGACCGGCCTGATCAAATAAGCTCTGAATTCGCATGCAAACCAAGTTGTCATCTGCTGGTTGTGGGATATATCTGGACAAATCCAGGTATTGAGACTCGAATGCGGTCGCAACTGGGGGGAGCGGTGTCTCGGATTTTGTCGTAGAAGAGCCAGCGAATGTAGTGATTGTCTGTCCGGATGCTTTCCCTGTGTTTTCCCCAACAAAAGAAGAATCGGGGCCCTTCTCCCTAGGTTGGAGGCTCTTCTTGCGGAAATAGAAGAAAAGAAACGCCGCTAATAGAGCCAAGATACAACCCCCTGCAAATGCGCCTACTATGGCACCCGCCAGAGTCCCAGAAGTGAAACTTCCATTTGACTGCAAAGATACTGGGGTCATAGTTCTGTTGGTAGGTATGTGTGATGGGTTGGCAACGCTGGAAGGTGTTCGTGCTGCTGAATTGCTAGTAGGCTGAGTGGGAATGACCGACTGTAGCAGTGAAGTGGTCTCCACGGACGGGCCAACATTTGTCGAGGAGGATGAAGTAGTAGTGGTTGTGACTGCAGTGGCACCATTCGCCAGGGAGGATGAAGTAGTAGTGGTTGTGACTGCAGCGGCCTCATTTGCCAGGGAGGATGAAGTAGTAGTGGTTGTGACTGCAGCGGCCTCATTCGCCAGGGAGGATGAAGCACTACTGTTGCCCCCCTGGCTGGATTGCGTTGCGTCGACCATAATGAATCAAAGCCTTGGTCGTACGGGAGACACTTATGAGATTGTTAGAGAAAACCCCTCGATTAAAATTATGGATATAATATCCGCGGCTGGACTGGGGTCGGTCTTTGTACGGAATCGGGTATAGTGCGAACAGCAAATTGGGGGCGGACTGAGATGCAACTACTCTTAGTTCGTACATTAGCTGAATCAAAGGATCGCCCAAATACGTGATGTAAATAACATCCTTGTTAGAAGATAGGGGCTTCGTAAAATGAGACCCTACCAAAAAGATAGTCCCCAAGAGCGTTTTTGTTTTATTTTGTATTGAGCGCGTTCGCTTGCTTTAGGAGCAAGCTGTCGCGTTCATTCACCCCACCCCATACAAATACCCACAGGCTGCTGGCGCCAGTCCTAATACCAAACTCAGCTAAGGAGAAAAATGGCTGACAAGGAGGTCGTAATGCTGAAAACACAAGCATCCGATGATACCTGGGGTACTTGGACGCCGGATATTGTAGTTGGGATCGATTTTGGGATGACTTACACTGGTGTGTTTTGCTTGATCACATCAGTGAACAATTATGTTTGCTCATTTTTACGTGACGATATTCTAATATCTCCTTCTTTTTACAGGGGTTGCATATTCATGTGCACCAGAATGGCTTCCCCCCAAAACCATTCAACGCTGGCCGGGAAAGTTGCCAGGCGAGCTTTCCAACAAAGTTCCCACATGTATTGAGTATGATAACGAGTCAGGCTCAATCAAAAATTGGGGTTTCAAGTGTGACCAAGAAGATGGAAACGCTGACATCAAGGAATTTTTTAAATTACATCTTGCACCTCACTATCATGATGACTTTCCTGGGAGCCCAAGTCGACAGGATGCTCAGCGCTGGTTTCAAGACTACATCCGATGCATCTACCAACACGTGATTTCTCATTTCAACACCACAATTCCTCATTTTAGCTCGCGTCAAGTTGAATTCCTTTTCAGTGTGCCGACTACATGGAAGGATGTACGCATGGTGGAAGAGACACGACGAATTCTCCACCATGCAATCAATTCAAAAACACCAAATCATCGCATATCTGTTGGTCTAACCGAGGCTGAAGCGGCAGCGGTTTACGCCGGAAACGAACATTACCAGGTTAGGCCGGGGAAAAGTTACGTTCATCTGCAATTTGGCGCTGACACAATCAAACTGTCATTTAGCTAGATGACACCATTCTTATCTGTGATTCAGGCGGAGGAACAACTGTAATGTGGCTTTCATACTATCTATTTATAGCGGCATATTAACCAATTACTAGGATGTCAATGTTCTCAAACTCATTTCTTCGCGAGGAGAGCCGACTAGACTCGAGCAGTTGGGTCATGTGGAAGGTATTGGAGAATTTCGAGATGTAGGAACGCTTGATATGAATTCTGCTGATAGGTGTTAGGTCAGCCAATTGGGTCGGTATTCATCGATAGAAAGATGCATCGACTAATATGCCAGCGATTGGAGAGGATCAGGGAGCACCTTAGTATTCCACCAAGTGAGGCCGCATGGAAAATGACTTCAGGCCGCTTTCAGAGACTGAAGTGTACATTTGGTGCCGAATCTACATTGACCCCATGGTTGAAGCTTGACGTACCGTGTTTGGAGTCCGACTCGGACTTCCCCGAAGCCTCGGTATCCGAGGGTCAAATGCTCATTGCATGGTAAACTTGGGTTTGACAATACTTCAGAAATCCACCGCTTACATAAATCTAGGGATGACCTAAAATTGTGTTTTGACACCAAGGTCGATGAAATGTCTGTTCTTTTGGATGGTCACATCATGAATATGTTCAATAAGTACCCCGACGACCACATTGTATGTGTTTTGACTTTCTTTACAAAAATATCTGACTGACTTGCTACGCCACATTAGAAATATATTATTCTTTCTGGCGGGTTTGGTAGCTCTCAATATGTGAGACAACGCCTTGTGGATAAATATGGCAACACAGGCAATCAAAACCATCCAAACGCAGTGGGAATGCAAATTTTGGTTGCAGACGAGCCGTATGTTATTATTAAGAGATTAGCTGCATTATGTGAAGGGACTGACATATATTTGAACTGGCAAAGGCAGCTTGTTGTTGTCCACGGTCTAGTTCTTGATCGGATACAACAAATCAAACGAGGAGTAGTCACGTTTGAATCTCGATGCTCTCCAATAAGCTATGGTATTATCTGCGACAAGATATATAATTCAGAAAGGCATGTTGGGGAACGTGTCCGGGTTGATCCTCGAGATAAGAATACCTATGTTATCGATCAAATCGACTGGCTTGTGATTCAGGTAAGACAACATAGCTTCAACTTCCTTTTCAAAATTGACTCTTACGTATTTCGACCTCAGGGTGCTCCCATTCCTTATACAGGAATAACAAAGGCGTTTCAATTAAAGACAGACCCGGGACGAGAAAGCGAGCCGTGGAGAGTTAGCATTGTGATGTCCACTTTCCCCCTCAACAAGCTACCACAAAACATGTGCCAAAATGGCGTACAGCGAGTCTGTGACCTCGATATCTCAACCGAAAATGTCACTAGGAAGCTGAAGAATCGACATTGGTATAGCATGGGCCCGACATTCTGGCGCACGACATTTGATGTTAAGGTAGTGGTCGGGCCCGCCGACCTCTCGTTTCAACTATGGTCAAAGGACAAGAGAATACGGAGTTCCACACACGAGCCCATCGCTGTGAAATGGATGCCTGCTGGGGAATTATGATTACAGAGACTTGTATCATCTCACTAGCAATTTTTACTTTCGGAGATATCTATATTCTGTGGTTTTGGTCTTTCAACTCATATTAATTTAAATATTTTGACACAAAGAAAATCGAATATACTCGACTAGAAAGGGCCAGGCTGGAGGGGCATATACGTGAAAATTCCAAAGGTTGTTTAGTAGCTCCACCCACAGACGCTATATAATTATGATTCAATTTTTGTCATGAAGATCCTTCTACCTTCTTCTACACCTCTTGCCTCATCGAATCCAAAAGAACACACAGTCTAGGCAGCTACCCCAAGCCGTAAAACCAGACTTTCCCGCTTCATTATCAGGCCAAGCACTAGAGTCAGTGCCATAGCCACAATAACGAGTATGTATGTCGAGCCCATAGCGTCCACAATGGCCGATTCAGCCTTGACCTTCTCTGCGGCAGGCAAAGATGAGATGAGGGTCGATGTACCTGAAAATATGGCCTCCACTTCCTGAATAGATACATTGGGCAGAAGACTCTTTTGTGACTCGTTCAAGAACATGCTGTTGGCAATAGCCAAAGAAATAGTAGTGCCAACAACCTGAGCACAGGTAATGAATCCAAGAAAAAGAAATATGTGGAATTTTCTTTCTGGTAGAGAAAACCACAAACCGTCGGTGTAATGCATCAATCCGACTCAGAACGGTGTGCGGATCATTTGAGGCAGCACTTTTTAGGTCTACTAATTTTTTTTCTTTTTTTCTTTTTTTTTTTTTTTT